TGCTTTAGATATTTACAAATTCAAACATCAGTTAATTATCTCTCTGATTACAAATATGAGAACATTCAACTTCAACTGATACACACAAATAACTGGAGTTAACAAGTTCACCACCAGTGATCTTCAGAAGGAATGGGAAACAACTGAATCTGTTGTTATTCTCCAGCTAATGTGCTGGTGGAATAATAAGTTACAAGGCACCACTACTACAGTACTCACCTGAGTCAATAATAAATACAACATGTACTACCATCATCAGCAAATGATGGGAGATTGTGACAATTATAGATGATTGAGAACAATGTATTACAGTATTGGTCAACAACTTATACACCACAATTCTGTGTACTATCTATAGTATGTACTGACAAGATCTGACAATACTTGGAAATTGATCTCCTATTCATACTACATCAAGTATGCTAAGCCAGGAGATAAAACTGGGTTTTGCTATATCAATGTCAATGTTCTAGATGCTATTACTACTGGAAGAAGTGTTAACATGATACAAGAATTCTTGACCTTAACTGCAGAAGAGCCTAGTAACTGTACAGAAATCTTGCCAGAAATGCATAATCATCTAGAGAATTGATGGGAACTAGTTAAAGAACAAGACTTATTTACTGATGGCTATGTTTCCTGCATTAAAGATATAATGTATACCAAGAACAACAAAAGAACATTTGGTATTAGGTGGACTAATATCATTTGCAAACCTGGTGATGTTCAAATTACAAGCTCTCTGTTACTTCATGGAGCCCATGGGCCATGCAAAAAGATCCAATGCACTATGCTACTCTGGTATGTGATAATCCAAGAGAACCATGAATATCTAGAAGTTAATAAAGCTGGTATATGATTTCAGCTCTCTGCTGCATATAGAGATCTAGTTCCAGAGCCTTTGTCTCTATTCAGCTATTCAAATTATTATGCATTGGTTCCATATTGATTCCCTACTGCTATTTAATTACAAGGCTTAGAAGCTATATTGGATGCCCTGGTAGGATGAATTAGATGGGACAACCCCATGGTAATTAAGAAACTTGATATTCTCTTTGACTCTGATGACAAAAAAACTCAGAACTTCATTAATAACTGATGTCTAAAGACTATATAAATTGCTCTGGATGCCATTATCAAGACTTATCAAATTGAAAAGAAAGTTTTTGGTAATAAATTTTATTAGCATTATGTGCACAACAACATTAATTCAGTGTCAGTTTGGCCTTCTTCTTCTCCTGAGAACTTGATGGAAGAAGAGAATCATGATAATCACTATTAGAGATTACTGCTATCACTCTTCTTATTCTTATTTTCTATGTTTTTCCTTACCAGACTGCTCATTACTATTTATTATTCTCTTATTTTACTAAATTGGTTTTATTTTATTTTATATGTTGCTTGTTGTCAGGGAATGCTAACATTAAGGATCAGGAGAAAATGTAGTGGAGATTCCAGTATCTTATTAGAACAAAGATTATTCTAGTCTGAGATGCAAACCACCTCAAGCTACTATTCTTGAGCTATATAAACCACCTGTAGCCTCTGCTTCTTGCTTATTATCTTCACACACCATTGCTCTTTTCTACACACTTGTTTCTTACTACCAGTTTGGTTATTAGTTAAAGAATATGAAGATTTCTTGTTTATGAAATGTGCTACTGTTTCTTATTAGAGCTGCCTGTATTAGTACAGAGCTCTTTAGTACCATTACTTCTTATGAGCTTAGGTGTCTGTTAGAACATACCTATCTCTACACTTACTACTCAACTATACTCTTACTATGTTGTGATTTTTCATCTTTCTTGTGCTCTCACCATATCAACCAACTTGTCTATCTTGACAAGGCATCTTATTGTACCCCACTTCAATATCTGATGTCTTTTGTAATAATTTTCTCAGATGAAACTGCTGTCTTATTAAAGCTAATTATAATTTGCACTTACCAAGTAATTTACCATAATAGTAAGATGCTTTTGGGAGCTTTACATTATCAAAATTGTCTGACTTCTCTATTAGTCATATGTGTAAGAGAAACTCTAAAGAGAAATTGTTGTTTGCTATTCTCTGTTTATATTCTATCTGCTTCTGCAGTCTGTATATCTTGTTTTGTTTATATATGTCTGCTAGATTCTTTTGCAGGTATGTCTTCTTTTCTTTAAAAATCTTCTCTCTTTGGATTTTGTTCAATGTATTAAGAGATGTACTTTTATTGCTCATATTATCTGCTGGTATCTTACTGATAATAACTCCACTGCTACAAGCATCTTTATTAATATTCATCTTCTTCATGTTGGTGTCTATCTCTGTTGGGTCTGTAATGTAGAATGTTGTTGTGGTTTATCTTGTAGGTCTTGATAGCATTGTATTAACTTAGATAATTGTATGTCAGAGTGTTCAGAATATTAGAAGAACTGGTTATAGATTATGTAGGTTTTCCCAGAATTAGAGATACAAAAGAGCTAAGTATGTATGATATCTGCAACTGATGGAAGGAAGTCATGTATAGAATGTAGGGGTCCTCTAACTAGGAGACTGAATGCTGGGGTTCCCATGATCCATGTGAATTGTGTGATCCTTATACATTCAGAGTTGGGGCCATGTGAATACCTCTGAACATCTAATGTTGTCTGATGCTTGGTTGGTCTAGGTCTATATTTGTAACAGTCTTCCATTAGCTTGTACAGTACTGGTGATAGTAGTGTATTCTCAGACATAGGTGTGAATGTTGCCATTCCAAGCACACAGTTTCTTTGTGATCACTCAAAGATAATCCCAACAGTGAATCTTGTAAGTTATATCTTGATCGCGAAATTCATGAATAATTTCTTTGGAGAATACCTCCCAATTACCTTCTTTGTAGCCTTTCAAGGTCTTCAAATCTTTCAGTGAACAAGGTAGCATCCCTACTGTCAAACCAAGGCGCATTTGCTGTGCCTGGAGAAGGCATAGGAATGTAGAAATGAACCACAATGCTCTTGTCCTCACCCTGTGACATAGTTGCATAAGATTCAGTAGTACCTTCAGTCATAGTCAATTCTGAGTCTGATTTCTTGATTTCTGAATTCTTGGTCATATCACACAGTATATTCTGTTGTTTCTTGATGAGTCAATATCTTCCAAAACTTGTTTATCAGGCAAGCTCTAGATAAGAGTCATTTAAATCTAAGCTCCCTAATCTTATTTCTAAACAAAAACCAAATGTTTGTTAGGGAACCGGATGTAGGTCACATAGGTTTTCCCAGGATTTTGGGTACAAAAGAGCTAAGTAGGTCTGATGCCCGCAACTGACGGGAGGGAGTCATGCGTAGAATGTAGGGGTCCTCTAACTAGGAGACTGAACACTGAGGTTCCCATGATCTGTGTGAATCATGTGATCCTTACTTACGGGCTAACCTTATTGTTTGCGATGCCAGGGTCAGGAAGATGAATTCAGGTCATTGATCTTGAAAATGCAGATTCCTCCTGAAAGGGAGGTGTATTAAAGAAATGCTAGCTGCAGTGATTCAGAGGCTCCCTTCAAAGTCTTGTAACATCTTTTCTTTTGCAACTATGGTAAGTTGCCATTATTGGGGATAGTACTCTGACCTGGTCTATGCATCTAGGCTATACTTACATATAGCTTGGATGAATTCTCTTTGGAGCTGATGAGGACTTGCAGTAGCACAATTAGCGGGACAGTTATTGTCTCACCTCACCCAGCTGCAGTGTCCATGAGACATGCTGGTTATGAGTTTGGGATTTGACGAACATGAACACTGCTAGTTAGCTGCCTTGCTACCCATTGTGCTCTCGTTCACAGCGCAACTTGTGGACCTCTCACCAACCCTATAGGCAAACACAGTTGAAAAATACATTGCCAATATGTTTCACGGAAATATCAGCAATCCTGACTGCTTGGGCAGTCAAGTGCTTGCTAGCATCACTCCTCCAGCTGGCAGTCTCTGTCTGTGGTCCTCTCATGGAGATTCTAGGGTGCTCTCTGTTTAATAAGAATGTCTGTCCCCCAAGCATCACTGGCTCGAAATGATAAATGGTTGCCCTGCAATCTCCTATCATTGTTTGGCCCAGATACTCCAGCTGTGAAAAGGAGGGATGATAGAACTAGCAGAAATGGAATTTTCAATTGCTTCAAGAAACAGAAAGTGCCCTGGTTTTTCCCCTCCTAGTTTCTCTGCCGCAATTTTGCAGAGACAAGAATGGTTCTGGAACTTCATGGTCTACAAGGAGTACTGAGCAAAAACAGAGTGACAGCAAGACTGCGATATGCTGAGTTGCAGTTGACAACCACTAACATCTGAATTTATGCATGTCTATTCCTTAAGCAATTTGTTTCAAATGTTGCCATTATTTTGGAAATTACAGGGTTTGAATCTGACTGTTTTGCTGAAGCTGGTGTGTGGTGAAAAGCTAAGGTGCCAGGCCATTATTTATTATGTTACATTTTAAATCTCTCTTCGCGCGCGTATCCATCCCAAATCTGCTTTGAGCACACATCCAAGGGAACAGCCTCTATCCCGCTAGAGTGCTCCCAATCGGTACTGCAGGCGTTGTGGTGGCCTGCTAGAACTGTATCCGCAAGACAGTTCAGATTCTCCACCAGTGCACCTTTCTGGGCCACAGAGACACTGCAGCTGAGCAAGTGAATTGAGGAGTGAGTCTGTGAGTGAGAGTGAGTGATCCATCCGCTGCTCACTTTACTTTCCAACGCTGGGACATGCGCAACGCGTGATCTTGTTTTGGCCTCTCAACAGTCGCGGCCGCATCATTTACCGTCATCTTTCATCATCATCATCATCTTCTTCTTCTTCTTTTCTCTCTCTCTCTGTGTGCGTGTCTGTCTCATTTCATAAGTCAATGCTCTCAATTTCTCTTCCGCCTTTTCTACTCTCATTTCTGGACCCATCTCCGACAACCTCCAGCTAAATCTAGTGCACCTCAGCAGCTGATGCCCTTGTCGATTCTCTTTGCTTTGTGTTGAACTGTCATTCGAAACCACCATGTCTGCTGGCTGGGGCTATGCATTTCCCCATTTCAACCTCCCAACCGGAGGGAATCTCGGCCACGCGCCTCTATCGGGTTCTGTTGGCCAAATAGTCCGCCCAATGGACCAGCCGACCCTACTGGTAAGTGTGCATTGCTCTCTGCGAATCCCTGATTTATTTCTTGGCCCGTTACTGCCCCTGATTGCCCTCTCTCGCCATCTAGCCATCGCCCTCGGCTTTTTCGTGATCTTTTCAGTTGCTCACCTGTCTCCGTCTATCGTTTCTGCAGGAATCTGCCACGGTACCCTCGCGAACTGCTGGCGACGCTCGCAATCCCGTTGGGAGGTTCAGTCTATCTGCGCTTTCTCCATCGCAGCTAGAAAGAGCATGCTTCACGCCGCAGAGTGCCGTTACTTGCCAGCAAACACCTCGGCCGGCCAGCTCTGGACACTCGGTTGCCGTGGGGGACGCGCCGGCGTCTGAGACCGGACCCTCAAATGTAACGGAATATTCCTCTCCCGCGTTGGAGAGAGCATTGTCGACCTTATCGATCCTTGAGCGTCGAGTCACAAAACAGGAATCTCGTATCCAGGAATTGGAGGAACGGCTTTCACAACCCCCAGAAACGTTACTCTCCGCAGCAAGATCGACGTTCACGAATACCATTTCCTGTGTAGATCTCCTCGACACCCACAACCAGCTAGATCCAAGCCCCGTTCTTGACGCACAAAGAAATGAAGTCATAATGAACCTTATCCAGCTGAAATCTACACCTACTCCAAGTGAACTCAGCCCTTCGCCTCTTCCCGACTGTCTGGCAGGCTTCGATGAGATCTTCGGGCGGGAATCTCACCCGGGTATCCAAGATTCGTCGGCACAGGAGGATCTCGAGGCTACAGGGACGCTGCTGGGAGGGATCGGTTCTCCTACACAGCTCACCCACCATCGACGGATTGACAGCAGGACTCACCAGGATTCCAATATGCTTCTTGGTATGGGAGATAGCCCCCGTGGCAACGATATTTCACCCTTGATCAGCCTATCCTCCGACAGTGAAAAGCAGGCGTCGGATTCCTTCCTGCTTCCAGATCCACTTCCCTGGAACGGAACCATTTCCTGGACAACAAAGTCTGTATTCTCAGATGCTCGGAGCATTGCTGCGGCGCGTAAAAGCCAAGCACCCGGAATTTCACCGGCTTTATTTGATGACGGCCTAGTCTATGAGCCTCGTGAAGGGGATGCCAATATATATCGAACTGTTGCTATCCTTGGGCTTCCGGGGAATATCGACATGAAAACTTTTCTCAAGGGAATACGAGGAGGCGACGTGTATTCAGCATACCTGCACAACACATCACAACTATCCGGATCACACATGGGTATTGTGACCTTTAACTTCCAGGTTCATGCTGTTGCATATACGGAGTTTGCGGCAAAAAATGGCGTTTACTTCAACGGTAAACGCGCAAAGGTCGTGCTATTCAAAACGCCAACATACCCAATCCCTCAAATCATGGAGCGGAACATATTTGAGTTCGGCCATACCCGTTGCGTGACTATTCGGGGAGAGTATGATCCGGAAAGATATACCATGGTTGCCAAATTCATGAAAGACAATATCCGGATGTCCTTTGATCTAGGTGACCGAATGGTGGAAAACGACACGGAAACGGAGATCACAATCAGGTTTAATTCAATTCGGGCCGCTGGTGCCGCGATGGAGAAGCTGGAAAGGTTTCCCCTTCTTGCTGAATGCGATATGTATTTCGACCGCGACCCTTGCTCTGAACCCCTTCCCGGGAGTAAGGAAGGGAACTGAAGCGGCTGAAATATAAGTCAGAAATAGATGCTCAAGGATGTCTGGGTTGGCTGCGGCTGCACCTCATCACATTTTCGGTGTGCTTCCATTTTGATATGCTTGTTCGTGCCGTTGGAAGGGGAGGCGGCTTGAAGAATGGTTAGATGGTGGATTTCGCTGGCTTAGGAGACAGAATGCTTTAGGCAATGCGCGTAACGGGCGCGGGGATTTAAAGGATACCACAAAAATCCAAAGTCGAGAAGAATGTGCCTCAGAAAGGGATTTGGGTTCAGGTAATATGTTTTTGTCTCCTTTCTGTCGGGGCATTCGCTCCAAAAGGTTTATTTCATGCCTCCAAGGACATCACGGCATATTCTTTGAACATGAATTCCATAAGTCACCTCAGTATTTTCTCCGCCGCTGAGCACTTCAACTTGTTGTTGCCGGAGAAGGCTTTGCTGTCCTCCCGATCTGGTGCCCTCCTGGGCAGGCCAGCTCCTTGACTCTCGAGGGTATCTAAGAGCGCATCTGTAATGTCCAGAATTGTTTGGAAGGAAGTAGAAAATATACTCCGTACAACCGATCATGAAGTGACCATGCCTTGAATATCGGCGTCGTGGTGAGTTGATTGCCACCACAACGACGGTTCATAATTGACAAGTATCGAGAGGAAGTAAATGAGTTTAAAGGCACAACAGGCAAGTGTAGAGCTGGATGGAACGGAAGAGGGCTTCGGGAAACGGAGCACGATGTATGAATAGGAAAATTTTTGAGCCCGTAGGAAGAATAACTGATACAAGTGTATATGGGGCTGCATGATCGGTGATAAAGAACATCACCATCAGATTAAAGGTCCCTACATAGTTAAGACGGGAAATATCATCATCCGCATGGCCCAAGGAACATAATCATGAGAGCAGGCGACGAAAGAAACTTAGATTCTGCAAGCAGCCATCAGCTTCAACTAAGCATATTGCAACAACTATACTGCCATCCCATCCCAAACAAACCCCACTCCCGAGGAAGACAACCGATGAGGATGTTTATTAACAACAAAAAAAGAAAAAATTACAAAAACCTTGACAGCTAGACGAAATTTCGCTTCTTCCGATTATAAGCTCTCTGATCTTTTAGCCATTGGCGGTAGCCCTGGACACTCCCGATCTTCTCGCCATAGTAATCCGGTACGGGATTCGCGAAAGAGTTGGCCGAAGGGTCGACTCGGAAGCGCTTGATTCTATCGTAAAACTCCTTTTCTTTCTACGGACAGCAAGAGGTATCACGTTAGCACCCGCTGCAGCTAGGAGACAAACAGACGAACAAGTTGCGGGACTTAAAAGGAGTGAATGGACATACCACAGCAGCGGCACCCTTGTACTTTCTATAAACCATCCCCCAAACTGCATTACCCAAGACAGGGCCGGCGAGCCAGCCAACTGCACCACAGGCAACCGTCGTCAGGCCCATGACGATGAACGGGTCAAATCCCATGATCTGCGCGCCCAAAGCCTCAAAGTTCTGGGAGGCGATGACCTGTGCGCCTGTCGCGGTGGTGGTGAGAGAGGCAAGGATGGAGGAGACGAGGGAGTATTTTCTGCGGGAGGCACGGAGGGTGAAGAAGGAATTCCAGTCCAGCTGAACAGGAGCTTGGGCTGAAGAGGCGGAGGCGGAAGCAGACTCGTGTGCAGACGAGGAGGGGGGCGCGGCGGATGATGAAGAAGAAGCATGGCGTATGGAAGTGGCCCGGGCAACGATGGAGCTTGACGTAACTGTGATAGACGCCGGAGAAGGTAATGGCTGGCGAGGGATGAACTGCCGGAGGGCAGCTCTCGCGCTGGAGCTGGAGCTTGAGCTGGAGCTGGCAGCCCTTCGTTGCTGGGAGTAGCCGTTCGACGTGTATCTGTAGTTCCGGCACCGATTGGCGGCGTGGGCGATGGGAGAAGAGACGACGGCGAGGGAGATCCAGGTGGACGAGGAGGCTCGACCGCCCAGGACAGCGGTGCGGGCAGGGCAGGTCATAGCCGCCAGATGCATCGTGAGCTCAATTGCGGGGTGCGAGAGTGGTGTGTTGTGTTCGTTGGGGGCTGCGGCAGCGTCTCGTTCTGCCAGGTTCGGTTCGCTCTCTCTCGAGAGAGAGAGATATACTCTTTTTGCCGCCCGCAGCCGCAATTGGAAACAAGCTGATGGTCACGTGGACATATCTTAGTCAGCCCTTTAAGGAACTACGTCGGGCCGAGCAGTAGGCGGAATATCTATTTATCCTAAAGCCGACCAATAATTACCTAATCGACCCACACCCAGGCAAATTTGGCGGCCCAAATCTTCTACTCCGCAGCGGGTGAGTTTCAGCTCTCCCCCCCCAAACACAAATCACCCTGCATGTCTGTCTGAACTATCCATCCAATGTCATACTATGTACTCCGTAGGGTCGTTCTATAGGATTAGTGCTGGGCTCCCTCGTCTAGCTGAGTTAACCTAGTTACCCTTCAGTGACCCGTTTGTCGCTTTCTGCTCCTTATCAAACTGGGCCTCGGACATGGCTGGCTTGTGCTCTCCGTTCAACTTGGAATAGAGCCACTTGAGCAGGGCCGTGTTTAGGGTCATCAACGCAGCGCTGACGAGGAACAGCGCCACTCGCCACGGTGTGGTCAATTTCTCAAATAGGGGATATGGATACCTGTTTATTTTGGAAAAAAAAGAAAACAAGGGGAAATCATGGAACACGGTCATTAACTGCCGGCGCGGCCACCTTGGGGTTCAGGAGTGAAAAACTTACCATCCGTTGTACCTGTAGCACTGCTCGACCCAGAACCAGTAAGCAAAGGCGATGGAAGTAGCCAGGCCGAACGACGGCATGGCCGTGATGGTCCACGGAGGCGAGAACAGCAGCAGATCAATTACCAGGGCCAGTGCGGGGACCGCGTGGAACCCGAGATCTGTACCAGTTTGGTCAGTTACGCTCCTATCTTCGTCTGCCCAAACGTCAGAGATCAACGAGTCGATGCTTCGCCGTACCCGGTATCAGCGCCGTTTCTGCCCACTCTGGGACAACCAGCTTCTCGTCGACCTGCTCTGTAGAGTCAGCTATGCACACTTGAAGCGAAAGAATTCCAGAACCATGGATGGGTGCTACCATCTTTAGCCCCCAGTACAGCAGAGCTATCAACACCTCAAGCGGGGTGCCACACACGGATAGCATATTCTTGACGAGGAACAGCCGGCGAGATGAGAGCAAATCGGCAGCCAGGCCCGCGGTGAATGTCATGGTCGCCAAGGTAATGCCAATGATCGTCAGGTACTGGAAGTGCCAGCCATATGCTTCGTTTCTATGACGACGGCGGACGGACAGTCAGGACACCGTGTACTCGACCAAGCTCCGATATGAATGGGCACTCACGCAAAATTTGGATGATCGACCATACTACCGACAATGCATGTAAGCCAATGGCCACCCTCAACGAGTCCTTTTGTTTTGAAATCTTCACCGCAGGCGACGAGGGTCAACTTACAATTTGAACGACGCGATAAAGCTCGAGAGACCGGCTAACTATGGACATCATAAGGCAACCCAAGTCAACCAGCGTTTTCCTCACCAAGTATCATATGATCCAAAGAAAAAGAAGGATATAAAATCGCCATTTGACATGCTCCTTTTAAAAAGTCAAAGGAGAGCGGTGGGTAACCTCCGTGTACGAGAGGAGCCCCAACTTGCCGTCGTAGACGCTAAAAAGTACTAACATGGACCATTGCGGAAATGCCAAAAGACGGCGAAGAGAGCTTCTGAAGAGGATGTCTGCCTCCTGCGGCAACAGATCCTGCGGTGGAAGCCATGGCAGGTTAGAGTGAGCAGAGATCGTGCCTTGGCCGTTTTGTCCGATGCAGTCGTTTCAACACGAATAAATATTATGTATTTTAAAGAAAATCACTAAGCCAAAAGAGAGCAGAGAAATAGCAGATTAGAAAAAGATTGACAGTAGCAAAATACAATTCCTGTCCTCCAGAAGCGCCAGCACCGAAGAGCGAAGAAGTAAAGAGGGGAGAAGAGAAGGAAAAGCGAAGAGAAGACGCCGACGAAGGCGCAGCAAAGGCACTTCTCGCTTGATGTCATTTTTCAGCCTTACGGATGGATCCGCTTGCTGCAAGGATCACTCAACCGTCCACGCACCAGAGGATCAGGGATGCCGCTGGTGTATAAACCACTGAGAGACTCGCCGTTGCGAATTTGCAATTTTTCATTGCCCTTTGGAAAAAGGCAAAAACTGTCCGCCTTTGGGACTGGATCTCCTAAGGGTGAACCAGGCGGTTGACTCTCAGCTGACATCTTTCTGGCGCCCCCGCAATCTCTTGTCTCCTGCGCATCCCCAAGAAACACCAGGCACGAAGGCATAGTTAGCCGGTGCGTTGCGCCGTCCCCACACAATCCTTATCCCGCTGAGCGGTGACTCTTGAAAAGTTTTTATGGGCTGATAGCTCTACCTCCCGTCCCAACCTCGCAAAGAGCCTCACACGCTTTCCTCCTATCCCAGATCCCCCGCACGTCCTCCACCACCCAGAATGGCAGACACCAGACATATTTCGTACGGTCGCGGGGGCGCAGGTATGGATATCAGACTCAATGAACCTAACATCGTCTCCGTTTGACACATGTTGATGCGTTTTTGGCTAGGGAATATGTCCCGGATCTCGCCCGCACCCGAAACCGTCGGGGACATGTCCTGCCCAACAATCAAAGCAGAAGTCTACACCACCGGCCGAGGCGGCTCCGGGAACATGGTCTCCAACGATGATCCTGAAATCACAAGGGCAAGGCAAGATGTTGATGTTCCCCCGCCAGTTGTGGCGGGAACAGCCGACGAGGGATGGTTTCACACCGGAAGAGGTACGCAAACGGCCATATTTATCGAAACAGCCCAACCACAAGCAATACTTGATACATCTACTGATCCAAACACCTGCCAATAGGCGGCGCAGCAAATATCTATTATCGCTCCACTCGCGATATCATCCACTCCGGGGACGACGCCACTGCACACGCTCCCATCGAAAAAACCGCAAGCAACTCCAGCAGCCTCGAGCGCAAGAAGACAGACAGCAGCCTCGAACGGATCAAATCAGCCAGCCAGGAAGAGAAATCGCGGAAGCATCCCTTCGCGCAGTTCTTTGCACCCGGGCATCATCGCCGCGATCAAGAGGATCGTGAACGCTCGAAGAGCAAAGATCGAGACAACGTTTAGGTGCCATCTGGCATATGCTGTGTGACGATTATCGGACCGTTGTTATTCGTATTCCTCGTCTATGGATTTCGAACTGACTTGTGTCGCGATCTAGGCCTGTGTGCCCGATCTAGTCTAGACTGGTTCTGTGTATATGCCTTGATATATGATATTCATGTTGGTATACATAGGTTTTCAGGAGTTTTGCCGGCATATTTTTCCCTTTTTTTTTGGTTTTACTGCTGTTGTTTCTCCAAGTTCATGTATACATGTACTTACGAATGTTTTAATGCGGGGGGTTGATGGGGTCGCTCTCTTCATTTCACTTCACTCTTTAGATCCATTTTCCTGTGTCTCCTGAGCATTTCTAATGTTGGTGATACTGCATGGAAGGCTTAAATAGATTCTCTGACCAGTATCAAAATCGATGCGATAGGTTATATTTACCTTTTTTTTAAGATATAGTGCAAGTATTATATCGAATCTTTACTGGATATTGCGAGCACACTGGACGTCAAATCCCCTCCGACATGCCTGATCAGCATCTCGGTGTTTTATGATTGGTATGGCCTTGTCCTCGAAGGCTATACATGTACATCGTGAGTCCATACATACATATATATACGTAGGCAAACTACGCAGACAATAGTAGATTGGTGTGCCCTTAGGGAACCCATCATCCAAGAAACTCACCGTTGGCAAGCATCGTCCACGGTAAGTTCTCCTGCCACGATCGCTGCATTAGCTTACGCGCTCGTCGAATCTGTATGTTAAGTCAGTATCAACGGGACTATAAAGGTAAATTGAAATAATATAGAATAAGTAAACAAATAGAAACCGCAGAGGAGAGTAGTATAAATACAATACGCACCTGTTTCATCCCCACTCCCTCGAACCCTTTGAATCTCGCACGAATCGCCTGCCTCTGGGTCGTATCCCGCGTCTCGCATCCTGCGGTGAAGAGCGGTAGCAGAGCACACACTTCGGTGGCTCCACCGCGCGAAACGCGATCTAGCGAGTCGATCAGCATGTTTACCGACTCCACGACTTTGGTGTCGGAGGCACTCAGGCAGAACACTCGTCTGTATAACTGCACGATGCCTGTAAGGCGGTACGAGTCGTCCAGCGCCGCCATATCACCAAGCTCAGGAAGGCCATGGTGCGTGCGGTGATGGTAGTTGCGCGAGCGGGACGATGTCATATCGAACAGCAGTCTCTCGGCGCGCGTGAGGATGAGCGGAGGAGGCGTCCAGGCCGAGATGGGACGACCTGTGACGGGGTCAACTTGGCAGACATCGCACTCGTGGATCAGTTCCGCAAGACGGACGAAGAACGAGCGGCATTCGAGGGTGAATCCCGTGAAGCAATCGATCTCGAGATCACTTCCGGGATTCTGGGGCTCGTCAAGAGCGACGGTGGACCAATAGTTGCCGCCGAGCAGGGGAGGTTCGGTTTGCCGAGACGACAAGCTACCCAGGATATCCAGGTATCCGAGCCAGCGACACAGAAAGAACTCCACCTGGTCCGACGAATACTTTATCTGCATCTGCCTCCTAGCCAGGAACAGCCCGCGGGCCAATTTTAAGTGGCTTTCCCATGGAATCGGGACCTCGAATGTGCTGGGACTGATGATCTTGAGAGATGCTAGCATGATGGCGGTTGCAAGGTTGGTCTCGGAGATCTTTTCGTTTGGGTCATCCAACGCATGGCGAAGTTTGGGGAAGACATGGCGGGTCCAGTGTGCAATGCGGTTATAGGGTTCCGCGTGACCGAGCAACCGTGCGCGATGGCTGGCGGAGTACGCGAGTAAGAGGTTCAGAAGGTTTATATCTTGTACGGCCACTGTATCTTCAGAGTTAGAGACAGCTCTCCTAGTATGATCCAGTTTAGGGGGTGAGGGGCGGGGGAACTTAACTCGCTGGTAATACGTTAGAGAATGGATTATTGGAGCAATCGTGGGGCACCAATATCTTCGAGGTGTGGTTTAGAAAATGGTAAAAGTACAATAGATTGATGGGGCTCTCTTGCAATGCGGCCGGCAAGGGTATTAGATATCGTGGGATATTAATGGGTACCGGTCTAGCATAGTATCCTCCCTTTGTAAATAGAGCAGTCACTCTCTTCTTGGTATCCCGCTCAGAGTCCGTCGAACTCGACGTCATGGTAGGACTAGTGACGGGGCAGGCCAGCTGCAGCGTGGCAATCTTGTACTCGATTGCCGCTGAATCGTCGTTTCTGTTGATGTCAAGGTCGACGCGGCCACAGTCGAATCCAAAGCTAACCGCTGTTTCGCTCGATCCAGTCACGATGACAGAAGCAGAGTTCTCCCGGGTGGTGGGACAAATATCAGCAGATGGCGGCAAGGCCCCATCGGCAATAGAATGTGACAGTAATGACTGTACGGACACCCGCTGGAGTTCAGGGCGCGCACTCGCATCCTGGTGACCAAGTACCTGCTGGTGGGGGGGATAAGCTTCTTCAGAAGTCGTATCAGAGGAATCGGTGGATGAAAAGAGAGTTCCTCCAGGCGTATTGCTTGAATCGCGTGGGCCGGATCCTGGCTGAGAGTAAGATCCGGGGCTCATCACATCTAGATCCTGAAAACCCTGTTGTGATGTCTTAATCCTTTTGGCGTCGCGATGAGATTCTCCGGTCAGGGCCCGCCTGGGATAAACTGGAGGAGAGCTGAGCGTGGTCTGCAAGAATGTAAATGGCGGAGAAGTGCTCGTCGGCTGAAACGGGGAGATCCCTGGGCTGGCAACTGCGGAGTCAGAGGGTGAAGGATACGGAGAAAGTTGGACCTGGGGGAGTGTTGACGAGTCGTCTCTCGGGAAAACAGCGGACGCGGGTGATGGATAACTGTTTGCGGTCGCATAATTCGAAGCCGACTGAGGATATGTTGTTGTAGTCCTTGGAAGATGATGATGACGACGATGATGTGCAGAGAATGCAGGCATCAGACTGTGATTACTTTTACCGTTCTCTGTCGGCGAGGCATGACGGACATCCCCCCAGAGCTTGTCGTTGACAAGTCGATTAGGCTGCACACCCTCGGCGGTTGGTCGTCTCAACGGAGAGGAAGCGGATGCCTGCACGGCCACTTCTCCTCCTCCTCCTCCTCCTGATGCTGTTGCAACTGATTTGGCTACAGTCGTTCCCGTCGATGACGGATTTACCGATTTCTTCTTCCCGCGCCCCTCCCAGTTCAGCCTGATGCTGTAGTCGCATGTGTCGCCCTGTCTCTGGCAATTGACGCAAACCGGCTTCTCCTCACCACTAGCGCAGGTATCGACCATCAGCATCACGGCGGGAATTTCTTCCAGCGTCGCTATCTCAGGAGCCAGCGCAGATTGGGGGGAGAATTCACACGCACCATTTCACCTTTCTCGCCTTGCAGGGCCTCCCGCCGAGGAAAGACCAGTCAGCAAGGGTCAAGACAAAAAAAAATAAAAATAAATGATTTGGTGATTGGGCGGGTGAATACCAACCAGCAGCCATTCCTGCTTCTCCTTTTGGGCTCTGGAGCACCGGGCTTCTTTGGTCGAGGCATTCTCTCTTGGGCGGCGGCGGGGAGGAATGCGGGTTCAGTCGAGCCGGGGCGGAGCGGGGAAGGAAAGGGGAGATCGCGGCCCAGAGAGAGCGGGAAGATCGAGCGTGACGGGCTTCATCTGGCAGACGGCGGTGGTGAAATTGTCGGGGCAGAGAACTATACCCCACCAGCTACATATGTAGAAGAGAGTTGAGATGTTGCTGAGGCGGTCCCGGTAGTCAGGTAAGTACAGTACTGCTGTGGGCGGTCCACGCACGCGATGAGGTTGTCGACGAGCTAGTAGTTAGTTAACTAACCGACCGGCTAGTTGACTACGGAGTAGTTAGTTAACCATTTACGGGGTACTTCGTACATGGTCGACGAACAGGGGAACCGACGGGGTTCAAGGCTTGGGATGGCTAGCGACAGCGCAAAATGACCTCAGTGGTCGACACGCCAAAACTCCATACAGGGTTACCGGCGATATGGCATCTCTTTCTGTCCGACTGTGTTTTGGTCTTTGGTATTCAAAAAGCATTAACTTAGCGGACTGACTGCCTACGCGCCACAGGCGAAGCAATGGAGCAAGTCAACGAGGTTAACTCTCCTGCTTCTGCTGGCCCTTTCTCTTTTCTTTTGGTTTCTTTGTTTCTTTGTTTTGTTTCTTTGTTTTGTTTTTATTTTATTTTATTTATTTATTTATTTATTTTTGTTTTTTTAAATTCGAGATTATTACAGAGTACTCCGTACTCCCATACATAGTTAACTACTTGACACAAGAGAACCCAAGTTCATGAGTTACCTGCTCCTCGGGGGGTTTCACCCGCCAGTCAGATGGCGCTGAGAGAGCGACGAGTTAACCAGCGAGTGGAGCCGTTTGGTAAGTTAACCGGCGAATCCAGTTAAGCTTGTGGCAGCGGAGTCCCTCGTGATGCCGTTCCAAGCAAGATATCATCATCATCATCATCATTATTAACTATCATCATCGTCATCATTACAATCATCGTCGACTTGTCCTCCTTTTTATGTAAATGGTAGGGGGGATAATTGTGGATAACCCTAATCCCACGCCATAAACCCTATTGATAGACGATATCTAATTTGAGCTGAGCTATTGCCAAGAGAACTCCAACTGTCAAAGCAGCAAGTAATTACATAGTAAATCTAGTAACTAGTTAAGAGGTTGGTCCGCCTTCATTGTATATGACCTGCCAGCATTGCTCACTCATTCATTGAATCCAGGGCTTTCTTTATAAAGTCAGATTCAATTGAATTCCAAGCTTCAATAATGACATTCTTGAGCTATCAAGTTGATAGTATACTGAGCAGTGGTCATTATTTTTGAACGTTCGAAGAGACATAGGTTTTAGTATGGTAAATGCTTATCTAATTTAATAGTTAGTAATCATAGATTATTATGGCGAGGGAAGATCAACATCTTGCCAAGGAATTCTAATGATTGATACAGTATACCCATTACGAGTTCACCCGCTAACATTTTTGCCCCCAATCGTCGCAACTGTAACTTAACTAGAAGAGGTGGATTACTAACGCAGCTAGCGCTCTGGCCAATTCACGATTAGCGGCCAATGGCAGCACGGAACTTAATGGTTAGGTAATTAGAGCAAGGGCAAATTAGTGTGCCTGTTTGCGGGTCGTTTCTTGGGGTTTTGGGTTTCAGCGGCTTATATATATATATTCCCTCGCTAACTTGAACTTCCTCGATGACCCTGCATGATATAGTTTAAAGAGGCTCTCTCTCTATCTCTTTTATACTCTGCTTGATGATTCTCATGGAAGATTACCTGATTTAAACTTTACAAAAGCTATTGGGGGCTTGGCATAACTGCCCTTGTAACACATTGTACTCCGTATAACAACGCCGAAAACCTTCCCCCCCCCCAATACTCCGTACATACAACCGCTAGTTAGCCACCCCTTCACCGAACTGGGTGGTTAAAGTTACTTTCTCCCCCCACTTGGGCAAACTCACGAACGAACCAGCCAACCCGACTAAACTGCTCTGCCTCTGCCATCGGCGTATGTCAGTAAAACTAACTCCAGCAAGACTCGACTGACGACTCGACCAGCTCGACCTGTCACTTTTCTGTCGCTGCTGAACACTAACTTAAGCCTTGAGAATCTCCGTCGCCCATCTCTCCCGACTCCATTGCCCGTCGTGCCAGCCCCCTGCTTGCTCGTCCCTATCTCTCTGACCTCTTTCTCGCACTCTCACTCCCACACTCTCCTCTCTCTCTCTCTCTCTTTTTTCCCCTCTCCACCGCCGCTTGTCACCCACTTTCTTAAATTCCACCCCGCCCTCGACCATGTACCCGCTCGAGCAGGACAGGCCTCACGGTACCTTCGACCAGGTCCGCCCCTACGCTCCTCCCGCTCCATACCCCGGCGCTGGCGCTCCGCCTCCGCCTCCTCCACCTGCCGCCCGCGCCCAGCTCCCTCCCGCCGCCGCTCGCCCTCCGCCTCCCGTGTCCACCGTCTGGAATGGCCGCATCTATAGTCTCGAGGTCGTCCAGCAGCCCATTCGCGCTCGCATGTGCGGCTTCGGCGACAAGGTTCGTCGCCCCCGCCGTTTTTCCCGTCCCGTCTATTCATCGCTGACTCGCCTCGTCGCTACGTCTAGGATCGCCGCCCCATCACCCCTCCGCCGTGCGTCCGTCTGAGAGTCCTGGATGCAAACACCCACAAGGAGATCGATGTCACGTATGCCACCCCACCCATATGGAGATATATATATATAATATCCCGTTCCTGAACCGGGCTCTAACAAAACATCCCTGCTGGGGACCAGCGAAATCGACACGTCCTTCTTTGTCCTCTCCGTAGACCTCTGGAATGCAGACGGAAACCGCGAGGTCAACCTCGTCAGGCACTCCGCGACCTCTCCCTCCATCTCCACCGCCAGCCCTTCCTCCTTCCCGCCTCCCGCCCAGATCCCTCAATACCCCCCTTACGGCCACCCTTCCTCCATGTATGGCCAGCCCGCCGCATACCCCCAGTACTACGCCGGCCAGCCCGCGTACGGCGAACCCAGCATGCCCTACGCGCCCAACCCCGGCCAGATGTACTATCCCGTCGCCCCGGGCTACTACCAGAGCTCTCAGGGCATGACGCCTCAGTCCGTCCTGCCGCCCCAGCTCGCCCCTACCCAGCCAACCGGCATGTTCACGCGTAACCTCATCGGCAGCCTCAGTGCGAGCGCCTTCAAGTTGACAGACCCCGAGAACAAGCTTGGAATCTGGTTCATCCTGCAGGACCTAAGCGTCCGCACTGAAGGAGCTTTCAGGTATGGTTTGCAAAACCCACATCTTGTCTCCGTTATATATACATATATATATATATGCATGCTACCCAAAACATTTTCTTTTTTTTTCCTTCTTTTTTTTTCCTTGTTATTTTTATTTTTATTATTTTCAACCTCTGCTAACTCTGCATCCGATAAGACTGAAGATGAACTTCGTGAATGTGGGCACGGATCCCGCCGATCCTTCCAGCGAGTCTTCGGGCCCCATTTTAAACCATGGCTCCGCCCCCGTGCTAGCAAGCGTCTTCTCAGATGTATTCCATGTCTTCTCCGCGAAGAAGTTCCCCGGCGTCATCGAGAGCACTCCGCTCAGCAAGTGCTTCGCCATCCAGGGAATCAAGATCCCCATCCGCAAGGACGGCGTCAAGGGTAGAGGCGCCGCCACGATAGCGGCTCTTGCAAAGGATCGCGACGGCGAAGGAGAAGAGTGGGATGAGTAGAGAATGGCGATGAAGCAATAAATCTTGCATGGAATGGCGTTGGGGACCGGTGGGCTGAAAAGGTTTCGGTTTTCATTGTTTCAACCGTCTGTCGAATGGGTGATCTGTCAATTTACGCGCCTGCGGTCTTCTTCTTCTTCTCCTTCTTCTTCTTTTTTTTCTTCTTCTTCTCCTTCTTTTTCTCCTCCTCCTCCTTTTTTTTTAATACTTCTTTTTAATATGTTTGCTCTTCGTCTGGAATGCTCGTTTATATTGATACACCCACTGTATTATTAGCTACAGCCGCTTTTCCAGGGGTTTCAGGTCCCGTCATCGAGGACGCATTGATAATGTTATCTTTTGCTTCCTTTTCTGTATTCCCCAAGATGTCATATTCACATAGGAAATCAAATTGCCGACAATCCTGCTATCGCATACTTCTTGCCCCTCAGGTTCTCTAATCATATTGTCCTTTTGTTTCTGGACCCATAGCTGATCTCTGTTCCTGTGCTCATCTGCAGCCTCTTCGCACATGTATCTACGTATGGATGTATCGGGTAAGATCAGGGATTTAAGTTGGATAAGAGAAACGCCATGCAGGCTTTGTTGCCTTGGCCGCGTCCGTAGGTCCTCCGTGCGATGTCTTCCTCGACGAGTCGAGTCCCGAGGCGAGATCAATATTAGGCGCGCCCCAAAAACTGTGATTCCTACAATGAGTCGCCTTTTTGAGACATCCCTCGTTTGTTCGTTATCTAGCAAGATAATTACGTGGACAAATTATCGAACCCAGGAGTTATCCCGCTGGCATAAACCAACTTGAGGTTTCCTCCTTTTTTTTTTCCTTTTTTTTTTTTTTTTAGATCCATGGAACATCCGTATGGAGCACATCATCCATTCCTCCGGAGGCATCCGTCGCCCAACAACCGTCCATCGGGGACAAACTCAATCAACCAGTGGGGATCGCGCACAAATGAGCGTTCCTGTCATTGAAACCGTCGTCCAGCAGGACGAGGTTTTGAGTTTCGCAACGGCCTGAACCCACACGGCTCGGGCTCGAGAGACATGGTGCTGCATATTATTTCTTATGTTGGGGGGAAAAAAAAAATAAAAAAAAGGAAAGAAATGGAAGGGAAAATGTCTCGACTCAGGAGTAGTTACATTTCCGAGGTAAATTGGAATAAAACGTTGGCTTGCTGGTTGTTGGATCCTGAACATCCTTGTATTTTTCACGATACGAATCTCAAAAGACAAGATGCGTAGATTTTATAGGGCATGATGGAGGAGCCTTCGATGGGATTACAGGACTCACTAACTAGCCTGAGCAGCTAGACTACGAAAGCCGAAAATTCTTCGATAGAACGCTATTCACGCCCGAGAAGACGGCAAAAACACAAAGAAGGGTCTCAGCTACGGAGTAGAAAATATATATATAAATCGGATCACTCAACGCTTCGCGTAATTCTGATGCCACGTGTACCCTCCCTGGTCCAACCCATCCTTGATAAGCTGCGGTACATGCTGCATGGCATCCTTTGGTTCTCGCCCAAGCAATTCGCCCATCAGCGGATCCACCGTCTTCGCTTCCCCCGCCGCGATCGCATCCATGAAAATCAGCCAGGAATCGAAGAACTCCTTGGGCTTTCCACCTCTGCCGTCCTTCGCGTCTTCTGCGGCGAGGATGCGCGGAAACTCTTCTCTGGATACCTTTTCGATGTTGATCCCTTGGTCGCAGGCCTGGGCCACGGCCTGCACCACGTCGGTGAACGTGTACGTGCGTGATGCCGTGAGGAGAGCGATGTTGTTCTTGAAAGACAGGGTTGCAGGGTCGCGCATCATCAAATGTGCCGTGGCCTCGCCAAGTTCCTCTCTCGACGTCAGTGCCACTGGCCCGTCGGCTGCCTGGTAGATCGTCGTGGTGCCCGGGTACCACGAGATAAAGAAGGGGAAGGCATCCGTGTAGACGCCCATACGGACTGACGTATAGAGCAGTCCGGATCTGGCACAGCAGAGTTGATCCTGTCAGTATGCAAATAAATGGGGCTAATTAGTTAACCCCGGAGTGTCTCGAGTAGGTAGAATCTTACTCTTGGAGCAATCGTTCCGTCAACAAATGGGCCTGTTGCAGCCCAACCTTGCTGTTCGATTCGTACCCGCCAAAGGCCAAACTGGCATAATACACCTATTCCTATGGGTCAGCATTCACCAGGAAAATCACCTCCTTCATTTCTTCGGCGGATCGTCTAGCGTACATAGTTCACCCGAGCTTCTTTCGCAGCTTCCACCACGTTTGCATGCTGCTTCTCTCTCTTTGGGCTATCCGGCTCGGGGCTGGACACGAAGAAGAACCTTTCCACCCCGTTCAGGGCTTGCACCATCTGCGTCTTGTCGTCAAAATCCAGTGTTCGGAACTGGATGCCGGGATAATCACTCTGCAGCTTCCCGGACGCTTCTTGACGGGAGGACGCGGCTGCGATGCAGGACCTGTCGCTGGGAGAAATGTGCTTGTAGAGGGTAGCAAGCACGGAACCGCCCAGGCCGGACGTTGCACCGGTGATGAGGAATTTGATTGCAGACATTGGTTTTTTGTTGCAGATAGGAAAGTGGAATCAGATAGAGTACTCCATACTGCTTGAACAATAAGCGGTTTGTACTCCCTTCTTAAGGACTGAACTGGAATATGATAAATCTTCAAGAGTCGAGGAATGCAAAAAGGGGCCTTTTATAGCCATCTGGTATTGAAGACGGTTTCCCCTTGCCTCATCCCGATTTGCATATTCCCAAGTGGAATTAATCATCATCTCCCTCCGCTGTATGATTGTTGACGCGTTGCCGTCGCCGAGTACAAAAAGTGTCCGGGCAAGCTGACAAAAGTCGGATGAACTTTCAGCTAAGTAACTTATTCAGCCATTGGTTGATCGACGATTTTCTCTCCGGCTTGCCGCAATTACCCTACAAGGCCGTGAAACAGCTGAGTTTTCGCGGAGGGATGACAAGACTGAACGCCTCTGATGTTTAGCCTTCCTTGATGATGGACTGTACTCGGGATAGAACCGTGGAATTGCCCCGTGCGGACAGCCGTCGGGTTCGACACGATCCCGCAGGCCATCACACCCCCTTGTTCGCTGCACACACGCTCTGCCGGGTGCTCCGCAGGACAGACGGGCTTGACCGTCGTATTCGTTCGTGGTCTCTCTCGAATGTCCCATCCGCAACCGGCGGAGTTGTGACGCGGGTTGGCAGCCTGTGGTCAGCTCGCTCGCCGAATAAATGACTACTTATTTCATCAACTAGTTATCAGCTCCGCCCTTGGCTCGTCTCGGACTCTCTCGGCTCCAAAACCACCCCCGCTCTCACTCCGCAAACCCGCGACCAAAGAACACATTTTCAGATTCTCCTTCTTAGCAAAAAGGAAAACTATCCACTTCTTTCTAACAATCTATTCCCCTCTGTTTGAGCGCCAATGGCTTCCAATCCTCCTCAAGAGTGCTGCGGGCGGGGTTTCAAGCACGAAGGCAACCCCGCGGGAGAGATCAAAGAGATCAACGGCAGTGCGTTCTTCCTTGTCCGATACCCAGTTGCATAAAACCAAAGAAGAAAAATCAAAAGAAGGATATAGAATGCAAAGTACTAAGCTCTGTTCATCAAAGCCCGAACCTACTTCTCCTATCCCGCAGGGAACCAGAATCCCGACCATGCCATCCTCTACCTCTCCGATATCATGGGCATCTACTCCAACAGCCAGCTCCTGGCCGACTCCCTCGCCTCGCAGGGCTATCTGGTCATGATGCCCGATTTCTTCCGCGCGGAGCCATGGACGCTTAATAGCGACATGTCAAAGGTCATGGGGTGGGTACGTAACTTCCAGCCGAAGGACATCGATCCCATCGTCGAAGCGGCCGTCAAATACCTGCGCGAAGAGAAGGGGTACAAGAAGATTGCGGCTGTTGGATACTGCTTTGGTGCAAAGGTTAGATAGATAAGCACAGAACCTCTTCCTCTCTACGCCAATCTCCTTTATAAAAAAAAAATTAACGCCGTGTACCCAGTATGTCTGCCGCTTCATGAAGCAAGGCAAAATCGACGTTGGCTTTGTCGCGCATCCTTCTTTTGTCACTGATGAGGAGCTCGCTGGGATAACGGGTCCCCTATCCATCGCTGCAGCAGGCAAGTGTCCATCCATCCACCCACCTGGCGCATTTGTGCCGCGCAGGGCAATTTTCCATACATATGTCGATTCTATACTGACCCCTCGCACCATTCCCAGAAACTGATCGCGTCTTCTCCACTGAGCTCCGGCACAAATCCGAGGAGATCCTTAAGAAGACCGGTCTTCCTTACCAGATCAACCTATTCAGCGGGGTCGAGCACGGATTTGCTGCGCGCGCGGACCTGAGCCAGAGGCAGGCCGTGTTTGCGCGGGACCAGGCATTCAACCAGGCTGTGACTTGGTTCAAGTGGCATCTGTGAATGCTATTCTTACAAATCTGTCTGTCTGCTTGCTCCTGGGGATTAGCATCTAGGTTGAATGTAGTACGGGGTGTATGATGCATGTGATATATGTCATAGCGTTCCCAGTATGGGCTCCTTTTACAAGAAAAGCCAATGCGTCTGGGGCCATTAGCCAAACGAGCTCTCTACAAGTTTCGTGCAAATGAGCTTCTTATAGGTGTCCACCAGGAGAGCTAACCGAGAGATTGAAGGTTTATGGAACAGTACCCGGAGTATGTATGTATGTACAGGAGTCGATGAAACGGACAAATCCGAATCGAATAATTGTTCGCGAAGTACGTCCGAAATGCAAAGGTGTTTTGAGACGAAAGTGAAAAAGGCCCCTAGCTGGAAGCAAGGCCGACGACAACCGTCCAACGAATCGCTAGACATGCTCCCAGCAAAAGTCCTGGGCGCCGGAAGGAATATTCTCAGCACAGCCGTTATATTATCCCTTGCACGTAGAGACGAAGAGACTAGAACGATGACAGGGGGTCGACAAAAGAAGTAAAAGGGGGATCCAATCTACCAACTCCTCAAGCTAAAGAAAAAGGAAAATAAAACTGTTGATAAAGCGCTATGCAAAATAGAAGAAGTATGCAGGGTGGGCAGACTAAGGCGCAATGAGTACATATCCGATCCAACCTATCCATCCGATGGGCAGCCTCCTCTACCCGAACCGCACGTCACCGAGAATGCTAACCTAAGAATCAATGGAACTAGATCTGTCCAAAATGGTACACGCAATGGGGAATCAAAGTCAAAAAGAAGTAAGCTATGATATGATCAGCAATAAAAGGGGCGCTCAGGCTCTAAAGCATCAATGTTGGGGATGGATGAAGTATAAAAGGCCAAAAAAAAAAAAAAAAAAAAAAAAAAAAAAATTGCAAGCGTATCAAGGATACTCCGAAAGAGGCTCCAAAAATAACGTAAGACATATTAGGGCGAAGGTCCTTACCGCCGCCGGCCCAGTCACAGAGGATCGACAAACTTCGGGCGATTTTAAATATCGATTAGGTTGACAGCAGGTTTGCTCTATGTCATTATTCATCAGGATTGTAAAGGTTCTGGTTGAGGATTTTCGTCATAGTAAACATATGCACGCGATCTTGCTTGAAAACAGCACGCATGCGCTCATCACACCTGATTTGACGACGATCGGAAGGATCCTGCAGACCATGGTCGTGGATATACTGCCATATTCTCTTTACCGACTGTGGTCGAGAGAGCTGTTTTCGGAGGGTTAAAACGGGGTTCAATTCACCCATGGACGGCAAGTATGTTTTGTAAATTTACTTACAGAGATCTCACCGTCAAAAAGGGCAGAAAGCGCAGGTGATAGATTAAGCGGTTTCTAGACACGATAAGCAAAATTTCGAAAAGGAAGGGAAAGGAAAAGAAAAAAAAAGAAAAGAAATAAATAAAAGGGAAAAGAAAAGGGGGGGCACATGAATTAGGTGGTACTCACATGAAACCCTCCACTTCTATTGACTTCCTTTTTCTTTTCGGACCCCGAGCCCTCAAGCTCAGAGTCGTCTGACGCCTTGACCTTTTTCGACGTTTTGGATTTGGCTGCGGGCTTTTTCTTCTTGGACGGCGCGGCTTTCTTCGCGGCTCGGGTTGGTCGTGCTCGCGAGTTCTCTTCCGCTTGCAATTTTGCGGCAAACGCGGCGTCGGCGTCAATGAGGTCAGACTTCCTTTTCTTTTGCGGCGGATATCTTTCGGTCCCTTCCGAGGGACTTTCCGCGTCCGGGCTCCGTTTCCTGCTGGACGGCCCCGCCGAGACGGAAGTGACAGGGACGGCTGGTCCCGTAGCGACAGCCGCAGTCATATCTGCACCCGATTCTGCCAGGTCTGCAAAGATATCAAATCGCTGCATGATCAATTCTTTGATTTCGGCCTAGGCAAGATCCCTTCTCGTCAACACTCCCGACCCCGGAGAAACGACATTTTGATGGGGAGGTCACCTTGTACGGCGTAAGATCGTTCCCGGTGGCATCCTGTAGGCCTCTGCGAATTCGCTTCTCGGAGACTGTGTTCAGGTCGCTACCGGCCAAGATCTCATCGATGATCCTGACGTAGGACTCTTTCACATCGGATGGCACTTGAAAAGCCAGCAATTGAGTTAGCCCTGGTACAAAATCCACGCGCCGCTCGGAACTTACAGGCCATCTTATAGGTTCGGAGGCTCTTGGGCGGCACGAGGAGCGAAATATATGTAGGTAGTGGCTACAGGAGAGCGGTAAGGGTAACTCTGGATCGGCGCAGTTGGGGGTGTTTTGTCAGTCCAAGAACTTCAAGCGCAACGGGTGTCGTCTGCCGGCGGGACCTTTTTTCGCAGCGCAGATGGGAGCGAGAAGGGTGGAGGGACGGAGGGTTCTGACGATACGAGAGAGGACTAATTGGGGTGGGGGGTGGGTGGGTTGGATTTTGTGAGAGAGCTTGGTTGGACGCGGCTGACTGCTTGCAAGGTAGGGAAAAGAGAGAGAGAGAGAGAGGGTAAGGCCGGGCGAGTGAGACAGGGAAACAAAGCGGGCCTAGAGCAAGAGGGCGACAAAGAGAGCCATTCGAGCAGAGAGACGAGGTGCAGACCGGCAGCAGCAGAAGTGGTCAATTGCTTTGCTCGTCGCACTCCAGCAGCAGCCAGCCCAAAGCAGCCAGATCACGCAGATAGAGAGTGTGTGTGTGAGAGAGTGAGAGTGAGAGAGAGAGAGAGAGAGAAGAAGAAGAGAGAGAGTGAGATGGACAGCAGCAGCAGCAGCCGGAAACCAAGCAACCCAGAAACGGCAAGCAGAGCGACGGTGATCGCGAGATGCGCGGCGGGGACCAATCAGCGGCTCGCAGCTCTCACTGCTGAGTCATCATCAGCCGCACCCGCAGCCACATGGGGTGGCTAGTGGCGCATATTTCCAAATCCGGTTTAGTCACATAGCGTCATATTAATTACGTAATCTTTGGTTTTTTTTCTTGGTTCGGACCCTAAGCCCTAAACCCTAAACTGGCCGGATCCAGCCTAACCCGACTAGGACGGCGATTTTTCGTTTTCGGCGGCAGAACGAAGCAAGCAAGCAAAGCAAGCAAGCAAGCAGAAAGCAGGACGACGACGTTGGCGACGACAACAACAACGCAGCGGTCAAGAGTAGCTGGACGCCGTGCTTGCCGAGCGAATATCCTGCAGTTATCCAGCGCGACCCTCACCTTTCCCCTTGTCGTTCCGTGTCCCTGTGAGATCCTCCAGCCATCATGGCGCCAAGTTTTGATACTCTCTCGGAGCAAGACCTCCACGAGGAAGAGGTTGAGATCGACTTTTCAGGTACGTTGAACCGTTTGGCCCGACGTCGAATTTGCAAACAGAACCCCTCCTCCCCTTTTCGCGACTCCGCTAATCTCGCCTTTTTTTTTTTTCTTTTTGACTTCAGATCTGAAAGCGCAATATGAGGTCCGACTGGAAGAGGGCCTCGACGCCTTTGTTGTGATCGACGGACTTCCAGTCGTCCCCGAAGAAAGCAAACCAAAACTCATCAAGTTCTTGTTGAAAAAATTAAACACCGTCGGCAGAACGAGAGAAGATGCCATCTTCATGCCCCTCAACGAGAAGGGCATGTCTGAAGGGTGAGGCTAGACGAGACAAGCCCCTTATTTCCTCCCCCCCCCCGGGGATCGTGGTTGTTCAATGCTGACGGCTGTAGCTTTGCCTTCGTTGAATACGACACCCCGGAACAGGCAATCGCCGCTACGAAACACCTACACGGCACTCCCCTGGATAAGAAGCATACTTTGGCGGTCAACAAGCTGACCGACATTGATCGCTATGGACGAGAGGGCCGTGTCGACGAGGAATATACCCCGCCAAAAATCGAGCCGTTCCAGGAGAAGGAGCATCTGCGATCCTGGCTCGGAGACCCCAACGCCCGTGACCAATTCGCCATGTACAGAGGCGACAAGGTCGGCGTTTTCTGGAACATGAAGAACAACCCGCCCGAGAACGTCGTCGACCGCGACCACTGGACTCAGCTCTTCGTGCAATGGTCTCCCCTCGGTACCTACCTCGCCTCCGTGCATCCCCAGGGCGTACAGCTGTGGGGCGGCCCCCAGTTCGGCAAACAGAAGCAGTTCCCTCATCCTTTCGTTTCTCTGATGGAATTCTCGCCCGGTGAAAAATACTTGACTACCTGGTCCAGCCGTCCGATCCAGCTTGACGGACCTCCCGGTGCGCTCTCCTACGAGGAGGAAGGGAAAAACATTATAATCTGGGACATCACGACCGGAAAGCCACTTCGATCATTCGTTTCCCACGAGCTCGCTGCTCCCGCTGGGCCTGACGGTGACGCTGCCCAGGCCAAGAAGAAGGTGCAGTGGCCGGCCTTCAAATGGTCGGCCGATGAGAAGTTTGTCGCTCGCATGCTCCCAGGCCAATCCATCTCCATCTACGAACTACCCCGCATGAATCTTCTGGATAGAACATCGGTCAAGATTGAAGGTGTCATGGACTTCGAATGGTCCCCAGCGACCGTTCAACGTGAAGGAGTCAAGCAGTCTGAACAGCTACTCTCCTTCTGGACCCCTGAGATCGGTAGCAATCCTGCCAAGGTCGGCTTGATGAGCATCCCCTCCAAGGAAGTTGTCCGAACACGAAATCTTTTCAATGTTTCCGATGTCAAGTTACATTGGCAATCCCAGGGAGCATACGTCTGCGTCAAGGTCGACAGACATTCCAAGTCCAAGAAGTCGTTGGCCACCAACCTCGAGATCTTCCGTGTTCGCGAGAAAGGTGTCCCCGTCGAAGTCGTCGACTCGCTCAAGGATACCGTCATTAACTTCGCTTGGGAGCCTAAGGGCAACCGCTTCGTTCTCATCACCACTGGAGAGGTACCTACTGGCACCGCTGTTCCCCCAAAAACTGCAGTCTCGTTTTTCGCTCCCGAGAAGACAAAGAGTGGTGCTGCTGGTAACTTCAAACTCGTTCGTACCATCGAAAAGAAGACTAGTAACGGCATTTACTGGTCACCTAAGGGTAGATTCGTCGTTGTTGCTACTGTCCACTCTCAACAGCACTTCGATATTGATTTCTGGGATCTCGACTTTGAAGGCGAGAAGCCGGAAAATGAGAAGGATTTGAGTGCAAACCTGCAGCTAATGAAGACTAACGAGCACTTTGGCGTCACTGATATTGATTGGGACCCAACAGGCCGTTATGTTGTCTCTAGCGCCAGTGCCTGGACTCACTCGGTTAGCCCCCATGTTCCTTGTGTTTCCCTACTTGTTATTTCTTGCTAATCAACCTGTAGCTCGAAAACGGGTACCATATCCACACCTTCTCCGGAACCACACTCACAGAACATGCTGTTGAGAAATTCAAGCAACTAGTCTGGCGCCCACGACCCCCAACACTTCTCTCCAAGGAGGAACAAAAGAAGGTCCGACGAAACCTCCGTGAGTACTCCCGCGAATTCGACGAAGAAGACAAGTACGCCGTCGACATCGCGAATACCGCTATTGTCGAGATGCGTAAGAGACTGCTTAACGAATGGACCGCCTGGCTCAAGAAGGAGAAGGAGATGGTCGAAGAGGAGCGTGAAGTTCTGGGACTGCCCAAGTACGAAGAAGAACCGGCTGCCAAACCTACTCCCGGTGCCGAAGACGATACTATTGTGGAGGAAATTGTGGAAGAGATCATCGAGGAATCGGAGGAGATTGTTGCATGAAGTTATGGCTTTATATGACGAGTTTTCCTTTTTTTTGTGGGGGGGAGCTCATGTTGAATTTCATAAAATGATGAGCTCAAAATAGGCGGTGAATGTGATTATTTATTGCTGAAGAGAAATTGGAAGCGATTATCAGGTAACTATCATAAACCCACTTCATGGACACTTGGTCCTACACAATTCAGCTCTCTTCGACTCGAAAAAAAATGTCCAGGTGCCTGATTTTGGGGATGATCACCACCTTGTTCTGCAACAAAAAAAAAAAAAAAAAAAAAAGAGGAAAGGGGTCGGGGTTGGCTGGGTTAACAATATGATCTCTAGTCACTTAGGAAAAATGTTAATTGGAGGTAGTACAATAGAAAAGCCAAACATCATTCCAAACACTTCAACGAGCCTTGATGCGAGTAACCAGCAAAAGTGCACAGATACACCAGTTACTAAGGGGGAACTTCATGGAAATCTGCGTGCAATCTACAAGCCTTTTTAATTTGTTGGTTCTCAGACAACAACATCCAAGTTTACAAAAGCCAGGAATGTACTCCATAAATATAAAATCAAAAGAGCTATCGAAGCTGTGGGCATGCATGGCAGGACACATATGTCAAGTATATGAGATGATTCATCCAACCTGCTTTCCCCTTAGAGATCTCGTCCGAGCTGCGAGCGACGATAGCTAAAAAATTGGTTGGTAAGAAATGCCCGGGTACAAGGGCCCAAAAGCACTGATTTCGTGTGTGCGGCCCTTCGTATCGCCTGCTTCCCAAGGAATACTATATAAGCACCCAGAGTGATTGCGCATCGGAGTACTGCGTTACCACCACGAAATACGGCGTCGTTGCGGGATATATACACAATTGAGCTTCCCTCTTTATCAATCAGCACCCAACAGCAGAGCTAGAGTGACAGCCAGACAAGAGGGGGAACTACGAATATGTCGGCTAGGCATCGCGGTTCGCAATCTCCTCAAGATACACACACACACACACACATGGGTATATATGTCAGTAGAGCCATTTGCAATTTCGCTGCAAAACGACTATACCCTGTATATAGTGACTTCTAAGGCCACCAGGCACGCTGCCTCCACTGGGTATACGCGACGGCCAACCTGATAGCACAAGTTTTGCGGCGGAAATGCCCAACCTCCAGCGCGTGGGTAGGTTTGAGGGCAGCCAGTTTGTAGATACGAGAGATCTCGCCCCACAAAGAGGATATTATTTGGAGGGAACAGTGTCCGTTAACGAGCAAACAATTATACTAGATAGCAGAGCCGGCGAGGGACCTGGATCGTTGCGCCTAAGTATAACACGTCTGGAATATTTAACGGCGAGATGGCGGCGATGTAGCGGCGTATAATCTCGAAAATATGCTAGCCGAATAGGAGTTTCTCATCAAGCCCCTGAACCAGGGTTTCCGGGTTCGCGTTTAAAATGGTTTTGGGTCACCATGTATAAATAACAACGGCTGTCGGTGAGAGGATAAAGAACGACCACCCTTCTAAGGGGTTGGATCCCGAAGGGAGATTTCGTTATCAACGAGGGGAAAGTGTCTCTCGAGTAGCCGGGGATATATGGATATTGAAACGGAGGATCAAGCAACCATGGATACTCAAGGGCAAGAGAAAGCGACATTTCGATTTGAGAGAAGCCGAGGATGGTTAGTTAGTGGAGCTGCGGATGTGCTAGAGATAACCGATCATGGGTTTTGAAACGTCGTTTATCTCGAGGGCTGGTTTTGGGCTGAAGCACGCCATCCCAGTTATGAAAATCTGTGGCGGCGTTATATATATATATATATTATGGTCAAGTTTCGGACGTCGGTAGCGATATATCAGACGGAAACGCCTGCAGTGCCACAGGTGGATTAGATGATGGTATGTTCGGAGGCCGTGAAATGAGCGCCCAAACACATCACCATTTATACCTATAACCCGGTATAACAAGCTTCTAAGACCCAACTGGAAGCGAGTAGGATGGTAAAGCAGTGGTCCTTTATAGTCCTTGTAGCGAGGTTCACAGGGTAATTGTCTTCTCCATATGCAACCTGATGAGCCTCAGAAGCAAACAGATCACTGGCAAAAGATTGTTGGCACTTGCAGGAGACGGTGCCACCGTCCTGCCAAAAAGTTGGAAATCAATCTATGTGACATTTGCGACAAACATTCATAGTTATTAGACCAGAAAAATCCCCTCGGCAAACAAGACAGTGTTGTTTGCCTGGCCTCCTGTAGAACGTTTCACGCGACTGTATTAAATGACAATCTTATGCAAAGTTACTCGCAAACAACTTCTCAACCCACCTTGTAACCAGAGGCCAACGGGGCACGATAGTTCAGTCCTCCTCCAAAGGATAATGAGCCCAAAGCCCCCTCGAGCCAATCTCACCAACATGACCATCCGGATCTTCAAAGTAGACACTCTTCCCTCCGGCTTGCCAGTCCATTCTTGACCTGATCTTTATGCCGAGTTTCTGTAGCCTCTCATCCCACAGCTTCACGGCTCCCGGGTCGGAAACGGCAAAGCAGAAATGCTGTCTAAGATTCGGCACCAAGTCGTCACTGGCACTCGGCCGGGCCGACATGAGGACAGAGGAAAGCGGTTTCGTGGGGCCATGCTTCGGAATCATACCGCCGGGTCTGGTGCGGTCATCATCTGTTCCGCCCAGTTTGAAGAGTAGAAGAGTCGTGGTGCCGAGGGCGAAACCGGCCACGTTGTCCTGCGAGAAATACGCCATGTCAACTCGCGAACGGGCTTTCTGGTTAGACTGGCCATCCCACCATGACAATAAAGGGTGGTGTCTGAAGCACGTCTGTGTAGAATTTGGCTGACACCTGGACGTCGCGCACATAGAGGACAGTTTCAAGGATGTGGGATAGCGGAGGGGCCGAGGGAATGTCTGCAGAAGCCATGTTCGCTCGGATGATCACAGGGTCTCTGTCGTAAAGGTAGCTCAAGTCAAGCGGTTCCTCGTAGACCAGAACACCAGGCAAGCTCCCATCGCTCTGGTCTTCGACGAGCTTTTTGAACTAGGCGGGCTGGGTCGAGCTTTTGAAATCCAGCAAAGTCCAGCCACTGCTGTTCAGCAGTGAGCCCGTATTGCTGTCGACTCCGCAGTTACATTGACCGACCGACGGGATCGACGCGGGTTCGTTGGGGAGAAGCGTCGCGTGTCCTTGTTCCTCAAGGCATGGCTGGATTCGTCATTATAAATCAGCGAACCTCGCGCCAATAAAATTAGCAATCCGCAAAGTTCGCGCCAGCAATCGAACCGGCAGGCCACGCTCACTCATAATCTCGCAGCAGGATGTCCGGTTGGGCCTAAATACCCGGAGAAGCTGGACCCGGGCTGAGATGGGATGTGATTGTGGTGACCGTCGCTGGATGGAGAAATCCACCTTTGATTCCCCGCGATCAACAATTGCGTCTAACTATACTATTGACATGACGCATTTTATCGGAGCCCACAGCAGCCAGATCTCTCACGAAGATGCGGAGAGAAGGCCACAAGGCCACGTTGACACCAGATAGGACTTAACTAGTCAGCCACTGAGTTGATCACTATCCCTCCTAGCATATATGAATGTTAGTGTGTCAAGTGCATCAAAGTGGCCTTGGAGATATTAACCAGTGCTTCACAACAGCTGACAAGCTGCTTGAAGATAGCGTCCGCCTTGGTTAAAAAATGCTGCCAAACAGCTAGGCACTCGCTCTTGTGAATTCTGACAGGCAGCCATCTCCTTATTCATAGTTTGGCCAAGGAATTGCGGTGGGAAACAACAACTATATTCGCAAACTAAAAGCAGCCAATTATATACGTGAATGCTGCCGCCGGAGGGACAACCCACTCGCTGACGCAGTAGCCTGTCTACTACTTCAGCTTGCCAGTGATCCATTTAGTGAAGAAATCCAAAGCTACCGCTGGCTGATCATAGGGGACAAAGTGGCCAGCCTGGTTAATACGCAATAAGGCAAGATTCTTATAGGACTTGAACTTGCCGTACTTCTTACGACCTATCTTGATATCCTTCAGCGGCTGAGCGACGAACTCAGCCCTACCAGGCCAGTCGAGAGCCTCAACCCACATCCGGTTGCCAGTCCAGCTGCAGGAATAGTCCGCATCTCCAGCATAGATAAGGACTGGGATCTTCGCGAGGATACCGGGAACCTTGCGGTGGTATGGACGAGACGTGTCACCGCTGTTGAAAAAAGCAAGGTGAACCTTGCTACTGCAGGCTTCGAACCTACGGACTTCGGCGCCTACGGCCTCAATGACGTTCGGCTGGTTGAGCCAGCGGGTGATCCAACCCAGGATGGGATAGCAGCGGTTGGTCCGGTCCTTGCACGGGTAGCGTATGTCGTAGATATTGCGGGTGGGTGGGAAAAGGTTAATGAAATATGAGTTGCAGGTATTGGCGGAATTGATGCAGGTGCGCGTGTCCATGGTATCGTAGCAGGCTTGTATGGCTTGCTGGCATTCGGGAAGAGCGCGTTCTAGCTGGGTGCAGATGCCTGGGCTGAGGACAGCAGGGTATCCGCCCTTGCCGCAGCCCGTCGGTTCGTAACCGGCAGCTTGAGTTTTAGGGTCAGTAATTCCGTTACCAATCATGATAGACTTGAGGTTGATGCCTCCATGCTCAAGGATATCCGAAGCATATTGAGGGATGTAGTGGCCTGCATAGGATTCGCCAGCAATGTGCAAAGGGAGAGTAGAGTACTCCGGAAACTGCTTGAACCACATTTTCAAAAAGGCATAGACGTCTTTGGAAGCCGAGACGGTATCGCTGACTGGGGTATCACTATAGGAAAACCCCGTATTAACGGGCTGATCAAGGAAAAGAATGGAGGCTTTGCTGTTCCATGCATATGGGTTATGCACAAGCTTGAGATTCTGATCGACTCGTGAAGGGCCGAGTTCCATAAAAAGGCCGGTCATAGATGAACATCCAGGGCCGCCATTGAGCCACAACACGATAGGGTCCTTCTTTGGGTCATTTCGAGATTCAAAGAACCCTTTAGTGGGTCTAAGGATCAGCATTAGCTGATCAACAAGGAAGAGAGGTGGCTATACTAACAGAAGAAAAGATGCTTTCCGCTGCCATGGTCGTCAAGATAGCCACTGTATTGCTTGACACCGGGATCAACTCCAAGCTTGCTTGGGTCGACAACCTTCACTCTGAGACCGTACTTTTCGAGGCTTTCGTGGGCACCACCGGCGGTAGAGAAGCCTCCCTCGATGCTAGATCCATGAACAATATGATCCCACTCGCTGTCAGATCGCCGAAAATGCTCTCTTGGCTTGACGAAGAAATCAGACACCGTTGCATTGGGGATGGTAGTTTCGATCTCCCTCCACAGGGTCTTGCCTGCTTCAGAGAGCATGTCAACCGTAAGTGCATGCTCAGTCGGAGCACCTGCAACCATCGTGGTTACAGCCCCAAGAATGAATGTTGATACGAGGCTCCTCATGATCACAAGCCACGCAGCGGTACTCAGACCACCGATAAATGGGGTGCTCCGGAATCGGCGAGATTGTTAGACGTGAAAAGCTCTGGGGCCGGGGGGTCTCCTACTGTCGATATATCAGGGATATGGTAACATGGAAATAAAAAAGGAGCAGGTGAGCAAGGACTAGGACAGTCGATTAGTGAACGAGGCAGCGATTTACCAGCCTTAAATTATACCGATCATGGAGTTGGCAGCTCCATCACATGCGTGACCGCATGGACATATTGGTCGGTAAAAGCCAGCTGCTCTTAACGTGGATGCAAATAAACGGTAGCCGTGAAACGAGGCTGCACCGGCCGCACAGCCCAACCTCCCGTAGGGTGTGATCAGGCGCGACCCCAAAGTAGAACAGCTATATTGACAATATCCCCAGATCGGTGATAAGGTGGCGGCGCAGAGTTTCGGAACATCCGCCACAGCAGGAGCAGAAGGGACGGATATCAAGTAACGTCCCTGAAGTCAACTCTACGCACAAGGTTAGGGTTAAGGAGCCTGACGACTGTCTCGCGTAAAGATCTCCTCTGCTGAGGTTAGGATGACTATCCTAGCACGGCTGGACGCGTAGCCTTCTCAAGACGCCTATTCAATCCATGAATGACGAATCATACCATTCCATCATGGCATCGGTATGCGCATTCACGAACTGGCCCGTTCGCGAGTATATGGGCGCCTTGGAAAGACAACAGTCTTTTTTCAGCGTCAATCCGAGCTTTCAGAAGGAAACCCATACCATTTACAATATCAGTGACCTACCGGTACCACGGGCATGGCCCATCGTAGGATTTGGGGAATAGCGTAAAACCGAGGCAGCCACGGCCGCAGCACCGCGGATCTAATAATTCGACTATGTGGAAACCGTCCCAAGCTCTTAGAGCTCCGCCTGATGGGAATCCTTTGCGACAGGAGACAATCCAGACCCTGGCCAGCGGGCATCCCACGGCGGGAGCTCCGGTAACTGGCGTATCTGCAGAAACTTCTTTGTGCTTCGGTTAAACCCTTCATTTCCACGGAGCATGGAGTGACCAATGGATGGACATGCCTCCGGGCACCGATAATGAGGCATTTTGTGAGTAGATGGAATTGTTGTCTCACAGCCTTCTCCAAGAAATAAGAGGGCAACAGGCGATTATCAGTCTCCAACATCATCCCACAAAAACTTCACTATCATCGGACATATCGTTCCACGTGAGGCACTGGTCTTCTTTTTCCTTTTTTTCGTTTTTTTCCCCTCCCCCTTTTTCCATGGGAGAGTCCTTAAGACGACGTGGAGGCCGGGTCGACAGAGTCCCACTGACAGATATCTCCGCAAACAAGCTTTTTTTTTTTCTTTTTTTTTTTATTATTATGTACGAAAAAGCTAAACTGGCATGTGGTGCGACCAGCTAACTAGCGCAGGAACCTCAGCAATCGGCGTGGTGGGGGGGGAAAAATGTCGCGCAGCTGGGCTGAATGTTGCAGTTCAACCAGGTAGAGGCGTGAAGAGCGAGCAAGCCCCGATTCCAGTTCGGTGCGTGGCGCTGCACCGTGGCTGGGAGTCGTGGCGGCGAGGAGATTCTGGGATCTGTGATTGGCTGAATTTATTACGTAATAATCTCTCCGCGCCAAGCCTAATAGAGTTTGACCCCAAAGCTTATATATACACATGCCAACCCGTTTTGGGATAGCTTGTGCTCCCCGTACTGTGTCTTAGAAATCGGCTCCGTTGGAAAAATACTTCGCATATACGTCGCAGTTAGAGATCCTTGCCCAAGCATCCCGCGCCGTACGAAGGGTAAATTTTATATCATAAAACAATACTCCGTACTGTAGTGTGCGATCATAGAAAGTAGAATAATGATACATACATTCAAAAAAAAAAAAAAAAAAAAAAAAAAAAAAAAAAAAAAAGGAATAGAAGGGCCAAGGCTGTACCTTGCAAGGTACACAGGGCCCGCAGGGTATCAAAAGCCAAAAAGGAGGGAAAGTAGAAAGGGGCCCGTGGTGGGTAAAGACCAGCTTGTTGGAACATGGAAAAGACGATACTAGACGTGAACTGGTTAAGCCAGAGACAGCGTTAGGAGGGCTTCATCTCTCTAGCATGGCTAATACACAACATCAACCCAACATCAACCCTATATGACAGACAAAGAAATCATATAAACACATAATACATAGAACAGTGCAAAAAAAAATTCGATGTTTTTTTTTATGATGGCTGGTGCTATCTGGGGTGATTCCCATTGTGAGAGCTGAATGACTGCCGGCCTGGTGCTTCTCTTTCTCCCAAGGAAGTCAAAATTCGAGCCGCTTCGTGAGCTGAACAACCGTAGATGTTAGCAATAAAACCCCTCTACTCTAGTTGATAGAACAATGTAGATAAGGGGCGGGTAAAGGCATGCTTACATATCTCCCACGGCCGCGCCGTTAGGCGATCACACACAATCGCAATCAACTGGCGTAACTCGGTTTTCAACATCCTCCCGTCATCCCGCGAAGATTCCGCACGCGCCAACTCCCGTTGATACATATTATTCAACGTAGTCGCCGCGACTGCCGGGATTGAATTTGACGATAGAATCGTAGACGCGTTAGCTGGCCCTTTTTCCTCGCCGTCCTCTCGTTCCAAACCTAATGTGCGCGCCCAAAGGACAAGCAAACCGAGAAAGGCGCCATAAGTCTGCCATAGCGGCCGAGTTTCCGTTGTCGGAAAACCTATGGTGCCAGTATTCAGGGAGGTTTGGCTGTCGGCTTCTTGTAAACACAAGCTGACCACTTCCACTCCATGAAGGTACGAATCGTGGCTCACGGGATCGGTCGATACGAGCCGAGAGTATGCGGCTTGCGCGCATTGGGGGGTAACGGCGCGACCTGAGGAGTAAGCGCTTCCTGCGGCCATCTGGATGTCCGACAGATTATTGCGAAGAAGGACCGCAGAGAAATGATACATAACTTGAGCGCACCACGACACCCTAGATTTTCTATCGGATTCGGGGAGTTTGTCGAAACAGGATCGCCAGTGTCGCAATGCTTCGTCAAAATCAGCCATTTTCAGGCTTTCAGTCGCGGACGTCATCGACGAGGCAACAGAACGATATTTAGAGTCGCTTATTGCTGCGGCAATCCCATGGATGAGGAGATGTATTGACAGCGGGTTCGAAACATTGAAGCACTGCATAAATTCTCGCTTATGGTCCGGATCTCTCATTGACATGACTGATTCTACAGCCGAATCAAGGCTGTAATAACGAGATCTCGTTGACTTCTTTATCTGTCGCAGCTGTGTCTCCCATTCCGCTGCTGTACGTGCTTCCCACACAGCCGAGGGGCTTGGGAGCGGGAGTTTCATCATCCCCACGGAGAGTAAAGCGTGATGTGAGAAGAACACGCTATATTGAACATCATTCGAGAAGATCGTATATGCGATTCTACATTCAGTGAGAGGCCTGTCCACCTTTTCTCGAAGGAGTATATATATACTCACCTAATGATGGATTCTCTTTGGGCCCAGTCCTTCCATTTCATCTCAAGGGATTGTCGGGATCCACTCTCCGGTCGGAAACTTTCTGTTAATAGATTATTTCGACGAGCAAGCTGTAATGGAAAACGATCGTCAGCAAGCTGCATTTGCAAAATAGGCTTCATACGGTTGGGGATCGGTCCATACAGTGACAATCATACTATGCACGATTTCCGCCATCTCATGCTGTTGCCGAGCCATCGTATACGTACAAATATGCTCGATAAGCACCCTGTACGGAGTCATTAATCAGTTCAGAATGCATATGCAGCTCTGGGGCGCCACTTACAATGACTGAAGGAACCACATCTCCACCCGAGGACTAGCTAGAGCTTTCTGTTACAAAGGGGGGAATCAGTGACATTTCTCACCAAGCATCATTTAGAGATTTCGGCACACTTCTACTGTTGAACCCCATATGTACTTATGAAGCATCTTCCCGGTTTCATATAGTTCGGGAGACCCGCTGAGAAACGATCCAAGGCTGCATAGTGCAAGAAGCAGCACCGACGGACACGACGAGATCTCGAACGTTGGGCGGTGAAAGAGCGGCAAATATATATCACAGTAGTCAAGTGCCTGGTGCAGGATTTGGTTTATTTGGGCAGGATATTTGAGAAGACCGGTTAGAAGATTCTACCTGTTTGGTAAGCGTATTGTCTAATGACATTAAGAGCGCCGCATCACTCACGGGACAGTCGGCTATAAGGCGTTCATGATCGCGGATGGTGTATTGCGGGAAATCAGATTGAGTGGTCGGGGCGTCTAAAGGCTGGGAATAAAATCCCTAACAAGGCCCGTCAGCGGCATGACGTACCCAGAGGGAAAGGGGGGGAGGGTTTGCAATACTGTAGGTGAGGCAGGGCCGAGGCTACCGCCAAAATGGAGGTTAAGATAGTCATCAGGCGGCAGATCGAAGAGACTCGCGCCGTGAAATAACCAAGTGTAATCGTCATCGAGCACCGGCGCGGCCGCAAACGGTTGTGGAGGCAAATGGTGCGGGAGGATGCTGGCAGACGAGACAGGATGCTGGGGTATAACGTCGGCGGGCTGCGCAGGGCGGTAGAGCAGGGCGTTATCGGAACTTTGGGCCGGCGGAGGGGGCAAGGTGATCGCATTCGAAAACTGCGTCATCGACACAGGAGCGGTGGCTGCGACGGGCGGCGCGGTGACGGTCTGCGGGTCGTGGAGCTGGTTCTGCGAGAACTGCCAGTCCCTGGCAGTCGGGGACTTGAGCTCTCCCGGCGACTGCTCGTGCCCGCTATTCCCAGCGGTGGGCGACACGATCGGAGGAGGGCTGGAGGTGGAGTTCGACTGGGACTTCGTCGCGAGCTCGGCGACCTGGCCGCGCTTCTCGTGTCGTCGTAGATGGGCATTGAGGAGATCACTGTTGAGATGTCAGGTTAGCGCCTCTTGGTCTGCTTTTTTTTTTTTTTTCGTGCTCTGTCAGCGGATGCTCTGTCTCTATCTCTCTCACTTGCGCGTGAAGCCTTTCTGGCACAGGTAACAGTGGAAGGCGGCCTTTTTGTCTGTGGACGATAAAACGGTCCTGGTCAGTGAACTTCGGCCCGGATCGAGGGACGCAGGGGGATCAACTGGGACAGCCAGACGTACGGATGAGGGTGTGCCGATTGAGATGTTCGCTCCTCAGGTACGACTTGCTGCATCCTTCATGCTTGCACTGATACTTAGGGCGATTCCGTTCCATCGTAGAACCCAGTCCACGCTGGGATCATCGTCCAGGGGCCGGAAGGGACAGTGTTTCGAGGCGGACGGGGCGAAGGAGGATGATGCCGCACAACAACAACGAGAACAGCCAGGCTGGACGGCGAGGAAAATCAAAATCAGCAAACGGAGACCAAGAGGAGGCCCATCCCCTGTTGGATGGCAAATGTTCTTTGCTTTTTGCTGGAGGCGGGGTATACATCATAGCTGAAAAGCCAAAAGGATCTCACCAACCATTAAGTTCGACCGCCTTCTCGCTAAGTTTGAACAGCCGTTCGGGATGCGGTCCGTCGATAATGTCGCGAGAGCAGGCGAGCGGGACCATTATCGCTCCCAATGCCATGTCCGGGTTCCCGCCCGCACCCTGCCTTTCGTATCCGGGGTTCGTGATGCTGGAAGATCGGCTGGAGGCTTGACAGCGTCCCAAAAAAAGAACGCTAACTAATTAGTTAGTTAGTGGAATGGGACGAGCTGCGGTGTATGTTAAGACATTGGAATTACTCCGTACAGAGTACGGAGTAGTTATTTTTATAAACTACTCTTTGGTTTGGACGCCTCGCCGCCACGGTTACGTCGTGAGTTAACTATCACTAAGTTACATCTCAACGCCAATTCTCTCACGGCCGTTCCGGAAACACGTCCTGTCAGAGTGAAGCAAGCCTGCGACAGACCCTCCCTCTCCGCCGCCGCAAAGCTGCATCGAGGTCAATGCTCCAGCCTTGGAACATGCCTGTGTTCCGATGCACAAACTCCGAATGTGAAGATCATGTTTTGGAAATCTACAGGAAAACCTAACTAATGCGACCATTCCACAACCGGCCCGAAGATTGTGCGAGCGCCGCCCGTTTTTGCTGCAAAAGCAGCCCGACAAGAGGCCACGGCCAGGCCAGAGCCCAACCGGTCTCCGCGACAGCGGCATGGGAGAGTCAGGGCCATGCTGGATTGACTTGACTGCAGTTGAGTTAATAATTACCTATGGAGCCGTCCTGCTTGTCATTGGGGGACGTCTGACCGCAAAAACGAACAAGAAAAAGAAAAGAAAAGAAAAGAAAAGAAAAGAAAAGAAAATAGGGGACTCGACCACGGAGCACTGTATATTGTATTTCGTGCGACGGTCTCCGGGCTTCCTCATTCATCCGCGCATTAGTGCTTCGTCACGGCAGGAGAATTCTCCAGGATACCTGTGGAACGATAGCTGATGACCACGAGGATTTCCATTCGAGGAACTCGAATCTCGCGGTTGAATTCATGAACCCAACGGATGAACATCAGATCCCCGGCCCGGTTCTCCATGCCCAAGCGGGAAATGGGAGACACAGGGCAAGGAAATTGAGATTCTTGCGCATGATGTCCCGGTCTCCCTGGTTGCAGGATGCGGCGGCAGAGGGACTACGAAGCTCTGGTCCACCCGTCGCAAGAATGCCAGGACGAAAGCGCATTATGTAGTTTCTTTGCAACCCGGAGACGCCGGTTGTGTCGAAGAGCAAGGGGTCTGATCGATTGAGGGTGAGGAAATAGATCTCAGGGTTCTCATGACAAGGAAGTTGGTTTCGCCGATAGGACGGGTCCTACTCTGTACACTTCGTTCACCCAGCAGGGCTGGCCGTCCACTGACTTGTTACTTGCGTATTCCGTCACTTACATATCGTGGAACGGTTGCTCTGCCGGATCGGCAACGTTCGAGACCCTATCCATGGAACAACCGGACACAAACACGGGTGTCCTTGTTAACTGAAGTCAGAAAATAGGTGTTTGCAGATCCTTGTCTCTTCGGAGGGATTTTGTTACTAGTTAACGAGTCAGTGACACCCTTCAAAGACTGGCCGTCTGCTGACTGACCCATCTCGAAAAGCGATATCGTCCATCGCTGACGTCGTGGGTTGTCTGTGCCCGCTCTTGACGATCACAATGGTTTTTCGTGCTTCCCGTGCTTTCAGCTGCAGAACATCCATTGCGCACCCTGATTTGTGAACTCCGCTTAAAAAGTCTTGGACTATGGACTTCTTGGACTCAATAGTTTTGCTGGGTGTGGAGCTTGATGACCAGCAGCCCAATCACAGTTGCTGAAAAACGCCCAAACTCAAGAGAGCGAGCTCTCGCCGACGAGATGGTTGACCCGCGAAAACGAGTTGCCAACCTTAACATCTGTAAATTTGTGATACATAAGCCCTCCCGAGACCCCCGTTTGCTGAACCTGCAACCGTTGCAACGGCGTGGAGAATGAATGGCAGCTTTTCAATTGCGTATGCCTTTCGACGGAGAACGCTTGAAGCCGACTGCCCTTGGAACGGACCGATGCTACTTGCCCGTCTCCTTAAGGTGCTGTGCCAATCTGGAAACACCATCTTCGCAGGGCTGGACTTCTTAAGGCTAGCATTTTGACATTATCACCATGGAGAGGGTATTCCCCCGGTTCTACACCGGGCTAGAGCTGTTCCGAAGAGACTTCCTGGTACGCTCGCATGGCAATTCGGTAGGCAAATATAGGCACCTTAAGCTCACCTATGATCTAGAACCAAAGCAATGACCCTAATATTGGATCGGCCAGGGGCGATAGCCAGTCGCCAGGATCGTCAACCTTGAGCGACCTAGGGGTGAACGTGTCAACTTCTGCAGCAGCCCTACTTACTACATTCGTCCCGGCTTTTGGCTTGGCTGTTGTATGGTTTGGGCTCTTCCTCGTCTGTCGGCGGACGCAGCGCCGATTCTACGCGCCCAAGTCATACTTGGGCCACCTTCATGACTAGTAAATCGCTCGTCTACCCGCCACTATGTATCGTTCTAACACTTACCGGTAGTGAACGGAGCCCAGAGCTCCCTTCTGGATTTTTTAACTGGATTGGAGTGTTTCTTCGACTTCCAGATAGTCACGTTCTCCGTCACTCGTCTCTAGACGGGTATTTCTTCGTTCGCTTTTTGAAGGTGATGTCTGTGGTATGCCTCGTCGGTTGCGTCATAACCTGGCCAATCCTGCTTCCAATCCACATCGCAGGTGGTGCTGGAAATAAGCAGCTGGATGCCATGAGTTTCAGCAATGTGAAAAATCCACAGTCTTATTATGCCCACACAATAGTAGCTTGGATCTTCTTCGGTAAGGGCTTCAAACCCCGCGTTCGGAGACTCTGTTCATCCAAAACTGATGACTCGGCGAAAAGGGTTTGTTTTCTGTGCCATTACCCGGGAGAGCATCCTGTATGCTACGTTGCGGCAAGCATATCTTCTCTCTCCCTTATATGCGAGCCGGATATCGTCTCGGACAGTGCTATTTCTGGCTGTCCCGCAGTCCTACTTGTGCAAGAACAGGCTGACCAAAGTTTTTGGAGATTCAGTCAAGCGAGTTTGGATCACCAGCGATTGTTCAAAACTGCAAAAACTGGTGAAAAAGAGAGATACATTAGCGTATCGTTTAGAGGGGATAGAAACAGGGTACATCAAAAAGGCTCATGCTGCTCACCTCAAGTCATCAAAAGGTGACATAAAGGATCCGGAGTCGTCGATGGAGACTTCTCCCATTGAGCTCGAGAAAGGGAAGGAAAGTTTTCCACCGGCACCAAATATCGAACGGCCCATGCATCGACACCGATACGTTTTTGGCCAAAAAGTTGATACCATTGACTGGCTGCGCTCTCAGCTTAAGGAGGTTATTCCTCAAGTTGAAGAGCTACAACAACGTCACCGAGAAGGACAAGTAAAGCCAGTCTCTGCTGTGTTTATCGAGTTTGGCACGCAGATGGAAGCTCAGATTGCCTTTCAAACACTCTCGCACCATCATCCGCTCCAAATGACACCGCGTTTCATAGGAATCTCGCCAGACCAGGTAATTTGGCCCGCATTACAGTATAGTTGGTGGCAGAGGATTATCCGCAAATTTCTTATCCAAGGGTTTATCGCCGTTCTGGTAATATTCTGGTCGATTCCGTCCGCGTTCGTCGGGTCGATCTCTAACATTACGTACCTTACCAACCTGCTCCCGTTTTTAAAATTCATTAATGATTTGCCAGGGATTGTCAAAGGGGCGATCAGTGGTGTCCTGCCGACAGTGGCGTTAGCGATCCTGATGTCTTTGGCACCGATTATACTGAGATGTAAGTCTCTAGATACTGTCCGATGCCACCAGACTCCGAAAAAGCTAACATTCTTTTAGGGTGCGCTCGACAGTCGGGTCTGCCGTCAACGGCCCGAGTCGAACTCTTTACTCAAAACGCCCATTTCGTCTTCCAAGTCGTTCAAGTCTTCTTGGTGACAACCTTGACATCTGCAGCATCTGCAGCAACTAGCCAGATTATCAAAGATCCCCTATCAGCCAAAGATCTTCTCGCAGAAAATCTACCGAAGGCGTCAAACTTCTATATCTCGTATTTTCTATTTCAGGGTTTGATATTGAGCTCGGGAGCGGTCATGCAGGTCGTTACCTTTTTGGTCTTTAAGTTGCTGCGGGTGCTTTTTGATAGGACTCCGAGAAACCTGTACCAGCGTTGGGCATCTCTCACCGGTTTATCCTGGGGCACTGTGTTTCCCGTTTTCACGAACATGGTGGTGATTGGTAAGTGGAGCTTACCCGCAGCCTGGGAAGGATGAGGCCATTTCTGACAGCCCGCAGCCATTACGTATTCCTGTATTGCTCCAATTATACTTGGATTCTCTTCCTTGGGGCTATACCTCGTGTATCAAGCTTATCGATATAATCTTTTATTCGTCTACGACTCGACAGTCGACACCAAAGGACTCATATATCCGCGAGCGCTGAAACAGGTTCTGACAGGGATCTACCTGGCTGAAATCTGCCTGATAGGCCTCTTCGCGATCAAAGGAGCAATTGGCCCTCTGATCCTAATGGGCATCTTCGCAATTGTCACCGCAGTGGCCCACATTTCGTTGAACGATGCACTGAGTCCGTTGTTGTCAGCATTACCGCGCACGCTAGACAACGAAGACGATGTCGAAGAGGAAATTATTGGTACTGGAAGCGAAGGCTGCTCCAGCAGCTCCATTAACGATCCTGAAAAGGGTATAGCTCAGGCCACCGTGACGCATACGGAATTGATCGGTCGTCGGGCCCGACTGCGAAAGAAATTCCTGAAGTTCACAACTTGGCTACTGCATCCGAGTACATATGCGGATTATGCATCGCTACGAAAGAAGGTCCGACAAGACCCCGGGATAACCTATGGCCAGGAGGTCGATGACAATGCCTACTACCCACCATCGGTTACGAGCCCGACGCCGCTGCTCTGGGTCCCGCGAGACGCGAGAGGTGTAAGTCGGCAGGAGGTCGCGTTAACGAGGACGGTGATCCCGATTACGGACGAGGGGGCCCATCTCGATGAAAAGAACAAGGTTGTATGGGATAAAATCGGGATGAAGCCCCCGATCTGGCAGGAGAAGATATTCTATTAAAAATTGCAGAAACAAGAAAAAGCAAAAAAAAAAAAAAAAAAAAAAAAAAAAAAAAAAAGAAAGAGAAAAGAAAAGAAAAGAAAAAAGAGAAAAGCCAACGACAATGCCAATGAATGACTGGCGGAGAAATTCGACAAATCACGCGCGATGCGGCACCATTCCAATCATTGCTCATTGCTCCTGTCAATACGAAGTCGGAGAGTCAAGAGATTGCACTGGCGAACAGAACCCCGCGTGAGGAGATTAGGCCTTATTATTAGTATTATTAATAGACGATACCCCTGTTCACAGACCATGCTGCTGGACTTTGCGTGGAACTGACTCGCATTTTCTTACCTTCAAACCAAGGACCGGAGCAGAATGCATTGCTTCTCCTACCGGAGTAAGATATAGCAAATTTTAATAACAGATTTGATAATCCCGTCTCCATCCGTTAACTTCAGACAATATATCCTGCAACGCTTCGGTTGAGGGATATTTGTTCATGCTGTATCAAAAGCAAATAATATTAATTACCACTCATGACTCGCATGGGGCTCGTCGAGAAGCGGGATCTCCTCGAGGGAGTATTTAGCCCTAGCAGTAGGAGGGGTTTCTGGCAAAATCAGGTGTCCAATCTCCGAGGCATCATTTTATGACAGCAGGGAGGCACTATTGCCCCGATCGAGCCTAGCAGCGAGCAACACCCATGCACGGCCCTGGCAATCCCTCTGACAGTAGCCTTGGAAACGCCCACCAGCGGCCCGTAAGAGGTTGCCGGTTTGTTTAAGCTAGAGGTGGTAGCAGAATTGGGAACAGCCTTTGGAGAAACCGTTAACTGCAACTAAAACATCGAGCAATTGTCATCCAGCTGGATTCGCGTCAGTGATCCAAAGGTCTTGAAAATGGTCAGATGGAGTTGCATCCTTTCCCCGCCATCAAGGGTAGAAGAAGTCAAGACCCAAATGAACTCACTCACTCATTCGTCGTTAAAAGGCGATCGATCACTCATCTTTGCGAATGCCCCTGGCCATGGTGATGATTTGTTAACCCGGACACCGGGATAGGACTCCTCAAGAGTCAGAATTAGGCTTCAACACCGTAAGCCAAGCTTTGGTCACATCTGCACGTTCAGCTGGCCAACCTGTTCAGCTGTGACTCCGACACTCTTCTTCTCCTCGAGATTCGTCGATGTTTTCTTCGTTTGACGTGCCAAGAAGCGCCATTCGATGACTCAGCAGCGTGCCGCAAGCTTAACTAACTACAGAGTACGGAGTAAATAATAAATTAATCTTTACAAGCGTCACGGCGGCAGACCAAAGCTCGTCCTGACGGCCTGCGGAGACAAATTGTCTTGATAAAAAAAAAGGATTGTTTGCTGCCATTGAGTGCTGCTGTTTTCCCTGTATCCTCACTTTTTGTTCGCTTCCCTCTCCACGCTTAAGTATCAACTCGAACCAGGCGCCATGGCGGACACCACAAGTACAAACATCCCACCCACTTCTCCTCAGCGAAACAGGGGGTCAAACAGAAATCAGAGCGGCCGGAGAGGGCGTGGTGGTGGCCAAAGCCCATCCATGACTTCGAATAGCGAGTCGCAGCGTGGGAACCGTGGACCTGGTAGGGGACGCGGTGGCGGAAGAGGTGGGCGGGGCGGAAGACAGTCACGGAACCAAGGAGCGCGGCTGTGGGATAGACGGTCGACTCCAGACGGTGAAGATGCCAGCGGTGAGCCACCAGACCGTGATCTTCGAGGGACTGGCACCTCCGGTGATCGCCTGACCGGAGATGCCAAGGGTTCTGAGGGCGAGGGCAGCAGGAAGGCTAAGCTTTCCTCGGACGACGATGCCGCAGGTGACGCCGATGATAGTGAGATCTGCTTCATCTGCGCATCCAAGGTAGAACACATGTCTGTCTCTCCGTGCAATCATCGAACTTGCCATATCTGTGCGATCCGCTTGAGAGCGTTGTACAAGACCAAAGGTTGTGCACATTGCCGTGTGAGTGCCCCTGTCCGCATCCATGACGAGGAGAATATGTATTAACTCGTCGTCCCCTGCGATAGACGGAATCGAGTTTCGTGATATTTACAAACGAGCGTGCGAAGCGATTCGAAGAGTTTACGGATAGGGATTTCATAAGGACGGATGATAATCTAGGTGTCAAATACGAGACGCAAGAGATCTTTGAGGACACGGTTTTGCTCCTACGCTACAATTGCCCTGATAAAGATTGCGCCGTCGCCTGCCTAGGATGGCCAGATTTGCACAGGCATGTAAAGAGCAAGCACGGCAAGGTTATGTGGTATGTGTCCTTTGCTATATGCTCTGTTATGTTGAAGGTTGACCATCCTGCTAGTGACTTGTGTACAAGAAACAAAAAAGTTTTCACACATGAACATGACTTATTCTCAATATCACAGCTCCGAAAGCATGAGAAATACGGAGATGATAATCCTGGGGCGCTCGACCAAAGTGGATTCAAAGGCCACCCAGAATGCGGCTTTTGTCGTCAGCGATTCTACGGCGATGATGAACTCTATGCGCACTGTAGGGATAAGCATGAGCGCTGTCATATCTGCGACCGGCGGGCTGGCCGCGGTCAACCGGAGTACTTCATTGACTACAACGCGCTTGAGGAGCACTTCAATAGCAATCATTTCCTTTGCCTCGACAAAGAATGCCTCGAAAAGAAGTTTGTGGTTTTTGAATCACAGATGGACCTGAAAGCGCATCAACTTGAGTGTCACCCTGCAGGCCTTTCCAAGGACGCAAGAAGAGACGCCCGGCTTGTGGATATGTCAACATTTGACTTTAGAGAACCGTACCAACCACAGCGCGGACGCCGCGAAGGGAGGAGGCCACTGGGACGTGATCCTAACTCGGAACTTCTTCCTCCATCCAGTGCTCAGCCACTAAGAAGAGACGAAATTGCTTACCAACGACAGCTGGCTATCCAGAGTGCACAGTCGATCTCCACGAGGTCGTTTGGTGGTCAGCTTACTCAAAGTCAACCGCAACCTGCCCGACCCTCGCCCCCTGCGGCACCAGCTGCGCAACCTCAACTTCCAGCACCATCTCTTCCACCTATTGAAAACGTTGATCTTAACACACCCTCTTCTAGTCCTCAGGAAGAAGCTCGACGTATTGCGCACACCACTGTCTTGGATCGAGCATCCTCGCTCTTACGCAATGATCCTCGGAAAATCAATGAATTCCGAAATAAAGTCTCATCATATCGGTCTTCCAGTATTGGGGCAAATGACTTGATCGAATCTTTTTTCTCTCTTTTCGACGCATCTTCGACTGAATTAGGAAAACTCGTTAAAGAGTTAGCCCATTTGTATGAAGACGAGTCGAAGAGAACTGGCCTTTTAACAGCTTGGAATGATTGGCGAGCTATCAACGAAGACTACCCTGCCCTTCCTGGTCCAAGCGGTACTCTTCCTTCCACCAGCTTGGCCAACGTCGGAGGCGGCAAACGCGTTCTTCGTCTCAAGTCATCCACCGCACAATCATCTCGGTCCGCAGTTGGGCAGAATCCCCGTCTGCCAGGTCTTCTCAATCCCAACAGCACATCCAACCCGTTCCCATCCCTTCCCAACCCATCTACTACAAAATCCCAAAAGCTTAAAAGCGCCAGCCGAGTTTGGGGCACAGCACCAACCCCACCATCTTCTACGCCCAAAATCTCTCCGACCCCAAGCCGCTCTGCATCTCGTCCGGCGATACCAACAGTCGGTATAGCAACTAATTCGGACGCTTTCCCGGCTCTCCCTGCGGCTCCGAAGCCCAACGTTTTGATGGCAGGCCTCACACGCGGTACAGTTAGATGGGAGGATCGAAATGAAAGTCGACCTCAGGTGTGGGGTGCCGCAGCGAGCAATCCGACTCCCGCGGAAGCGGACATCAGTGGTGCTAGTGGCACTAGCTCAAAGGGTAAAGGGAAGAAAGGAAAGGGAAAGCAGGTGTTGTATCATTTCGGATAGATATGATTTCTCAGTCCTGCCCTGCTTTTGCACACTAAAAAAGTGCTTTTTTCTTTTTTCCCTTTTGTTTTTTTGTCTTGTTGGTTCTCCAGCTGCAATTATCCTCATGCATCATGCTCAAGGGGTGTTGTCAAATAATCGAGCTCGATATAAATTCTCTTGAAGAGGCGTTTGAAGATGTAGATGGGGTTTAATTACGCTGCATTATAAACTAGCATATGAGCGTACTTCTTCCATGTCTTATATCCGGGCCCTTTTTTCACCCTATTCGTACTTTGCGATACTCCACGATCGAGTGAGGTATCACCTATAAAGTGCTAAAGGTCCCTAATTCGTTTTTCGGGATACCTGAATAAATGCTACTTTATAAACTGCGGAGGGAGATTATGTATGTACTGTACATACATACGGTAGCAAATAGTGTTGAGACACAAGCCATGGCAGCAATACTCATGTTCAGTTCCTTCGTCCTGATTTCCAGCCTCACCAGAAACAATCCCGCGTCAGGAAAATGCCTTGTTAGGCATGATCGGACTGGTGACATCCGTCATTTCATCAGAATCTATAGTTGAGCTATTTTTGTCATCATCGAGCATGGGAGTATCCTGCAGTCCTGTTTGCCCAACACTATTTTCGTTTACTTCTTCGTCCATAACCATAGCAATTTCTGCGTCAAGCGCTGCCATTCGCAAAGTAAAGTCGTCCTGCAATTTCTTAAGCCATTTTCTCAATTCTTCTCCCTCCATTACTCCATCCCTTGCTTGAAGGAGTTGTTCACGCAGTGCAAGTAGAAGCTGTCTCCGTTTGGCTATTGCAATCGCCTTTGGATTATTATGTCTCTTTGCTGCCCTTAAACTCAGCTCCTCTGATACGGTTTGCGCAGTTTGTAAGATTTTGGGGGGGAAGGGCATGAGCTTTGCAAGCGAAAGACCATAGTGCTTTTCCTTGACATAGCCGTCAGCAATCTTGTACAACATCGTCATTTTCGACGTTGGTGCAGACATCTCCACGGCCAAGTGCAAATTGACGACACCGTTTCTATGGGCCATGATTCGAGCCAAATCGGTAAAGTGGGTCGCAAACCAAACAAGAGCATGACTATCCACGAGCGCTTCAGATATCGCAATGGCAATAGAGAGGCCATCGACTGTACTAGTGCCACGGCCGAGTTCGTCGACGATAGCCATGCTTCTGGGTCCAATGTTACGAAGAATGAAAGCCATCTCTCTCATCTCAGCAGAAAAAGTGGAGATATTGGCTTCAGTGTTGTCATCAGCAGAAATACGTGCAAAAAGCTGAGTAACTATGGGAAAAGAAGCATACTGTGCAGGCACGAAGCAGCCAATTTGAGCCATCACAGACATAAGGGCGATCGAGCGTATATATGTGCTTTTACCGCTCATGTTGCACCCGGTAACAATTTGAAATCGTGATTGCTGTGTAGCATAAGCATCATTAGGAATAAATTTGTTCGAATGTATTTTTTCCCGGATTGGATGTCTTCCGGCCTTAATTGCAAGGGTATCCGTTAGTTCAGGACGAACATAATCATGAACTACCACAAGCTGCGCGAATGTTGATAGCATGTCTAGCATCGCAAGGCCTTCACTGATGCGGAATAAGACGGATATTTCGGATCTAACATCTTCGATAAGTTCTTGGACGCTCTTATCACTCATAGTGATAACCTCATTATGGGAGTCGGTGATTTTCTGGTTTAATTTCACAAGATCTAGAGTTTGAAATTCTAGATAGGACCTCTTCCGAAAGACGTTGATAAAAACGCCGGGCAATTGTTTCTCTTCCAAATCTGAAACTGGGAGCCGAAAGTAGTATTGGCGAGCAGTTTCGAATCGTAAATCGAGAGAGAGATTGTGAGCCTCTGGTCATATTAGAAGTGAACGCTAATTATAAGAGAATGAAATAAGAGTTGAAGAGTAAAAAAAGGCCATCATACCCGTAAGATGAGATGCAAGCTCATTTACATCGGTATTTGCCTCTTTGTAGGTTTGCCTTGCAACATCCAGCAAGCTATTCACCCCGGCCTATAATATTAGCACACACCTGCAGCTGTACGGACGTTCCGTGTGGTACCTTGACGGCATAGGTTCGCTGATTCCGCAAGTCAAGCGGCCGAGATTGATACGACACATCTGCATTCAACGTTGAATCGAGGAGCGACTCGATAACTTCATATTGTGAGGGATCGCAGAGCTAATCAAGGATCAGCATCATATTCTACCTTTCGAGTAAATATAATCCGGCTACATTTCGAATTGCCACGAGGAGGTCACTTTTAGAACCGGTTAGGGATTCATATATGGGTTTTATTGAAGATACGTATGTTCTAAGCATGATCATATTGTTAATTGACTGCTCTGCGTGCTCGAAGGTGATTCTAGTTGGTACAAGTGTTAACTAACCAGCCTGTTAGCAGGAGTTGCGGCAAGAAAAGAAAAGAAAAGAGAGAGGGGGGAGAGAGAGAAAGTATGAACGACAAAGCGTACGGCAGTTAAAATTTTGTCCGAGTCCACAAATGACTTAAGGGCTATAACGCTTTTTCAGCTAATACGTATTGAGCAGGATTATAATCGACAAACCTTCTCGAACGGCGTGAAACATATCTTCCCTTGTTGCAAGCTCCTCTACGGCATCATACCTGCCTAGTAGCTTAGTTGGTTCTGTAGATGGCTGCAAGACATTAATGCGAAGTAATCGTGCGCCCATTGGAGTAAGGGTCTCATTTAGGATCCCAAAGAGGCAGTCCTTTGACTTGGCACGCTGGAGGTTTTGGATTAGCTCCAACGAAATGATAGTGGAGAGATCAATCATCATGGACCCATCTGAAGGCTCATATTTAATGCGAAGCGAATGTGATGCGAAAGATTTAGAGAGCTCAAGTTCAATATACGTGAGAACCTTCCATGGGGCGTTAGTAAATCCTTGAGCCATCAAGCCGTGAAAGGACCACGCAACGTACAGCTGCGAGACAGCAAGAGGCAAAATAATTCCCCTCCAGAGATAGTTTAATCGATTCAAGATCGTCCTTGAACGCTAACTGGTCGACGTATTCATGGCCCGTCTTTTCTGCCCAATACCGTCGGTCAATTGCTGTTATGGTGCGCTGGGGGAGATTCTCCTCCACAATCGCATAGAGCTTTGACTTTGGTGTTTGAGCAGTCTTCATAAACAGAATTTCCGTGGGTTCCAGCACGGCCAATTTCTGGATTGTCCGCGCATAAGTTTGGCTGTCACATATTTGGCATAGCACAGCCTCCGATGTGGAAAGATTAACGAATGCAAGGCTAACTGTAGGGCATACTCCCCGTGATTCACTAATTGCACAGATGATATCCTGGACAGTAACACTTGTAGCAGTAGTCGTTGGTCTTCCTGTCCTTGGCCGTCCACTAGTAGCTGTATGGCGCGTCGTTGGTCGGTTGTCGGGCGCCCATCCGGTTGAGGTTTTAGAAGAGAAGACTGTTGACGACATGACGATAAATACCAGGTTAACTAGTCACCCAGAAGCTTTCTTCAATGCTAGCCAGTACGTCGATTCCCTACCTCAACCTCGACTCCCACGCTGCGAGGAGGAGGTTGGTGTTAAGAAGCAGTAAGGCTGGCTGTTCCGTCGCTTGGCTGGGGTGGATGTCGATATAAGCTCGATCTTATCTTATCTTGAACTCTTCCTATCACGCTTTACCAATCCTGGACTAGCTCTGATGCTCGTTATTTTGCGACGAATTTGAGCTTTCATCGCTGCGGCCCCGTTGTTGCACGCGATCAAGCCCATTAGCACCGTTTTACCCGCAAGTGCTGCTAGCTCGCCTTCGGGATATTCAAAAATGGCAACCTTGGTTCCACCCCCTAGCAAGCGCCAGCGGCTGGAGGATTCAGAAAAGTCGAAACAACAGCAAGAAATCCAGACAATTCCTGACAACCTTGGGAATATCCGAGTGCAGTTCTTCGACCAGGGCACTGGAAAAGCTTCGGGCCCGGCTGTCGCTATTCCTGTCGCTGATGCAACTGTTAGAAATCTTGAAATTTTACTCAACACGTTACAAGGAAATGTAGGTACGCTTGCGCCTATCTGCCCTCCGAATGAACTGGGTCCTGAGCTGACTTGAGCTCTCTAGGAGGACCATGAAAGGGTGCCATATCGTTTTTCATACAAGCCCGACCGCGAGAAGGAAGATGCTATAGATATATTGTCGGGTATCTATCAGTCTCTTCTGAAACCCGGCCTAAAGACCCCCGAAGATATCATCCACCTACACTACACCCCGCAGGCCGTTTTCCGGGTTAAAGCCGTGTCTCGATGCTCTGCCTCAATATCAGGACATGGTGAAGCGATATTAGCCACAGCATTTTCTCCCGCGTCCTCGTCGCGCATGGCTACGGGGAGCGGTGATTCCACCGCTCGAATTTGGGACTGCGATACAGGAACGCCTATCCACACTTTAAAAGGCCACTCAAGCTGGGTCCTTGCGGTTAGCTGGTCTCCCAATGATAAAATTCTCGCGACTGGGAGTATGGATAACACCGTTCGATTATGGGATCCAAAAACGGGCCAGGCCCTTGGTGCCCCTTTGAAAGGTCATACGAAATGGATCATGAGTTTAGCATGGGAACCTTACCACTTACAGGACCCTGGAAGACCGAGATTAGCTTCTGCATCCAAGGATTCAACTGTGCGGATATGGGACGTTGTGTCGAAACGCATTGAAAACGTACTAACGGGACACAAAGGCTCTGTCTCATGTGTTAGATGGGGTGGGATGGCGCGCATATACACCTCTTCACATGACAAGACTATCAAGATATGGAACCCCAAAGATGGCAGTTTAATACAAACCCTATCATCACACACCCACCGGGTGAACCACTTGGCTTTATCTACTGACTTTTTCCTCCGCACGTCCTTTTATGAGCATAATACTCCAGTTCCAGATTCTGATACCGATAGGATTGCATTAGCAAAACGCCGGTTTGAGAAAGCGGCGACGATAAATGGCAAGCTTACTGAGCGACTGGTATCAGCAAGTGATGATTTCACAATGTTCTTGTGGGATCCTGCTTCTTCAAATAAGCCGATTTCCCGAATGCTAGGCCATCAAAAAGAGGTCAATCATGTAACCTTTTCTCCTGATGGTGCGTACATAGCGTCTGCTAGCTTTGACAACCACGTGAAGTTATGGAACGCCCGAGATGGGAAGTAGGTACTCTTTTTATCCATGACATTGTGTCTGATTCTGACGGATGTCATCCAGGTTCATGTCATCCCTCCGCGGACATGTAGGAGCAGTATACCAATGTTGCTTTTCAGCTGACTCCCGTCTCCTTGTATCGTCCTCCAAGGACACGACGCTTAAGGTGTGGGACGTACGAACAGGCAAATTAGCGATGGATTTACCAGGTCATCAGGACGAAGTTTACGCCGTTGACTGGAGCCCTGATGGGGAGAAGGTTGGAAGCGGTGGAAGGGATAAGGCTGTTAGGATATGGCGACACTGATATATACAGTTTCAAAATACCTGCTTTTTGGATTATGTATCTCCTCAACGCCTCGGATATATTACTACCGCGAAATGAATATAATCGTTGGTATCGACTCTTTCTATGAATTGATAGATCCAGTGCTGAAATCTCGAGACATTCTAATTACGCCATTCCTAGAACTCCAACGGAAAACGCTGCAACTGTGACAACAATGCTCCAAGCCCGATAACCATAATCCTTGGTCCGAATAGCGCCACCCTGCTCTATATACTGCCCTCTCTGAACATTTTCCCGAAACTGATTGCCTCCAATAATATTCCCGGGCGGATAGTACTCACACACAACATACCACCCGAGAGCCTTTTTCTCAGAATGATGGCCCTCCGGGTGCATGCCCGCCGAGCCGCAATTATGCCGGCCGCAGCCAACGGACTTTGTGCTTTTCCACACCAATTGTGTAAATTGGGACGTTTCTTCATTGTATTTAGGGTTGTTAAAGGAAACCTTTTCCCGTCCCTGGGCCCAGGCGGTCATCACAGAGGTGATGTTAGGGTACCCGGCGGCCAGATTCTCGCCAGACGGCGAAAACTAAGGAACAGCGTTAGAATACCAGCCCTATACAAACTGGGAATTTATAATTTCGTACCGAGTGCCTCAACCGGCATTGTTCCCCCCAGTCATGGGCAGTTTCTGCGAGCGTATTGTTCCAGGTCAGGGGGTTGGCGTCGTGCTGACGTCTGAGTGAATTGGTAGCATTGAGGATTGAAGTCTTGAACACTTCGTCGGAGGAAAACTGCGGCGATGTAGGTTCGGATATAACCGTCCAGATCAACTGCACTAGGGAGAATATAAATACGAGGCCCATGCCGTTTACACTCGCCGATGGTAATTTGGGAATCAAGTGATTCCGAACAGATCACAGAGAGCAGACAAGATGAAAAGTCGCACTCATTGTTAGTGCCTGAATAACAAGACTAGAATTTGTAACCTTATAAATTTTTGCATCTCGCAGTGAACAAGTCATTTACAGTTCCCCCTTGTTGCCACCACAAGGGAACTGTCAACGACGTAATTAGGGAGACAGCTGGTTTAAACAAGTAACTTAGTTAAGTTTGTTAACTAACTAAAATTCGTTGACCAGTTGGGCTTACATAAATCACTAACTAAGCTAGTTAACTAGTTACTGGGGACCTCACAAGCTACCAAGTAGTTACGCTGTAACCGCCTTTGTGGAGATACTTCACTGCGAGTTTAACACATATGTGAGCAACAGATCAAGCCCTTCACCGCCCTACATGACAAGCGAGGATTCCCCGCGTTGGGATTTCATTATGGGATTACATTGAAAAAAAAAAAAAAAAAAAAAAACGAGTAGAAAGTGCTTCGAATTTTTTTGGGGGGTCCTAGCGAGAACAGGGCAAGTCTTTTCAAGGACCTGTCTCAGATAATGCTGCCCACTAACCCTTTAAAAAGATGTGACGCTGTACGAGTAGGATAGATGGCTATGTATATATGTATGTACATACATACAAGAAATCCTCAATTACTAGCATCGCCCCGCCTTTTAATATATCCCATGCAGCAGAGCCACATCATATGGGTTTAAGCAGGGCTACATGTTGAGGATAACGAACCCCCTACACCGCTGCAGGTGTGCTTCCGGTCGCCGACGGTATGGAGGTTGGAAATAGGAATCAAACTGTGCCTAAACAACTGGTTACATTACTATGCATCCAATGCCAAACATAGCCCTTTCAACGTCCCTTTTCACCTGATACCAATCTGCCCTTCTCTCGGCAAACTCGTATACTTCCTCTGCACGTAGAATGCCTTTGAATCGGTCTACATCTGCTATGATGGTAGCCATTTCTTTCGAGTCCGAAGGATCGATCAAGTATACCTGCGAGAGTTCTCTCAGGGCTGTAAAGTAAAGCAGTAATTCGTCGTTTTTCATGGACTGGATAAATGTGAAGTAGTGGTTCATATCACTATTTCCCCTGTTAGAAGTAGCCGAAGATCTATCTTCAGAAGAATTGTGATTGAGCCTCACCTGATTAGCTTGATAGAACCCATCACGCTAATTCGCTGACGTTTAAGATGCTTGCATAACGCCCCGAAAAGGCGAAGCCCAACTTCTTGGTTAAATACATCCAGCATGCTCTTGTCCGTACTGCCAACTAACATTTGCGTGTGAGAAGAGACTATTTGAACGATAGATTTCGCAGCATCGCTGGGGCCAATATCAACGGTTTGACTGTTAGGATCAGCCGATTCGGGATTAAAATCCAACGCTGTTTGCTTGGTCGCAAGTATATATTCCACTTCGTCCATGAGAGCATTAATTCCTTTATTCAGACCGGCGGCAACACGCTCGTCGAGGAGCTGTTCAAAACGCTTCTTTTCCTTGACTGCCGGGTTAAGGAAGTCATTTCGATCGGTCAACCTCGCTCCAATCAACTCTTGCTCGTAGAAGACATCCACCATTTGCAAAATCAAATCACCAACGTTGACAAGCTCGAGAAATGTGACAAGCGGCTCAACCCCTGTTTTCTCCTTCGCATTATGTTGTCTAGGGTCATAAGCGGAGAGATGGCCAACGGCTTTGTCAAAGCCAGCTATGACGTGCTGATGACCGAGTATTTGTAGCAGAGACACAAATATCGCTTCGCATTGACTTCGTGCCGCCTTTCCCAGTTCCCCCTGTATTTTAACGAACTGGGATGCCCTTTCAAGGCTGGATTTTGCCGCATGTACCAGATTAAGGGCTACTTCGATACTGAATAGTGTTCGGATACCCTCCAGTTTCGCGTTCATAATGGCGGCTTTCGCGGCCAACTCGGTTGTAGGAGCTTCAGTGGGTGCCTGTGGGATTGTGACTGGAACGACAATTGTAGAAGACCTATTGGAATGAGAGGTTACCATAGATCCAAGGCTCTCCGTTGACTTGTTGAGATTATCCGCTTTTTCCGTGCCGGACTTCGAAAATCCTGGGAATATGTTCACGGGAGCCATGAGGACCTTCTTAAATGACGTTAGAAAGTCTTTTTTATCCGCCTGTCTATTGATATTTGACATGTAGAATGACTCGGTCGACGCGGCCTGTTCAGACAGTTGTCTATCCCAGTCGGAAACGATATCTTCCGAATGTTTTCGAAATAAATCCAGCTCCTCCGCGAGGTATAATTCAACATGCGGCTCGAAAATTTCCATGACCATCTTATTAGTAGCTTCATCGAAATCTTCCGCGGGATCTTTAATTTTATTTAAACCACGGACGAAATTCCGAGATTGCACATAAGTCCCAGAAACAGCTTGGAGGTAAGAATTTGGATTCCGGGCATGAACCTCATCAAACAGCGCGCTAAAATAGGGAGATAAGATACCTTTGCTGACCTTCGCTAAGAATGGCGTGGTTATTCCAGAACAATTCGAAAAGCATCGATCTATGATAGATATTTCCTCATTCACCGCCACCCGGAGGCGAGTAAGGAAAGCTTGAGTATGCTCTAAGGAGACAGCACCTGTCTTGAGGCAGTCCATTGGGTTTCCAAAATCGGGCTTTTGTGTCATGATATTGTTGTGATGGATAAAGAGCTCGATAGCGGCATGACCGCCATTAAGAGTCACCAACACGTGGGCGTATCTCTGCATCAGCCCGTCAACATCTCCGGTCTCATAACCATTTCTAAATTCGCGGAGCGCAGCTGTTTCAAAATCGGCCACCACATTAGAAAGTTGCCGGTTTCGCTCTTCCCAGCCAACAGCTCTGTCACTCTTGGCAAACGATATCAGTTGGGATAACAATTGCGCCTGTTGCTCGGGCTCGTGGTATGTTTTGAACACAAGACAGTCGGTAGTTTCTTGCGATTTAATGATATCTTTGTAGAAGGGGAAGAGGACAGCATGGACTTTGCCGTATTCTTCCCTAGCTTTTCCCCGTACAGATCTCACTGAAGTCAGTATGTTCAGAGCATCGGCCTTCGGTTTCTGTTCGATCCGCGCTGGGCCAGTAAACTGGACAGCATCAAAACCATTGGAGTCACCACCAGAAGTATCGGGAGGCTTTGAATCTATGGTTATGGAAGGTACTTGGCCGTACTTTGCCGTCTGGCCTTTGATGATCGAACTTCTGGGTCGTCCATTAGCCTGCGGGTTATCCTCCTCGGCGTGTTTTCTGGCTTCTACTTCATTCCAGCAGCCCATCTGTTTGAGTAATCGGACCCATCTCGTATCATCATAGACCATCTCCTGCATGCGTCTTGACGTCCTCGCTACTCGGATCAGATCGGTCGGAGCAAGATAGTCTAGGATGGTATCCATCAATTCTTTTAACAAGTTAGCGGCGGTCATTCTGCCTAGATTATCCATAGATGAGGAGGAGGAGCTGGCTACCTGCCGGTAAGATGGGCTTCAAAATTTCAATATGTGCCAGCTTCAGGGACGCCAAAACGTCTCTCCGGGGGGTTTTCGAGGGCCCCTGAGACCTGGGGCGCGACGCCATCGTGCTGGGATGGGATGTCACGGACGAGAAGCAGATCACGGCTTTATGGAAGACGGCTTATAACAACGCGGTGAGGTCATCATGGATCGATCTATTCAGGCAGGCCCCGCTGCGATTCCGTTATTTGATCAGACGCAACGCATGTCGTTTACGACAAATTCCAAGCAATTCGTCCTCTTATTGGGACGATTCGCTAACCAAATGACTGTTCTCCCTTGGTCGGATCAAAAGCTGTAGTTATGGAGGTGTTATGGTGATCCGTAACTGGTGGCCCAGGGTTCGAAGCTCCTGGGGAAGTTAGTGTGGTGTGCGCAGCAAGGGGGAAAGTTTTGGCGAACAGGAAGGTCTTTTGACAGACGCCATGAATCAGCCATGCAACCGAATTAGCGGCGCGGCTTTGAAATCCAACGTTCGGAAGAAACTTTGTATCATCCAATTCATCACGTTGGGAGATGCTTCATCTAGCTGCACTGGGATAGGGAATAACTAATTACCCTAACGGTTATAATGACTACTGGGACCTCTACTCCGTAGAGTGCTTGTCACAATATGTAACTAGGATTCCGGCTAGCGACTTGTAGACTGAAGTAAGACAAATGTTTAAATATGGATTAAAGTCATGGGATATAATCCGAATTGCATATCAGCAATCGACGCTGGTAGTGACGGTCACCTGGGTAATCTTGTGTTGAATGAACTGAGCTCAGGTCTACCCCTCTCCATGCCCTTCTTCTCGCCTTTTTAACCTCATGCTATCGACGCATGAATACAAACCCGATCATGGAAGCATGTTTGCCATCCGAACAGAGTCGTAATTCCGTTCTTCACGTCGAGGTTCGGGTCAAAGCAGCGGCGGACCATGTTATTGTTCGAACGGACATCGTGAGCAGCTTGGTCCTTGACGTCCTGAGGTAGATCTAACAGAGGCAGCCAGATTCGCGATGAAATGAGAGCATGGCTAATCGAGAACTTCGCCGTCCTGTCTTTAGGCCAGGAAATCATCTCATTCGGTATAAAACTTTGCTCTCGCTATGAAAGATGCCCCAGAAACCCTAACTAGAAAGTAGACAGTTTCAACAGCGCCTACGCGGAATATCTCGAAGCAGTGAGAGTAGTCGAATGTACGGGTCTGATCAAGGAAGGCGGAGCGTACCATCTGTCCGAGGTGAATCTCGATGTCCAGGCATACCAGCTTCAACCCTCATGCCTCGAGTCGTCGTCCCAAACGCAGGGAGCCACAGACCCGGCATCGGACGAGGAGGCACTCCAGGCCCGCATCATTTCCTTGCCAAACGAAGAACTGGACGGGCTCTGGGAATCGTACGTTGACGCGAATGGAATCTGTGAGATTTGAAGTGGTTAACCGGCTCCCCAGGCTCCTCTTTGACGTTCCAATACACTCAAATCTCCTCCGAGTAGCAGGTCGGATGAGTACGTGTCCCGTATCATTCCTCGCGGCTATCATGAACTAATAGCCTAGTTTCTTTGCCGTGGCGGAAACTCAACACATGGACAATCAACTGGAATCGACTAATCCTCCTCTATGGGCCTCCGGGAACCGGGAAAACAAGTTTATGGCAAGTGTGGATATCGACCCGTGGTGTCTGTACGGCTATATCTCCCGGCTAACAATGGATCAGCCGAGCACTGGCGCAAAAACTAGCCATCCGCCTGGGAAAACAGTTTCCACAAAGCAAGCTTGTGGAAATCAATGCAATCTCGCTGAGCAGCAAGTACTTCAGCGAGAGCGGCAAGCTCGTCGCAAAGATGTTCGAAAATGTTGAGACGCTTCTCAAGGAGGAGCCAGAAATCCTGATGTGCGTTTTCATCGATGAAGTAGAGACGATAACGGCCAACAGGGAGCAATCTCTCAAGGGAAACGACCCGCCAGACGCCATGCGGGCCGTAAATTCCCTGCTTACCGCACTAGATCGGCTGAGGCAGCATCCGAACGTCCTCGTGCTCTGTACCAGCAATCTCATCAACGCCCTGGTGAGAACTTTCGCAACCCCCCAAAGCTCTATGAGCCAGATTCTTACCTTGGGAGGAACCATAGGACTCTGCGTTTTTAGACCGAGTGGACATCAAGCAATTCGTCCCGTTGCCGTCCGTGAGAGGGGTATACGAGATATTCCGGAGCTGTCTGGAGAACCTCAGTCAATGCGGGTTGATCGAGGGGGCAACCTTCGAGGTAGTGCAGCGCGATACAGGGAGTCCAGGCCCGGGTTTGGAGTACATGACTCGACCAGCGGAGGCTCTGGGCATCCCGAGGTACGAGATGGCTCTGTGGTACCGCCTGTTCTCGCGATCGATCCCAAAGCGCCTTGAGAACATTGCAGAGGCTAGCGTGGTATGTATATGTACAACCTCCCACCCTTTCTTTCATTTCCATGCTTTATATGAAGAGCGCCAAAACTCATCCGACGCAGGGGCTGAGTGGCCGTACGCTGAGAAGAATCCCAGCCCTGTCGTTGGTCCTGTACACCACGGGTGCGTGCTGCAGCGTCGACGAGGCCGTGGATGCGCTGGAGCAGGGAGTCGAGGAGGAGCTGCGGATCCGGCAAGCGGCGCAGGAAGGGCAGCAGACGGCAGAGCGTCGTGGAATGTACGGAGTAGTTTAGACAATCACCAACACCAACCCATTTCTTTACTGTGGGATCAGTTACTACCACTCCGTAGACTTATCTTTTCCCCCTACCATATACTGCCATCCCTCTACTCCGTTATCATTACTCCGTACTCCCTCTCTCTCGTCGCTTTCACCTCGTCGTCGTCGCGAGTTTTGCCGAGCGCCGCCAGCCAATCAGCGGCGGCATGTTGTTAACCCGCGCCAAGCACCAATCGCAGCGCCTCCTTCTTCCGCCCCAAAACGAGCAGAACTTCAATTCAGTCTTTCAAACAACATCTTCTTCGCTCAGCGGAATTCGCTGTCACATCCACCTCCACGCTCCCCCTCCCCTCCCACCTCCTTCGCCGTCCAGGCCCAATTCTTCATCGGTGCTGCGGGGTCTTCTCCTTTCTCACTCACTCCCCACACATATACACACACACACACAATGTTGGCCAGGTCGGTCTTGCGAAGCGTGCCCTCCAAGGCATTCGCACGACAATCCTTCCGGCAAACGACCACGGTGCGTTCGTCCCAGTCCATGCCGTGCCATTGGCCCTTCGCTCGCTCACAGGATCCCGCGGCATGCCATTCTGGTGCTTTGGCGTCGGCTAACTCTCTCCTTAGCGGTCCTCATCCTCAAAAGCCAGCGCTGCTTCCGAATCTCCGTTCTACCTGACTCTGACCGCTTCCGCTGCCACCGCGGCCACAATTGGAGCTGCGGCGTGGTATTACCATCTCTATGGACCCGAACTGCTTGCTATGACCCCAGCTGAGGAGGGGTGAGTGTGACCTTCAACTTTGCCTGCCAGCGCGACTACCGATCACAAGGGGTCCCGATACATTATATATCATGGAATTTTTATTTTTTTTATTTTCCCGTTTCGGCTGACACGGACTCAGTTTGCATCCCGCTGCCTACCCTTGGGAACATACCAAGTTCTACCGGACATTCGACCATGCCGCGTGAGTATATTCACTTCCCCTTCATCGGTCTTTCGTTTGGAACATCCTCGGCTGATGTCGTCGGGATGGTTTTGCAGACTCCGACGTGGTTTCCAAGTATACCGTGAAGTTTGCGCACAGTGCCACTCGCTCACCCGTGTCCCATGGCGTGCGTTCGTCGGCACCATTCACACTGTCGACGAGATGAAGGCCATGGCTGAGGAGAACGAGTACGATACCGAGCCCAACGACCAGGGCGAGATCGAGAAGCGCCCTGGAAAACTATCCGACTACATCCCTGCACCCTACAAGAATGACGAGGCTGCTCGCGCTGCGAATAATGGTGCCTTGCCCCCGGATCTCAGCTTGATCGTCAAGGGCCGACACGGTGGTTGCGACTACATCTTCAACTTGCTTACTGGATACCCTGATGAGCCACCAGCCGGAGCTACTGTCCAAGAGGGATTGAACTTCAACCCTTACTTCCCTGGAACTGGTACGGAACCGTCGCATTTCCTGTTCAGTCTGCGGTATACCGCGCCTGTTTGATAATGTAAGCTAATGATATCTTATCAGGTATTGCTATGGCTCGTGTCCTCTTCGATGGTGTCGTCGAGTATGAAGATGGAACCCCCGCCACGACCTCCCAAATGGCAAAGGATGTGACTGAATTCCTCAACTGGGCCGCCGAACCCGAGATGGATGACCGAAAGAAGATGGGTATCAAGACTCTCGTGATTGCTGGAGCTTTGTTCGCCGTCAGCGTCTGGGTCAAGCGATACAAGTGGGCACCAATCAAGACAAGACAGATCGTCTACTCTCCCCCTGTTGGCAAGAAGAGATAAACACAATCGATTAAAAAAGAAGGAAAAAAAATACCAGACGGCTGTACATCAGTGGGGAGGAGAAGCGTGAGGGAGTACTGACACCACAGTTATGTTCTCCGTTTTTCGTATACTCCTCCTTTTGTTCAAGCATATCCACAGGTCCTTTTTGAAGAAAACATGTTCCTAGCCAGTTTTAGACACCAAAAGGAAAACGAGGGAAGCAGGTATGTGTATGTGTGAGGGGTTTAGTAGACTGTTGGATTTTGGAATCTGTGTAATTATAAAGATCTTTGTTGTCCTCGTTTTCACTCTGATGTCATTGAGATTATCTTACCCTGTCTTGACTCCCAATGTATTACGTTTCATTTGTTTCCCATGTTTTGTCTTTGGCTTGCCATGCTCAGCTCTCTGGCGCTGGATGCTGTTTGAACAGTGGCGTGACGGTATGATTCTTAGAATTATTCTCCGCTCAAAGACTGGTGTGATAAATGCAAGGTGTGCTAATGCGCCAATGGAGGCGCGAAGCAGCACCGCCAATGCAAAAAGCAAAGAATAGAATATATGGTATTTAGTTGGAAGCTACCGTAAAAGCTCTGGCGCAAGTTATATTGTATCACACTCTATCCAAGTCTAGCGCTGCAAAAGTACACAAAAAAAAATTAGTCTATAGTAGGTATCACAAAGGGTTGGTATGGCTTTCCACCGTAAATTTACAACTCTCCCATACTCCGTATAGCTTGAACGTGCTCAATCTAGCCACCTCTTTCATCTGTATACTACGTCCCAGCAGTCCTCTCCCCATCACCAAACACCTTCCTAAAAATCACATCATACGTCCACCAGATACTCCCAAACAGGCCCCTCTGCAGCTTGGCCAGCCACCCGGGTGCCCTTCCCCTGTTATCAGCCAGTATCCTAGCAAGAGTCATGACAAGGAGCAATGACGGCACCCAGAGCAGACACAACAATACTTGGCCCAGACGCTGCCGGCGTGAGGTGATGCGATATGCGTGGAGAGAGGAGAGATATGTGCGGTAAGAGTCGGGCAGGTTATGCTCCTTCGCGCCGGTGACGAGGAGGGACATATAGCGTGGAGAAGGCTGGGCATACGTGGGGTGACGGACCAGATGAGAGTTGCCATTGTTACTCCCCGTCTTGCCGCAGGCGTTGGCAGTATCCCGGGCCGGGGCGAGGAGCGTGTGTGCGCGAAAGGGGATCGTTGAAGGATGGTTGGGGACGGGGTCAGAGGGATTGAAGTCGGCGGGAAACGGGTAGCAGTCCACCACGACGTCGATGTACGACGAGCCTCCGCCTTCCGTGGCTATGATCCGGGCGTAGTCCGAAAGCGTGACTTCGTAGACCACGCCGACGAGCGGTTTGCGCCAGACGTTGGTGTCGTCAAGAGCGGAGTCGTCGGATCGCAGCAACGCTCCTCTCTCGTCGTCGTCGGCCTCGTCATTGTCTCGCCCGTCAACCTGATGTGTGAAATGGCCATTGGGATACTTTGGTTCGCCGGTGACAGGGTCTCGATACTGGGTCGCGGCAAAACACGGTTCGAAGTACGGGACTCCCGGCAGATCAAAAGTGAGCGTGAGATCCGGCACACAGACATTGAGCTGCGATATGGGCACGATCTTGCGGGTGTTCCGGAAGGTCTTGGAGCTCATGTTCGACCCATAGGCAAGATACAGGACAGTCTTCGCCTTGAGAGGCTCCTTTCCTTGCCGCTGCTCTTCAAGCGGGGCTCCAACATTGAGCGCATGGTCGTGAGCAGCGGCACGCTGTCGTTCAACGGATATCTGTGGGATAGGGGCAGTGGTCTGCGGCACGGACTCTTTTTTCTGGAAAAACTGCCATGGCAATGTGGTCGAGGTCTCTTCTCGGAGAGTTGCCTGGGTGTTGAAAAAGACGCTCGATTGCGCTTCGCTGGGGACCTTTTCGGCATTAGTTGGTGGCATCTTGATCCGCTGAACTCAACTGACAAGAAAGAACTAGCCACGGAGGGTAAGTACTTGTGAACCAACTCTTTCACAGTCGACAGCTCATGGACCGCCCGGCTGAATCACGTACTATATATCCCTCCCAAGGCAAGACAACCCTCCAGGAAAGAGACTCTTTGTAAGCAATTCTCTCGGATCTGTGAATTAATAATACGAGCGTACTTGCTCCCGGCCTCAGAGTCTGGTCAGCCCTTGCTGGGCCGTCCGTCTCGGCGCAACTCTGATGCCGGTTCGGAGGCCAAAAGAGCGCCGGACGCCGCCTCCCGGGTGGACAAACTCAAAAACTGACCAACCTCCAACCTCACCTCGTTCCTGGTCCCTGGAAGGTCTGCCGAGAGAAAGTTGATTGAGACTTCCACCATGACAGCATCCAGCGGACGGCCATCCTTAGCTACATAGTTAATATGTAGTCGAGCTCCCTTCAACTGCCGTTTCTTATCCTTTCAGCGGAGAAATAAACGGGGAGTTCCGGGGCCGAACTCTCCCAGCTGAAAAAAGTCCCTTCTGCTACGCTGTGTTTTCTGCCTGGTGAACCTCCGTCAGATTGCAGATTCTACTGGGAGTTTCGATGCTTCGATCAGCGAAACTCAAGACTATACACCCCCAACGTGTGCTCCAGTTGGTAGCTGCTCGGGATTGTGACTAAATAGTCCATTTTACCATGAATGTGTGCAGTTGCGTCTTCGAGAGTTCAACCAGCATCTGCCAGGAAAAGGTTCTTTAGCACTGTTGATGAAACGGGGCTCTACACAATATTATATAAAAACTTTATCTGGAGTAGGCTATGCCTTAGGACGCTAATGTGTTCCTCCCTCCTTTTTTTTTTTTTTTTTTTTTTTTTTTTTTTCCGCCCCCTGACGGGGCATTGTTCCTATTGTCCCAGCCTCGATGTGTTGCTTCGGGCTTCTTTTGAGAAGAATGACTCAAAACAACACGCGCACCCCTCCTGTATGGCAAGTTACTTGTCAATAATATGCTGTAGATAATAGACAAAACCCGTATTATGACCTTTTCCTTGCCCCACGTGATAGCTATGCCTTTGTTGCTCTTGTCGCTCTCCTCTCCTATCCTCTCCTCTCTGTCTCCTGCTTATCTTCTGCTTCTCTTCTCCTTCTCATGGTTGTGAGATAGATTCAAATTTGATACCATTCCCGCCAACCTTTTTTTCTTTTAAAGTATCAAAGTTGTACGAGCGTTTGATCATGGCTTCATCCAGCCCTTCAGGGCGGAGTGCCTACCCAGAAAACTATATGCTCCAGCTTATCGATGAGCTAAAGACAACTATTAAGACGATAAGAAAGGATCAGCTTTTGATGTTAGTTCTTGATTGGCAAATATCTACTTCTCTAAATGCTAAATTTGCGGTTTTCACCCCAGGATCTCCATCGAAATGATCAAAGTCTTCACAGACTCCTCCAGAAGAATGGATTCAACCCATCTGCCGGAGCTGATCTCTCTGTTTGATGGTGATAATTACGAAAATTGCTTTAGGCTAGACGTCGCGTCGCTTCATTGTGTGATTCATATTCTCCTTAGAGCAAGCCCTTGCATGGCCAGGGAGAGGGGATTCTATCTTTTGCTGGTAAGTAATCCACTGGATATTCACATTGACAAGCAGAGGAGCATAATAGTAACACATGTGAACAGGAGTCGATGACAGAGCTCACTGCACTGACACAAAATCCAATCGACCCCGGGATCATGGTCTCGGCACGCCAAAGAAAGTCGATCCTGGGACGCAAATCCTGCCGCAGTCTTTTTGGAACCTTCATCAAAGATCACCCAATGGTTGCACGGCGATGGGTAAAAAGAACCCGCCCTCTCTCCGAGGGCATCTTTCCGTCTTTCATAGCTGATACTGATGCTAACCAGAGCGGGCAATACATTCTTGAGCTGCTCAAACACTCCACCGACAATACTAAGTTTGTGCTCTCGTTCGGAAGACATCTAAGGTAAGAACCCACCCTGCACGTTGGTTCTGACCATACTTCCTAACACTCTCCATTCGCGTGTCCAGAAATCTCGGGGCCATGGTCCTGATGAGCGAGATTAGTTATGACCTAAGGCTTATTTCCGCAATGATAATTCAGCAGCTCATGCTGGCCGATCCCGATCCATCTTCCTTTTGGCCACAGGACACTGATCACATATTCTTTTCGTGGCTTATCCGTGGAGCCGCAATCGACGCGGCGTGGATGAAAAGCTTCATCAAACTGTTATCCATGATCGACAAGACAAACGTTGCCAGCAATCCTCAAGCAACCAGCCACCTTTTCGGTGCGGCAAAAATCAAGCCCGTTGCATTACTGGAAACATCCGACCTCAGCATCAGTTCCGACGACCATCCTCTCACAATCGCGACCGATTTGGAGACCATCAGCTTTTTTATTCTAAGCCAAGGTCGCCTCCAAATCGTCGATATCCCAAGAAATTTCATTGAAGATATCAGCGTGGAAGTTGCGGACTCATGCCTCCATATCGACATGGTTGAGGGTACACACTATGTCACAAGTGGATTGCCCGTAACGACAGACGTGGTTTATGTAACGTTCGAAAAGTCTCGCACCGCACTGGGGATTCTCGACGCCTTAGATGGAGTCGTCGTCCCTCACGCCTCTCAAGAAATGTCACAAGAACCATCCGGTTCTAGCGTCGGTGGTAATGCTAACACTCAAAACCAAGCCAAAGCCACGAAAGATCAGGTACCCAAATGCCAACGGCAAGCTATATCCGCCGCAATCGATGTCCCTGGGCCCGACGAGGGCATTGGCGAGTCTCCTGCTCGGGCTCCAGCCAAGATCAAAGAGGCAAAAGATAGCACGGAGCGAAACCGGCACGCAGCATCATCGGCAGCAATTGAGCTCGTTTCATCAGATAACAGCTCAACACAGTCGAAAAGTAGCACTCAAGCAACATCAAGAGCCAATAGAGCAGATAAAACGGATACAACGAAGCAGACAACCAATACTACAGAGAGCGGGTATGGCTCTCTTAGTTCTGAGGCTGCCGTACAGAACGGGCGTGGTCATCCCGCAAGAGACGCAAACCACGAGCCAGCTACAGCGTCCGCCGCCTCTCCAAGCGACGGAGATGGGAATCAGAGCGAGCGTCGCGATGCCCAGGTGCAGGTCGAGTGCGGCTCTGCGGAGGGGTGGGGGAGCGACTTACTCGATTCGGCAAGGCGGGACCTTCAACGTCACCAGCAGCAGCTCGTCGGCTCGCAGTGCTGTGAAAGCCATGCGAGCAGCAGCACGCAGCACCTACAGGCCGACAGCATGCAGAAAACCCCCATCAACGTGCCGGCAGTGGCAGCCGCAACGGGCCAACCGGTTGTGCCGAGTGGAACGGCTTCAGCTGGCAATGGCTCTCGCTTGAAACGTCCCCACCACAAGATCAATGGCTCAGTTGACAAACCTATGACCATGGTGGACTGGGATCAGGATCTTCGTACAGAGAACGACGAGGAGAGACCCACCGCGATAAAGAAGCAGAAGATCACTTCACGTACGGCCAAGCCTAAAAACCCACTACCAGCAACCCCCGGTTCAAAGAATGACGTCCTGCCCACGCTGCCATTAAGTCCAAAAGCCCCCGAGGTCAATCCGGCTCCGCGAAAGCGTGCAATAAACCGGGAAAAGCGACAGGTCACCAAGACACTCGCATCAGCCCGCCAAAAAAGATCAGCAGCTAGTAAGGCAGCGGAAAAGCTGGCCCACGCAACAAAGATGGAAAATTTACCGTACGACTTGGATGATCCCATTGAATCAAGTGCTCCAGAGAGGCCAAGAATAGCTCCTGACACCGATGCGATGGAAATAGATAGAATGGGCATAAATGACAATCCCGAGAAATCACACAATCAGCCACCGACCTCACGACAGCAGGAAGGAGAACTTAAACTTCCAGCTGACAGTAATTCCAGCAAAGACATAACGCTGGAACTCGCCAGTTCCCTTCCCGAAGGTCATATGCAGCCAATGCCATTCAGTGAAGAAAGCACACGCCCGCATAATGAAGTGCAGGTGCAGCCTACATGGCCAGAAAACCCCAATGATGGGAGAGACAACTGTCGTACATCGTCAACACCGAGCAGAAAGCGCAAATCCGTCGCGAGCGACGGTTCTCTAATGTCACATGAAGATAGTATCGAAGCCGATATGCCTGCAAATAAGCGCCTGAAGGAAGATTATAGCAACGGCCAAGCCTCGGGTAATAAGCTTGCGACAGCTATAAAAACTGCTGGTGTTGAGGTGGACCACAAGCCGAACGATAACGTGACCATCCAAGGGAACAATAATAGCTGTGAGGCGGAGAGTATTAAAAAACGTCCGCAGATAAACAAGACGCTAGAATCCTCTCAGATTTCTCGAAATGTTTCCCTGTTCATTGCAAAGCAGAATGCAAAAGGACAGAATACTGATACCACGGGAGATATTCAAAATATCCAGAACGATGCTGAGGACCAGGACTGCAATCGAGCAAGCCCAATGCAGCCTCAGACGTTGGAGACAGAAGCACACCGAGAGCTTAAACATGCTCGTAACACGAACAACCGTTTATCAAAAGTGCAAATGCAGAATCAAAGCCAAGTGAGCGATGCAGACATAGAAATAGCAACTTCCGCCCCGAATGCGGATTCAATCGACGGCTCTTCGGGGCAAAGAAGTGGAAGTCTTAACGCATCCGCCCATGGTGATTATACCGCCTCGGCAGTTCATAGCGTGATCATGATCAGTAGTGACTGTGAAGAACTCCAGGGTAACATGATTGTAAACAGCACTTCTATCAACGACCTATCCGAAGACACGGTCACTGTGGGGCATACCATGAAAGGGCCATTGGATTCTCAGATCAAGACTGTCGACGAAAATGGAAGTCCTCGCCCCCGTCAAATTTCCAGAAGATCCCGAGTCAATGGTGTTCAGCTTGGATGTGCACAACAAGATCAAGAAAAACACAAAGAGAAACCCGGCGCGCCATCACCAGGGATTCGCGGTAATGCCGCCGGAAAAGTAACGAATGATGTAGAGAGCGAGCGTTTAGAGGGCGGGTTTGAGGAAGACAGCACGGGTATCGCAAGCCACAACATTTCGAATGATTCTTCTTCTTCTCTGAACCCACCAGAATCAACCTTAAATAAACGTCACGCCATATCTGGGGTACCGGAAACCACAAATCGCAACCCAAAGCTAAATACAAGAGCCAAAGGAAAACCGAAAGAGCCCTCGACTGTCATAAAGAAACTTAAAGGAGTTGTTAATACATCTCGAAATGTAAACAAAGTCCGCAGAAGCACCAGGATATCGAAAGCACCCTCATCGCGAGGTCGCAACAACAACCGACATATTCCAAGGGCTAGTAGCGATGGTGTTGATGCATCAGGTAATTCCCAGGCTGAAACTAAAACTGAGAACGTCGGTTCCTCCGAGGCTGTGTCCTCAAGTTGGACCACGACCTCGTCGGAGGGTATCAGTGGCGATGCTACGCAGGAATGGCAAAAGGCGCTACGGGCAACACAAAAAGCCACGCTAGATATCTTGTTGGATACCAGTAATGTAATCTTACCACGAAATCGTGTTTTCCTGATATCTATGAAAGATGCTAACTGCAATGGTTTATAGCGCCTGGTCCGACATTTGATGAATGAAGAGGCGGCCATTCTGAATGTCGTCGACGTGTATAAGAAAGGGGGTGACAGAATACTTGATCAGTTGGAAGAGATGCACAAAAAGAGTTTAAATACATTTCTGGGAAAGTTGCGGCCAGTCAAAAAGGGCTTGAATGACCTTCGTCAGGGTATTTTGCGCCAATTGGAAGAAAACGAACTGGTATTGGGCGATATCGCCACGAAGAAATTCTCCAGGAGATGCGAGAAGAATAAACAAGCGCTGCAGCGAAAGATTGAGAATACGGCGAAGAAAGTGTGAAGGCACGGCAGCATCAAGAATAGAATAAGCTGTTTTTGATTCGCAGACCGGTATCGGAGATTTTTAGCTGTACCACGGTGCAGCCAGAGACTTCTCGCCTGTTTGACTTTGAACCTCGTCGTCTCTGATGATTCGCTTTTTCTTTGTTTCTATTGGCAACTGCTCCTCCATGCTCCGTACACGACCAGTAATCTTGTGGTGGCCCTGGGCAGGCAATTGAGATATTGTTTGACATTCGCTGTATAGTCTTTGAGTCTGTATCACCTGTCCATAGCTGCTCGTTAGATAGTTAACTCATTCAAGTATTCAATCGATAATAAAACTTCCATGCCTTGGTTAACTTCGCTCTCGAGATCCCGGTGCCGAACCGGAGCGCCAGAAACCTGGCTGTGTCAAGCCCGCGATGACGTCCTGTCAACCCAAACTAAATATAGCGTGTTGGGCCAGCTCTATGAGTCAACCCGAAAGCCCCAAGAAAAAGTCTCCCAAAGAGTTCACGCTGGAGCTTCAACCTCTTTATAGTCATTCCCTCTTCCTTTGCCCAGCTCGTACAGCTGCTTGACTCTTGGTTCTTATCCACAGCGGACGGTCAATCGTATCCCGTTAAACTCCCCCGCCTTCAAAATCAAGTGAAAGCTTTGCTCGTATCCCAGCAATGGCCCCGCAACCAGTGAGCTTCGAGCCCAACCTCTTGTTTTTCATCGCTCAGCAGCTGCTAACATTTTGACTCAACAGTGGTATATTGAAAACCCCAATGTCGGGAATCGAAGCCATGCGGAGGATTGGCGAAGTAAGTATACAGCTCAATTGAGGTTCCTTTTTTTTTTTTTTTTTTTGGGGGATCGCAGTGAAACTGATGGTGTCTTCTCATCCAGTCCGCGGGTACAACCCGCTGACACCGCCCAATCTCCTCCAGCATGAGATCCCGCAAACTCCTCACTCCAAGAAGACAGTCTTGATGTCCAGAGAGGAGGCCGCCGCAGTCGTCAACGGCATTGACCCCAAGAACCGCCTCATGGTCATCGTCGGACCGTGCTCGATCCACGACCCCGAAGCTGCCATGGAGTACTGCGGCCGCCTCCTCAAGCTCAAGGAGAAATATAAGAATGAGCTCTTGATCATCATGCGATCGTACCTCGAGAAGCCACGTACTACAGTTGGCTGGAAAGGTCTGATCAACGATCCCGACGTCGACAATTCCTTCCAGATCAACAAGGGTCTTCGCATCGCCAGGCAGCTGTTCGTCGATCTGACCGACAAGGGAATGCCAATTGCCAGCGAAATGCTCGACACCATTTCCCCCCAGTTCCTTGCCGACTTACTCTCCGTTGGCGCGATCGGTGCCCGAACCACCGAGTCCCAGCTCCACCGCGAGCTCGCCAGCGGGCTATCTTTCCCCGTAGGTTTCAAGAACGGCACAGACGGCTCTCTCGACGTAGCCGTGGATGCCATTGGCGCCGTCAAGCACCCCCACCACTTCCTCAGCGTAACCAAACCTGGTGTCGTCTCCATCGTCGGGACGATGGGCAACGAGGACTGCTTCATCATTTTGCGCGGCGGCAAGAAAGGCCCTAACTACGACGCAGCCTCCGTCGCAGCTGCAAAGAAGAGACTCATCGAAAAGGCCGTCAATCCCAGATTAATGATTGACTGCAGCCATGGCAACTCGGAGAAGAACCATAAGAACCAACCCAAAGTTGCCGCCAACATTGCAGCTCAGATCGCTGGGGGAGAAACCGCTATTATGGGCGTGATGATCGAAAGTCATATTAACGAGGGTGAGTCACTACTTTTTGACTACCTCTAGAACCAGCCTAATGCATTCTTCCTTTTCTACACAGGCAACCAACCCGTCTCACCCCAGGGCAAAGCTGGCCTCAAATACGGCGTCAGCATTACCGATGCCTGCATTGGCTGGGAAGACACAGAATCTGTCCTTGCCACCCTTGCAGACGCGGTAAAAAAGCGGCAAGCCATCGAGACAGAGAAGCCCAGCTCGTAATTTAATCTAAGACGCGCCATGTCCAGCCTAGGGTACGGAGAGGAAACCGCGCATGTCTCAACGGGCGTATGGAATAACGTTTTTCTACCTGAAATAGATAAAAAGGGTTTGATGTGTCTTGAGTCTTTCATCTCGGTATCCACGTGCATGTTAATTTATTTACCTTTCTTACACGGTTTCTTCATCTTGCATCGCACCCCTCCGTTTTGGGTGCTGTTTGCATGGTGGTTATGGCGCACCAAATCTCATCAACGCCACAAAATTTTATATCAAACTAGGAGTATGGATCGAAGAATTACGCGGGAGGGGCAAAAAAAATAAAAAAGGCACGGTCCATTCGGTGATGGGAATCCCCGGCTCTTCTAGCATTTCGGGCGTACTTTAGTTATTGTGGAATTTTCGGAAAATCTGTCCTTCATGTTCAGTGCCATGTCAGATGTCCTTAGTACCAATTTGGTCCGCTTTTCATCAGCACAACATTAAATTAGCAGATGCCTCCGATCAATCAAAATGTAGAAAGAAATGGTGAGTGATAAAGACGATATGCTAAAGGGGGGTATCCGAGGGGAAAGGAAAGGTACACATTATATCCGTAGAATGTGCTGAACTAAGAGAGGAACCACCGGGAAATGCACCGAAATAACCTAACGAAGGAAAAGATCATGGCGGACGTGATCATATATGCTCATTAAAATCCGGGGAATTAACACGGAACTCAATGCATGAAGGATGTCGAACAAAATTAGTTGTCATCATACCACCTCAGACGAGTTTCGTAGCGCAGTAATCGGATTCGCTCGATGTGCTGTTCCAGGAATCCATGCCTCATCCAGCGGCAAAATAAGATTAGGGTTGACGTACTTCCTCAATCTCGGCGCTAGGTCCTGTCCCCTAAGTCGGAGGGGTATAGAGTCCCGTTCCCATTGTGAAGGTGGAGACAGGGTTGATGTCGGAGTGGGACTTTCATCCGATTCAGCAGCACGGTCACGGTCGATGCTCCGCAGGGCGATGAATTTCATCAACGGGTCGTAGGTCCTGGAGAAAAAGTAGAAGAACCACACTGTTCCTGCGAGCAATGGAACAATCAAGATCGAACGTGTGATTGCTCTTCGCAGTGCGAGGATGCCGATCATTGCAAGTTGGAAGACGAGAAGTCCGACGATAACGCGGCTGCATATCATGGGCCAGGCACGACCGGTGGAATGTTGTCGGTGATCCATGGCGTAGAGAAGCTGGTATTTGTAAATGAATCGGCCAATGCAGAAGTAGATGAGGCCAAAGAGGCAAACAAGCCAGGAGCTCGGGAAAACGCTGTACACGATGCAAATGATAAAGATGAGGATAGTTTGTGGGAGTGCGAAGCCGTAGTTAAACATAGGGGGTTTTTCCAGGTCAGCGTAGTCGCGAGGCGTTTTCGCTCCTAGTAAATGAAACGGGTACATAGCTACACTTCCAAATTCTAGCAGGCGAAAGGGAAACAGACCCAATCCTTGCAACACGATCAAATTCACATAGAACGGTGCAAGAGTTTCGAGTGAGCGAGCCAAGGCAAAAGCCACTGTAGTTGTATCTTTGAAAACATCTCTGAGATTCTCCCAGAAACCATAAAAGTTAGAGGCAGTTGCAAAAACCGTGAAGACTAGGAAGAGATTAAAGAAGGTGAAGAAGAAGTTCTTCGATATGACGGATAGCTCAACGTCTCCGCGAGAAATCATCCCCTGCATATTGGCGAGCCCTGAGTTGTGAGGTTAGCATTCAAATATCTAGAGAAGAACCATGAGTGGCGACTTACAGTTGTAGATATATGGAGCTGAGACGGTCAGCAACGAGAGGATTAACGTGGGAAGACCCGTTTGAACCAGAGACTTGACCAAGGGGTGACGGGAGAGTGCATCCGCTAATTGGGGGATGACTTTCTCGATTGTCTCCAAGTTTAGCAAGTATGCCAGCGGGATGAGGAGAACGGACCAGAACACGGTCAGGAAGCCAATCACGAACGTGACAGACCATGATCGAAACCATCTCTCGGATCTAGAAAGATATGTCTTCTCCCAAACCACATCCCCCGGAGCAGGAGCTAAACTAGCAACAAATTGCATTGGAGACGGATCCAAGATCGCTTGGACGGCCATCTGACAAGCAGCTATTGACTCCATTGTCACAAATGCGAGGTGGGTGGGTGGAAACTCTTTCTCTCTGGTGGCTTCGATGGTTTCATCAAGGCAGCGCAGCTTTTCTTCGTAATAATCAATAGCATCAACGGATCTATATCTCAGCTTGAATGGTCCATGCCATAAGCGAACACTCGGGCGTTCATGAGCAAAATCGGGGACATGGTCCTGTTCTTCGGCTGATAGCAATGCTGTGGTTTCGCCTTCTTCGTCGACTCGATCCAATGCAGATCCGGGGGCGTTGTCACCATGAAATCGTTTTCGTAGTCTCTTCGGTTGATATCCCACGTGTCTTGTCCATGCTTCTTCCAATTTCTGAAGCACCTTCTTTCGTTTATGGATCAAAGTGTCGAGTTCCCTCCAGTCGCGACATAGAGTTAAGTTTTCAATCTTTCCAATTCCAAGGTTTTCTATGAACTCCTTGATCTTTTCCTCTGATCTCATTTCAGGTGGAATTCCAGATAGACGAATCGTGCGATCGGTCATCGTGGTTTGGCTCCCCAGGCATTGTTGTCGTATCCGAATAATTTTGTTCGTCTGGTCGACTAGGAGATAGATTGCCAATCCAGTAAAGACGTATGAGAATACGACATACATCCATAAATACGTAGGGTCGGTTTTGGGTTCTTCTTTATCTCCAATCGCGGTTATATGCCCCCTACGAGAGCGGTATAGGTGCGAGAATTCTGAACTATTGCCATCTCTCCCATCCCAGGGGTATCCGTACTTTCCAGTATAAACGTAATGAATCGGGAGAATAACAATCAGGGAGAAGAAAAAGGTTATAGTCAGGAAGTTGATAGCATATTTGTAGAATGAGAGGAACTAGGAATCATGCAGAGACTCAAGTTAGTGTCAGTCCTCGCCGAACAGCTCAGGCGGGCAAACATACGACGAAGGCGTCCAACCCCGCGGATGCCAATACTTCATCATCGCTAATTTTGTACAAAACCGGAATCCACCCAAACATTGAGTCCGGGAGCTCGGGAAGCCTCGAAGCGGCCGTCCTCAACCGTCGACGCGCACTGTACAGCACTCTCCATTTCGGTCGTAGAATCTAACATCAGGCCCTCCACTTAGTAACTCAGATTCCTCGTCTTCCCACGATCTCACCAAGGTCTCATGCGTAACAGTCAAGAACATACACAAAAAGTCAGAAACGCAATCAGCCCCACCGCGGAACTGATCACGATCTGGGTATACAAGTCCCGCTGGCCTCTCGCCTGGTCTTGGAACTTTGGCAGGTCATCATCCCCATCGCCACCGGAGGCAAACGAGTGAAAGGCAGTGTTCGTGACAGTAGCCGCAGACAAAAGGGAGAGCGTCATCGAGGTATGATGCCTTTCCCCTGGGCCTAGTTCTCTCTGGTTGGGCTTCGAAAGCGGTGTCGCGTCGACAATGATGGCGGGGCAGGCCGATTTTCGCAAGCTCGATTGGTTTCAGAGGCAATACAGATCGCGCAAAATAGCCCTCAGTGGTCTGGACTATTTTCTGTCGCACTCACAAGCCAAGCGGATGTCAGCTCTGGAGTTCTGCAGGATATTTCCATTCGCCGGAAACTTGCCTGGCGCGCCAATGACGTCCTGCCGCATGGCCGGATCGCGGAGAAACGAAAATCCGCCTTAGCCGCGGCTCCGCACAAGCGCTGTACATCACATCAACCACCAAGCTGGACATTACACATGGACAGCAAATATTATGGGAATTTAATATTATTACGGTTGATATATGACATTAAATCTAAGCAATGACCCCAAAAAGGTGGGAAGGAAGAAAAAAATCAGACCAAGCAGGACTATGGAAACATCACCTTAGACACTCAAGGAAGCCGACCTTGCCTTCTGGATCTCAGAAGCATCATAATACAGGGCCAGCAAACACGCTGCAGACCACGCCTGGGTCGGTGACTAAATGGGTGCACAATGCCATTAGACACTTACGTCTCTTACAGGTCAAAGAAGGGATAAAGGACTTACCGAATCAACACAAAATTCCCCGTTCTTATTCGTCAATTCTGTCAGACCTTTCCATGTACTCTCCCTCAGGGATTTGCAGCATCTCTCCAGTCGCATGGTAATCTGCTGGGATATGTCCATCAAGCTCTGATGTGAACTATTCCTCAACAGAGAAAACTTCAACAGCGCTTGGAGAAAGTACCCAGTTGGCCATAACCATTCGGGGCCCTGATGATAGTTCCTCCCCTTCGAAGTTGCAAAATCGGTAGAGTCTTCCGAGTTGTTATAATATGGCCTGTAGTTCAGGTCGGTCGGGTCAAGCGTTGCCATCCCCAGTGGCCCGCGAAGGACAACGTCAGCGATGGTCAGAGCATGAAACCCCCTTTCTGCATCGAAAAGGTCAGGTGCAACAGTCATCGCAATAGTAAAGTTGGGGCGGAGCTGATAGTCCTCATAAGGTTGACTAGATTTATATATATCCTTGTATATTCCGCGACGGTTCACGAGTTTGCTGTCCACGTTGAAGTCCCGGTCTTCCTCAGAGTCCACAGGGACATAGTAGCACTTTTCGAAGTGTGTTTTGACCCTCGTTGCCCAGTCATCGAAAGTAATTGTTAGTCCAGACTCAATGTCAACGCCTGAGTACGGGTAGTGGCCCTTTCTCCGTAGATCGGACACCCAGCGCAGCGCACTGTAGAGCAACCCAGAAATTTCAATCGGTGCGCCGTCTCTTGGAGTACCTGGATATCCCTGGTTTTTAGCCTTTACGCTCTCTCCCATTTTATCCATCCATGTCCCGCAATTCCACCGATTCCCTCCGAATATAATCCCGGTCTCCCAGTCAACATGGACATCCACCTGAAATCCCTCGGGCTTCATCTGCAAGTCCAGCTCCGGACCAGCGTTGTGCTCCCTATACGAGATACCCGATGCATGCCTCTGGAAGACCTCCTGGATAATTTCCGCGATCGTCGAACTTCTACTATACGCTCTCTTATCGTCAAACGGAAACCAAGTATCATCGTAGGGTAAGAATCGTCGAGGAACATTTTCCTCCAGAATTCGAATACCATTGGGAACGATATGGGTATAATCTTGAATAGCCTGCAAGAAGAACCAAACGGAATCACGAGAGTTGTATCTAGGGAACTTTCCAGACGAAAGTAAGTTGGGTATCATGCCATGTTTTAACGTGCTTGCAAAGGCAAGGATATGCTCTTTTGCATCGTCAAAGCGTCCAGTGGCGAGGAGTAACCCACGAAGCGAAATGAAGACATCGCGGCCCCAGCATCTCGCCCAGTCTGTTGCAAAATGAGGAAGACCGGCAGCAAGGCAAGGCACCTGCTTTGTGGGATAAAGTGAAGCAGACTTGACCTCCCCCATCTGCTGTACGCTAACCAGCGCCAGTTCGTGAATGAAATGTTGTCCATGCTCAATAATAACCCCGAGACAATGAATTGCATGTCTGCAAGCTGCATCGTATGCAGCCTTGATAATGATGGTGAAGTATCGGGGCAGCAAGAAATTTGGTACTCGACGTACAGCGTTGAATCTGTCTTCGAGCCACTTTGTCGGTCCTTCAAGTTGTGAGTAACCCTGTTGCGTGATAGCCCGCCGCATCCTTCCGACGACAAAATCAAGCGCCCATTGGCCGGCTCTAAGATTATCACAGAGTGGATGACCTAGGTCATTCGTTTTAATTATCTCTTCGAGAACACTCCACCATCCCTGAAGGCCAGCATAAACAAGAGGGCCAAAATTTGGGATCTTGTAGACTCCGTCCTTCCCGCCGCTGGACTCTCTTTCCTCGGAATCACAGCGATACAAGGTGAAATTCAGGCCGGTAAGATCAACAGAGCGGAAAGTTGCATCTGCATCAGCGGTGATAAATTCACTCAGGCCCACCGGTAAATCTCTTTCATGGATATGTGTTTTTAGTAAAGCAATTGAGCCCGGTGGAAAATCATCGGGGGTATATATTATCGTATCGTCTCCATTCTCTTCAATCCGAAACCCAGATATTTCAGAAACACGGCTGGGCAGACCCCTCAGGTACTTCTCATCAGCGGCTACAATTCGCTTAGCTTCGGTATCATTCTCAACTTCCAATTTCCAGGCCCCTAAAAGTGATGCTTTGGTGCCCGTTAAGTGAATTGGAGCGAGGATGTGCTTAACATTAGACGCAGAAAATGCGGTACGTGATATAAGTAGTGTCCCTTTTCTCGTGTGTGGATGTACCCTGTGAACCGTTATGTACTCTGCATCGTGGTGAATATGAGTCTCATCATATTCCTCAATCGCCATCTCTGTATGCAGGCTGTTCAAAAGCTTCTTTATTCCACCAATACCTCCTTCGCCAGTGGCGTCTTGGACGCCGTTTTCTGAAAAGACTGAATGGTATGAGCGAGTTTCAGTGACGAGATTCACATGCTCAGGATATATCTCATCGTAACCCATGACACTTCCAATCGCAGAAGCGCACATTGCGACCAGAGCTGCATTGGGCAATGTATCCCTCGGATCTCGCTTTTGAGCAGGAGTTTCATTATCATGAGAACAATCCATGAAAAGAGCATGCACCGTAGTTGGCCGAATATGGTGGAGGACAACTTTGGTCTCCATTTGACACCAGTGAGATAACAAGCTTGGATCAAAACTGCCAATTGGAAGACCACCGTGGCGATGAACCAATCGACTTAACTCAGCAGCGCTCCATGCCTGCATAGCTTCTCTAATCAACGCTGTCAATCCAAGTCGTTTTGTAAATAAATAATCAACCTTCTCAGAACCCGTGAATAGCTCCGCATAAACCATTAAGTTCGGACGAATACGCCGAGCCTCATGTAACAAGTATTCCGCAACGGGCAGGGGTGTGGAGTGACAGTTATCAATGCGAAATCCTGCAAAATGTTTCGCCATTAACTTTGTATATCGAGTCATGTAGTCCCATAAAAATGGATTATCCTCCGGACAATTCCCATAACGCAGTTTAACGCAGTCCCCCCAAACGATAACTTCACGTTTTAGGTATGCCCGACAACCCGGCCCAGCGTTGTCCCTTAAAGCGTCGGCATTCCACACCCACCCGTTGTTAACCAAGGCAAGCGACCTTGGGCTATGCGCTTTAGTGATATCATTCAACGGAAGACGAGTAAAATACGTTTCGACGAGTGGATTCTTTGGAGTGACGGGGCCCAGCTTAGGCCCATGGTCATCGAGGCGTAGATACTTGATCCTATGGAATAACTGGTCAAATATTTCCGAGACGTCGTCGTCAAACTCTCTGAACAGTGGCAAATTCAGAGAATCCAGAGTTTTGAAGACATTCTCTTCCACGACAGGTATATCTGCTGTCGTTTCGTCGTATCGACCGTATAGCGCAGTGATGAGTGCAGCACCGATTCGAGGATTTACTTTTCTGCTGTATCTCCCTAAAATCTGGTTGTCATTTTCAAGTGCCTTTTCACGTAGGAAAGCAGCTTTCCTTTCAAACGGCCACTGTCGAATTTCGCTTAAGCCTCCTACTCCGACATCCCCGAAGCCGCCTTTTGGATAATCAAGATTGCCAGATTTCCAGGCTTTGATGATTGCCTCCGTATCACGCTGAACATTGACCGAGTAAAATTCCCAAAGCTTAATCTTTTCAATAACATGTGGCCTCATCTGCTGCATGACGGAAACCAGATCCTCGACGGTTTTAAACTCTGTGGGTAAATCTAGACTTTGCAACGCATTTCCATAACTTAACAGAGCGTCGTCCAACTCCAGGGCAGCTTCTAACCAAGGGGCAGTTTCCACATTATAGCCAGCTTCGGGATGTTCCTGGAGCCATTTGCTGTTATGTGCTGTATGGTTCCATACAATATCAGTCAATGCAAGCAGTCCGTACTCCTTTTCCATTCTCGTGACCATATCTATAACATCGCTTTCTCCATTCGGAAAACATTGGCGATCAAATTCTAACTGGTTGTATATGCTGTACGGAGAATTTGACGCCCCTCGAGTCATTAAGGGCGTAAAATGAACAACATTATATCCCCGTTGCCCAATTCCCTGAAGATGCTTGTTCCAATCCGCCGGGAACTTGCCCATGAATTTGGAGACGATAGAGAATATCGAAAGAGACTCGACGGGCATTCGTTTGCCATTAAGCCTAATATCCGGACACACATCTATATAGTACGTCTCCGTTCTTATTTCGGTTTGGGGCGAAGGTGCGAACGAGTCCGAGAGTTTGGGAAGAAGGCTGTAAGTGATATAGAAGGAAAAGGCTCCTGCACACGTAATTGGGATATCAATCTTGAACTCTCGGTTGAATACCGGTTTCAGTCCATAATTTACCATCAGTTTACGGTTGTAAATGATGAGCAAGGCGAACGGGTCCTTACTTGAATTCCCTGAATTTGTTGCTTTTAAAGCACTCTCCCGGAGCTGGAATATTCACCCACAATCTCCCCTTCCGACAAATAGCGCTACTTCCCCCGATCACAAACCGAAGCAGATATGGGGGATGGGTCGGAGGAGGGAGGTAGATAAAACCTCCCGGAACATCTGGAGCGCCATCGTTGGCCAACGGAAGCAAATACACGTGAGTTCGGGTCGCCATGCTGGGTGAGAATTATGCAAACGATCACAAGGGCCGTAGCCCAGCCACAGGCCCCAAGGTTATTCTCTGGGCCACGATGGTCGCCGAGTTGCGCACAATGGCAGTCTATAGCTGGTGAAAGCAAGGTCGAGGGATGAGTAGAGGGAAAGACAAGGTTCGCATGATATGACGTCAGGTGACTGACCGGTGAGTCTCGCATTCTGTAGGTCGTACAACAAAAGCGAACGCTATACTCTGTACTAGGTAGATTGAGCTCCAATTGGTGGGAAGAAGGGTGCTACATGGTCAAAATCTTGGATGAAAGGACATATTATGGTGAGAGGAGTTCATAATTCACAGAGCTTAGACAAATCAACACCCTAACAAGCGCCCTTCTCATCATCTCTGTCACAGTCCATCACGCATCAGGGCATTTGCGTGTTCACCATCTCCATCTACTCCTTAACGAGTATATGGATCAGCCGCTAGTTTTCAAGGACTTGTCATGCGTATTGTTTGCATACCAGCGAGCTCTTCCAGATTGACTAGAAAGTTGGTCGACGATGCCTTTTATGCTTCTGTGGGGCATAGGAGTTATGGAACGTCTATGTTCCCATTGCTTGCCATAGCCGCAGTACCCAGCCAAAGACGTCGCACTTCCTTCTGAGCTAGAATCTACCAGCCGGTGCTATCAGGTCTTCCATATCGAAGAGATTATTCCACTGTACCCCAGCACCAGCCCCACCCCACGGTTCGGCTATGTACCTCTGGTTGTTTGTACCAGCGGAGAAGGGTTACTGGTGGGGAAGGAGGCGAAAATTAGAAAATCTAAGGTTGTCGTTATCTTCAGCGCCGCTCAGATACACCTATTCGCGCAGAGAGGGGCGATGAGCTTGTTATGTACAGTTCCAGGGAAGGGTAGACAAGCGGCTGATTTGGATCCCAGTTGCCCTTCAGCCAGTCAAGATGATCGCGTCAATGTAGGCATGCCGGCCAGTCGATGGACACGGGAGAAGTGCTTCCACAAGATCGAATTTTTTTGGTGTGACGTGACGACCCATTTTCTCTTATTGTAGTGGACAGTCTGGCCATTTGTCCCAGCACCATCCATCCCAATGGCGCATTTCGTGGAAAAGGGCGATTTAGCGAGTATAGCAGCAGAAGACATAAAGTAACAGAATGTTATTAGACCAGAAGCCGCGTCAATATCTTTACGTACATATATATCGGCATTTGGTCATGTGGCTGTTTTGTTCGTAGTTTGCAAGTCTGAAAGACAAAGGATTCGGTAGACCCTGAATGCTATTTTTCTTTTCCCGTGTATGTCGACTTCCAAGGGAGTTAAGGCGGGGTTCAAAGTAGGCAGATGCAGGTTGCTTGATCCCACTGCTGTACCAAGCGATGCCGGCACTCTCAATTTAGCCCAACTTTCCCAGCCGTCAGATTGCATCGTACTCCGATACGTTTGTCGAACTAGGCCTTCTTCAATAGACTTTGTAATCATTCGCTTTTGCTTATAGTTCCGCATTATCATTTGGGTACACAAAGTTCGTACCATGACCTAACCCTTCCAGTTTTCATCTCTTAAACTCCGGGTTTTGATCTATTGTCTGAGAGATAAAATTCCTCAGTGCAGCCCAGCGGTTTGAGGACGAAGTTTGTGTGGCATCCACAGTGCTGGCAGCTGGCTCCTTTGGATCTGCCAACCCAGTCGCCATTTGCGCCATATTCTTGGCGAACCGATCGCGCTCAACCTTGTCAAGCTTCTCCTTCCGCTTCATAGCGCCGGGTCTGTGCTTCAAACTTTTATGTCGGATAATGTTCACTTGGGCGTCTTCGGGGGCTTCATCATCGGCGTCGGGTAATGCATCAGCGAGAGAATCGAGGTTGGCGACGAGTTTTTTCGACGGTCGACGCCTTTTGAGGGGTTTCTTGCGGGATTTTTCGATCTTGGAGACAAATGCTGAGTGCTTAATGATGCGTTTGTCCTTTTTCGAGGTATGAAATCCAGAGTCGAAGGAATCAAATGTATCAACAGCTTCCTCCCCTGCTGAAGACGCTTTTTTCACTGAAGAGGAGCTCAAGGCCTTGGACTTGGACTTGGGACGGATGGGGGCCTGAATACGTAGAGAGTCAGAAACAACTAGCCAACGTAAGACTCCGGGTAAAAGGAGCCAAACAAAAAAAAAAAAAAAGGGCTTGCTCACCATTGTAAGTACTAGGCAATTATCATGGGACTGCAAGGCCGCTCAAAAATGTCCGTTTCGCTTTCGCAGATTCCTCAAGAGTTAAAAAAAAGAGAAAAAGGCGCGTTTGCTCTGTTTGTCCTCCAACTGAAGGACTTATATAATCAACATGTGATTGGCTGAACCTATTACTACGTCATACCACGTGATACGTTCCAGACAAAAATCGAGCCCCACTTGGCGGAATTATGTAAGCCCCCACAGAACCCGACGATCGCGGCATGTGATTGGCGGGAACTCGGGCCGGGCAAGGATTGTCGAGCTTTGCTTGCTTTCCTTTTCCCAACACTCGCGTGCGACCGAGATTTTGGGCTGGCAATCCAGGCACGTAGCACGAACCATTGTTGAGGCAAGGCACTGGACGCTCCCCCAGGTTCCCCCCGCTCCAGACGCCACCCTCCCCTTCTTCCCCGTATTACCCTGTAGACTGCATGGGAGTCCTGCGGGTTTCCGTTGTATCGCAACTCGCTCTTCTCCGTCCATCAACAGCTTTTACTTCTCAACTATCTTCACATATCACCGTCTCCTTGCCCCGCGCATTTGTTTCTTTGAATCTCACCTTCCAGCGAAAATACACCATGGCGCGACTTTCTCCGTACACGAAGAAACACAAAGTGACCGTGGTCGGTTCTGGCAATTGGTGAGTTCCTCAGCGTCTACTAGGACCTGGTTAGGGGGTGGTTCTGACGGTGGCAATAGGGGTTCCTCAATTTCCAAGATGGTCGCAGAGAACGTCGCCGCGAATCCGGATCTCTTTGAACCTGTTGTCAACATGTGGGTGTACGAAGAGCAGATTGAGATCCCCAAAACGTCAAGACACTATAACCCTTCGTCGCCGCTCTGCAACAGCCTGCAGAGCCTTTCAGACGTAATCAACCAACTACACGAGAACGTCAAATACCTACCGAACATTACCCTCCCAGACAACCTGCGCGCGAACCCTTCCCTGGAGGACTCCGTCAAGGACTCCAGCATTTTGGTCTTCAATCTGCCTCATCAGTTCATTGTGGGCATTTGCCAGAAACTCAAGGGTCATATCTTGCCATACGCCCGAGGGATCTCCTGCATCAAAGGTGTGAGCGTGACAGACGAGGGAGTAAGCCTGTTCTCAGAGGTTATTGGCAGGGAGCTGGGGATCTACTGCGGTGCATTGTCTGGTGCCAACATTGCAAGCGAGATCGCCAAGGGCCTTTACTCCGAGACCACGATTGCATACGACCCACCACACCTAGACTCCAAGGCGCCAACACCCCAGAACATGTCACCCGTTTCGTCGATGGTGAACGTCAACGATATAGTGCATTTCCAGCACAGAGATTCATCGGGCAGCTACTCGAAGGTGAAGCTCAGGCCCTTGCCGGCGGAATACCCTCCGGTTGACCACGTCTTCATCAAAACTCTATTCCACCGCCCTTACTTCCACGTTCGTGTGGTCCACGATGTCGCTGGTGTGTCTCTCGGAGGAGCGTTGAAGAACATCGTGGCCCTAGCTACTGGTTTCGTTGACGGGAAGGGATGGGGCGACAACGCGAAAGCCGCTATCATGCGTGTTGGATTGTTGGAAATGGTAAAATTCGGCAAGAAATTTTTCGGTGAGACGGTCAACCCCCAAACTTTTACCGAGGAAAGCTGTGGTGTCGCCGACCTCATTACCAGTTGCAACGGCGGCCGCAACCACCGCTGTGCCAAGCTTGCTGTTGAGCGCGGCTTGACGGTCGAGGAGGTCGAGAAGACGGAGCTCAACGGCCAGATGCTGCAGGGTACACTCAGCGCCAGAGAAGTCCATGCCTTTTTGAAGAAGCAGGGGCTCGAGGATGAATTCCCTCTCTTTACGGCTGTTTACGGTAAGTCTACAAAGCCATCCCAGCCTACATCGTAGCAGCCACTCATGGTACTCTAGGAATTCTTGAGGGCAAGGTCAAAGTTGACGATATCCCATCCCTTATCGAGCAATAAACGCACCAGGTCATACTTTTCCTCCTTTCTTCATTGCCCTTACATTACCCGACGCCATTAGTGCTTTCTCTGGATACCAGTCATGTAGAATTGACATGCATTTATGGGTTGTTTATGTTATTTTATCTAATGTCGAAAATTTCGAACCCTAGCATGAACGAGTGATTATTTTTGCGATTACCCTGCTTCAACCTTGAGCTTCAGTATGGAACAGGATCAGAGAACGGGTCAATTAGGATGGGGGATAGATAACATGTTGGCGATTCCGGGGGGGGGGGCGAGTTTTGTTCTTTTAGAGCATCGCGCAGAGTAGTTTGGCAGCGTATTTAATCGAAATATAAATCTAACCGACTTTTCCCAAAGGGAACGTTTTGCTTTTCATTGTGGTATTTGGTTTTTGAAGTACAAACATCTCCGGCCTGATTTGGCGGAATAAATTCGCGATCCCCTAGTATGAACCTTTTGCCTCTCGGGAACTCTGGAGCCCCTCTCATCATCATCAAGAAAGTTCATCCCCTCGAAAAACAACACACACCCGAAATCAACACCAGCATGACCTCCATAGAAGATACCCGCGCCTCCCTCCAAGCTCAAATTTTAAAAGCCGAGCAGCACCTCCTCCAGCTAAAGCAGCAACTCGCTGAGATCGACCACCAAGCCTCCCAAGGTAACACAGACACCGCAACGTCATCTTCTAGTGCGGCTACGACGACTGAAAGTTCGGATTTCAACAATCGCGTTCGAGAGGATTTTTGGAAGCGCAAGTGGCCTTTGCAGCAGGATGAGTATCGGCGCTATGGGCGACAGATGATCGTTGAACAGATTGGTTTGCAAGGTACGGTCCAGTCTTTGTCTGGCTTGCTCTCCAAGCCTCCGCCGTGGGCATAGTAGTAATAATTATTTTTTTTTCTCTTTATTTCAACTACAACAGGGCAACTCAAGCTTCGGAATGCGGCAGTTCTCATCGTCGGCGCAGGCGGCCTTGGATGTCCTGCAGCGATGTACCTTGCCGGTGCCGGCGTGGGCACCCTTGGAATCATCGACGGGGATACGGTTGAAGCTTCGAACCTGCACCGACAGATTCTACATCGGACCAAAAATGCCGGAAAATATAAGGTGGATAGCGCAGTTGAATATTTAGAAGAGTGGGTTAACCCCTTTGAAGGGCTCGGCTATTCGACACTGCTAAAAAGCTATATAATACAGACTAAATCCGCATCCCAAGTATATTCCCTACCGGACCCGCCTAACACCGTACGAAGCTCCAGATATTTTCGAAAAGTACGATGTTATCTTGGACTGTACGGATAATCCGGCCACAAGATACTTAATCTCCGACACGGCTGTGCTGCTCGGAAAGCCAGTAGTATCTGCGTCGGCCCTTCGGACTGAGGGCCAGTTGATGATCCTAAACTACCCTCCGAGGTCACCGGGAGATATATCAGGAGGCTCATGCTATCGCTGCGTTTTTCCCAAGCCTCCGCCCGTGGATTCCGTCATAAGCTGCGCAGATGGAGGAATCATGGGGCCCGTTGTGGGGCTCATGGGTGTGATGCAGGCTCTGGAAACGATTCGAGTCATCGCTTCGCCTATGACGGCCGAAACGGGTGAACAATCAATCGTTCCATCTCTTCACCTCTTCTCTGCATACTCGACGCCGCCGTTTCGCAATATTCGACTACGCAAGCGTAGGGCAAACTGCAGTGTCTGCTCCGCAAACCCGTCCATCACCCTCGAGTCGTTACGCAGTGGCTCGACGGACTATGTTCAGTTCTGTGGCTCTTTGAACCCGCCCTCCATTCTCGACAGTAACCAGCGCATTACACCAACGGAATACATCCAGGCCCAACTGACTAGAACGTCTTGCAAGGAAACGGTAGAGGAGCCAATCCTTATCGATGTGCGAGAGAAGGTGCAATACGATATATGTGCCCTTCCAAATAGCATCAACATACCGATCTCGCAGATATTATCATCTTCCAGCCTTACCAGTACGCAAAACCTCGGGAAGCAATCCGCCGATCAGCCTTCCTGGCTTCCAGTGTCAATATTTAACTCTTCCGATGCAGTGTACATTGTGTGCCGACAAGGAAATGATTCTCAAGTTGCAGTTCAGAAATTAAGGGAATTGGGTATCGATCGAAACGGAGAAAGGACTATTGCTGATATGAAAGGTGGACTCAAGGCGTGGAGACGCGACGTTGAACCGGATCTTCCGGACTATTGACTTATGTTCGGCCTGCGACCAAGGAAGTTACCAGAGACCATTAAATTAGCCTTTCCGCGGCATTTATATTGTATGCCACTTCGATCATATCCTAGTCGTGTGGCACTTTAACAGGGGCCTTTTCCAGCCAAGCCCATTCCACATCAACTCTGCCTTGTTCAACCAGGGCAAGTTTCTCAAACACGCTCACGGACACGTCGATGTCCGTTGGTTCGCAAGCAACACCTGTGAAGCGTAGTCAGCAACGATGCGCAACACGTACAAAAGAGAAGAAATGAACCAATGTCACGATGAAAGTGGTCGTACATCTATCAACAACAGTCACGTCGACGCTCTTGTCACCCCGTCTGAGTCGAAGCTTCAACCCACAAAGTGGGTTTTGGTTCGGGTCTGACCCTGTACTTGCGGCGTCGTACAAGATCCGCGAGACAGCACAGACATTCTCGGAGGCAGCGCTGGTTATGCCACAAGCTCCTAGGCCCGGCTCATAGTACGTGAGATCCCCGGAGTAGGGGCCACCATTATCGAGGGGTAGAGGCAGGTTCGAGCTTTTCCTATACGAATCCATTTAGCCTTCTGTTATCCAATGAAGGCAAGCAATGCCAGCAAATCAAGTCGAGAAAACGCGGGATGACGAAGCTCACTTTTTCTTCGACAAGCCCACTGCTAAGCCAATTATCAAGACCAAGAGCACAAGAGCAGCAGCTATTCCGCAAAAGAATAATCTTTGTTTCTTCTTGTTCCCGCCGAACCTCACTTCCTCTTTCAACATTGCCATTGACAATCCAAAAAATAGGCTCTTTTTAGTAGACACCGGAACGTCCTCCTTATGTTGCGCATATCCTAATGTCGATCCAGGGAGTGGCTTGCGACGAGGAACGGCCGCAAGTTGGGCAATGGCCACTCGCGCGCCTTTATCCTTCATGGCTATCTTCTCCTCGGTGACATACCCAGCTTCCCGATCCTTCAACCCTGGCAGGGAGTGGGTTCGCGAAAGCGAAGAGACAGGGCTCTCTGGCGAGGATGCCATTGTCGCATAAATGAATGGAAATAGAAATAATAACGTATTTCTCGTACGAAAATGAAGCAGTGAGTTAAAAAAAAAAAAGATGCGCGGTCGCCCCAAGGCTATTCACCGTCGTAAGCGCCAGCCAGCGCGCAGGAATGCGACAGTTGGCGCGAAACCGTCAAAAAAGGAGAGTGATAACAAAGTAGTTACAAGATTAGAGCAGGGAGTCCTGAGTTGACCCAGCCAACAGGCAGTCAAAGCATCAAGCCATGATGGACAATTGGGAAAAGAATGTACTCCGCAAGGTGACTGGATCGACGAGGTGGTAATGTCTCTGGCGGTCGCTAAGGGGCAGTCTCACTCGGGAAGGACGACGATTGACTAAGCAGCGGTCGGCTCATTATCGGACCGAAATGATAAGATAAGACCATATATTTCGTTGGTCCGAGAAACCCTTACATTTCCGAGATCTCACAGTAACCTAATTAGGAATTGTGCGAGAACTGTAATCCAAATAGCAAACTGTTGGAGCACTGTAGGATTTCTATTATCCTTCTGAAAACACTTCCTTTCAGGAAATGAGCTCCGTTCTAGAATGTAACTGAAGTTTGAACTATGAGATTGAGGATTTCATTTCAGATTGAGAGAATCTTTTCTTGATTCTGAAAACTAGGTAACTACTCCGTACTGTAGTTACAGAATTTCTGCCACTCTTTTGCTGTCTTAACCCACAGCAACCTTATTCAAACCTTACAGATCACCCTATCCAAAAAACCAATTTTGGAATTCTTTGCTATGTACTACATAACATCAGAATATTGGCATTACCCTTGTATCGAGACACTAGTCTCTATGTAGTTAGCCTCCAGCTTAGCGGCTCGGATCTTCTTTGATCCGACGCAGAGCAGTTTCATACTCTAAAAGTCCCCATAGGCATTCGAAGCGGTTCGAGAAATCTCCTCCAGTTTTCATCCCGGTTCTCATCTCAACCTCTTACAAGGTGAGAGAGCGAAGGGCACGAATGTATGGAGTTCACGTTCCGTGGTTCCTATAGCTTCCGCATATGGTTACTGTAGTAGCCTTGTAGGCCCTTCGAGACCATGGTACGCTTGGCACTGGCTTCTTGGCTCAGACTGCGTGGGGAAAGCGGGAAGTACCAACGCCTTGAACTCTTTCTGGTCCAATGAAAGCCAACCTACCACTGGATCACGTGACTTGGGATAGCTACCATAGCAGAAATGGGGAGGATTTGTAAACCGTAGATCCACTAGTCCCGATACATTTACGTCAGAATATATGTTTATCCGAATCCACAGTTGTTTGGAAGTTTAAAAATATATATGTTCTGAATTCAGAAATGTAGCTTCTGATCCTCAATATAGAAATCAGGAAATGTTCAAACCCCTGATCAACAAATATATCTAGGAACATTCAGGATACCTTTTTGGGTTTATAAATGTTTATAGTATAGAAACCATTATAGTATAGAAACCATTATAGTATAGAAACCATTATAGTATAGAAACCATTATAGTATAGAAACCATTATAGTATAGAAACCATTATAGTATAGTTACCCCAGCAGACACTGGAGAGATTTCAACTAATGTGCAATACTACATACATCAAACTGCCTGATCCATCTATAAAAAGGAAATGCTTCAAGTGCAGTTGAGAAAGATAGTTGGTAGAGCAGAATCCAGTTCAAGCCTTTCAGAATCTTTGCTGACAGATATTGTGTAAAGACTTGGTTTGCAGATTGCAGGTAGACTGATTATATGAATCTCATCCTGATTTACCTGCAAAATCAGCAAATCCAGTACCCTCTCACACCAAATTTCATGAGCAGAGAACATGACAAAAAAAACCCTCCAGCAGCTGCCCTGGTTGTGAGTGAATATGCACCTTATTTGCCCAATCTTGATGCTCAACACACAAGTATACTCAACCAGATTATTGAGTTTCAATGTAGTGTGATGTGCATCTCTATTGAATGTAAAGATCAGCTTTTGAAACAATTGGATTGGGGTTGAATCTTCACCAAGCATATGTTAATATGCCCAATCACTGCTGTATGAAAGTCAGAGCTTTTGCAAAAAGAAATGTGTAATTGGTAGTTCAGAAAGCTGCATGCTTTGTAAACCAAGCAATTCCATGACTTTGCAGCTAGCTGGTAGTTGACAGTAGGCATTGATTAAGGTATGGAAGGGGGTAGTAGCATATGAATCATCAGCTTTGTCAGCATTCTCATCATCATCTTGTTGCTTATTGTGTTCTGATCACATGAGGTCTTGCATGAGAATCAGACATTTGTGATGAAGTTGCTTCATCTGGCTGCTGATATAGAGTTCCAATTCCATAAGAGCCCCATCAAGAACCAAGAATATAGTGCATTTGAAGCTCTTATAAATCAGTAAAACCTTTTCAACATCATGCTTGTTGGTTTGCTGCACAAATGCTTTATATTTACAGTATTTATCCTCCCTGATCAGTACATTGCAGTTATTTGGCACAGTATACTTCTTTGCCTGATCAGCATAGTGCACCCTAATATGCATGTTTGGTCAGTGTTTCAAAGCATGTAACATCTTATCTGCTTTCAGGGCAATACTGACAGTGTTGATTAAAATGTCCTCCATCAGGGGTGTCACAATCCAATTGAATACTGGTGAATTCTGCTGTGATCTCAGCATCCATACTGCCCAGCTAGCCAACTGTGATGCCTTGGCAGCCATGACAGTAGCATCTATCACTTTCTGAAGTATAGTTCAGGCATTGGCAACCACACTTTTAAGTTCATTGTACCTGACAGATGTCTGAGAAGTCAATAGTGAATTGCTTCTTGCAATAGCACCAAAGATTTTAGCAAGCAACAAACATGAAATATCAGAATCAATTGACTGTTCATTAAAGAAGTTATAGAGAGCCTGCTGAACAACAGTCTGAATCCAGTCAGGCTTTAGGGCAAAATGAAGTATAATTGAGATCATAATTGAAGCTTGAGTGTGTTTCTGGATTTGGTAGAACTCCAGATAGGTAATTGGGGACTGCAGTTGGGTCCAGTGTCTCTGAAATAAAAACCTCTGTAGGGTTTGGCAGTATTCCTTCTGCCCCTCAGATGTTAATATATGTGATATCAATAATGTATGCGCAATTTTGGACAGGCCCAAAAATTCACTATAACAGAGATCAGAGAGGAAAAATGTTACCAGATTCAGTGCTGGACAGATCTTCAAAACTGGGGGACTTTCCTTGGCCAATTCATGGGTCTTCCACAGTACTTCTCACTTGCAAACAGTCTGCTTCACCTCAATTTCAGCCCACAAATTGAGTAGCTGGTAATGGTATCAGCCATGTTTCACCAAGTCAAAATTTATATTGAATCTCTCCACATCAGAGACAGTACAGCTTCAACAGGAGACTGTTGCAGTAGGGCATTTGATTCCAGCATTGTCATTTTACTGCAGCATGTCACCAAGGTAAGCAATACAAGAAGCAATGACCCTGACAGTTCCTTCACCAGTTACCACAATGTCAAATCCTCTTTCAACTGCTTGTAAACCAGGAGCCAATGCCTCCACAATATCAGGAAAATTTGTAGCATGAGGTCTGAGAGTAATTGTATATACATTGTTTTGTTGTCTTCTTTTGAAATCATTAAGTCCTGCAGAGATCATATAGAAGCCAGTTATATTTCAGTACATGTTCTGATATAAACTGAATCTGTCAATAAACAGCAGGAAGGGAATGGATATAGTCCTCTTGATAGAATCACCTGGGCAGAGCATCTTGATCAGCATATCCCTCCCATATGCCACAATTTCCAGTTCACCCTGGAGCAGAGTGCTAAGTCAGAGCTCTTGTACAGATGATGTGTGGTGAATTGTATTCATCACTTGCTGTACAAAGAACCCATTTGTTTCTGAGGGTTTGTAGCTACCCAATCTGTTAAAGATGTAGTCAAGATGAACATCCAGTCAGGCTAGAATATTATCTTCATGTATGATGTGAGTTTCCTGATCTTCCAGTAAGAGCAGCTTGTTCAGGCAAAGTGGAGGTCTCAGCAAATGAATTCTTTTATCAAAGCTGCTGACAGTAATAGTGTACTGGACAATAAGAACAATTTCACTGGGTTTTGTGCAGGCCAGTCTCTAGTCCTGACCCACAAATTAAATTCTTCCAATATGAATTTCTTGTTCATTCCAAGTGCACTTACATGCAGCATTGTTGCATCTGAAACAAACAAAATCAGAAGAAAAGACTGGTGTCCCATCAGAATACCATGCAAAGTCACTCAACAAACATCTAATGAAGCTCCCCCAGCTCCATGATTGCCACAATTTGGTCAGGTTGTCAACTAGATCAGCCATATCAATATGTATCTTCTTGCAAAATACAGGAGACCTTGCCAGTAATGACAAAAGAGCCACAGGATCCTGAAAGAATAAATTAGATGTAAGAGATGTCTGTATTAGTTGCTTCTTGGCAGGTGAAAGAGTTGGCATTTTCAATGGAACAGCTGGTATGAATGCCTGTCAGATGGGAAGTATAGGGAATTGAGCTCTGCATTTCTTCTTCAATATGCTCAGCCCCAATAATAGAGATCTCAGTGCACTGATATCTTCAGAAATCTGTAAGACTTTCCACAGTGCCTTGTAGTGTTGGTGAGATATTCCCAATTTTTTGCACCATAATTCTAAAGCAAGCATGAAGTGGTCCAGCATTTCATCAGACTCCACATGTGCATGGACTAGGACCTCCAACAGGTCATTCATTATAGTTGGGATGTAGGTCTCAGCTGGCTGGTTGCCCAATGAATCCTCTAGTTGTGAATGAAAATTGGAATCTCCATTGCCAACCAGATGCACTGGATGTAATATAGTCTGTAACCAGGGTTCAGATTCAGGCTCTTCATACTATTGTGATTCATTGTTATCAACTGATCCCATGGGTAGAGCTGCCACTGCTTCTTATATAATCTCCTGCACCCTGATGTCTTCTGGTTCAGAATGAGTGTTGGATAGAGCATCAGGCAGAGCATCAGAGGCATCTGAAAGACTTGCTGCATCCTGTACACAGTAATTAAAATGATGCAGGCTGACAGAGAATTCAAGATCTTACACTCAACCCTGACTCCTCAGTTTGATTGTTTGGCTGAATGTCAGGTTCCACTGAAGATAAAATGTGATTGCAATCTTGTGATTCCTGCAACAAATGGGCAGGCTGTCTGTGCCTTTAAAACTGTGAGGCTGGAAATGGCAAATGAAGTTATCTTCTCCAAAACATATAATTCTCTATGCACCTCAAGTACCTCAGACCTCACATGTTTACTTGAGGTTTATACACCAGTTTCTGCAGTGATTGAGTTTCAAGTTACAGGAACAGTAAGGGTTGCTGCAGAATTGCTTTGGAATAAAGTATATAGGAATTAGAAAGAAAATTGCTGTTCAATTGAGGAATCAGATGTATTATAGCAAAGTTGAATGTTAGAGCAGCTGCAAAATGTGCCAACTGTGCCACAGACCAACTGTAATATCCCAATCATCTAGATCTGTAATTGGCCCTAAGGGATGCAAGATCAGCAATAATCTGCATTCTTCTGGGTGATCAGCCTATTTCAAAGAAATCAATCACTTAGCAGTGTTGAATTTTAGAATGTAGGAGAATATGAATACAGATCTGAATAGCAACTTGAGCAGTTGAATATGCTTCAAGTCAACTATATAATAGATAGCAAACCCCTCTGAAATTCAAGCATTCACTCTCATTCATTCTCAACAGCAATCTGATAGCCAAAATGTTGGAGATACAGAGCATGCCAGTGCCAAAAAGAACAGCTCACACCTTCTCATGAGCTCAATCACACAATATGCCAAAGGCTCAAGGGGCATCATTCAGTTTGAATACAAGTATCTGAACTGAAGTGTTCTCTAATCATACAGAGATTGAAAAGTGGATTCAAGTGGTGGAGCATGAGATATGAAATCAGGTGCAATGGGCCTATATATTGATATTAAATACTGACCTGATTCCTGATACCATTCAGAAGGTGCTGAGCCTTGAGAACTGGGAAGCTGGAAACAACTCATATTTTTGTGAACTTTCCAGGCACATGTCAGATCTCTGTAAAGATTGGAAATGTAAGATCTTGAGTAGCTTGAAGATTGAAATAATGTCCCTAAACTCCTAGTTATGGTATAAACTGACCTCATTTGCAGGATCATGTCAGGGAATGTATTGAACTCAGCTTGACTGAGAATCCTGATTTTGAACTCCATGAAATAACTGATCAACAAAAGCTGATCAGCTATTTTGCCTGATTGTTCAAGTGGGACCAATTCTGTAAAGTCTTTTACTGGATCAAGCCATGTGTCAATTTTGAGAAGTCAGCTCCACAAGAAAAATGGTATTTTGAATGTAAGTCAATGGTAAATCTTAATTACCATGATTTCTGCTCTGACAGTTATGACAATAGAGGTGTATGCAAATTTAGCAGCATATGTGAAGCTGTATCTTGATAACAACAGTCTGAAATGGGATGCATCCATTCTGTTAATCTACATCTGGAATTCTGTACTCAAGCTCTGGGACTGCTTGACACAGAAACCAGAACTGAGAGATGTTAATTTGGATGACTTTGCCCAACAGAAGATCTGACCAAGGAAGCCAAAGACTGTCCATATTGAGACTTTGCCAGGAATTCTGGATATGGTCCAGTTGATATCTAGTATGCTGCCCAGGGAACCCAATTCATGTCCAGCTCAGGCAGTGCAAGCTCCACAGGAGCCAGAGAATGATAATTCAGACAAGAAGAATTAAAATCCTTTGCAGAACATCATGGAGAATTATTTTGAGACTGCAACAAATTGGCCTGCCTGTTTAAAGAGACCTACACCAGCCACAACTGGTTGCATGCTCTGAAAGAGATGCAGATTCTAGTTGAATACATGAAAAGATGCCTTCTCAGATCAAAATTGGCTGTTAGTTTGTGCTTCAAAATAGATTTTGGGGTTTGATATCTAGACTTCAATGCAATGCTCTGTTATATCAATACTTGCAAGAGCCAAATTTTGCTATATTCAATATATATCTCTTTATTGTTTACTGTAATCAGCCATAGGAGCTCTAAGCAAAATGAGTTAGCACTTAGTAATGTATAAATAGACACATCCCAATTAGAAAATCCAAAACAATCAAGTAGACATGCTAGATATAATAATCTCTTTCCACACAAAATCTCTCTCTTCTTCTCTTCTTTTCTTTCTTTCCTTCTCTTGAGCTCATTATATTTCTCATTACCCCTCTCCCCCTATTCCAATATTGAGGTAAGTGGTGGATTTCAGAATGAAATAAGAAACTGCAGCAAACTGAAGAACAATATATACAGAAATAGCAAAAAATGGCTCCACAAACACATAAATTGGCAGCAGCTCAGGACAAGCACTTCCTGATGTCCATAAAGAAGAAGCCAGGGCAAAAGCCCTCAGCTGTCAAAGAAGAGCCCACTATAATAAGTGATACACTCTATGACTGCTGTTTGACATTTGTGTATACAGTATACATTAAAAAGTCTTGTTCCTGCAAGCAAGAAACCACAAAGGCCTGCACCAATTGTGCAGAAGATAAAAAAGTCTGTGCTCCTGTCTCTTCAGAGCTGCAGAAGAAAGTGGCAGCATTGCTGTCTGATCATGATAATTTTCTCAGGCTTAAGAACACAACACTTCAAGAGGAATTGAAAGCCAGTATGGCAGAACAGGCTGCTGATCTTAGTGAATTGCTTGCCAAAATGGCACCTCTGTCAGTCTGAACTAATGAATTCCCCTCTTCCTCCCCCTTCAATGCTGAAGTTGGTGCTGCTACTTTAGCAGTGTTGGAAAAGCTTGTATTCATTCAAGCTGAACAAAAAGAGCTTGCAGAGCATACATTCTGCTCTGTTAAGATAGGTTGAACTGATTGGATATTATATATTCAACTCATGCTAATGTAGTTATATATATAGAATATTGAAAGGACCTTGGCTGACATCTGCCAGGACTTAAAGTCTAATTGTTTATCTTCTGTGGTCAGTATACTTGATGCAATGTTGGGATGAATTGAACTGACTTTGATATTTGATGACAGAAAAAGTGAAAGACAGAAGAAACTGTCTATAAATCAGCAGCCAAGATAGACTAATTTGCTGCTGCCCTGCCCTCTGCTGTGTCCACTCCTCCCCCCCCCTCCTCCACTCTGATCATGCCTTCTCCCTTCATTCAGTTGCAGCTGAATATCTCTGTGTTGGGCCTGTCTCCAACTGGAGACAGTGGAGCCAATTTGCTTGAAAGTACAATCAAGCAGCCCAAATAGGCTTGCCCTGACAATTCTTCTGTGCTGGTTTTACACCCTGTCCTTGAACCAGAGACTCCAACCAGGGAGGCTCAAATTTAAAAAAAAAAAAAAAAAAAAAATTCATTATGATTCAGGTTGTGTGGGTGGTTTGTAATACTTAGTTAGTTCCTAGTAATTGAAAAGCTTCTGAATCAGGTTCAAAACCCTCAAGTTTAAAAATATATACATTCCAAATTCTATACATTTCAGACCCTTTATACATGCATTGTAAATATATGGTTGATCTACAGTTTCAAGCTTGCGACCTGTGGTTCAACAGGTCGCGTCGGATAAACGTTTTCCGACGGTTGCCCGAAAAGCTCATTTTTCCGGTATGGTAGGTAAGGTTCCAGGGGAGCTTAACCGAACCACGTCTTGTTACCAGAACCTACCTTAGTTGTCAAGTAGCATACTCCGTAGTATCAATGAAGATAGCTTTATCTTGCTGAACCTGAATTAGAATCCTTACACTTGGACCTCCTTCCGCAGCATTGTGACTAGGGTCACTGGAGAAAGGTACTGTTCCAAGGTCCCTTGCCATACTGCATAGCCTGGACATCAGCCTTCGGCCATGAGTTAACTAACGTAACTATGGCTCTACCGATTTACATAAGCTGGATGGTTCTTCTGTAGGTGGGCGACCGGTGTCTGGCTGGCTCCATTGCTTGATTTAAGAAAGACTGATATTCCCAAATGGTAACTCCGTCATTAAACCTTTCCAGCTTCAAATAGTATTAAATAGAACAGCTAAGCATGATCTAATCTGTGGCCTCCATATCTTCCTGTGCGTCTTGAAGTATTTTTCTCATTTCCGAGCCCAGGTTTGGGTTTATTTCTTTCCATCGACCGCCGTTTGGAAAGACAACCCGTCGTAGCCTGTTGACCCATCGCGATAATGGCTGGTAGTATGGAGTGAAGTAGTCATCCATGGATGTAAGGAAATCCGATTCATCACTAATTACACCTTTCTTCGCGCCGGCCAGATCTCTTGTATTCATATAATTCCACTGTTCAAAGTCCTCCACATGCCTTGCTCTTCCTGGGCCTTCGTAGTGAATACAGATCCAGAAAAGAACCCAGAAGAACGACTCAAGATCATGCATGAATGAGTGCTTCTCCCCATACAGCACGCCAATCGCCATGAAGGCCCTGGTGCCAGTCTTGCCTCGCGCTCCCGAGAACCCATCACGTTGCGCTCGGATGGCAAGGTCGAGGTCGATTAAGAAGGACCGCCAAGAGGGGTTGTTATCATCTTCGTTGACCAAAAGATTTCGCGGGGAGATATCACTCTGGATCAACCCAGCCTTGGTGTACAGGGATTCATAACCTACAATGCAGCCTTCCATTCCGACAAGTAGAGCCACCCTTGAGCTGCTTTCGTAGATAGGCTTTCCGTAATCTCGAACAATGACGCGACGGTGCACTCGATTTGGTGGGTTACTGCCCGCGAGACGCTTTATCAGAGAGCTGGACTGGGTACGCTTGCTGGGGGGAAGGGGAAGAATTGTGTCCACACAATCAGAAGATCGTTTCCGTCCGATGGTTCTGCTTTGGCTGGTATGGCCTCTGTTGGATGCACTTGTCCTCATGGCCACCTGCAAGCTACCCTGCTTGGCCTTTGACAGAGGAACCTCTAGACCCTTTCGAATGGTCCGCACATCGTCGTCCTTGCCGTCCAACTGGACAGTTTGGTGAAAGTAATGTTGAGCAACATTCGTGACTCCACTCTCCATTGCTTTGCGCAGCAGTTCCCCCTCCTCATCGCGCTCTGGGTACTGCCAGGAGTCTTTGACCACCAGGGTCCGCTCATCCCCCTGGCGATGCGCTTTCCAGCAGGTGGTGGCTCGGCCCGCGACACAACATGCCCGCAGGATCACCGCGTCAATTATTAGACGCTCCTTCTTGCCATCGCGCTCAATCTCGATGCAGTGTCGATCGTCCACCGTGACAATGGTCGGGTCGAAGCCGAGCTGCTGTCGGTTCATGAAGAGAAACCCCAGAATCACTGTGATGAACTGAAGGCCATCCTGGTTGATGTTAGTCTCCTCCGAACCAATCCCGCCACAACGGTCGAATTCCCAAACACGCAGGAATGGTCCGCAGAGGGTGAACCCGAGGACAAATCGGCGGTCGTACTGCACAGATAGCACCTCTCTGGCATACCTTGCCAGATCAAGCCGCGCCCCAGAAGGGATATCATACTGTCGGTCATTCTTCAGTTCTCCCGGCACCAGGATCTGCGACCAGTGGTACCGTTTGCCCGGTGTGGTATGCGGGTCGTCTACAAAACCTATGTCAAGTTTTCGCTTTGCGGCGGATCCGGCGATCGGCCGAGCGGGCTGAGCCAAGGGTCGGCGGACAACCGTTCGAGATGGGTTGTGATCTTCTGCAAACTGCACCAGCCGGTCGATAACTTCAGTCAGCCATTCCAGTACAGGCTTCTCATCTGAATTGTCAGGCCAGTCCTTCCACCCGCTCTCCTCACAGTAGAGAGGGCTATCGCCAGCCTTGCAGTTCTCAAACACAGCCTGCGCGGTTGAGACAAGACCTTCAATGTCATCAAAGTAAGCTGCATAAAAGCCAGGGATATCTGCATGGAGGTCTCCCAAAAGCTCCTCCCTCAGGACAGCATCAATATCTCTTCGAAGCTCCGACGAGTTGGCGAGGCTGCCGGTGTTTCGCGAGCGCGGGGTTTGGAGGATTGACAGATATGACCTGGGTGGAGGCGTGGATCTTTCAGCGCGTGTGACGGTGGCAATGAGGTCGTAGACAGCTTTCCAAATGTCGGTGTCAGCAGCATTTTGAATGACGAGCCGGACTAGCGGTTGACAGTGATCATAGCGGAGGTGGCCTTGCCGGCTGCGCTTGAATAGGTCTGCCAAATCTGAATCCACGTTTTGATCGGCAATTCGTGAGCGAAGATTGAACGCTGCATCTCCTCCCAGAAGAGCATGAAGGAGTTTTGAGAGCGCATTTTGATAGAGTTGGTCAAGACTATTGATGGCAGTGTCGGATGAGGTTTGATGTGACTCATAGATTGTCTCTGCCTCTTGCAGCAAGCTGCATAAATTGCTAAGTGAGCCAGCTAAAGGGTGCTCCTTGATGATAGACTCTTCAGCTGGTGAAAGCTCCGCCATGCTGGCAATGTAAGGGGGTTGGTTTTGATGCTGGAAGGTTTGGCTGCTACCATTTCAAGTCCAAAGGTTTATCACGTGATGGTAAACAGAAGCCAGAAAAGTTGCCTGTGTCAATCTGGGTAACTTTCCATCATTAGACAGCAAGAAAATGAAGAGAGTGGTGAGGAGACAGAGCGAAAAGAAAGGAACAATGGAGGAGATGTATCAAGTCAGGGCAAGGCTATTCCCTCGTCCGTCCCTGTTGTGCAAATTAGCGCGGTTTCACTAGTGTATATTATATACGTAATATAATTGGTTCATAGGGGTGGGTTTTGGTAATCGAAGGTAAAGGGTAATGTAGGAAACCTTATTTTCAGCTAACCTAGTTAGGTAAGATTCCATTCCTTCATAGTACATATGAAATTCCTCCCAACATCGAGATTTCAAAGATGGGATATGTGCCATGACTTCTTCCAGCTTCTGTTTGTGTTTTTGGGGTGGCTTAGGAGGGTCTAATTGATCTAGTCAGTGAGACAGCATATGATCTGGTTAGTAGATTAGTAATTTACCAGCAGCTCTTTCAGGATCCCCCTTAATAGGAGCTTCTTTCGTTGTGGGTTCCATGCTGGCTGGGTGGTAGGTAGGGAGCTGGAATGTGTTCATCTCCAACGCGTTCAACATGTTTTCGCGTTGGTGAGAAATTAAGGTTTAGGGTGGATATGATGAGGCATCTACTCTGTATTGGTTGCACCATTCTGATCCTTGTTCATATTTTACACTAATTGAAACCACGCTAATTTGCACAACAGGGACAGATGAGGGGATATCATATAAACCCCGTTCTCCCGCTGCTTGAACACATCTCCTCCATTGTTACTTTCTTTTTGCTCTGTCTCCTCATTACTCTCTTCATTTTCTTGCTGCCTAGCTCCCATTCCCCACCCCTGTGATCACGCTGACCACTATGCCGCAGTGCAACGGATCTGGACCCTGTCATGCCCGTCCCACTTGCCCTCTTCTCAACCAATCTCGCTCTGCTATTCAGTCTAATTTTCACTTGAGTGGTACAGGCACTGGGACTCCCACTGGGTGCTTTGGCGCTTTGTCTCATTGGGGATACTGTGGCTGGCTGTGATTTTCTTCTTTGTCCCTGTCTATCTCATTTTCATTGTCACTTTGCGACACAAATCCTTGCTTCCTGGGTGCTGTGATTTGCTGCTGTGGGCTCTGTGGTTCTGCTGCTTGGTCCTCTCTCTGTTTTGGAGATCACCGGCATGCAGCACTCACAAGGTTCGGTGAAACCTGCTATGCTATGGTTGCCAGGGGTTCACATTCCTGGTCACGCTGGATCATTTGGTGATCACCCTTGATCTCCCGAACGAATACACTGTCAGCCTTGCTGCGCCTGCGGCATCACTTGTCAGGCACAGATGGCGATGATAGGGTAGTAGATTGGAGGGGGTGATTGTGCCAGTCTGAGGTATCCTCTGATCAATATCACCAGTGTATGTGAGTGCATTCTCAATTGCATGATCTGGACACGCATCAGACAGCACAATGAAGACAGTGACCACTCAGACATGGATTCTGTCCTTCGGCTCTGATCATCTGCTGCGTATGCAGTAGTCTCTTGTTAGCTCTGACCCGCGATACAACGCCGCGATATCCTATGGTGCACGCTGATCATGGCGACCTGATAGTCCAATGAGGTGGGGTCTCAGCACAGCAGAAATTGCAATTTGCCTTGCTGTGCCTCGGTGCATTCCGCGTCACCTCCTAGCCAAATTGCAAAATCTGGAAGGCTCGGCGGAGGGGAAATGTGACCCTTGCGAAGCGTCGCCGGGGATCCCAAAAAAAGATCGCGACATTCCTATGAATGAGAAACCTGCAAAGGCACATCAGAAGCGGCAGGAGGTTTCAGCATTGATCATCTGTTACATCCATGGCTGACCTGGAATCTGCGATCTTCTGGAAGAAGCTGTTTAACCCCCTGCTGGCCCCCTACTGGTGAAGGGGGCGACGACTAGCGTTCATTGGACTCGCACATCGATAACAACGCTTCCACATGAAGGGTTTCGCCGGGAGTTGGATGTTGCATGTTGCCGTGTATGCAACGGTAGCGTACTTATGTCGCATCGGAATGGAAAGCAGATGACGGGGACGGTTATTCAATACTTCACTTGGACCCGGGACATATTGGGTTCATGCGCTATGGGCTCGAGGGTGTATGAAGATGGACACGCTGGTTTGCGGCGCGAGATAAGCCGACAAGCCCTAAAATGATGACAAAAGTCTGTTATCTCTTGTTTGCCGTGACAATAGATGCGACAAGCTACAGCGGGGGGCGGAGTTTCCTGCTACGGGATACGGCCGCTGCCAGAAGAAAGCCGGTCGAAGGCATACAATGGGAAAATATGATCGGGCAGGATGGCGCCAGTCGGTCTTCGCACATCTGCCCATGCTAGGGTTGACAGGACATAAAAAGCAGCAGTATCCCGACAGAAATTGTTTCCAAGAGCAATTAGACCACCACAATCACAGCAAAGCGTACCCCGTCTTCTATCGCTGCAAGTGGCTCCACCAATTCCCCACTGATAATGGCACGCTCTCTGCAGGAACGTGCTGCGACTCATGAGATCCCAGGTAAGTATGGTAATATTTCAGTGGAATTTGCATTTCTATGAAGAATCTTTGACGGCAAGCTTCTACCGTCCCACGAGCTCCCGCGCATCGTGTCCCGCATCTGCGGACGAACTGCTGTCTCAATTCTTACCCTCACGCCGTTCCCGTTCGGTTGGCAATCAGCCCGGATCGTCACTGGATAATCCGATTGATTTGGAGGAGAATATAGATCAGTGAAACGACACCGAGCCCTTCAGTGAAGACCAAGAAGGGCCCACTCCTTGATGGCCATGCCCAGCGTAAGAGCTATAGTGGGCCTGGTGACGGAAAAGATAGTGAAGCAAAGCCAGCCCGGGACCTGGAAAGGGAGCTACAGGCGCAGTCGCAGTCGCACTTAGGGTCTGCCCGGCCGTCCCCGTCACCGGAGGCGACCAATGGGAAAAGCATTGTTTTAACAGATATAGGATGCCTCGGCGGCGCTCGCAGCGATCACCAGCTGGTCGTATCGTCACCGCCAACAGTCCCCGCTGAATCGGTGGATAATGTCTCCGGTGATGGACGACCAAATGGTACCTGTGGGGCTGGCGGCAGTTCTCCGGTCGCCGCCTTGATCAAGCCGCAAGCCCTCATATCCTCCTACATCGAGAGGCCGGGGATGGACGCCTCGAGTTTCTTGTGTGGGAGCCGATTTGGCGCTCGGAGGGTGACATTGTGAGGGTTAGCCCGGAAGAAGTGAAGCGGTACAAGGAGAAGCTAAACATTGGATATGCAACCAGGGGGAGAAGCAGGAAAGGTCTCCTGCTGCGGAGCCCAGGAGATCATCGCGGTTGGAGAAGAAGCAACGTTCTAATTGAAAGTTGGGGCACGAGCTGGTAAAGGGGACCTGTCTTGTTGTTTTGTCTTGTAGTACATCGGCAACCGTATCTCCGGTTTAGACAGTCGCTTGCTTGCGGTTTCACTGTATGAACATGACTACAAGCTTTCAGAGACTCAACGAGCGCAGATCGCATGAACTATCGTGTAAAATACTATACGATTTGATTCTTGTTCTTTGCAAGGCCTGCTTATATAAAGCATCAACATCGTCTGGCTTGGCAAAGGCATTGATTTGATCTCAATCATACACCGTCCCAGCCGCCATAACCATCTTCCACCTTTCAGCCGCGCCTAGCAACCTATGTGTGGTGATATTACTCTTTTCTAGTGGCGGTCCCCAGGACCAAAGATACTGCTGCTGTTCACATCTCTGAAATTTGCACCTCAAGCTAGCCGCAAGGGCGCGAGTGCTATGGGACGATACCGCGCTGGAAGAATATCCTCCAGGAACCTGAGTACGAGTCAGGCACGACACTCTCCCTCTCTAGGCTTGACCGACATGCGCATCCGTGCTCTCGAGACGTCACGGAGTCTCCGCCAGTTAGTAAGTTCAGGCTCAGCTAAAATACAGCTCAAGAATTTAGCTTTGTCCATTTTCTTGCAGATCACATGATTTTATTAGTGTAGTCAGCTCATGTTGAGCAAACCTTGGGTCAAGGTGAACGGGAAGAACATGGATCTCTCCCCCAAGAACTTACCTTGTCCAGGTTCTCACTGAACCACATGCCAGTCTCCTTGACCAGCCAGCGGCTATTTTTCACTTGTTCAGTCTTCAAACACCAATATGCTACCTGAATACCTGCAGAGTAGTTACACCCGCTACAAAGCAGATACCAATGCATTTGCAGCATGGCTACTGGAGACAGCCAACCAATGTGGCTATCGACTACCTGCCCTCTCTGCTACCGCGGAAAAGGGGAAACGCAAAGGCAAAAACGATGGCTTAGTTGCAGATCCAGTTCACTATAGTGCAACTACCAAAGATCTGCAAAAGCTCGCCGAGGTGGTTGCTAGTTCTGCTGTCACGGTACCTAAGTCAGTTCTCACCATCGCGAAACGCGCCATCAGATTGAGAAGAGCGGTCACTTCCTGGTTCTTGGGCCAGGGCGACTCCACAGACAACAAGCATCATGCTCATTTCATCACCGTGCTGGAGCAAATCTGCGAGACTCTTGAGTGGAATACCAACAGGCCCTCGAAGCCCGACGCTAAGAAGCCATCACCGACCTCTGAGGCTCAAAGTGACGACGCCGATGCTGACAGGTTTCTAAACAAGTTTGCTGTTCTCACCGTAGAGGAACCCCAGGACACTGCTGCGCAAACTCAACCGATGCCCGCAGAATCAAAGAGGATTGTCAATGTGACTGTTGTTGAAGAGGACGACAATGAGGCAGCAGACTTGTATCTTAGTCAATTGTTCTTCAAGACCCTCTGCTTATTTCAGGACTTGAACAATATGCGGATATTCATTTCCATGACCTGGTCGGAGTATCGAGATAAGAAAATCGACCTTATGAATGCCGCCGTCGTGACTGACAGTGCTTTGCAACTTGCCCGAGATCTTGTGCAGGAGGTGGAGGCTGACTGGCACACTTCCCTTACGGGGAAAAGGGATAATGTCCAGAATACTGTCTATAAACTCGCTGTTTTTTCCCGCGGCATTTGCGCGTCTCCATCCACAGAGATTGGCCTGCCATACAACAAGAACATGGCTGATGTAGCCGACTGGTGCTATGTGCCAGCAAAGATCCTGCTTGAGTCCTTCGCAGATGTTCTTCAGGCGGGTCATCAGCCAGTCTTTAAAAAAGGCTACTTCGGCACCTACAATCCGAAGGCGGACAGAGAGCGGATGTCTCCGGGTCAGAAATTCAACGAAGACAAAATCATCCTTCTTTCGATCTTGCCAGAGTTTTGCATGGTCGATACATTCAAAATCCAGATGCCTACTGAGGACGCGATAACTCGAGGCCTGACTGAGTTTGCCAAGACCAAAAGGGTTACTCTGTGGCTTTGCTTCCTCTCCCAGATCTTCCTCGACGTTCATCATATCATGCGACACAGTACCTTGGGTGCATTTGGAGAGCTCCGAATGTCTGGACTTCGCATCCAGAAGACTATTGATGACTACCTGCAATTGTCAAGGACACACCCTCAGCCCAAATTTTGGCCCAAAGAGGGTGACGAGGAGATTCAAAATATAAGGTCAACCGTGAAGTCATGGATTATAGAAGATCTGTTCCTGGATGTTCGGGTCCGGTCTAGACTCGACAGAATTGGCTCCCCACCCGAAAAGCATGCACTCTTTTCGCAGCACGCTACCCTCTGTGGCTTGATCCTGTTCAACCTTAATGTTCGAATGCAGTTTGTTGGCCAGCAGCTCGTCAATCAATGGTACGACATCCCACAACTAGCCTTCTTGCACAACCTCGTCATAAATTCTTCAACACACAAAGATCTGAGATGGCCTGATATGGATGCTTTTATCAAGATCCATGGCGAGTCTCACATTTTCATTGGTTCGCGGCCAAAGAACGCCAATGAATCGCTGAAGAGGCTAGAGTTGGCCACAGGCATCTCATCTGCTGCCAATTTTGCCCGCGATTCCCGGAGCAAAAGATTCCATAGGCCTGACGGCAAGAATCCCCGCTTGCTCAAGCCCACCACTGTAGTCGCGAACTTGTTTTTCGCCCAGTATGTTGGTGGTCCTGAGGAAGATGCTGGGGTTTTAAATGTTGACAGGATCTTGGACAAGCTTTCGCAGAAATTGAAGCTTGAATCACCCAGTAAGGAGCTTCAGAAAGCCAATCCTGAGCTCATTATTGTCCGAAAGTGGTCTAATGCCCACAACATCGACACGCTGCAGCTTCTCGCCTTCTTGAAGAGCAAGCTATTCCAAGAGGAGCCTATCCTGATGTACAGCTACTTCGGCATGCACAAACGCTGCATCGAGTTACTCAGACTGATCCGAGACAAGGAGCACCAGAAATTTGTTCAATATTTCACGTCAGCGTACATGCCTGATGAGTCCTTCATCTCAAACATCGTCCTTCTCATCCATCACGTTGCGCAAGGCTCAGCCCAAAATGCACGTGCGATGGGACTTGCGTCTGGTGGAGTTGAGGTAGCGAGTCGGATTGTCATGAGCGCTGGCGACGTGATGCGGGAATACTTGAAGAAGAATGGAGATGTGGCATGTAAAGAGCTGAGGGTGTTCTGCAAGAACAAAAGGCCAATACAAGATGATGTTGCTTATGATAAGGGCAAATCGGACGAGCTGGTGTACTCCTGGCTCAGTCTTGAGGACGTTCTTGGTCCCAAGGGTGTGGCCTCAGTCATGACTGGGATCCGTATAACTTAGGCTTATGGACCTGGTACCGCCTTGAGCCGACAACGGTTCAGACGTACGCAAACTCTGCTTCATTTTCTACTAGCAATGGTCCATACAAACCATCTTATGTATAATACGGGTCCAATAGATGAGGCGAGACGAATGGACTTAGATTCTTAATGTTGCAACTCGCGATTGGACGGGCTGCCCATGGACTACCCATCATCTTTCGAAAAATTTTGCAATTCCACTCACCACTTTCCTGTAGTTGGCGATCAGTGCTCTCGACAAAGAGCGAGGGGGGAGCTATATCAGGACCCAGCAAAGCTTGGGGCTCAGAAAGAGGAGCATTTCAGGTCACCATAGTAAAGAGCATTGTAATTTAGAAGGAACATTTTGTAGCACAGCTATGCTTCCTTCACGTGGCCAGATACCACCTGTGTGAGCGTGCTCATTGTTGTTGAGGCAATGAAATGCGTGGTATCCTCCTCGGCCCTGATGGGGCGGAGGAAGTCGTCACTACGCTGCGAATAGACTCGCGCGTATGTATGTGCCCCGAAGTCTGGCGGGGTGCACGGCACAAATCCTCAGGTGGGTTGTCAGAGGAGAGAGAGCTGCGGATCAAGTACCTCGGCTCGTTTGACAAAGTCGAGAGACAGGGGATAGTCACTCCAAATCCTGAAGCCATGGATGTTGAAGTGCTTGCTCTGCCGTTGGCCGTGTCTTGTGGTTAATATTCAAAAGGTAACAAAGAAAGCCAATGCAATCTGAGGAGACATTGACTTTGGCAAGCTCTTCTTCAAGAGATTCAACTTTGATAAGACCCTGCTTCATGAAGAATTCCATCAAGTCAAATTCAGTTTTGTACTTGGGATCCTCATCTCATTCTAATGGTTCAACAAGTTTCATAATCTTGCCAATGGCCCAGACAGATTTGTTTGTGTCAAGGGGAAACTCTTGAATACAAGAATCTTGATCCCAGTTTCCAAAAATAACTTTATTGATGAAGAAATGTGTTAGCTATGTGAAAGGTTAGCAGTATTTTAGGATGCAAGGATTAAAACAACAAAAATCATGGAACCTACAGTAACTCTGACCAACCACACCTGACAAGGCAGTGTTGGCAACACTCCCTTCCAGATCTCAGGGGCATGAATTTCAACTCCCTGTAATTCTCAGAGGTGATCACTAGTGGGAGTAAGTATATGATTGCAGGTTACAATTCAGACAGTGCAATATACCTGCTCTAAGATCAGTGAGCTTCACAGTAGGTTTCACCGAGTCCACATTGGAGACAAGGATGTTATTAGAGTTGAAGTCTTTCATTCTGATATTAGTTTACTGAACACATGCCAGATGTGGTTGTTTGCATATATGTATTGTGTGTATCTGTGTGCACAGCAGTAAAGTGCCCATTCATGTCTGAGAAGACTTTTACAGCTTCAAGAATGGATTTGACAGTAATTTTCAGAAAAGACTGGCTGAGTTCCTGTGCTCTGATCCTTAATGACCACAGATTGATATCCAAGCACTCAAATACCATGCATCTGTCTGTGTTATTATCAATAACTTCATGCATTGCTTGTATATATGGGGAGCCAGCAATACAGCAGTAGCTATAGCAGTTGGTCTCAGTTTGATATATAATTAAATCAGCACTTTTTGTTTTGATGATTACTCTTTCTTTGAATTTACCTTCAGTCAGCACATGCATACATGTAAGAGAGAGATACTGGGCAGAGTAGGGCTCACAGTGTATTAGTTCCCACTGTTGAAGCTTGAAAGACATTTTGCTTGAGTGCTTTTGCAACTTTGTACAAGCCACAGCTGCCATGAATGAGCAGCTTCTGGCTTGTTGTGAACAGGTTGTAAATAGAACAAGGCATCCTGGGAAGTGGTATGTATAATGATCGCGAAATCCTTGACTTGTGCTTGAGATGGAATAAGATGGAGACTGTTACTTACAGGAAGTTAACCGCCCAGATTCGACTTGGTTAGTCATACTTATATGGTGTAGGTAAACATCCGAAGTCACATGACATGGAGCATAAACATTGAGAGAGCAAGACGGCGACTGTGCTTTCATACATGTCCAGCAGGAGGCATCTAATACCATGAAGAGGTTACAGCTAAAATTAGATCCTCTCACCCGTCAGCGAGCAATTGTCTGCCGCGGAACGTCCTGCTATCTCACAAAGGCTCCGGGTGCTGAAGACTGGAACCATGTCACCAAGTTCTCCTGGACATCCGACAGACAGAAGCCCGAAGCTGAACTCCTCAAGCTGGCCAACCAAAGAGGAGTTGAAGGCATCGCCAGATTGGTCGGTCATCGGTCCATCACGAGCATCAAGGAGATGCGCGCGGGTTTGATGTTTGAGAAGCCCTACTCTTTTCGTGGTTCTTCAAGCGCAGGATCATTTTTTTTGCAGTCCTTCTCTCAGTCTAAACCCTCTAGCGTCCTCTCTCGATCGTTCAGTGAGGTCTGTCGCTTAACAATATCAGAAAGTACCAATGAGCGTCCATCAAGGAAACGCAAATCAGCTGATGTCGCCACAAAACCCTTGAAATGATCCAAATCCAGCAGCCAGCGGTCAAACCAGCCGCGGAATCAGGTTGCATACGACGTGGAGGAGGTTCAAGGGGCTAGTTTGCTCACTCCCACTGGCGACTGATATGACAACCATATTCTCCGCTGCCTTGTTATCTTTCCTGCCGGCCGGCTGATTTACAGATACAAGTCTCCTCTGGAGCTTTTGGAAGCTCTCCGTGATGCGATCAAGGCACACAGGTCACTGTACTCCAAAGGAAAAATCCTTCACCGGGATATATCTGAGAATAACATCATCATAACAGAAGCGACACAATACGGCCACGCGGGAATGCTGATCGACATGGATCTCGCGAAGGAGCTCGGCACTGGGCGAAGCGGTGCTTGCTGTCGCACTGGCACCATGGAGTTCATGACTATTGATGTGCTGCTTAACACAGACCATACCTATCAGCATGATCTTGAGTCATTCTTCTATGTGCTTATCTGGCAGTGTGCCCGCCGCGGCTGGGAGTTTGTTGGCAATTGGAAGTGCCGACCTTCACCAAGTCTCCTTACCAAGTGGTACACTGGAAGTTACGAGGATATTGCTATTGCAAAGTGAGGTATTGTTGATGCCAACAGGTTTGAGCTCGTTTTGGTGAAAGAATTTCCTCCTGAGTTTGAATGCCTCAAATCACTTTGCAGGGAGTTGCGTGGGATCCTGTTTCCCATACATGGTAACGCAATTTTCACTGGAACTCCCAAGGACTCGGAGATTCTCTATGAGCTAATCACCAAGGCGTTCGATCATGCAATTGATGTTATCCGAAAGGTGGGAAGATAAGCTGCTGCGAATTGGTTTTGTATCATTTTTCTGAGTTTTAGATACCCTTTGTGCTTTTGATGGAGAAAGATGGTACTGTCAAAGGGATTGCTCGACGGCTCCTGGTGGAGCACGAGGATCATGTGTAAGGCTGAACCGTCCAACAGCCTGTATGATGGCCTCCTTGGCTGGACAGCCAACATAGGCGGACTGCACGTCCCGTTTGACTTTCACTGAGATATAGTAGCGTTCGAAGATGTCCGCTCGGGAATGGCCCATGATTTGGTTACGTTCACTGGTAGTTGCCACAGCTAGAGCACATGCGAAGTCAGCAATCAACAATGGAAAGGTCAGAAAGGCATTCGTTAGACTCACTATCAACAGCATTGGCAGTTCCTCACCGGATGCAGTAAGGTGTTAACTTATACTCAAAACCATCATTGCGTCCCAACCGTTGGAGATACTGATTAAAAGTATCATATGGTAGGGCTTTGTCTGGAGAGACTCGAATGCCCTCCACTATGTGCACAGCTCAGCAGAACACAGGAATGTCAAGCAAGCTTGCTTTCCACTTCAGATGCAGACTATTTCATTGCGGTGGCACTCAAATGCAGAGTATATCCTCAACTGAGTTAATGCCTCTTGCTTCAAAAGCATCATCAGCTATTGCTAGGGCAAGGAAATGAGAGACGGGACAGAGTGCGAGATTGTTGTCTTGTTCATGGAAAATATATGTTGTCCTTTACAACTGTTCTTGGTTCACGGACGATAAATTGCGTGGCGTGTGGTGGAACTCACAGCTGAGATTTGCCTCGCTTCCCTTTCATGAGTTGCAAGGACACTTCCATTACAAGGACATGGCGTTCTGGTTGACCCGGGTTTGGAATCACACATAGCACAATGTCCTTATAACAGAGTGCTTCATTGGACCCATGTAGGCAGCCACTCTCGATCAATGCTCCAGGTTGTGTACTGATATTCTCAGCAACTCTGAGAACATTCCTACCATTCTGAAACCATTCTACAGCAATCAGGAACATTTCTCAGGTAGAGGAACCTTTAAAAATGAGAACCATTTCCTATTCAGGAACAGTGAATATATCATTCCTGCTGCAAGAAACCTTTTGGGCACTGTTTACTCCGTACAGTGGGTTCATCAGGGTTCCACAGTTTTTCGGGCCTACAAAATTCCGATAAGGGATAGAGTTTGGGCGCGGAAAACTTAAAATCGATGTTTGGCGGATGGCCGAAACAGCCTGCGGATGAACATGCAGAAGGGAGATGTGCAGAGGCAGACCACATTCGGCCCTCACTGGCATACTTTTGTTTTCCCTCGTTGCAATCTACACGGTCTAATCCCCGGATCTCATTTCTCGCCGGTGCTTGTGCTCCTAGCGCGAAGGAGAACCCCGATCCGATCAGATTTGGCATTCAGGGGTGGGCCAGTCGATGGTGCTTTTGAGGATACCTGGTCATCGGCGGACTAATAGTTGTTGTCCTGATCATATCAGGACGGTGGCGGCTATTCTCTTCTGAAGGGTGCTAACCAATTCTACGCGATCACCGCTTAGGAATACCGTCGCAACAAAGCTTCACTGAAAGGACTATAGGTAATCGGTCATGCACAGGGCCCTCCTGGCTCTCGTGGCAAAGTCCTGCTCGAAGCAGACTCGTGTATTCCCATTTATGCATACCGAGGTCTCCAGGACGATATCGCTGTCAAACATGCTAAATGTTGGCCCGCTATTCAATGCCCGCCACTTTGGAGGCCAGGTCGCAGACGTACATACTATGCCAATGAAATCCATCCCGACCAGGGATGCATCCATGGGAATTAATTTTTTGTGGTCTACTGCTCTTCTTGCTCCGAGGTTATCCCCGATTCCAGTTAGGTATAACGGGTGAAGGGTTCGGGGAGAATGGCAATGGTGCCGCCTAATGCAACGACCGACCACACTTGACGCATTGCACCTGACCAAACAAACGCCATGGTTACCAGGAAAGTACACGCAACGGCTTCGGTGGTGGCGCTCAAGAAGCGGTCCGCATGTCGTTGATTCCATCGAATTTCCCTCTTTAAATAACATTTTTGCCCTGTTTCCACTATACATTGGGTTAAGCTTAATGTCCCCATCTTCAGTACTTTCATATGGTATTTGCCACATAGGCGGTTCTAGCCTCTAGGAGACGCTCTCCCCAACCTTGTGTTTCTCAGCGCAGCGAGAACCCTCCTGAGCCTGACTTCCTGATTGATGAGGTGAATCGGACTCAATTTTGGGACTAACTTTGATTGCGTCCTTTCGTGCCATATAGGTTGATGTCAGGCCCGTTAAACACGCCTTGTTCGACCCGTCCCACCCCTAAATGCGAGGGTGCTATCGTTCGTCCAGCCGCCCCGCTGTGACGCAGCGCTTTTACATACTGTCCATACGCTACGATCTTGGGATTGGTTAACCTTAAGGTCCCCGGAAAGTTACTGGTCCTACTTTCCCCGATATGCTAATCGTGCAAGCTTATCATGAGCCAAGGATGGTCTACTTTTCTCCCCGGCTAATCAGAGTGACTTTTTCATTTGCAGATTTGGCCACTTGCTCGCAGCAATTCTTGGCCAAACTGCCCGTGTTCTTTGTCACCAGGCCTAACCGCATAGATGATCTCTCCGGCCCCGGAGCGGAAGTTCTTCGGGAGCCTTGGCACCCAGCTGACTACGTACTGCGGCCGTAACGTCATCGGCAGAGCATGGCTTGGCTCCGGTAGTCTAGAGGCTCCAGCCACGCACATGTTTCCCGAAAGCTGGTGGCCATACATCTGGAGATCGGAGTTCAAAAAAACATCATCCTTCCTACTCTCCTTCTATTTACCGTTCAATTCCCAGCGCAGGCAATGTCTTCAGACTCGCAATCAGGCCAGCGTGAGGGTGGAACCCTGAGCGGAATGGTTAGAAGGCAGTTCAAGCGACACAAATCCACCGGGAGCGCGCGGTCGAGCTGCGGTGGTGGTTTGAAATTAGGCAGGCTAGGGAAGAGAGACCAAAGTCCTGTAAATCTTTGCCTACGCGGAGTTTTATCCAATGATAGGCTAACCGGTATATTAGGCCCAACCAATACCGCCGGAAGCGTCAGATTCAGGATGCTCACTCTCGGAAATTGAAAGCCTAGCTGCTGGGAGTGACGCGGGACCAAACACACCCGCCGCACTTCAAGAGGTCTATGAAGCTGCCTCCGGCAGTCACATTGAGCATATTGATGGCGTTGTCCACCAACCCGACTCGCCTTTCTCCGAGCAGGAGCTGAAAGATATCTTCTCTGGGGCTCCACACTTCCTTTTGGAAAGGGGCAGAAACTCGCTCTGGTACCCACATATCCTCTTCCCCTGGGATGACAATACTTCCATACAAAATCTGCGAGACCGAAAGCCTCTGAATCACCCTTCTCACTCCCTGTCGACGCTTCATGCACATCTTCCCGTATGTCAAGATCCAAATGATCCACGGCCAACATTGAAATATTGGACCCAGAAAACAGAGGGAAGACGGCCAACTTTCGACCTAGGTGTGTTCGAAGTTCCGAATATGCTCTCGGCTCGGGCAAAGGAACCAGGGTGTGTTGGGTTTCGCAATTATTTAGAACTTCCAATTGCACACTCCTCTAGGTATATCGCCCATACGCACTCGGACCCACAACACAAAGATATATTTCCCGGGACCCTTTCCAGCCGTCCTAACGATCCATATTCATACTGTCGACCGCGGATCATGGTTGACCGTGCAGATCTACTCAGGGAAGGCCCTACCGCTTGGCGCCGCCTGGGGGTTCGCTCCTGTTCCATGAAGGCTATAGCAGAGCGGTTGGAAAAGCTGTGTGGGGTTCGTGAGGATGTTATGTGCAGATATCAGCAGAAGAGTATTCTAGACAACGAAAGCGTGACACAACTCAACGACGAGTTGTTCTCGAGATTTTTGTACCCTCTGCCGAGGGAACTGAGAGACTATGTCCCAGCCGAACCGGGTAGTTTGAAGTATCAAATCGTCGTGCTGATGCAAATTCTTGCTGTCAAGGGGGCATGGATAGACTTTAGCCTTGTGGAATGGAGGATTCGTGCGGGACAGCTGCTGTGGGAGGTGCCTCCTCATCTGGATGGCGATTGTTTAGACCCAGTCCCAGATGAGGGAGATGATGGCATCGAGCGGAAATGGCTTCTCTTTCAGATCCTTCTGACTGGAGAACTGGTGCTTCGGGTTGACGCAGCCGTGAAACTCGGCGTCATTGCAAAGTCGAAAAGCTTGCTCATCACGCCGCAAGACATCTATCAAATGAATGAGATGAGAACACATCAGATCGACTGGGGAATTATTTCTGGCCGCCGAGCTGTCGAGAACCTGACGTTCAAGTACAGCCTGCACGAGAAGGTTGAGGAGCAGCCACCCACCGCTCCCAAGTCCAAATCCAGCCGCATCAAGGCGAGATTTTCCCGTTCGAAGCCGAAGGTCCCCCAAACCATAGACTCTCCGTGGCATTGCCGCCTCCTCCCTCGTTTCCCCATGCGACAACTTGAAGGGCTATTTGTGTTCGCAGAAGCACTGGAGTGGCCAGGAATTGAAAAGATGAAGGAAAAACTGGCAGCTAAAGTTTCTAACGCTTTAACAGATGAGCACTCGATGATAATGGCGTTTGATTCGCCGTTAAAAACTACCGCGACGTCCCATCACCGCCTGGAGCGGCAGGACATGTATCGAAAAAGCCTAACAGCAAAACTCATCCACCTACAAGTCCCGCCAGATGAAGCCGAAAAAGATATGTTATATCTGGGGGGCTGGGCATCTCGATCCTGGCTTTCTGGATTTATCATACCTGGCGAGTCAACCAACGATCTCTTGATAGCGACTCTACTGGAAAATGATACGCACGCCCTAAAACGGCTAGGACCGATTGCGAATTTATACGGTGGCTTTATCTATCAAGGGAGAAGCTACTGGAGCAAAGTATGTATCGTGGGCCGTGTTCTAAGCACGTTCTTCCCACGTTCACTGTGTATGGGGTGGGCGGGGTGTAACATCATGCCTCAAGACGAAGATGGAGAAAACATCATCAATTGTTGGGTTGAGATTGCCTCGAAAGATAATTATGTTTCCCGAGGGGAAGCACGTATTCATCAGGGAAGCAAAATACTCTTAGAGTCATCCCCGCTGGGGGCAGAAGGAGACTTGACACCTAGGGCATTCTCTCTTCCGATCGACCACCAAGACACAGAGTGCCTGACGACCAACGTCTGTTTTGAACGGCTCACGCTTTCAGTTCACGGAGATGAAGGGCAAAGGGGGGAGCCAGGATCCGGTATACCACGAAAAGCGTCAGCGTTGGTAAGTTTCAAGGTCTCTCAGCACGATTCCAAGTCGGAGCTGGTTACCTTCCCTCTGACGTTCAACGTCCAATTCATCTCGTCATACACCTGTCTGCCTCCGCCTGGATATATCGCACATTTATGCCCCAGTGCATCGAGAGCCAGGAGCCAGCCAAGCTACCACCGCCACGTCCACCCCTTCGTCTCAGACGACTCGGGGGGAGAAGGGGACGTCGGCGAAACGGAGATGCTTGCCCGGAAGCTAAGACCAAGCGGTCAACCGCGACTTCCCGGGCATCCGCTACACACAGTATCGTATCCATACCGCTATATTCCGATCTCTGTGCTAGCCAAGATGCCCGTGCTGCAGCAGCTCAAGCCCCGGATCAGCTTTATGGCGCATCCGGATGAGTTCTTGGGCTTTGTGGACCCGACCAGACGCTGGCGCCGTTTGCGACGACGGGAGACGTACATAATCGACGCTCGAGGGGGCGTGGACAAGGAGGCGTACGTGCGAGCGTGGTGCTCTGCCGTAGGGACCGATGCCGTTGTTGCGCGGATTGGACGGACGTGCCTTGCTTGCTCTATTCGCGAAGCACGAGCAGCGAACGTGCCCGTTGTCCTTCGGGTGGGCGCAAGGTCCTGTGAAGGTGGCATCAGAGCAAGCTCGGTCTCGGGCCAACCTGGGAAAGCTCTGTAGTTGTATATGGCTTATTCTCGTGCTCTCAATTCTCCTTCTTCGTCGCTCTTTTCTTCCGTTCTTCTGGTGTGCATACCCTGTCTCGTAAGACCCTGTAAGAGCCTCTGTCAAGAAATGAGAAAAGTGAAACCTGCTCATCAAATCATCAATCCATCACCATTACCCAGTAGACTGGAGTAGTGCCCAGCGCAAGGTTGCCAGGCCGCGTCGTTGTGCGCTGCCCGGCGAAGACGCCTCGGTGGCCGAGGAAACACGACGACGAAACACCCCGCCATCAAGAAACTTGGCTCGTTAGTAAGTTGGTTGTTTTCTATTAACTACCCCGCCAGCGCCGAAACACTCCTCGCCAACACAACAAACACGAAACAAAGTGATCTCTCTCTCACTCTATCTCTCTCTGACCTCGATTCGGTACGTGCTACACTAATCAATTCCCGTCCTTCGCCTGTCCGATTCCATCTTGCTCCAGACCGCTCAGACCCTCTCTGCCAGCTCCCAGATACACTCATCGACTGCTTGCTTCCCGTTTGCGCGCATACAGCTGCGGCACAGTAGACATGTCCAACTACAGCAAGGCCTGCTGCTCGTAAGTCCTCACCGTCATCGTGCATGGACGGGGTCTGGAATGGTTTGCTGACGCATGGCCACTTTTTTTTGGTTTTTGCTTTTTTTTTAATGCAGTATCCCACCAGTGATCTCGTCCGGGTACGAGACCAAGGGCAAATACATCACCCTCAATGGAATGAAGACCTGTATCTTGCTCCCCTATCAAAATACCTTGTTTTGCTTTTGGCGACCAGGGTTGACTAGACTAACTCGAGGAAGATGTCACCGGTCCCGAATCTGCCCAGGAAGCCATCCTCGTTGTCTACGGTAAGTTCCCACCAACAATCACCATGAAACAAAAAAAAAAAAAAGAAAAGAGGAAAAAAAAGAAAAGAGAAGAAAACCACCCGCCAACATTCAAATAATTGCACCATAGACATCTTCGGCTTCTTTCCCCAGACCCTCCAAGGCGCAGATATCGTCTCCACGTCCGACCCAGACCGCAAGTACCGCGTCTTCATGCCCGATTTCTTCGATGGCTCCCCAGCCAATATCTCCTGGTACCCTCCCCAGACCGAGGAGCACCAGCAAAACTTGAGTCAATTCTTCCAGACCAGGGCTCCACCGCCAAACACCCTCCCCCGCATCCCCGGTGTCCTCGAGGAAGCTAATAAGCTCGCCCCCGGCGGCGCAGGCTTCAAATCCTGGGGCATGATGGGCTACTGCTGGGGCGGGAAGATCACCTCTCTCGCCGCCGGCCGGGATTCTCTCTTCAGGGCCGCCGTGCAGTGTCATCCTGCCATGGTGGATCCCAAGGACGCAGAGAGCGTGACTATCCCCATGGCTCTTCTGGCGTCCATGGACGAAGAGGTCGACGTCATCGAGCAGTACAAGAAGAACCTGAAGGTGCCGAATCTCGTCCAGACCTGGCCGACGCAGATCCACGGATGGATGGCGGCGAGAGGAGATCTAGCGAACCCGGAAGTCAAGAAGGAATATGAGAATGGGTACAAGACCGTCTTGGCCTTTTTCCATGAACACATGTGAGGAACAAACAAAAAAAATCATTCCAAAAAAAAGGAAAGCCATTTTGCCTGCAACATGCATAGTCGAAACATGTGAAATGGAGGGTGGTGTGAATTGCTGTCACAGTGTCCCTTCTCTACCCTTGCCTTTCCTTTTTCTTTCTTTTTCTCATTCTTGTTCTCTACCTTTAATTTCCATGTTTGTCCCCCGAATGTGAGATACACAGAAGAAAACATCCCGAAGAGTATCATGTGAGACGCTATAAATAATTCCCATGAATGATTGACTGACCAAACAAATCCACTTTTCCCTCCATTCAGGCCCGGCACCACCTCAAAGATCTAAGATTCCTTTTTTCACACTGATGATCTCTCCCAAGGGAAACGTGATCAAGCGGGGAGCCAACACCACTCCCGGGGGGGTTCAGGGTGGGAATTAATAGCCGGTCGGTTTGCCAAGAGCAACAGTTAACAGGGGTTCGCCGGCTGAGCTGGAAAGGGGGGAAGGACGAAATGGTACTTGGGCTGACTTCATGTACGTAATGTCTGCTGCGACAGCGAGAACCTGTCCATCGCTGAGATTGAATCATAGTGTCACCTTTAAACATGTGAACTCTGTGGCTATGCTTTCGAACCCAAAAAGAAAAGAATTGGAAAAAAGAAAAATAAAATAAAAGGAGGCCAATGCAGGAGAGCTTGAAAGATGCGCTCCGTATCTAGTATAATGTTCCCTGTTTCAAGGACGAAATTTGGATGCATCAGAAAAAAAATGGAGAGCGATTCGATCTCCTTTCCTCCGGATCACAATGTTTCATTTATGCTTCAGTTGCTTTCTATTTTTCTTTCCTTTTTTTCTGTTTCCCTCTCTCATCTGTTCTCAACATGTTGGACTTCAAAATGCATAACCTACTCCCGTACTCCGTACAGAGCCCGTAGATGAAAGTTTTGGCCAAGAAAAGGTTGTTCCATCTACGGAGTAATCCATGCCTAATATGTGCGAGGATCTGGTCATGGTATTGTATATGGAGTCTGTATGTATGCTGCCTATTGTATACACCAGAGGCATTCGGTTCGTTCCAAGATGAAGAAGGTAAGAAAGACGGCAGCCAAAAAAAAAAAAAAAAAAGAGGAAGAGGAAAAGAAGAGGAAAAGAAAAGAAAAAGAAAATATATATATAAAAAGTTTCCAAAATCTGAAGAACCGAAAACCCAAAACGGTAATATAGAAAGTGTGAAAAAAGAAATAGAAAAGCAAAAATCCACGGAAAAGAAAAAAGAAATCCCAAAACCGATGAAATTGAAAGGGAGACAAGGAAGTATCTCAAATTCAAATCCGCCCAAAGTCAAACCGGCAGGAATCGAAAAATCACACCGGCCGAGTCAAAGAGTCGGCAGGGATGGTCGACTCATCATTCCATGCGTAAAAAAAAGTCAAAATGAAAAAGAAATACACCAATGAAATGAATCAAAAAAATCCAAAAGAAAAAAAAAAGAAAAGAAAAGAAAAAAAGACCTCGAAAGAAAGTACCCAAGCTCGACTTGCCTGCGCGAAATGGGGGAAAAAAATTCTCTCAGAGAACATTCCAAAAGTAAATCGTTACTCTCGGAGCACGTTAGTCGTCAAAACCGTAGCCGGAAAAAACGGAAAAGGGTATATGAACCGCACGAACTTTGCTGTATTGGAGAGATGGAGGAAAAAAAAGATGTGTGAGAGAGAGAGAGAGAGAGATAGAAAAGAACGGAGTGTAGTCACTGGCAAGCCCTGATGCCGAGAACTGGAAAGCCAAAACACGCAAAGCCGTAAAACAACTGATGCCCCTTTGTCTTTTTTTATCTACGCCCTGCTAATGGGGATGAACCAACACCGAGATGAAAATGTGCAATGCGCCATAAACAATTCTTTCCGATTCAAACTGAAAGGACGATAAGAGCCGAGGCCAGATCACCGTAGAACCCTTGGACGGCGTCCCAAAAAGGGCAAGAGGGAGAACTCTGCAGCGGTGTTCGGGTCGTAAAGCGATATGTCTGCATATATAAAGGGAGGATTATGGTTTTTGCATCGGATGTGGAACGCCAGGGTCAAACGGCTGCAGTGAGCTGGTCACAATCGGCGCATCTTGCTTCATGTGGGCGTACGGGACCCCACTGTCTCCGTACCAAGGGGCCATGGGATCTGGGATTCCCGGAACAATTGGCTGGTTGGAAGTAGAAATATCTGCAGGAGCCATGTTGCTCCAGGTATTGTAGGCCAAAGACTGCTGCTGAACGTCATATGAAACAGGAACGTTGTGCGGTGGTTGGATTCCGGAAACGGGCACGGCCATAGGAACTGAATACATCCGGGCGGGGTTTCCAATATGAGGCTTATACTCCGAAGGTAATGGTGCATGTAACTGGGCCGTGTACCCTGGCGCAGTAACCTCAGGACTTGAGAGGGGCATGGTGCTGGGTTGCAGGTTCCAGGCTGTCGCATCTGTCACGATGCCAAACGCGGAATTTCCTGTAACGTTGGGTGGAACGAGTCCTGTAGGACTTGCAGTAGCACTCAATGCAGAGATAGAAGAAATAGGAGTGGTCATTGGCGTACTTTGATCCCAAATGGCACCTGTCGGTGAACTGGCCTGGAGCGGGGGAGGGACGCTAGAAACCTGCTGATCGTAAATGGAAGAAGCATCCCATGTCGCTGGTTGGGCTAAGGATTGCACGGAGCTGAGAGCTGTGGTGGGGTCTATGCGAGAGTTTGATTAATGAACGCCTTGAAATAGACGACCAAATGTGGCAAATGACAAACCTGGTGAGTATGGCGACATTGTCGTGGCCCCGTAGGTACCAGGGTTGAAGGTCGCCATGTCCGGAGTCGCGTTCACGGGGATTGAAGGATACGGGAAATAGGAATCTTTCTGCTCCATCATCGGCCCGCGGCCGAGAAGTGTGGGAGTGGTGACCATTGACGCGTCCGGCGTTGGGGGTTCTGCTTTGGATCCTGCGCGACTTCTTTTCTCCACCGGTGGTTGTTGGTCCACTGGGTAAAAATGGCATTCTTTCTTCAGGCGGATGCAGTTCTCGCATCGTCCTTGGGCGTCATCGGGAGCAAGTAAACACCGGATCTTCCTTCGTCTGCAGTGGACTTTTATTTTGAAAGATAAAAAAAAATCCGTGAAGCGTCAGCAGTGTCGCGAAGCGATCCCAGGCAACAAAAGAAAGAAAGAAAGAAAGAAAGAAAGAAAGAAAACGCCAAGTCGTCGCAAATCCGGCTCGTTGACGGCTCGCCTGCAGATATTGATTAAACGGAGATAGTATGCTTACCGCAAGCAACGGAGGTTCTATGGTATCCGAGTTTGTTTCGTTTCTTGTCTGCAGTGCCGCCGGTTGAGGCCTCCATTGCCAAGCCCTGTGAAGATTCCTGAGATATGTTGTCGGTGGACGGCTCCATGCATAGTTTCTTCAAGCCGGTCACGCGCTCCAAGAGGCAACAAAAGCGAAGGGCCTATTGTTGACTAACTGGAGTAGACTGTGATGGGGAATCTGGATGTGTTCTGGCTCCCATGCGACACGGAAGGAAATCTTGTGCTGAGATTATCAGGGTTTAATGCCATGCCCGAAATGACCCAAGGCTGCAGTTCTCCACGCCACAAGCAGCCGGCCCCCAAGATCTAGTATGAACAAGAGGGCATCAGAGACCGCAAGATATGATCGCCCAGTATTATACTCCCTATTCCGGGGGGGTATATTGATGGAGGGATTTTGAAGGGGGACAGATTGAAATGGGTTGCCGCGGGTGGATTATAACCCAGGAGGCCAGGATGCAGAGAAGGCAAGAACCCAAATACGAAGCCAATTCATGCGAATTGCTTATGAGAGAAATGAGGGGAGTTGAAAGAGGAACCGAGCGAAAAAAAATAAAAAAAAATAAAAAAGGGCCCCGGTCCGCAATTTAGAAACGAACAAAAAACGTAAATAGAATAAAATAGATAAAAAAAATAAAAAATAACCCAAGCTAACTAGCCATGGGGTGAAACGCCCAAGACTTTTTTGCTTGCTCCTGCGCGGTGTGCGTAACCAAGAGCTTAGTTACCACACAGTCAGGACATATTATTAGATTGCAAAATTAATGGCCCATCGGACAGGTAGTCTAACCAAAAACAACATCCACCCGCAAATCATTAAAAGCGGAGAGGCATAAATTAGGCTATTTCTGGCCTCGATTTATGGAGTGCGAGCGGACCACTCACTCCACCTTCGAACCACAACGCCACGGAGGGACGAAAAGAAATTAAAGGCCATCAATGCTGCCATTGGACGCTGAACCAGGTGATGGAAAGCATAGATGGAGCAATGATCAAACGGAAAGAAGAGGGTTCTGGGCCATCGAGTTGATGAGACCTTTACAGTGGTGATCAGCGGAAAGCCACATGAGTGTTGAAGAAGTTTATGAGTGAAATTCCTTGGACAGTGTGACCTCAAGACGCAAGTATCTGGATGTACAGAGTACTCCGTACTCCTCACAAGAAGTCAAAATATGTATATAGATGTAGCTTTTCTGACGAGGGTGTTCCTCGCGCCCGCGCCCAAACAAGCTTTGGAGTATTTCCTCAGCTCGAAGGGCACACTGAGAGGCCGCACTATACGGAAGATCCATTAACATCCCCCTCAAAAAAAAAAAAAAATAATAATAATAAATAAAAATAAATAAAAAAAAAATAAATAAATAAAAATAAAAAAGGATCAAGGGTCCGGAGGATATGTATGTCTGGACATACGGTACATCCCTGGACACTGCCCGATAGCAGCCAAAATAAAGTGCGCTTTTTTCCCAAACACGCAATGCCATGCCATGCTCGTCACCGGGGCTAGTTTCTTTTTCCTCTTGTATTTCCCCCCATTGCTTTTTCCTTGCCTTTCTTTTTTTTTTCTCTTCCTCTTTGCCAATTTGGCCTCCCCTTCGCGTGCTGCCGGCTCTGGACACGATCCGAGGATTCTGGGAATCTGTGGAGTAGCGGTGCTTTGACGGTCAATGCATGGAGGAAGATGAAACGTTTTGGATTCGGACGGTGGCGTGAGCCGAAAGGGGAAATGATGACTGTGCCGCTACCTTTCAGCCCGGTCTTGTCAGCAACGATACGCCATAAATACACTTTCCCGCCAATCTAGCGCGTAATATTCGCGATCCCTGGTAACGAGACTGTAAGGCCGCCGCATCGCAGCCAAGCCAGCCGCGTTAAGGATGACCACGCTAGTAATTAATACATACATAGTATACAGTTTCGCTGCACATGCCCTCTGGATCTCTCTCTCTCTCTCTCTCTCGGCTCTCCCTGAATCTTAACCACGGCTCTGGCTGAGTAGTTCACGAGTTGGCGGGGTCAAAACTCCAGCGTCTTCCATGCACTAACTACCGATGCGCGACGTGGCTGATGTTCCCCAGAATGTTGCAGCAAAAAAAGGTCCCCGAAGAGGGACGCGGCTTCATCCCAGTCCATCGCATGTCTGATGTCCATATATTGGTCCAATGAAGCAACCTCTATCTAGCAAGAACCAAGCTCATCAATGTGCGGTCCAGGCCAAACATTTAGGGTTAACATTCCCAACCATTCCCGCGTCGTGCCAGCTCCGGCTGGCCGTCCCTGGCCCGCTGAGCACAGGACCAATCAACATCTCACCCAGCCGCTGTCCAAAGGCAGACCGCGCCTATTATTCAGCGTCTTTGACGCCTTTTTGCGCGGACAGCAGCTCTGAGTTTGATTCCCTGGCTAAAGGAAAGGACGGAAAAGGGCGCAAGCCACAACAATCGAGTCCAAGGCAAATCCAATGCCCTTCGGACATCACATTCGGCCACTGGAAAAACCTGTAACTTTAAAACCATGCATGTGCTGTAGCTCCTATGTATTCCCAGGCTCGAAGCTTCGGCCAATGAATACACACTGCAGGTTGTTGGCGTCCCAATGCCCTTTTTCTCCCCTCTAGAAAACAAAGCCCCCCTCACGGTCAGGTTTGCACGATGACACACATGGCTGAACAATGCCTATTCATCCGGAACGAGGCCTGACGGAGTCTGGACATTGATACCACCCCGTCCCTTCAGACATTGAGTATAAAGCCACTGAGATGCAAGCGAAGCCAAATTTTCCCACTGATTGGGCAAACGTGCCCGGCGTCGTCACTTGATTGGGACGGCCTCCACACCAATGGAGTTATTAACCCATTCTCGATTGTATCGGAGCGTTGCTCGATGTCAAATCGGAATTGTCTCATTGGGTTGCGGATGGGGAAAACGAGGAGTTCGGATTTGCCGAGGCCTTCTCGCCTGAGAGCGAGTTGCAGGCGGATTCAGGGCAAAGCAGAAGATAAGATCTGCATCCGGAGTGTTAATACTCCGTTCTCCTCCTCTCTTCTGATTGAACGCCTGGTGTCCATCCGATCGCCAGCTTTAGCGTCAACGAACGTTGTCGAAATTGGGCGTTTCCAGGACGCCAAGCCAGTTAGCCTACCGCGAAACGCTCTGAGACGACACCACCGCCCACCTATCACGTCCCCCGTCGACCACGGGCCTCCCCCACTCCCCGTACCGGAAAAGCAAACCTGAGATCAGTTTCGCACAGAGAGAGAGAGGGGGGGGGAAGCGAAGGCCACCAGATTGCTACATACATCGAACCCACCGCGGCGCCCTAAGCTTCCATTCCTGGCCAAGTGTGTGAACGCTAATCTGGCGTCGAAAGCCGTTCGAGCCCACCAGACCGTTCGCCTTTTTGTGGTTGTTCGAAGACCGCAATCGACTGGGCGCTTTGACCATCTCTCGTTAAATTAAGGGATCATCTGCGCCTCCACCCTCTCTCGGCTGCGTGAACCTCCATTTCGCCCATCGTCCCAGGGCAAATAGATGCCGAGAGGTCGTTATCCCGGAATGTGGCACGTTTCATCATTCATGCAGTCGGAGCGACCATCCATGGTCCTTTTGGAGGTGTCAGACGTCGGATTCAAGCTCCAGGTTTCAAGGCTTAAGGCTGCTCCCAAGAATTCCGGGATTTTATAACGGCCAGGTACCCTGATCCTGGGATGTTATATAAATAGGTCGACTCTGTCACAGGTTACTGAATCCATGTTGGTAACTTGCATGGGCTGCATATCCCCGGCGCGAAGTCCCATCTAGTCACGGAGGCCGCCGAATCGTTCTGTAAGTGCAAACATATCATCTATCTTGGCAGAAAGCAGATTGCAAAGCATTCCCTTTCACATGTTTTGCTGGAGGGGTTACCAACGCATTCTTGATTTGTCGACTCGTTATCGCACTCACTTCTCCGTACGGAGCATAGCACACTGTGCTAATTTATGAGATCCACATCTTCATTTTCCACAATTTCCATAGCCAACATCAACCAATAAGGTGCACTATCCAAAGCTGTTGAGCCCTTCAGAGTGGCCACGGTGTGGTTCCCCTTTTCCTTCTAGAAGACTGTTTCCACAATCGTACTGCATTAATAGATATCATGTTTTCGAACAATGTGCGATGGGTACGGAAAAATGAGGCGACCCAGTTTGCGCTGAAATTCTTATCCATTCCCGGTCCAAAGAGTTCGTGCGTGTTGGATTTCTCACTCGAGACCTTTCTATGCGCACTAATCCCTGATGAAACCCATACGACGCTGGATTCCAATCTTGCGTTAATAAAAAAAAAAAAAAAAACATCAATGCTTTTAACCGAGAAGTGGAGTACAAATAAGATGACAACCGCTGATCTCAAACAGCCGCAAGACGTTCTTATCGACCGAATAGAGGATCGTGAATCGCAGGCCCCCGGCATAAAAAAGCAAATTCAAGTACTCCGTAGCAAAGACGAATTCAAGACGATATCAGGATTCTTCCCTTGCGGCTGAAATCACCCCCATATGTACGGAGTACGGAATACGTATATGAACACCGATCGCAACAAGGTTTAACATCGCAAGCAGCTTAGCAACTCCACCAATTCACCCTGGTAGAGGAAGCCAGACTTCTCAAAAATGTTCAAATTCTGCCTGGCCACCACTATCTGCTGACGTGGTTCGAGGACCAGCGGCTTCCAACATCTAAGCGTTGAGATAAGAAGCACGTCAATGAACGCGTCGGGGAAATACGGAGTGCATCCGGCCAAGTCATTGAAGTCGGGATCGGGCTGACGACTCGCATTCTACATACACCGTATCATGCAAATATTCACCCCAAAATGTTGAAGATGCAATTCCTACACCTCGCGAGAGGCTTCGACCTTTGACTTCGTTGCAAACTGCACATCCTGGACTGGCCATGCTTGAGATGATGATTGAACGATAACAGCACCGGGAAAGAATCCACAAGAAGCACCATGAGAACAAAGCGAAGAAAAGAGTGATTTCGGAGCCTGCGTGGAGCTCGTCCTTATCACCACTGTTCTTGTGGATACGACAGAGCCGCAGTGACTCCTGCTCCCTGGCCTGCACGTCGTAGGCCGGCCATGTGTATATCTCTCTTCGTGGCAGTTGGGCAGTAGAACTTCACAATAGTGAATCTTTCCCGACCATGGGTTGTCAAGACGCGAAGAAGATCATAGCTAACGACCCTCGCACCAGTGGATCCCAGAATCAATGCCCGCAGCAGCATGGGAACAGGTTTGAAGGCCATGATGTCCTGTTGGTGGGTGATCGGTTCGCTGTTTTGCGGATATCAGAATGGTGGGACTAAGCTCTGATTTATCCCTTGTCTTAACAGACGAGAACTTGACAAATCACAAGCTCGCAATTATGTGCTGAGTCCTTCGCACATCCTCTCGGCGATCCCCAAGGCTTGTTTATCCTTAACAAGGCGATTAATAATATAATCGCTGGGAAGTTTTGAGCTTTGTCTTCAAGATCGTCGTTCTTGCCTGCCTGGTTGGCATGGATATGGCTAGGAACTGGACTGAGCCACTGATGCAAGCTGGGCGTACCTGCATCTGACGTTACATATCCGGGGTGTGCATCCCTTTGAGATCCGAGTTGGCCGCTGTCGTCATTTCAGTGGTCACGTCATCAGCGTACGCTTCTCATCGGAAGCCCGTATATTGCCTGCTTCTCGGATTCGGTTTGTTGAGGGGACTTGAAGCAAAGCAAGCCCCTTGGAAAGATAGTGCACCGAGAGTGTATCCAGGGCTGGGAGCCTTTGTAACTTACAATTGCATACCACGATTGTCCTCAATTATCGGACAATTTTTCTCACGCTGTCAGATGTGCGTCGATGAGCACATCTTGGCGATCGAGGGCCCTTCCCGCGGTAACAACCCCTGCCAAATTCTGGAAGGATAGCTTTACGGTTGGAATCGAGATACGGCCCGATCCTAGGAATATCCACATTGATACACTGCTCATCCATGATGACCCGAGTCTGACATTGCCCTACCAACAGCAGCAGCGGCCAGGGTTACGTCGAACATAGCCAGTCAATTCTCGTCTGTTGGCTCCTTGGCCAAACAAGGATCTGAACGACGCCAATACCCTCACCTTCGCCGCATTCTGCTTTTTTCTGGCCAAGTAGCTCATCCAGTGAGCGGATGTCTGCATTCCACGACCTTGAAGGTCCATTCTTGGTTTATTAGAACATTAATGCCTTCAGTCTGGTGGTATTGGCGTGTTGACCCCCGTGATTAAGTACTCAACGTGTCGCTTAATCATTCACCCTAGGCGAAGAGATGGCCCCTCTTCCCGCCGCCCCCAAAACTCGACATAGTCGTTCATTAATGCTGAACCTGAGCCAGACTATCCGGCTAGTGGAGGGCATCCACGGTGCAATGCCAGAATTGCGTTCAGTAGCCTGCTTCAGAATTCAGAATACTTACTCAAAAATAGGTTGCACTTGACGGTGTACTCTATTTATTTATTAAAGGTAGTGACGCGTCAAAGCCATGGGACATATGCAACTCTGGAAATGCGGTACCGTGTTGACAGGGTGTTACGATTGGATCCCTGTAGCGGTGTTTGTCAAATTATTGATCTCACCGCTGCTGCGATCAGTCATTCGTGCGAGGTTCGAAGCGTGTCTTATCGAGATTCGTCAATCAGGCAACTTGGATATTACTCCTGAAGGGATTGCAAGCAAGCCCCAAAGTTTCATATCTGAAAACAGTTAATGCTGCGTTTTGAGAAGGGAAAAGGTGAAGGTTGTTCACGAAGCCCTGTTAGTGGACTGACGAATACACTTTTGCATCCGTTCTTCAAAGAAAAATTGCCCGGAATGTTCGAATTCTTTCACTCTCCCACCCAGGACCCGGATTCGATTTCAATGATGCCGGTCGCGTTTGAGGGCAGACTTCCCAATAACAAATCCCGAGCCTGGACTCTGACTCCCGGCATCAAGTGCCCTCGGAGGACACGGAGGTTGACGGGCTCTATCTCGGAGACATGAAAATTATCCCCGACGAGTCAACAGCTCTATCTTCTTTTTCTTTGCAGATGAGGTCAAACGCTCAGAGTCGTTGCTTCAAGTTGGAGGTTCCCCTATCTTTTATCGATATTGGAAGCGGAAGTTGGCATTATGGAACTTCTGAATGAATCCCGGACTGGTTGCTAACGGTCGTTAGGCAAACGCGAGTTCTTCTTTGGGGGGATGCTCTGGCTTCCCCACCTTGCGAGCGCCGTGGAGGTTTCCAAAGTTATCTTTCTTGATATCGCTAAATCCACCGTTACTAGGAAGTGGCTGGAAGCTGAGCGCGTAGTCGCATCAGAGATATCTCCATATCACTCTGGTTTCGTTTTAGCACGCTAAGCTAAGCATGTATGTATGTATGTACATAGGACGCCGATATCACTCCTAACTCACAAATGACCTACGTAAAGACCCCAACTCCGACAGCTCGCTTTCCAACTTCAGCCAGTCTTCTTCGGGAATTACGACCCTCGAGTTAGAATATCTGGTGAAAAATCGTTCGATGAGAATCTTGCCAGCATACCAATCTAGAATATCCGACCTGTGAAAGTCCGAAATCCCTGTTGCATCACAGCATTCCTGACAGAGCCCAACCATCTTCATGGGATCATGCACTGGAATTCGTCTAATACTACGGCAACGTCGGCAGTATACCATTTCTCGGCCTTGAAAGCTCAAGGTGATACCAGGTTCCCATTTATTACCTCTGATCGCACATTCGGTACAAAATCTTTTATAGGCATCAGCGTGTCCTTTCCTCCGTCGTCGCGTCACCTGGGTATCGGCAAAATCTTGTTCAGGCAAACGCCGAAGACAAGAATAGCATGTTAGTCGCGGGTCATGATATCCAAAATCCCGACTGAACCCATATACCTCGAGATTAAAATCTCTCTGCCGGTCCATTAGCGCCTCTTTTACTTCTTGATCCAGTAAGGTCCGGATATATTCTTCTCTGGATTGGGCGATCTGGAAGTCAGAGTATATGGAGCGGAAGTAGGTGTTGGTTGCACGGAGCATTTGAAGGTCACGATAACCCAGGTAAGAGGCTAGTTGGACATGTATATCTGTAGGTAACTCGAGGAAGGAGGGACAATCATGACTTAAACGCCCTTTGGTGTACTCTGGTACATCGATTGCCCTGATGGCTGGGGAGGATGAGCTCTCCATGTCGGCGCAGGCTGCAAAGTGTTCATTTCAGGAACTTTGCCGCGTGATTTTGGAAACGCATGCCCGCATAACCCTCAAGCCAATTGTGAGTGTTCCCCAGAAGAACCGCGGGCATGCAGGCAGATCCTCAGGTCCTTGACTTTGAAACCAGCTTCAGCATCCTCGAATGGCGGCGGTCCCGGTGTTGAGCCGATGAAAAGACCAGATGACGTAGTTAACTTGACTGGCTAATTAGTTAACTAACCAACCAACCACTCATTTGAAACAGAACGCAAACAGGACAAACAAGGCAAACACCAACTGGTCATAATCTCTGGCTCGATGCGCGACGAGGAATTCCGATCTAGAAAAGGGCGAAGATCTCCCTTTGTCTAGGGCAGGCTTTTTGATTGTGTCACCGGCTCAGATATGTATGTATATATGTACATACTGTACAATACATACGGAGTACATACTAACTATGTCCTCCGACAAGCTAGGATGCAAACCCTGGTATCCCCAAGACCCCCCATAATTGTTGTTTTCTTAGCATATAATGACGATGAAAAGCTCTTCACCTCTGACGTTTTAGAAGAACAATTGCAGCTACGTTTAATGCTCAGTGCCCCAGTGGTATACGTCTTCACGTACTACAGTACATTGGGACGGTTTGAGTCAGAAGAACAGGCAGTTGTCTCTCTCATCTATGGCGGATGACTCAGTACCTGAGCAAACTAGCTCATGGCATGTTAGTTACCATTAGTGATGGGACACCCCATCTTACCTGGCGCTACGGCTTTAAGACACCTTCGCGACCCAATTGCCAGCTTGATAAACGCTCTATGGGGTTGTCTCTCGCTTGGGAATTCAGCCGAAGTATATCTTATAACCTTGAGCTTATCGTTGCGGAGAGATGCGAGCGGAGTTTATTCTCCAAGGCGAAGCATCTACTCAGTTAAATAGTTTTGTCCACACGAAATATGGAATAATTCAGAGGCGACAACACGCTAAAACAGGGGCAGCTCCACTGTTCATGATAAGACAAAACTTGTTGACTGGGCATGAAGGATCTACTTGAAAGTTTACGCAGCTCCTTTTAATTCTCCCCAAAGAGTTCTTTTATATGTCAGTGAAAAAGAAGAAAAAAAAAAAAAAAAGGAATCTAATCCAAATTGCACGCAGTGAGGTGTTAAGATGAAGATTAGCATAAAAGGTTTTTGAGAACATGCACACAGAACAATGCGAATGTAGGTTGATGAGCGATACACAATTCAACTAACCCTTAGCCCTGACGCTCAGGTCCTGAAGGATATATTATATCCCCCACTTGTTCTCCGAAGCTCTAATAATTGCATCTGTCAATACTGCGCCCATCAGCTGCCTGCCTCGAGCAAAGCGATGTGGCATCATCCGGTAAGATAGGCTGACTGGCCGTGTCGAATAACCCATACTAAGTTGACGGTATCCTGGTTCGCTCGGGTGGTATGAGATGTTTAACTTGTGCACGGAGTAAGCCCATACTCCGTGGAAAAGATGGAACAGATCGCCAAGAAAAAGAAGGATATCGGAAAGGCCTTGGTATTGGTGATGGATAAGCTGCTTGTCGAACTCCAGCCTATAGATGCGGCTGCTATGAAAGCTTGGGACCGCGCTTAAGAAGTTAGAGCTAGTGGTGGGTATATGTGTAAGTTTGTTCTTTTCTTTTTCTTTTTCTTTTTTTTTTGGAGTATAAATGGCACAGGGGGAAGTGTCCTTTTGACATCTTCGCAGCATCGCGCTGGACAAGACATCACCTAAAGAATGATTAAGAAAGCTCAAGGAACAGTCGAGGTAGACGCAACAAAGCTGATATCGATCGTGATACGGCTAGTCTCTACTTATTGCTTCCTTCTTACTCTGTACACATTCCGGAGCTATCTTTAGGGAGTACGTAAATACCGAACTTGAAGACGGAGGATGCTCAAGCACTGACACGTCCCGAGAATGCACTCTGTCGGCTGCTCCAATCCCAGGAGAAAGGGACAGTGGATCCCAACGGAAGCGCAACGGTCGAATCAGCCATCGAGCCAAACAAGCTTAAAGTTGGGGAAAATCCAGGTCCAATAGCCGGTAGCTTAACCAGTTACAGTATCATTCTGGTCCAGCCTGGTGGGTCGGCGTGCTTTGCTGCAGCTCAAACCCACGAGTCACAGACCCTTTCGCGTGAGCTTGTAAGCTGGTTCTACTCCGTACACCAAGAGGGTATTCAAGAATCAAGAAAACGCTTCGTTGTCGTGGACTTGTTAACTGCAATTATCATTCCTTCAAGGCCGACTTGCGGGGGAACCTCCCTACACTACTGTCCTGTAACTAATAAAGGCCGGTGGGTGCGATTCTTGGTAGGCTGTTTAATTAAACGGCTTCTGCTGTCTCGGGAGAAGTAGACTTCAGGAAACCGAGGTACGGAAGACACCAAGGCGCAATTAACGCTGTACATAGCCTGCTGGAAATATACTGGAAAAGGACCCGTGGCTCGCTAGTTTCCGCTTGTCGGTTACCTTCCAAATCTGCAGGTATACCTTGATAGCTTTCTGGTCCCGTTGATAATGTCTTGTGGTGGGGATGTTTTGCACTTCAGTTCTTTGGGCCCTTCTGGGGAATGTCGTGCTAAAGAACGCATTCCCCCATAAAAAGTCGCTGATCTTATCATCGACCTAGGCCATAAAGTGACCGTTGCAAATACTTCCTCATTTGGTAATGCTGTGGCATGTCTGCTACCATTCCCTGTAAATCGGATTCCAAGGTGGTTGAAACATAATCCTGTTGTTGTGTATCCTATGCAAGAGTTAGCCATGACGATGTAAGTCCATGACTTGTTTTGTTGTCAAGAAGATTTGTATCCTAGTCTCAGTCAAAGTCCCTTCGCAAATGACAATGTTCACTGAAGAATATAGCCTTTGAAAAATTTTCTTTTCTTCTTCATGCGGGAACCCTCACTACGATCACCCCACCATGCCTGAACCTTGTGCAATTCATATACGCAATCCGAGGGAAATCCCTATCTATGCTATTGAGATCTAGTTAGCGGGAACGTATGGATGTTCGCTGGTAGCCAGCGGAGTCAAACCCGCGCAGGTTTCAAGAATGGGCCAGGCCGACTGGGCGCAAAAAGGTATGGATGCATCAGCCTCCGTACCGCCAATGTACAGTAGTTACAGGGACCTGCCATTTACTCTGTCCTTGCCTGATACTTCTAGGGAGGACGCTGCACGGCTGAGATACGAAGGATGCGGAGTCCAATATGAGCGTCCTCTTTGTCTCCTTCATGCAGAAAGTGCTCCGTCCTCTCGACACCGACCCCGAATTGGCGCCAAGAGCGGAAAACTAAACCGCTTGCGAGGCTCGGAGGGAGATCCGTGCACGGTGTGCGCTTCCTGGTGGCCCCTACGGATGTTTTGGCCGGCAGTCAACGCCAAGGCTGTTTCCTCCAGTCGGAAGCGCGGGATCGGTGTCATCCTTGGAAGTTCGAGAAGGCTTCCGTCCATATGTATATATAGTTAGTTAATAAAAGGGATATACTCTGTATATCGGCGGAATCGCTGGCGGATTTCGTTCAAGATGGGTTCCTTCGAGGCCTGTGAGGCAGGGAGGATTGCTACCTAACGTGCGGAGTAGAACGGCTTTGGCCCGCTGTTTTAAATGCGGCATCTCGAAACAGAAACAGATATTAAAGCAAGTATGATCTCACGATAGGTTTCAAAAAGCCAGCGCGATACTGGCCTGTGGCACCGTTGCTCGCATCCTGCAGAGCTTCTACAGAGTGGCGGGCCCTTCACCCGGCCTCGCTCGCGCACACATAACATTCATCCATGAAGAGAGCGACGCAGCAGCCGCCCTTAACTAAGACTTCTCGCGTTTGGAGGAGAAATTGCAACCGGCTTGGCTTCCCTCGTCCATTTCCCCGCTCAACATGGTTCATTACCTAGAAACAGAAGAACAAAGAACGATCTGTTGGCGGTGTCAGTTACGGTGGGGACAACACCGCCAGCCAGCAACGTGCCAATCGAGCGCCATCGGGTGCATCTCCTTGAAAGGTAATTGCCGGCGTCACTGGCAGCATTTTTTCCTCACTTACTCCGTGTTCGAAATGGCGAATACGATGAGGGATTTTCGTGGTCGCTGAGTTGCCACGGATGGAGAGAGACAAGAAAAATCTCCAGGGCGAAAATTAAATTACCGCTGGGCGGTGGTGAGCGTACGGAACGGTACGAAGGACTCTTTTCAAATCCCGATATTACCCGACGATACGGGAACATGACAGCACCTCGATCCTTTCTCCAGATATCCCAGGTCGCGAGGGACTAACTCCGTAAATCAAGTCAGTTAGAGTAATCAAATGGCGGTAGGTAATATGTGGGAAAGGGTAGGTAGCTGAGCTCGACGTTGCACAGAGTTCATTGCAGCGAAGGGTGCTGAGGCCGGCGAATCACTGGCGGGCGTCGTGCGAGAGGAAAACCCCCCCCCCAAGAGCGGGCTGAGTTGGCAGGCTCGCTTGCATTTCCCAGGCAGTAAGTTATTCACTTGGCCGCAGACGAGTCCGTATTCAAATGTGGTTGCTCTACAAGTTCTCTCCCTCGGAGTTACGATATTCTTCAATCATCTAAAGCTTGTCCTGTCCCGCGTGCGATGCTTCTCTCTGCTGTGGCCTGTAATGTAAAGGTGCTGTATGACTCCGGAAAGTTCTTTACGAAGGCTTGGTATTGAGACGGTAATCACCTTACGTAACGCCGCCTTGTACGGCAGCCCGGCGGTCGGGCGAGCGTAACGACTGCGAGAGCGCGACGGAGTGACTTGAGATCGAGACCTCTCTTGAGACCTCTCTGCTCCTCTCTCTCTCTCTCTTTTCTCTTCTATTCCCCATAGGACTCGACCGCTTCCCTCCTCTCCAGTGCTCAGCAGCGGCAGTCCTGTGTCGTTGTTCACCTCTCTCGCCGTGCCTGGGTGGCACTTCTGCTCGCCTTGCCGTCCGTCGCACTGGTGTCCTTGGTGAGTGTTGCCGCCGCCTGGCCTTGTCCACCGAGCTTGTCCGCCGGGAAAGCAACATTCCCGCCGAAGATACTGAATAAAAGAATTCCATACCCTTGCAAGCCCAAGCAATTTTCGTCTCGAGAGGTGAGTTTCGAGCGGGCTTCCATCGACCTGGCTGGGTACAAGGGCCTATCGCTCACCTTGCAGAGAGCGTTGATTTGCCCGTGTGTGCTGGTCTCATCGCCCACCACCCAGCTGTGTGGGGAACGAATCGACTCAATCCTGCCCTGCATTCGCCCGTCTTTTGCCCTACGCACACCGGCACGACACAGTGCGGCCATCCCTATTATTAATTTTTTTCTGTCGACATTTTCTAGCCTGGTCTCAACCCAAGCGATATTCCATCCTCCTCCTTCTCCTTCCCGAGATCCGTTGTCCGGTTGAAACGCTGTCGCCTGGCCAGAGACAAAACTTTCCGTCCACAGCATCTAGTTGCCCGGTCGGTTCCTCCTTTTGCCTCTCACTCACTCACTCTCGATTGGCCAATTTTCGCTGCCTTCTGCCTTGGTCCAGTCGTATCGCCGCCACTGTAGGGAAGTATTACAGGTTATCCGGACATCGACGGCAAGCTGGAGCCGTCATTCCACGAGAACGTCGTCCGCCGGGGGTTGCTGCGGGAGTCCGTCTTTCCGCACTGGGAAAATGGCGCCGCGCAGGGAGGCCTGGACAACACTGAGGAGTTGCAGAAACAGGATCCCCTAGCAACGCAGATATGGAAGCTATACAGCCGCACAAAATCTCAGCTTCCCAACCAGGAGCGGATGGAGAACTTAACCTGGCGTATGATGGCCATGAGCTTACGGAGAGAGCGGGAACAAGCGCAGGTCCGGTATGTCAAGCCCGTCCCCTCCTCGCCCCCTTTCAAGCTGGGCTGGTTTTTGGCCATCTTGGGATTAAATAACGTTGCCCCTGCGTTGAACGGGGTTGTTTGGTGGCCGCCTCTTTTCGCACCTTCTGTCCCGCCGCCTGCTTCTTCCAGGTTATTCTAGCAAAACATTGACTGATCAATCTCCCTCATAGATGTGCACACCAGGCAAGATCCCCATCGCCAAGCCGAATACCACCTCACGACCATACTATGCCCCAACATGCCCTTGCAGCGCACTCGGACCCGATGAACGTCGATGACTGTCTCGTCTTCTCTCGGGGCTCTTCGACAACATTCTCCCCGTCCCCGCCCGTGGAACAACATGCTTTTGAGCAAAATCATGCCGTAGCCTCCGCTATTCCTATCAAGACCAAAGAGCAAGATGGATCGCCTGCTGGTATTGTCATGCCTGCCTCCTTTCCGCATGCGCCACAAGATGATCGTCGGAATACCGAATTTAGTTACGTTCCCCGGCGGGTTCGAAAGACAAGCGTGGATGAACGAATGGTAAAGCCCCCAAACACTGTCCATCTGGGTTCTCATTATTCTCACTTCCCCTCCTTTTCTTTTTCTTTTTTTTTTCTTTTTTTTTTTTTTTTTTTTTGGTTAACAAAGAAACAGACTCGAAAACGACCGGCCGATGCCTCCCCGCTTGTACCCCCCATAAACAGCCTGCTCATACCCAATGATCCCGACTTCGATTCCGCGATGGAGGACTATTCCCTCGACCAATCCCACCCTGCTTTCTCAATTGGCAACCAGACCTCTCCAACTGCGACACTGGATTTGGATACATTCCAAGTCACCGAGGACCAATTAATCACTTCGGCAGGCCCGTTCAGCCAAAACTTTACATTCTCTCCCACAGAATCCCCGCTCTTGGCCAATGCAGCCTTTCAAAATATATACAACCATACCCCTATGGGTTCCTCGCTGAACTCGACAGATCTTTACTCCCCACCCGCATCAGGGTATCAATCCACTGTCTCTACTCCCCATCTTGGCCTTGACAACGAGCATTCAATGTATTTTGACCATGCTCCCGCTGATATCCGGGTCCAGCGTCAAATGGGAAGTTTCCATGCGGCTGGTCCTTCTAACCTCTCGGGCCCTAGTAGTAACCCTCGTTATCCATATGCTCGGGATCAGGCATTCGGGGTTGGAACTAGTGCTGTCACAGCGGGTTCCATGCACGCTTCTTCCTTATCAATGCAGCAGCAACCAAGTCCAAGCTATATCCTTGCTCCACAATCCTTCCGGGCTACACAGCCCCACCGCTCCACCGGCCGCGGGAATGGAAATCAAATGTTTACATTTGGAGGCGACTCAGATAATGATGATGATAGTGGAACTTCTTTTCCTGGAAGAAGCATGGCAATGCGAGCTGAGCAGCCTTTTGCTAACGGATCTTGCAACCTTGGCTCTGGCCTAGAATGGGCTAACCAATTTAATTCCGTGCCTGGCTTCCATCCACAACACCGCAAACAGGCCACGATAGCAGGTGCAGAATTCCAAAGCGCCAGCCGAGAGTGGGATCAAGGAGGCAGCCTTGGTCGTGGACATGGATCTGCAGCGTCAGTGAGTGAAATTCGAAACCGCGAGCAGGATCCTCGGAGACAAAAAATTCCTCGGACTATTTCCACGCCGAACACCGCTCAACTCCTACAGCAAGGACAAAATAGTCAGCCACGCACAACGCCAAACTCCCCCCGCGGGTCTGCCATAAGCAGTAACAATCCCTCCCGACCAGCTAGCCCAGGCCCCGCGAAAGCCACAGAACAGCCAAACGCACCTACGACCTGCGCCAACTGTTTTACTCAAACAACTCCTCTCTGGCGTCGTAATCCAGAGGGCCAGCCGCTTTGTAATGCTTGCGGGTTGTTCTTGAAGCTTCATGGAGTTGTACGACCGCTATCTTTGAAAACGGACGTGATAAAGAAGCGGAACCGTGGAGGTGGGAATAACACGGCAGGAGGGACGAGTTCGAGAGCGTCAAAGAAAATCTCTCGCAAAAACTCTGTGCAGCAGCAGCAGCAGCAGGCTGCTTCTAGCAGCGCTGCCGGAAAAATGAACGTCGGAGAGCCGTCCACTCCTGTGACTAGCGGTATCCCAGCAGCATTTACTGGATCAAGTAAGCCTGGTGTGATTCCTATTGCTGCTGCTCCTCCTAAACCGTCAAGCGTTCCGACCACTGTCCCAAGCAATGCTGCACAAGCACGACTGCCAGTGCAAGTGACACCCCGACGCATAAGACGGGTTGAAAAGCCGCCAGGCCCTTCTTTCGCCCAAAGCTTTGGGGCCGAAATGCGAGATGTCAGGGAGGATAACAGTAAGACTCCTACTCTGTCGCACCGAATTCCCGGGATGTCTCAAGTGGCATATTCCCGGCCACCACCTGCCGCAATGGACCCTGCTCATCACAGTCTTGCTGCAGGCGCTGCTCCAAGCAATAGTCAAGAGTGGGAGTGGCTCACGATGAGTCTATAATACGGGCTATTGTATCAACTGCTATGCAGTTAATATAAACCTCGATTTATTCTCTTTTCTTACGGCCGCTTTTTACGATATTCCATGGTTGCCTCTACAGCAATCTTCCTACTAAAACAAAACGAAGCGAAAATGGAGACGGCAGATAAAATGAGACGATCGTTTTTCTGACTCGTCTGCTTGATATTCTTCTTTTCCTTTTTTTTTTCATTTGCTGCATCAATGCACGATGATAAAACGACATAATGGCTAAGTATATGATTATTTAATTTGGGACAAAAGATGGCATGATATTTTTTGAAGAATCCTCTTCTTCCATATTGCCATGAGACCTGTAAGGAAATTGTTGATCCGATGCTCCTTCGTAACAGATTTTGCTTGCTAATGCTAACCTTCATTCCTTCTACCCCCTTTTAGTTGTTTTCGGCCTTGGATTTCCACTTTGTCCAAGGTGTGATCGAGTAAAATCATGTCCTATTCTTTTGATCCTTCCGTCCTTTTGCTCCCTGCCTCCTGTGTTTGTTTCACTTTTTACACCCTTACTGTTGCGTTTTGTGGAGGTTTAAGGCCTACTTGAGTCCCTTTACCCTCTCTATGGCTCAGATAGACATCAGTTGCTTTTGCTTGTTTGTGTTTTGCATGTTTCCACCAGCTCTTGAATTGATACAACCGCGTCTGTTTAGAATGCCCAACCACTTGCCTTTTGCGTGTTTATTTGATTCTTTTGCTTTCTGTGTCCGCGTTTGTTTTGTTCATGGTTGGGCATTCTGGCAGAAGTGCGCATCTGCTTGTTAATTTGAATTATGGGGTTTTGCTTTCGCCTTTTCTTTTTGCTTTATAATGTTGATTCTTACGAAAAAGAATGGAGTGATGTCAATGAGTAGGAGCTTTGAGTGTGCTGGAGTTTTACTGTTTTGGCACACTACCAATGCTCTGTGTGTGTATCTAGCATATACATACCTCTTTTAAGAATCTTCAATTGTACGTCAATGGAAATTGAACTCTACCAGGATGAGGACCCTCTAATGAAAACGTCCATGCCATTAGTTTTACTGGACTGGCTATCTTTGATTGCTGGCACATATAGCATGTATTTGAAAGCATATATTAGATAGAAACCAATACGCCTACCTGACTACTTAAGAATTAATCTTGATTGTGCTCTTGGTTAGAAAATGTTTTGATTCGGGGTCTCTTGTATTTCGGCAAAAAAATATTGTGCTAGAGCACCCTGAGCAGGAGCAGTGGCATCTACATCATCTATGCTCGCATCCACACCCACAAAAGCATTCTCGCTCAGTAAACAAGCTGAGTCTGACCTGAAAGCACCGGAAGAACCAAGCAGCCAAGCCACAGCCATGTAGTCTTGTTTTAATCTTTTACATCTGAATAATCAGATAGCATTGAAAAGAGGCCCTGAAATTGCGGCGGAATCATCAAGATCAGGCAATGAAGCTCAGCCGAACTTGGGTGTGGATTCCAGGTTGACTCTGTGCTTTGAATATGTGCCATGTTTGATTGCTTATATTATATCCATTGTATGGGCGCGAGGTCCATGGAGATGCTCCACAAAGTATTGCAACCTGAATAAAGATGTAACCAGCATCAATACGAACTATATATTGATATCAGCATTGAAAAAATAAAAATGTCACTTTCCAACAGTCTTCTTTAACTATGTAACAGGTGTGTGTGGCGCTTGTAATTTAGGACTTGATCGGAGAACTTGTAGAAGCTTCGACTTGGAGAAACGGAAACAGAAACACTGTCTCCAAGAAGGAATTGTTTGAAGCAGAAAACAGGATGACAACTAATTGACTGTAACATCGGAGAGCGACAAAGAGGCAACAAAGCAAAGTGAGGACACTTGTCAAGAGCTTTCAATTTCATATCCAGAAGGTGTCCTAATGCGGGAATAAATGTCAATCAATGTGTATTGAGTCTCTAGGCAGGTCTGGTAAGGTCATCTCTGCCCATGACCCAGGTTAGCTCTGCCTGAAGAAATTGAGTTCAAATCTAGGTGGGCATAATGCCTTGAATAATCCTTTGAGCCACCTGATATTGGACTCTTGAAGACACATCTCATGATGATATGTATCTCGTTAGTGGTATGCATGATATTTATGCCGTTTGCCCATGGAAAATCCATCGCTATACGCATGGCTGAAGGTTCTAGTAGATGCAAGGCATTCATCTGCAGCACTAGATCTGGTGCTGTGACCGCGGGTTCGCAGCTGGGGGCGAGAGATTTTCATTCAACACTCTCATAAGAAATTAAATGTCAAACCAGACAAAGGCACTTGCGCCTCGTGTTGCCTATTGCAGGTTGCCAGCTATTCCTCTAAGGAACAATCGTAGGCTATTAACAGAAAGAAGAAAGCTAAGTAATTTTCCTGCAGGAAGTAGATGCGGTTTTAAAGTGGTCAACTAGCTTTGACCCAGTACCGTCAAAACTGTATACGCTGCCAAATGCTTGACGTTCAGCTTGGTGAAAATGGGGAAGGACTGTATATCTTCAGCGCCTTCGTCCGAAACCGTTTTCTAAAAGTTCAATATATATATAGACAGGCATAACTGATATCCAAGGACTCCGGTTTGTGTGACATGTCTTTGACATGGACTCGATTGGAAGTTCATCTTCACAATGATTCTTAATAGTATCATCTAGAAATGAGTTATGGTTCAAGTCTTTTGCAAATGAGGAATGTTTTTCCTCATTGACAAGGCCAAGCCCTTGGAAAACAAAGACTGGCATCTGCAGGGCGCAAGGAAGTGCCGACATTTTTGTGGGATGCATATTGAGCGAGATTGAAATCGCGAAGTCCATAGGGGAAATGTGTTGGGGGGAATGAAAAAACTGAAGAAATGCCGGACTTGAAACCCTTCCATATCGGAATTTTGTAGGCCCCGAAAAACCATGGAACCCCAATGAACCCACTGTAAACAGTGTCTGAAAGGTTTCTGCAGCAGGAATGACATCTTCACTATTTCTGAATAGAAAGTGGTTCTCATTTTTAAAGATTCCCCTGCCTGAGAAACATTCCCAATTGCTGTAGAATGATTTTGGAATGGTGGAAATGTTTTCAGAGTTGCTGAGAATGTTAGTAGAAATCCAGTTGGAATGCTGTCAGGAATTAACTGCTGCATCCTGATTTCAGACACTCATTCATTTCTAGAGTAGTCCTTGATCAAATACATACAAAGCAAGCAAATCTTAGAGAAATGAAACATCCCAGATGCATAGTAGAAAAGTTTCAGAATTCCAACCACTGAAAACCAGATTGCTGCTGGCATCCAACCACTAATTGGTATGGTGTAAGGACTCAGCTTTTTAATTGCAGGAAGTCCAATAATGGTGTAGTTGGTGTCCCCTAGATCTACCTGCTCAATCAGCAGATCTAAAACCTGATCTCTCATCATTTTCAATGCTGGAATCATCAAAAAGGACACTCTTTCATTTGTATGCAATTCATGAATGAAAATGCTGCCGGTAATTTGCCCAATAGTGAAGCTGATTCCATATGTATACTTATCAAATCATCAACTATTAGTTTGATCTGCTGGTCTTCAAGTGAGAAAGTAAGATTCTTATAGAACCATATTGCAGTTGAGCCCAGTTCCACCATGGATGGCTTATCTCAATCTTCCTTATATACATTTCAGAGTTTCTGCAAAAATGGGTGTAGATTTGGTAATATGGATAGCCATGGACACCATTTTTTCTGTGGATTGTTGTGCCAATGATAGTGTCCTTCAGTAATGGTATCAAAATTCATGTCATGTTGCCAATTCTCCAAAACTATACAACTCCAACAAGACCATGTTGCTGTAGGTCTTTGATTCCAGTATTGGCATTCTGTTGTGGCATATCCCCAAGAAAACAGAGACATGAGGAAATAACTCTAGCGACTCTCTCACTAGGAATATTTATATTAATACCCTTGTCAAGCAATGCTAGATCAGGCTCCAAGGCTTCAATCACATCAGGAAAATTGGTTCCATATGGTCTGAAAGTAATTGTATAAACATTGTTACACTTGACTCTTTTGGTAGCTTTCATGCTGGCAGGCATCATGTAGAAACCCATAAGGCTTCAGTACATGTTGTGATATAGACTGAATCCATCAATAAAAAGTTGATAGGGAAGGGATATAATCTTTTTGCTGTTGAAAAATGTTTGCTTCAATATCTCTCTACCATATGCTGCTATTTCTAGCTCACCATGTAGTGGAGTGCTCATATTAATTGCACGATTCCTAATTAGGTTACTGTGAGATCTCAGAAATGTAAGGGTTTCTCGGACCAACGAAATCCCGATATGGTTGCCCCGTGGGGATGGCTTATATCCGTCGTGCGGATGCCAACGAGTGGGTGTAGCTATCCTGGCTGCTAGAGTAGAGGCGTGAAACTGCCGTTGGGCAGGATGTGATTATATATTAATTATATTTGGTATAATTTATGCTATTTCATGTCATCATTGTATGACTTGTTAGTTGTCCGTTGTCACGTTGTCTATCAACAAATCGTGGGACTAGCGATTTTAGTACGTTGCGGCGTGGGTATAAATAGAGAGTTCTTCGCCCTCTTCCTTCTTCTCTTCCTTCTACTCCGTCTGGATGCGAGCGTCGTTATTTCTTTCGACCACACGTACATCACGACAGGTACGAGTCTGACGTTCTAAGCAATGCGCACACGATTCTTTACTGGCGTCCCATATACATGGCTCGGATTCGTCTAAACGGTCCGTCAACATCGAGTATACGCAGACGGAACACGGAAGAGCATCTTCCTCATCATGAGGAATAGTATGACTTGTTAGTTTGCTGCTGGTCAAGAATGATGTCCATCTGCCTGTTATCTTGGATAGAGTCAAAAGTCAACGCGTGCTTCATGTCCATCCTTTGGTAGATAAAAACAAGGATTAGATTGGCTATAAGATGACTTTGAACTGACTATTCAGTGATTCAGTGATCGATTCCAAGTCATCACATATTTGCCAATTAAGGCATGAAGTTCCACCGAGTCGCTGTAGAATTTTTTTGTTCTATCAGCGATGGTTACGGCCAACCGATACGCGGGTATCAAACACGATGAAATGATGGCCGTGGTGGATAGGATATGTGCGAAATAACTTTTTAAACAGTGATGCAAAGTTCTTCTGCAGCTGTCGGATACTGCCTGGCAAAGTGACGTTAAGAAGAAATATGCCCTTAGCTGTAGTTTGCTAATAAAATATATATTGTTATTCATAAGCTAAGAGTAAGGACTCTTTAAGCCCTAGGTGCTCAAATCATAGTTAGTCGAGGGTAGCCAAGGCCCAAAAATAGTTCTCTGGTGAAAAGCCCAGAGATAGTGCAGGCATCATCCTCCTTGAGCGATGCCAGAGACATGAACACTTGCCTCTGCCGCTCAGCAAGGATGTAAGGGAAGTTCACCCCGAAACCTCCAATTGATAATAGGGCCTTGGCCCATTGGAGATATTCAATGACAAAGTAGAGCTCATTATGGAATTATATAGAAAATAGGTGGTGAGGGTTCGAATGCTTTTCATTTTATAGATATTTGCGGTCCTAAATTAGGTCAGTTAGCCGGGTAAGGGGAGTTCTGTAAGATATAGCAATTGACTGCTACTCACTCTAGAGTCCCGAATCCACTCTCGTCCATCCTAGACTGTTTCGAATGCATCGCAGGTGAAACCCTCATTTCGTCAAAAGTAAGGTTTCGTATCGCGTTCTGTTCTTCCAATAGATTCGGTCGTCTTTGTCGAGCATCGTGAAACCTCCTTCTTTGTAGGGGCCTTGGCCGCGTCGGGAGAGCCAGTTGTATACCCGTGTGAGTGACCACGCTGACATCCAGGCAAGTTCTTGCGCCCATAAGGTGGAAGGTTTTCAGGTATCAGGATGATTTGGTTCTTTTCTTCAGTTGTGATTCCACGAGTATAGCGTGAAAAGCCTTTTCGAAGGAGTCGGAGCGAATAGATATCCGGGTTTAAAGAGGATCGCAACGAGGTTACTGTCTATTGTAGGCGGAGATGTACTCAGCTGGTAAATGAGAATGAGATATTCATTCTACTCGTTCACTTTCGGGTTCGCCAAACCCCTGGGTTTCGAGGGCGATAGATGGGTGTGCAACCCCCCTTGATTTTGAAAGTGGATGCGCAGAGAGGAATGTAGAAACTGGGTGTACAGCTCTCTAAGTCACTTTTATATAAGGAGCTTGGACACAGTAGAATGGTGCAATGGAAAAAGAAAAATAAGAAGCAGGTAGATGGGGGGTCATTTTATAAGCAAGGACTCCGACCATAGTGCTTGCATGCACCTTTCACTTGTGGTGCGTGAAGCAAAGGCGGCAGTCATTTAGTTGCAAGAGTATACAGCATGAAATGGAAGGCCATTGGCGTTGAATGAAAGAGGCTGTAGTGACAGTGTGCTGCCAGGAGTCTGAGAGCAAAGTGAAATTGGCAAAGTGAATTTACTAGAACATAATGAACCAAACATGGTCTTTGGCGCTGTTCAGTGACCAGTTTCGTATTGTAGCGTCCATATAGAGAAGAAGAAATTTTCCCAATGATGCTTCTCCCAAAGTCACCGAGACCAGGGTGCTAGGCCCTGATGGAAGTATCGAAGAGGAGCTCCCCGGCACAGCCCAGACCTTCCACAAGGGTAAAGCAACGTATAAGTTCAGGTGTTTGCACCAAAAGCCGAGATGTACACAAAGCGTGCGTAGAAGCTCTAAGAACCATGTAACCACCGGGTCCTGACGTTATAGAGACTTGCGCTCCCTGTTTCTCAAGTTAATCTGGGTAGGCGAGATCAGGGCGCGTACCATGTTGCTGTGTACGAGTATCTGAGTGGCTTTGAAGAAGCTTTTTGGAACACCGCGTCATATTCTAATTCATTTTCACTTTGCAAAATGTCCTCGTGTGGGGCGTTTCTCGATTTCCCCCTTTCCTGTCACGGCCGTGGTAGTGAAGCTTATTCGTGGCCAAGTGGTTAGCTACCCCTTCCTCAGTTGATGTTTGCATTGCTTCCGATAAGCCCGGACAAATGCCGTTTGTCGCATTCATCCTGATTGGAAAGATGGCCCTAGATACATCTTTTATGTCAACGGCTATAGTTAGTTAACTTAAATGGAGCCATAGGCTCATTTAGAGAAAAATCAATCGTTGATTGTCACTCGATCATCTATGACACCTCACCATCTGATGTACGTAGAAACCTTTCAGGATATCAGCGTCCGACATTTCATTGAGCCATAGCTGGATAGAGATGGTAATATCTAGGGCGAGCAGGGATAGTGACACTAGGTGGGGTTCACAGCTTCCACAAGTGTGCAACCGCCACACAAGATGCACACGACAAGTTCAAGGAGTGCTAGTAATGTACGGAGTATAGAGTACTCCATAGTTTTTGTCGGAGGCACGGAATTGCTTCAGTGACACGGAGCGCTATAGCCACCATAACCACCTGCTGGGATCGGAGGCATAGCCATGATTCTAAAAATGGTGCACAGCCGCCATTCTCGGAAAAAGGAGACCAGATACATTGGACCGGTAAGTCACCCCACACTCACACTGGTAGTGGCCCACATGCTCGGTGGAACAGTGTTAGGATCGCTGATAAAAGCAGGAAACGAGCAGGAGGCTCCACAATCCTACTTCTGCACCGGCAACTCTGCTGTCAAACCTCAGTAGGGCTGTACCAAACGCTCCAGAGTTCCCTGCTTCCCTTGGCACCGGGATATGTATGATCGGCGGATGGTCCGATGCCCATGGGTATATTGCCGGGGATAGAGTCTGGGTGGACAAGACAGAGCAACACAGATCTTCCTTTTTGACACAATGATTGCGTCCCATATACAACACTGGCATCCAAGGATACCCATGGGAAGTGTAAAGAATGTCAGCGGGAAGATTCCAATCGCCATGTATAGATAAAGTCGTGTGACTTAAATACTGATATCCACGAGGAGAGGCTACCGCCGCCTTTAAGGAAATGGAATTATTTACCATCGAGGGACGCGAGAGATGGATCGTATCAATTGGAAATCGAGCACGGCCAAGCTAAGTCCAATCACGTGCCAATCGCCAGCGTTCAAGTCTTTTGAGTAGTATGCGAGCTTTAAACAGCCTGGATGGATTCTAATTTCGCAGGCAGCTATGAGACGGAGTCAGCCCTAACTTTTAAGCTAAGACTTGCGCCTGATAAACGCTGTGGGCGCGATCTTTCTCCTCGGAAACGCAGAGCGATCCACCGCCCATTTTCCTCGCTCCCCTGCACGTACTGCATACGGAGAACACGATTATCTCTTCGACCCGAAAGCAGGTATAGTTCATTGGACGAGAGCGGACTTGGTCGCATGGCAGACAAGGGTAGCAATGGTTGGTACCAAAGCCACGGCGTCATCCTGGAAGATCACAGTGATCTTTGAGTTTTGAACCAAGACGAAGAATGTGAACCGTAATGGCAAGGGATGCAGAACTTCGAGTGCTTGAGCGCAGACGGTCGGTGTGAGACCAGTTTCAAACCCTGGTATATTTCGGTTTCTGTCATTCGAGCCTTGGCCGGCTGGTCGTGGTGATCGAGGTCTCGGACAAAGTTCGGTATATTTGTCAATCTTTGGAGTTTGTCTATTAACATACCATGCGAAAATTCTGGGGAAGAGGCCAGTTCCAGTCGTCCCTGAAGTTCCAATAAAAACCTGTCAGTTCCGTAATCATGATACTAATTATATGGTGGCTCTTGTGGGATCGGATGTCTTTTTGCGCGGAAGCCATGGAAACAGGTCAACGTAAGTCCCCAGATCTGTCGGCTTGCCTGGAGTCGGGTGAGGGGCAGAGATTCTGTCGCTCATTCACCAAAAGAGATGCGGGAAATTGACTGGTCAGCGGGTCCGTGCTGCTTCCTCTGGTCGTCATCTTCGTCATCGTCATCGTCATGCGATTCGCTTAGGCTGTGACGAATTTGAGAGAGCGAGCGCGAGAGCGTGTGTGATGCGAAGAGCCTTTGATAGACAGCACCACACCATGCTGACCTAAGGGCGCGCGAAGTAGCGGGCCGCCCTTGTGGTGGGTGGTGGCAGAACCCCCCTAAAGGCTACCCCGCTAACGGGCGGCGGCATCCTTTGTTCCAACATCCTCCCTCGTCGCTCTTCTCCCAGCCCGCCTTTCTTTTCCTCTTTTTTGCTCTGTTCGTCTCTCGCTTCCATCCGCCCTCTCTCGACTCATTTGGCGTCGTGGAAATTGCTGGCGTCGGGTTTCTGCAGTCCTGGGCCCAACCTAAACCCTGGACGGTCCAGAATCCTGCCGCCATGATTGGTTTCCATGAGTCCAGTTTCCTTCGTCCTTATTCGCCCGTGGTCTCCCCGAATCCCTGCGACGGTCACCCCTAACTTTGCTGCTCCCAATGCGCTGTCCGCCTCCAGCTATGCAACTCAGTCTCTCTTTTACCCCGGTCCCCAGCTAGTGGAAGAGTGCAGCCGCACCGTGCGCCAGTGACAGCCTGACGGTGAGATCTCTTCTCCACCTCTCGAGGTTAAATCGCCAGCCTGGCAAACGGACCTTGGGGCCAACCAAGCGCCGCCTCCCGCCGAGCTTGGCGAGACCAAGGTAGCCCAGCCACTTGTCTCTAGCCCTTTCCAGCTCGCCCAGGCTTCCTCTTGAACCAATCTCCGGTCTATTTTGGCTCTTCGCTAGGTTCTGTTGGTTGGGTCGATTTTGAATTTGGCACTAACAGGGGTGTTTAACTCTTTGGGGATCGTCGAAGGGAGACGACGAGACAATCCGATCGAGCCTCCCCAAAATTCGGGCTTTTATCGCGAGCAGAAAAACGGCCTTTCTTTTTTGCCTTTAGCCATCATTAGGCCTGGCTCGGGTCTCCCTCTTGTCGCTGACCTGTGTGGTTTTGCGACCTTGTCTCAACAGGTATTTGATACAGGCAAAAGTCTTCAACGACACCGCACAGGCTGTGGATTCCAGCCTTGTTGAGGGTTCTCGGCTCCTGATTCTTCGACCGACTATCGGATCTTTCATTTTTATTTTTTATTTTTTTTATTTTTATTTTTTTTGTTTTTCCTTTCGTTTTTTGCTTTCTTTTTCCTTTTCCCCTCTTCATTATGCGATGCCTCCGTTTCTCCCCTGGACTTCTGATTGGAGAAGAACCCTTCAGCAGTAGATCAATTCAATTTTAATGCCATTTGAAAAATGTCCGTCCACCAGGGTTCGTGAGTCTGACAAAGAGACAGACGGAGATCGACGCAATCGCTCTTGATGAAAATTTCTTTTCCACTCATTTCTTTTTCACTGCTGTGCATTAATTATTGGTTATATATTTTGGCTGGTTCACAGCTTCAATAATAAATACGAAGGATACAGCTTAACATCCTTGCCACAGGTTAATGTACAGTACATACTTCTATCTTCGTACAGAACTCTGTACGTCCTTGGGGATTGCTCCCGAGTCAACCTATTTTGGGGTCACTACCAGTCAAGAACCGCTAGTTTGCTGGCGATGTCGGGTGATTTTTTCTGATTTCTCATTCCCGCCGTGAGACCCCGGGTCCTGAAAGACAATAACCACTTCCCATCCAAAAGAAAGCACACTCTCTTCTCCTTGGTCGCAGCCATCACTATTTTGTATGTTTTCTATTCAGTTTTTCGTATATATTTGACCACATATTTCCTCCTTTTTCCGACTGGACGAAACGTGGATTGAGCCTTTTTTCCCCCCTCCCCCCCGGTTCGCTTCTCCCTTTGTCCTTCGCAACGATACGGAGTGCGGGTAACCTTATCCTACCGTCGCCACTCCCCGCACACGCCGAGGTTGGTACCACCAGTGGACAGGTCCCAAACGGCTGCAAGCAAACTCAGTCGGATATTATTACACATTCTTTCTCATCGATTCACAGCAGTGGGCAGGATCAATTCCCCTCCAAGTGAGAAATAGATTTTCGGGCGCTCCTCCAGTGGTGCGAGTGTCCCAGATTTGCTCGCGGGTGGGAAATACATCGAGAAGCATTATTAGCACGAGTGCCGACCCCAGGGACATTCCTAAGCTACCAGCGATCGTCGTGCCACTCTTCTCCACCTGTGTGCATCTGTCAACAACCTTCAATTGCAGATAACTAACATCCGTATCTCTCGATTCTCGTGCCGATCTTGTCGTTCGAAGAAGTTGAACCTGAACACTCGACTTCTCTGTCTGTCCGCGATTCAATCCAACGCGAGCTCTGGTCACCGGCCCCCTCAAAAACCCAACCGAGTTTATTTCACCTCTTGGTCCAAGAAAAAGAGATACTTGCCCTCTCAAAAACGGATTAACTTCCCCGGCGAACCTTGGAATTCAGATACACCGAACCGGAACCGCGTTGTTCAGGAAATTTTTGCCCTCACGTTGAAAGATCGTTTGCGGTGTGAAGGTATGTACGTACATACAGTTACAAAAAGTCAACCTTGGTTCGATCTCCCCACATCCCCTGAGCCAGATCCTGATCTGTTAACCCTGCCGACACCGGTTTGTTGCACACATACCCTCGAGATAACAATCCATGTATGATCCTAGCCCGTCGGCGCATATTTAATGTCACACGGGTGCCACAACTGAACGCCTCTTCCATCCCCCTGGTTCTCTTTCTAGGCCTATTACCTGAGCTTTTCCGCCGAATTTTTACCTCCACCCGGATTATGCTGAGGATATACTTACCTGTTGATAGAAGTAGCTATTGTTGCGCGTGGAGTTGCTTGGCTTCTTGTCGCGACGACCAGATTGTGACATCGAACTACACCTCCTCTTTCGATCTCGAGCGATTGTCCAAAATATAATTCCAGTTTCCCCGCCGGCGAACACAATCCTACGTTACTTGTCCTGTGGAAGCTGGTTTTGAGCGTTGCTATCTCGATATCCCGATCTCTGCGTGTCAGAGAACGTACATAGCCCTCCCCCCTTCCCTGTTACCCAATTGAAGACCCTCGGTGCCGCCTGCCTGGTCTGAGCGATTCCCTCCATATTCCGTCAACGTGGCTACGCTTACGATCTCCCCGCCCGGAATGGGGGCGGCTTTTGACGCACTTAGTATGCAACAATCCTTAGGGCAACGAAGACCGGCCTCTGCAACCCTCCCCAGCTTTGAACTCCCCAACCCCCAGGCCCAGCAGTCGTCCCAGCCGAAACATCCACTGCATTCGAGTGTAAACGCAGGGCAGCCTTCCATAGGCGGTGTAAAAGTCGGAAATCTTTTAACCCCACCAGAGAACTCAACATCGGATACTCCTGGCCAAGTTCAGCCATATTCACAAGCTTACTGGCCAACGGCCTCATACAGTCTTGCTCCTGGTACGTTTCGTTGTTGCTTGCGAGTTTCCGTTTAGTTTAGCATTAAGCGGCTCACAGAAATCAGGTCGCAATACTTCACACTCATCAGCGATGCCGGACAGCCTAGCACCATCTTACGGTCAAAACGCCGTGTATCCTTCTCCGCTTTCTCCCTCGCCAGCACTCTCTGCTTCCTCAGCTCAGCAACAAGCTCACGACCAGCAGCAGCCACAATCTCAAAGCCAGCAACCACCACAGCACCCTCCTCAATCACACCAACCTCCAATGGCCCAGAGCTACACGAACCCAACCAGCGGGCCTATCCAACCGCAATCTGCATCCCAGGCAAACCATCTTGATCCTTATGGGCAAAAATATGCTTATGGAGGTTCACAACATTCCCCAACTCCATCAAACTACAACCTTTTCCAGAGTGGGCCGTCTTCAGTACACCCCTCAAGCTCCAGTGCATCATCTGCAAGGGTGCCCGGAATGCCAGTCCCTTATCCTCTCGATACTCAACAGCCGCTACCACAATTTACACGTCCGTACCCGTCCTACTCGCTTCCGGCTATGAACGGCCCCGTTATGAGCAACATCCATAGCCCTAACAATCAAATGGCGCTAATAGGCTCCATGCAACCCAACCTTCTTCCTGGCTTCAGTAGCGGTCATGCTGCTAGTTTACATCATGTGTACAGCGGGCATCCCCATCCGCACGCACATCACTTTAATAGTCTTGTTCCACCCCCACAAAATGACCGACCATTCAGATGTGATCTGTGCCCACAAAGCTTCAATAGAAATCATGACTTGAAACGACATAAGAGGATACATCTGGCTGTAAAGCCATTCCCGTGCCATCATTGTGACAAGAGCTTCTCTAGAAAGGATGCCCTCAAGGTATGCCCCACCGCCCAAATTATAATATATTTACTTCTTGCATACTGACCCACGGTTTAGAGACACATTCTTGTGAAAGGCTGTGGCAAAGACCCTGCATCCGACACAAGTACCTCTTCAAGCACAACCAGGTCAACTTCAGCATCAGTTGTGGGTACAGCTGTGAAAAAGTGAAGAAATGTGCAACGCTATGTTTCTATTGTTAGACCATGTCATCGCGATAATAACACGGTTAACGCTGATAAAAATTCAATCCACCCGATATCCGTTTAGCGAAGAAATTTCTTTTGTCTTTTGATTCCTCCACCAATATCGATTTCATAATTTGATTCCCCAACGTGGTTTATATGATTGCTATGATCCGCATTTCTGTTAATTTTGTGCCCGCAGCAATAATTTCTTTTAATTTTATGTCCCTACTTCTTGCTGCTATACCTTTTTTTTCTGGGCGGAGAAGTTTACAGATGCACCCATTCGCATATGTCTTTTGACAAGGGAGTTGTTGCGTTGTGAAAGATGTGCTTTTATCAGGTGTGTCCCCTTTTTGGGTATCCTATCTAGCTTCGTCCTTGTTGGCTCCCTGTTGAGCTAGTTTTCTGGGTGCTCTAAAACAGTTTTATTCATATTTCTCTATTACCTAATTTTAATTTTATTCTTCTTTTCTAATTATTTTTGGATTTCTTGACTGCCGATACTATATTTATATTAATTTTCTATTCTCTCCGAGAGGTATTTACCGTGGATAAACCCTTTTTTTTTATCCCCGCCTTTTCATTGGCTCGAGCGCGGAATCTGTTTTGCTGGAGGTACTTAATTTTGAATTTCTTCTTGCCAAATACCCTTTTGCCTTATATTTACCTCGCCGGTGTTCTTCGTTGACATCTTGTGACCATGTTGCATTTTCAACAGCGCCGGCTTCTCCGGCATACCATCATGGTTCCAATAGATACCCCGGATATAAAAATTGAGTTACCCAAACCAACTGCACATCGATAGCGTGGCAAGCACGTAGAATCTGGGAGTGTCGGCACAACCCACCTTTCGTGCACCGTATCCCTAACCCCAATCTTAAAGCTCGGGGCCGACAAACCGAAAAGCTATCATCGCTGCAAAACCATTTATTCTATGATCGCCATACTCTCCCTCCTCATATACTCGCGGTAAACACATCCTTCCACTATTCCAAACCACCCCATGTGCGCCCGTTGATTTCCAACAATCTTCCTCCCAACTATAACATGAATGTCCACGCCCAGTCCTTTAACCACAATCCTCATCGTGCTCGGTGCTAGATCGCCCAGTTGGGGCGGGGATCGTAGCGACCTCCCATCATTGTCGTGGGAAAAAATAGCAACAGCGTTGTTGATGCAGGAGAAGAGGAGGAAGCGGCGGGTGGATTTGTTGAAGGTGTGGATACATCTGTATTCGATGCCAGCATTGTTTCTTGTTGGGGGAATGGTTATGTCGCACTAGATGAGGACATAGCTGCCGATGGTGGCTTGGCCACAATACCAGGTGCGAGCGGAGTGTGGCCCCAGTTCTGTTTTGCGGGGTGGGACATGAGGAGGAGATATATAGCAAGGCTTGTGGGGGAGAAGTGTTGAACGGTAGAGTACGTACCTCGTCGCGGTATGCTAGGTCTGTGAAGTAGAGGCTTGAGCCCTGTATATCCATGTTAACGTCCGCGAGGCGAAAGGGGATAGCGCTTGCCCATCCGATATCTGGTAGGAGTTCTAAAGACTCTGTAGACTCCGGTGGGCCGCATGGGCATACGGGATCTGTGCTCCGTACCCTGCGAACGTTGCAGTTAGCGTGATCAGTCCATGCTCACTCAAACAGAGGGTGGAAAACACCGCACCATCATAGGGTTAAACGTCCCTCTAAATCCCAATTCCTTGATGAGATACGTCGACATATCTTACCGTCCGTCCCACTCCATCCCAATCGGGGCTCATACTTCCCGCTCGACCTACTGCCATAAATGGATATCGTTTGCTTTCTATGATGCCGGTAGGACATTTTCTTCGTCGACCAAGAAAGGAAAAGCGTTCGTGCTGCTTGCGAGAAAATAAAAAAAATATATACTCCATTATCATCATCATCATCATAATAATAATAATAATAAAAAAACAAAAAAAGAAGGAGTCTAGCTTAGGGCCACTGAAACCCCAGGTCCGGGGAAGGAATTGGACCGAACTAGATCCGGAGGCGACGAAAGAATTTAATATAGTGACTCGTGACATGGATATCTCTATCAACTGGCGCTCTTGCAGTGGTCAGGTTTGTAAATGCGGTAATGAGCATTGTGAGGAAAACGTGGAGGGAAACGAGCCATAGCTGGGGGTTATTGTTGTCAAAGGGAAGATGCACGGCAAAATGAATTAAAGTGGCCGATGTGGGCGTTATAGAGACCATGCTACCAGCGCATCATAACTGGTTTTCATCATATTTTGTTAGACGAGCGTACGAGGTTGGCTTGATGCTATGGAGGGTATATACAAGAAAAAGCATCCGGAAAACGGAGTCTTGCGCGTGAATCCGCAAAACCAGTTACTAGAATAATCCCGAAAGCCGGTCTGTCCATGAAAAATTATTATTGCAAGAGAAAGAAAACCAAAGAGATAGTCTCAGGTAGTGACAAAGGGTAGCCGAGTTTCCGGGTTATAGAACGCGGCGTAGTCTCCCTATCTCGAGTCCCCATGTCACAGCCTGCATATGATAGCGTTCGCCGGGCTTTTCCGTGGAAATTGGGGAGGATTTTGGGCATTGTCTGCTTCAAGGTAGGGACGGACAACACTGGAAGCATCCAAGCAGGTATTGGATATACAGCCCTTGCAAGAGCGAGAACGCTGTGGATTCCGTAAAGTGAAGCATTTGCCACTGTGCGGTTAAATCCACGTTTCTTTTCTTGTTCGTGATATTGATATTCTCGAAGTGGTTAGTACTATTTGGAACTGTGTTCCCAAGGACTGCAGGTCGACAGGGGTCCTTGAAAATGTTCTCATCGCGAATGATCGCTCGAGCAAGCCCTGCAGATCCGAGCGGCGAGATCTGCAAGCCACCACGCCTGGGACGTCACACAAGTCCAACGGATCGCAGAAAAAAAAGCAATGTGGCGGGAGGAACTTCGTAGCTAGTGTAGTCAATCACCCACTCACCGACGAACCCGGTGGGTCCGGGAGCCATGTTCAATGGCGGCGAGAACTTACGAGATATGTACTCCGTATGGAGTGAATGAAGCCCGATGTTGACTTTTGAACTAAGCTGGGTCGTTTAATAATGAAAGTCTTCGCGAGTCCTAAGTAACTTTGCCTATAGTTAGTACTCTGTATATAACATCCTTATACTCTGTACTCTGCACGGAGTATGGTGAAAGTGTATCATCTCGACTCCTCAGTGCTCCGTAGTTAGTTACATAGCGACGGATGAGTTACTCTTATGATGTCTGCTGAGCAAGTGATCGGTCAAAAGTAGCTTTCAGGCTATTTTGATGATAACTACAGAATGCAGAGAGCTTAGAATCATTGCAACATGGGATTTTCTGCGCCAAAGGAAAGCTCGTCATTATTTGAATTGGTTGTGAACAGGACCTCCTACCACTGAAATCGCATAGTGACTTGGGAATGGGAACATTGTAACAAAGTATTCCAAGAAAATTCTGGAAGTTTTAAATGCATCTTAGTTGTCTGAGCCAGTGATGCTCTATTACACGCTTAACTCAGGTGCAATGCGCTTGCAATGGCGGTCTGGATTGTCTGACAGGCGAGCTGGATTCACTGGGTTGTGATCCGGCGGAATGTATCTGCAGACCCTGCCCATATGCTTCCTGACGTGTCTCTTGCTGGGAGGTATAGTAACTAGCAAGAGAGAGTTAAGCTAGACCTCCAAAAAAGAGACAGTGCCTTTGTGGAGTTATAATAGATGGAAAGACAGCGCAAGAGGTAGAAAATAATTCAAGACACTGAGGACTAGAGCCGTGTATACACTAATGGTTGGGTTGAGAGCTGCAGAAACAACGTTTGTTTTCAAAGCATATTTTATATGTCAACATTTATGAACCCAGGGGCTTCTTGATGACTACTGCGGTATGTCTTGAAGCAGGAGGGATATATTGCACTCCTTGCGCTGCCATATTGGCACTTTGACAATGCCTATTTGCCGTTTTGTGGTTTTGATATTTTATAAGAGAGACTGGAAGGAATATTTATGAACCCCATAATGAGTAGTAACAAGACATGCATGTAGTGATAATATTCACGGGCATGGCTGGTGGAAGGGTATAGGGAGGAGTGCTCCGATGCCCCTAATATATAACCATATTAACAGTATTGTTGGTAGATGATATGAAATATTTGTTAAATTTTGCCATTTCAGCATTCATTGCATTGAATAGTAGAGCAATCCCCATTACATGAGAAAACCCATAACAGTCATAATTGGTCCTGGATATTGTCAGGTAGTAACCGTGTAGTTATTTGGTTGAGTACTCTGTAGAAGAGTAATTGTATCGGGCCTGTCAAAAGGCACTAGTTTGTCACTATGTAGAGCAGTCACTGGCTTCACCATCCAGTTCGGAACACATTATGTTGAACATGTTAGGGTCTTTGTATCTGTTTTGTCCTGATTTGAGGACTTGCGAAAGTTTATCAGACATATCAACCCAGCCAGACGCGAGCTGCTGCATAGTAGGAATGTTATAAAGAGCGCCTGTGGAGAAGCTCAACAAGTTGTACTTTACAACAGCTGGGTTTGTCCCATTAATTTAAATGTGAGCAATGTAGAACTAACTGTTTAGTGCATTAAATGCACATGGAGCGATGGGCAGCTTTCTGCTTTGAATCACTGGAGCACTGGCTATTCACTGGGCCAGGAGGAGAACTAAGTTGGTTTTCGTAGGCCGCATCAGCTTGGGAAAAACAAGAGAAAAAGGAAAAGGAATATTGCATGCTTCTTGAGTCTCTCCAGTTCTGAGTAACCTTGGATACGCTCCCAAGTCGGTGGTGGCTGTGAGCTCAACAAAACATAGGCGTCCTCAAATAGCGGACTCCTAAGGTAATCTAGGGAGAATTTTAGCGCCAGTGGATGATTGCACCCCGCGTCGTAGCCTGACCGTCTTGAATATACTTGCTGCGGCGAAGGGGGACATGTCCGCATCCCCGGACGCGTTGCCAACAATCTTGACCAGTCTGAGGAAGCGCCATCGGTTCTGTGTTTTGTAGCCCGGTTTTGAAGCCACAAATATGAGAGGCGTACGATTTCGCTCAAGTTGTTTTCGATCCAAGGTTCGGTTTCGGTTATGTTCCTATGCCTTGTATGTATGGACGTATATACCTGTACCGAAGAAGTCTGCACGGTCAAGAAATTGCTAATGACACAAAAGTCAAGCGTATCATGACTGTCGGCGTGGCGGCTTCAGGGATCAACACAAGATGCGACCGTGAGACCGGGAAAAACAAGCATGCCACATCATGAGCTGCTAGAACATAGCCCAAACCCCTTCTTGTTGTCAAAGGTCGGAGGGATCAAAAATGAAATGTTATTACCAAACATCAACCCAGCCCTTCGGAGCTCAGACGCTGTCCAGGGTTCGAGGCCCTCATCGTTTCCTAAGTTCTCCTTTAATAAAGTAGCCAAGACGCTCGATCATATCACCGGGGCCGATTTAAGAATGCCGTCCCGAAGAGTGCCAATAAATATCAATGGATCATCTGAGACCAGCGTTGAATGTGCCAGCACAGCGGGGAGCAGGTTGCAGCATAGCGGTTAAATCAATGAAGAGCACCGAATGGGTGACTTTCTGCGCCATGTTATGCGTGGACTCAGCAAGATGGCCGACAAGAAGTCGCATGTAGGCCATCCGCGCAGGGATGTTGAACACCTCTACCAAGTCATCTTTCAGATTGATCGTAGAAAAATGTGGATGACACTTTATCCAACTGTCAATTAAATCAGGGTCACAAAGGAACTGTCCCTCATGGGATGTCAACATAAGGGTTACACTTCCGCTGACACAGGCAAACGCTAGAAGATCTTGATCATGGACGCCATTATTCCGCCCAACAATGGAAGACTCACATTACCCGTCGGGATAGAGAGGGGAGAACAACTGCAAACTAAGGTCAGCATGAATCGAGAATTAGTTCGCGGAGGGGGTTAACTCACCCTTGGGAGAGGGAGCAGAAACAGCCTAGAAGAAATTAGTGGCAGGCTGGAAATTGAAAATTTCTCCCGCAACACCTGCAAAGTTGGCCACCGAGGCCAGCGTGACCTAATTATCAGTTGGGGTGTGAAGCTCACTAGAGATTGGGAAACCCAGTACAGAGTACTTATGTAGACCTGTAGAACCAAGGCCTACGGATTGACCCACCTTCGCGAAAGGGGGAGGGGGAGACGGGCTTCCTCCAAGGGAGGAGAGGGAGGAGTAGGAGGAGAATAGTAATGGCAGAGGAGCCATTATTCTGAATTTCCGGGATCATGGATTAGCAAACTTTTTATCACCTAAAAGGCAAGGTATTCCTGATAGTCTCCAAGAAACATTCGTATCTCCTTTATGTTTGCTTGATTGACTGTAGCACTCAAATCTTTCGAACATCGAGATACTGGGTCATTCCAGACTGTGCCTTTGTTAGACGGTCAGGTTGGATACCTGTTTGCAGCAGATCGCTGTGGTTTGGCAACATAATCACAGCTTTGGTACTCTGTAGTCGCTTTTTTCTCAGGACAGAGACACATTTTTCTTCAAATCAAATTGTGAGGCCAGGAACTCTCACTTTCCACCCTGGATATGAGATTAGCGATGCCACATCCCCAAATCAAGACTGTGTCTTGTGCTTCAGAGACTGGCGAATGTAGTCGAGAAGCTGCGATCTATAAGTCAATTTATCCAAGAGATCCTGATAAGCGAGCAAATATCTTCGCAGCTAATCGGGATGTGAGTTGTGACCATTAAAAGATGCTGCAGTGAAAAGCCAATTGCGCTAAATATGAAGTGAAGTACGAAGTACGGAGTAGAGTCTGCACCCTTTCAGCAGTTCGAGGTGATGCGCGAAAGCAGCCAAGTCGGAGAAAACTGAAAAACGCAAAGGTCAAAAAAGGGGCTTTTAGCTCGAGTTATAACTTAGCCGAGCCACTCAGAGCGAGTGATGTCCTCCCGGTCCAACATGCCAAAGCCACTTGTCGCTTGTTCTGAAGTTATTGTACGAAGTATTTCATTTTCATTTTCATTTTCATTTTATATTTTTATCTTTTATTTCATTTTTTTTTTTTTCCCCCCTTACATCAATCTTCTCAGCTAGATGATATGGAATATAGTCATTGTATTTTTTGTTCTCGTATTCTTGTCTTGGGGATCTTGTTCTGGTGTTTTGGTCCAAGCAGACACGATACTCTCTATTTCCCCCTGGACAAAAACACTTCCAGCTGGTGATGGACCTTGAGGCTTAAAGGAATCTCATCTTTCTCAGGATTCCGACGCCGTTTGTGAGGTCCGTCCGCAGAAGCTGCTGATGGTTATCCCAACAGTGAGGCGAACACATCCTGCGAGGTAGACGTGGGTAACTATGGATAGTACAGGGTACACGGCAGATGCTCTGAACATCGGGAGCTAGGCTAAATGAGGGAAAAAGAATCGGAAGAGCCGAACCTACGGGTTTTGGCTTCATGGCCAGCGCCAATTGTATTCGGAGAGATTGCTGGGGTGCATGCAGCTTGCCTGCATTGCTCACAAAGTCCTCCAATGACAAGTGGCGGCGCAGCAACAAAGATCAGGGGAGTCGCCATGCATAACCGCCCATGAAATCACTGCCCTGGCTACGGAGTAGTAGCCAGCATATAGACTTAAGTAGGCCTCTTCCCCCGGCGCCTAACTCTCACGGAGACACAGCAGCTTTTCTCACCGGTGCCCATGCAAAAATACTTTGACCTTTTACCGCGTCTACGTGTTTGTGTAACTTCTCATTCTCAACATGGCCCTTCAATCCTTCGATAGCGATGCTCTAGGCCAGCTACAGTCTGAGCAGTCACAGCTGCTCGACGCCATCGATGAGCTGCGATCGCTGCACCTGGGCCACCTCGTCGAGCTACCTCAGTTAATCGTGTGTGGCGATCAGTCAAGCGGCAAAAGCTCAGTGTTGGAAGCCATTTCGCGTGTACGGTTTCCGGCCAAGGGTGGTGTCTGCACCCGATTTGCAACTGAGGTTATCCTGCGAAGAAAACCTGATTCGGGTATCAGGGTCACGATAGAGCCAGGCCCTTCTCGAGTGGATGAAGAGGAGAAGAGGCGATTCCGTAATTTCCCGACTACATTGGCGCCCGACACCCCGCTCTCTACCCTGATCGAGTCGGCGAAGGAGTGCATGGGAATCTCCTCTGCAGACGAAAGAACGGCAGGCTTCAGCGACGATGTACTCAAAGTCGAAATTAGCGGGCCCGACAAGCCAGGACTAACTCTCGTTGACTTGCCCGGCTTGTATCATGCTAAAAGCAAAGAGCAAGGGGCCCAAGGAATCCCAATTGTCCGCAATCTGGTCAAGTCATACATGAGCAACCAACGGAGCCTTATACTTGCAGTTATTTCTGCCAAGAACGAATACAACAACCAAGAGGTCTTGGATCTTGCGGAAAAATACGACAAGAAGCGCGAACGAACTCTTGCTATTATAACCAAACCAGACACGCTGCCGAAAGGCTCTGAGGAAGAACAGATGTATATTGACCTTGTAAACAATGAGCGGATCAAACTCCAGCTTGGGTGGCATGCGCTGAGAAATCGGGATTACGACACACGGGATATCTCTGATGGTGGCAGGGATGAAATGGAGCGGGAGTTCTTTTCAGATGGCCAGTGGACCAACATCCCTCGTGAATATGTTGGGATAGACACTCTGAGACCCAAGTTGAGCACCATTTTACTAGACCATATCAGTCGCAGTCTACCAAGTCTTATCAAAGATATTGAAAGCAAGATTTGCGACCGTCAAGCCAAGCTAGACCAGCTTGGAGAAGAACGCGCTACTGCTGGGCAAAAGCGGTCATATCTCCTCAACGTGAGCAGTCGATTTGAGAAAATCACGAGCCAGGCGGTCAATGGCATGTACGTGGATGGTTTTTTCGGGGGGATCTACGCGACGTCCGCTACATCAGACTTTAAGAGGCTTCGAGCTGTCGTTCGACGCTTGAATGAAAGCTTTGCCTTTGATATGATGACTAAAGGTTGTCGTCGGCTCATTGTTCACGAGGATCCTAAGGGTGGATCCCAAGACCGGCGACCCGAAATCCCGACTAACTCCTCAGTGGGGAAATGCAGCGATTCTGCAACGATTACGGTAGCTGACCTTGAGAAAGAGGTTAGCGAAATGGCAAGAAAAAACCGAGGAATTGAACTTCCAGGCACTTCCAACCAAGTTCTCGTCGGAGAGCTTTTCCGCGATCAGTCCAAACCATGGGAGGGCATTGCAGAGACATATCTGACAAAAGTTTGGCGTGCAATCAAGGATTTTACAGAGCTGCTGCTGCTACATCTCACTGAGAAAGCTAGCTACAGAACCCTAATGAGCGGCATTTTGAATCCAGCTCTGGAAACCATGAAAGAACGTGCCCTGCAAAAACTTCAAGAGCTAGTCTTTCACCATAAAAATGGGCATCCACTGCCTTTTGATGGAGTGTTTCTTAAATGTATGGACGGCCGACGGCAAGAACGTCGCCTTGCGCTGCTGGAGCGGAAGCTTTTGGAGACGTCTCCCAGTGCGGCTAATGATAAGAGCAAGGCTATTTTTAGTTTTCGAGATATCCAAAAGGCGGTATCCGATCTTGAAGAGGATTCGGGCAATCAATTTGCGGCACGTGAAATTATTGATCTGATGGAGGTATACTATATTGTAAGTCGAATTCAGCATTCTACTCTCACCTGTCGCAAGGCTTTCCGGTCCGATTGCCTTCACATGGTGTATTCCGAAATATCGAAGAAGATTGCGAATGACTAGATATATGCGCTGACTTTGAAGAAAGATGGCCCGAACGACGTTTATCGATAATGTAGCTATTTTGGTCACGGAGAATTGCCTTATTACTCCCCTCGAAACGATCTTCACAGCTCTTACCGTAAGCAACATGGACGATCAAGAGATCAGGCGGCTCGCTGCCGAACCGATGTATGTTCAGCGGAACAGAGAGCAATTCCGTTCAGATCTTTCCAGGCTGAATGCTGCGCTAAAAGTCTGTAAACATCATATTACTGGTACTGAAGCTTTGTTTGACACTCGAGTCAATGGTAAATTTCCCAAAACAAACCCCTTGACATTTTAAACGGCTGTTCATATTTAATTATGTGAATTAGGAGCACCAAACTTGTTGCAGGTAGTAAGCGAGCGTAGGGAAGGTCCAACGCATTCCTCTTCAACAGCGGATTTGTCTAAAGATTCGACCGCTAGAATTCAACACAAAGAGAAGAATTCCGCCGGTTTGGTGTCGCAGAAGCCCATACACACCCCGTCCATCTTCGATACTCCGTCTTCAGCGGCCCCCTCTGATGTCAAGACCGCGACCAACGCCGTATTTCAAACTAATAGCTCAGCCCCTGCTCCGTCGACTAAAAAATCCGACATTTCCGGGATTTGTATGGAAAACTCTGGAGCCACAAAAACCGGGGCACTAGTAACTTCAAAATCGACCTTTCCCCCTTCCAAGTCTTCTATGTTCTCATTCCCAAGAGATGTTGCAAACTTGGGAAACGATTCCCCTGATACTAAGGAGGCCCCATCTGGATTTTCCGCAAGACACTCTGGGGGTTTTCAATCCTCCGGAAAGTTCTTTGGGGACGTTAAAACTGTCTCTGGTCCTGGATTTGGATCCACCCCAGAGACTGGCGGATTTTCATTTGGCAATCCTGTAGTATCAGCAGCAGCACCGAAACCACACTCCGGCTTTGGCAGACCAAGGGAAGAAACGCCCAGTACCAAAGGCTTGGGCAATGGGTAGGTAAGAATGTGCCGCGATCACCAGGGCCTTTTGCCTTTGGCTTCCTCCGCCTGGTGGACATTACGTTGTAGCTTCTCGACTCTTGCAGTATAGAAAGATGATTTCATCAACTTTGAAGGCAGTTAACTAATTGATGGGCACTACACAGGCCGTACTTTGAAGAACGTCTCACTTTATACAATGGCATTTGCACTGATTACTTCTACTCCATTACAAGCCTCTTGATAAACAATTCATTCGAGGTCAGCTGACATTTATTATAAAGCCCCTTCCATCTAAAAGCACTCGTCTCACCATATATCACGACCTTTTCCATCCGGAGCACCCAATTATATCTCCGACGCATTCACTAATGTCTAATGTGGAAATAGGAATTAAGGCTTGCGGATTACGCGCTTGAGGGTTTGTCGCCCTCATGAAGTGCCAGGGAAACAAGGGTAATAATACCTTTCTCTTTTCACAACTTCAATACTCTTTTCTCTGCTGTCTTCGCTGCATTCTGTTCCCGCGCGTCTTTGACACTATATGTCATTTAGTTATCCGCACCAGTGACTATGATAAAAAGAATATATTTCAAATCCAATTTTTACCACCAACGGAGATAACGATACTAGAAAGGAAAGGGAAAGCCAGAGAGATCCCCGGGAGATTTCTGAGCCGGTAATACCCTATCTATCTAATGCACGTAAGGGATGTCAAAAGGGTCCAGTCCCCGTTTGTAGACAAGATTTACATTGTTTTTCTCTTTCCCGGTCATACTTTTAACCTCCTGTATCCTTTATATTTGATATACTTCATAACAGCCAAACTTTGAAACTGGCTTCCATACGGTCCTGCACAGACCAGCGGCGTTCACTGCTTAAGGATGGGCTTCAATGTACGGTATATATAAGACGTGCTGTCGGTGGATTATGTTCCGTTCTTAACAATGTAACTATGCCATTGCTGTGGCTTATGTGTTGTAGTGACGATGGGAGCACAGTCCCAACAAGGGCTGTCATCACGGCGCTGCCCCTGTGGCAAGTTCAGGGTCCTGGTTGTGGCCGTTGTGTGTTTCCTTTTTCCCTATTTAGTGGAGTCGTGAGAGCAACGATAATGCTGATTTGAGTACGGAGTAGCGCCAGTTTCTACCTCCAGAATGTTTACGGAATTTAGTTAATAGTTTACATTTCCGAGAGTCTGTTTCAACTTCTGCAGTGCATCAGAAACATAATATGACAACCACCCACAGTGAACAGATTGAGTCTGAAAACCGATTCCATTGCTCGATCCAAGTTACGGCTGCCATCCGTAGATCTATTGGCGGTCATTATCTCACCCTGCCCGGGATCATATCAACTATTTCCACTTTCACTTTCTCTCACCTGAAAATTCTGAAACTGCAGTAGTGTTTGGCGCGCGGGATCTTCATCTCTCTCTGAAGTTTGTTTGACACAAAAAAAAAAAAAAAAAAAAAAAAAACAAATGAAAGGAAGGGGGGGGTATAGTTACAACTCGATAGGCGAATAATCGATCACCTTGTGCATCATTTAAAACGAAGTAAAAATAGCAAATGGGGGAACTGAGGGGACTATTATGCCTTAAAATGCACCCTGGCACAACTCCCTAAGAAATATGACTCGAGGCAGCCTTCTCCTCGTCTTTGAATTCGGCGAAAACCCTGTCCTCTGCCGGCACCACACCCATCCTTTCAGCCTCCTCGAGGCTAAACGTTCCGAACTGGTCAACATCGTCGATTTCGCCAAGCCCAGGCGGCGGAAACACCTTGCTGATCAAGACATAAACAACAAAACTGATAGCAAACCCGAGAGGGTATGCCAAATTGTACAGCTTGACGCATGCTTGGGGCACGGGGATCGATGGGTTGATGGCATTAACAAAACCCGGAAGCTGTGGTGCAAAGCCAACAACCCAAGCAGCAAAGGCACGAGGATTGATCCCATGCCAGAAATAATAGATGCCTTCAGGACGAGGGTGATATAGGTCGGACAGCTTGATCTTGCGAGATCGAACCACCCAATATTCACTGATCATCATGCCGCACATGGGTCCGAGGAAGACAGAATACGCCGACAGGACGTTGATGAATGTGCCAGCGGAGGAGAGAAGTTCCCAAGGGCAGAGGGCAATGGAGATGACAAGGCCGATATACGCCCCACGTCGGATGTTGATGAACTTCGGCAGTAAGCCACTGAGGTCCATACCGGCGGAGAAAGCGTTATCGATCGTGTTGATCGCGAGCTGACACACAACCAGGCCGGTCCCTGCGAAGAAGGCTCCGGCGCGCGATTTGGCGTTGTAATCCGCTTCCAACCACATGAGAGCCACGTCCGGGGGGTTCCACAGAGCAACTCCGTATATCTTCTGCGTCGCGGAGGAAACGAGACAGCCGAGAGTGGGCATGATGGATCCAAGGAGAATGATGGAGAACCACTGTCCAAAGACTTGGTCTCCGGGTTTGGTTGCAAATCGGGAATAGTCCGGCTGATTCGTCAACCCGACGGCGATGCCCCCGACCACGGTGGTGATGCCGTTCACGATCGACCAGCCCAGCTCGCTGGAGGAACTCGTCGTGGAAGGCTGTGTGAGGAGGGGGCCAGCTCCATGTGCGGCGGTAAGGGCCCAGATCGTCATTCCCACGAGCGTGATAAAGGAGATCGAGTTCATGACGTAAAAAAGACGCTTTGTCCTCTCCGGTGGGAGATATAGGATCGGAATGGTAAGCACATTGTAGACCACCCATCCGGTGAATTGTTTGGTGGTCATGTGTGCTGATTCCGGGAAGGTGTTCTCCATGCGATGGAAACCCGAGAAGATCGAGGCGAGGATGGCGGTTACGCACAGGCCGCCGGTCCAGGATTGAACTGCAAACCACACGACGGAGAGCAGGATTCGCTGGAGGAGAGCCAGGTACGAGCCGTAGATACCCCAGACCACGCGAGAATAGACGGGAAAGCCGATATGCCACTCGGCGCCCACGAAACCGTTGAAGACCGCAACTGCGGCGATGATGATCTTTCCAACGATAACGGCGATAACAGTCTGCCAGACGCTGAGGCCGAAAGCGACGAGTGAGGAGCCACTCTGCCAATTACTCAGGGCAATCTGGTTGATGGCCCAGAAGGACAGGAAGGCGTATACGTTCCATGTCCTCCGGCGAGGAGGCAAGGGACGAATATCATCGTTGATCCAAACTGAAGATGTCGTTTCTTTGGAGGTGGGAACATAGAGGAACTCGACCACCCTACGAAAAGACATGATGGGATGAAAAAAAAAAGAAAAAAAAAAAAAAAAAAAAGAAAAGGAGAAGGGAGAAACGATATCGACACTGCTAGGTAGCGTAGCAATGCGATTTGATGACGGGGGAGGGAGACAACTTCCCCTCGGGAAGCGAGTGGAGAGGAGGAGGAGGCAGCATTTATGAATACTTTTTTTCCCGATGTCGCTGGGAGGACATGTCTACGGAGCTATCTCTTGGAGAAGCTGTCGCTTGGAGGCGAGACGAGGCGGAAAGGCTCTATTCCGTGCAGATGGAGAACCCCCCTCTTGGAGAAAGTCTGGGAGACAGGAGAAGGGACTGGCAAACCCAAAAAGAGGCTGGGGACCCTGATAAGGAAAAAGCTGCCCCGGGAAATACCAGCCCGAGGTCAACCGAGACGGAGTTTGCTTGCTTCCCATGTGGCATTTTGTGGGGAAGCATCCGGCGAATTTCACCAAATCAGAATCCCGACAAAAAAAAAAAAAAAGAAAAAAAGAAAAAGAAAGGATATGGAACTGGGCCCTGGGTCATCCTGAGAAGGAGTCTGTACTTCTGCACTAGTTAGCCATCTTCCTGGAGACTGGGTTTGTGTGGGCCCCCATCCATATACCTGGGTTTCCCGTCGCACGCGATGCGATGCGAAGATAGAAGATGGGAGAGATATCGATACACCCCATAGATTGCGGCCGGATGGGAAACGGTGGTTCTCCCCATGGTGAGAGCGAAGACGATGATGATGATGATGATGATGATGTTAGAGCTGCATGGTTCCGGCTCATCTGGCCAGGCTTGCGGAGCAGCAGCCTGCCCCAGGGACAGAACAAGACCGCGAGAGAGTTGATCCAAGTAAACTTTTCTCGAAGCTCTCTTAGGATGGGCTGGATGGTGGTTGAGCTCGTCCACCCAACTAGTTTAGTTGGTTTGAAACTACATAACCAGCCCAACCTTATCCCCACATCATGATCGTGCTAGCCATGTAAGTACTTTATGCATGTACTCCGGACGTGCAGGACATATGTACATATATATATATATATATATATATATATATATATACTATGCTGCACGCTTAATGTCCTGCAGATATATATATACTATGATGCTAATGTCCTGCAGAAAGACGCCTCGATGTCCTTTTTTTTGAAGTCGCGAAGAATGCAACGTGGGAAAAAATTTCCTCCGCGATCGGTCTCCGATTCCGCCCCTTCGAGTGCCCGGCGGGAGAGCGCGCTGATTGGTGGAAACCGACGCGCGGGGACGGAATCGACCCCAGCCAATCGGAATCGCAGGTGGCCGGTGCTCGTGTTTTCCGTGCAGCTCAAAAGACTCGAGAGAGACAAGCAGCGGACGGGCGAGCTCCATCCGGGCAAAGGTGGTGGTGATCTGGGCGTGGAGGGTGGTGGGTTGGGGGGTCTTTTTTGCCCGGACATGGCATCCTGCGAATCCGGTCACGTTGGCCCGGGTAATTGGCCAGAAAACCTTCTCACAACCAGAGCTGTCGGCGGTGGGGATGCCCGCGTATCGATGAGTCCACGGACAAGGGGGGGAGACGAGAGAGAGAGAGAGGGGATGGGGCGGGGGGGTTGAAAGGAAGATTTGTGGGAAGAGGACATATAAGGTCCTGGCGCTGCGGTCGAAGGGCGATATTCTCCTCCTCCTCCTCTTCTTCTTCTTCTTCTTCTTCCTCCTTCGTCTCTTAGTTATTTATTTATATATATATAAATTTTCTTTTTTTTTTTCCCTTTCCGTAAGCTGACTGATAGATACGTCAGACCAAAGGACAGCGTAGAGCACCGTTTTCTTCATTTTCTCTTCATTTTCATACTTTTTTTTCCTACTAGTATATATAGGCTTGTTTCCTCTTGCAAGCGATTCCATCCTCTCCCTTATCAAAAAGACTTATACCCCGGGATTGATATCTTAGAAATATCAGTTTTCGTCTTTTCCTTTTTCCTAAACCAACCGCCCGCCCCCACTCCGGCTGCATAGATATCTTGCACGATGGCAGCTGCTATTAAACCTTATCGCATTGGCGTGGACGTTGGCGGCACCAACACCGACGCTGTGATCCTTGACACACGGGAAACCAAGTCTGCTAATCGCGGCGTTGTCGCCTGGCACAAGACTCCCACCACCAGTCCCAACGTGACCGATGGGATCGAGGCCGCCGTCCGCAGCGTCCTGGACCAGTCCAAGGCACCCCGGGACCAGGTGGCGTGTCTGACGATCGGTACCACCCACTTCATCAATGCCATCGTCGAACATGACGCTCGCCGGCTGTCCAAGGTGGCCATCATCCGGCTCTCGCGGACCTTCACCAGAGAGGTCCCGCCCTTCTCTGACTTCCCGCCCGTTCTCAAGTCTATCATGAACGGCTACTACTGCTACGTCGACGGTGGCCTCCACATCGATGGCTCCCAGGAGGCTCCCATCAACGAGGACCAGATCGTCAGGGAATGCGCCATCATCAAGGAAAAGGGGCTTGACGCCGTCGTCATATCGGGCGTCTTCTCCCCCATCGATGACCATTTCTACCAGGAGGATCATGTCCGGCGCATCGTGCGCCGGGAGCTTCCGGACGTGGACATCGTCTGCTCCTCCGAAGTCTCCCAGATCGGATATCTCGAGCGAGAAAACGCATCTATCCTGAACGCGTCGATCCTCAAGTTTGCCAGACGGACCATTCGAGGTTTCAAGAACGCCATGAAGCGCCTGGACCTTAACTGCACCTTGTATCTGACCCAGAATGACGGCACTCTGATCGATGCACCCTCCGCCGCCCGCCTCCCCATTCGCACTTTCTCCTCTGGACCAACTAATTCCATGCGAGGCGCCGCGTATCTTGGCCTCAGCGGTCAGAGCGACGGCACGGAAGAGAAAACCGCAACCATCGTCGTGGATATCGGCGGAACGACCAGCGACGTTGGCGTCCTCCTTCCATCTGGATTCCCACGTCAAGCTTCCGCCTACGTGACCGTTGCCGGCGTTCAGATCAACTTTGGCATGCCGCACCTTGAATCTATTGGCCTGGGTGGCGGCTCCATCGTTCGCTCCGAGAATGGTAAAGTGACCGTCGGCCCCGATTCCGTCGGCCACTTCCTAAGCACGAGAGCCAAGGTTTTCGGCGGAGACGTTCTCACCGCCACAGATATCGCAGTGGCGGCGGGTGAGAAGATTGGAGATCCAAACCTCGTCCAGGATGTCGACCAGAACACCGTTGCCGACGCCCGGGCACGCATGAAGACTATGCTGGAAAACGTCGTTGACCTGATGAAAACCTCCCCCGCTCCTCTTCCTGTCCTTCTGGTCGGTGGCGGTTCCGCCATTGCACCTACAGAACTAGACGGTGTATCCAAGGTCATCTGTCCGCCCTTCCACTCCGTTGCCAACGCCGTCGGAGCGGCGATGTCAAAGGTTGGCGGCACCGTCGACATGATCCAGAGCAGCGAAGAGCGAACCGTCAAAGAGATCGTGGAACAGGCAAAAGAGACAGCCATCGAGCGGGCGGTTGCATCCGGCGCGCTACGTGAAACGGTCTACCTGGCCGAGGTGGATGCTCTCCCGCTGCAGTACGTCGCCAATCAGGTGCGCGTTATCGCAAGAGCGGTTGGCGAGTTATCCCCAGACGGTGTGCCGCCCAGTGACAGTTTGCTTGACGATGACGACGAAGATGACGAGCAGATCTACAAGGAGGCGGCCAAGAGGGATGCTCATCTTGATGAACCTAATGCCGCCGCCATCGATATTGAGAAGTACAGACCAAAGGTGGTTAAAAATCCCAAGACAGGGGTACCCGAATGGATAGTCTCTGAGCTCGATGTTCAATGGATAGCCGACGGGTGCTATGTGCTTGGCTGTGCCGGTGGAGGTTCGCCTTTTGGCGAATACATCCGAATCAGAGATCAGATACGACAAGGTCACACCATTCGAATCATCGACGCATCTTCATTGCCAAAGGATGCTCTGATCTACTGTAAGTCCGTTTTCTTTGCATTGCTTATTTCCTCCAGTTCCTTTTTTTTTTCGATCTCATACTTAAGAAAAATTTTTTCATGAATAGGGGGTGGCCACATGGGATCTCCCGCTGTGTCTGTCGAGCGCCTGGCACATGAAGAGACCGAGCATGCATTCCTGGAACTCATGGAATACCTTAAACACGATTCTATCGACGCTGTCATGGGCTTGGAGATTGGAGGTGCCAACGGACTTCAACCATTGGCCCTAGGCTCTACGAAGAATCATGACTGCCCGGTTATCGATGCGGATTGGATGGGTATGTGAGCCCCTTTTTCTCTTTAATAGGTGCGGCAGCCTTTTGCTGACATATATCCAGGCCGTGCATATCCAACATACTGGCAAACCACCATGTGTGTTTATGAAGAGAAGCAACTAGTCCCATGCGCCATCGCTTCAGGCGACGGCCGCTCGATCATCATGACCAAGACCACCGACGACGAGATCGTCGACAGAGCCCTCCGCGCCTCTTGCTCCGAAATGGGCTCCCGAGTCGGCATGGCCGCCAAACCCACAACAACCGACCGCGTCCACAAATACAGCGTAATCAACACCATCTCTCTCGCTTGGCGAATCGGGCGGTGCATCGCGCGCGCCCACGCCAACAACACCCTCTCCACCGTCGCTGAGCAGATGATCGACGAAATCGGCGGTCCTGAGACCGCCAAGGTCCTCTTCCGCGGCAAGATCATCGCCGTCGAGCGACGCCTGTTCAAGGGCCATTCCTATGGCGAAATCACCATCCAGCAGACACAACAGTCGGAGGAAGAGAAGTCCGGCTCCGACAACGTCCCCGCCGTCGCGGTGGGCGGGACGCTAAAGATCCCCTTCAAGAATGAGAATATCTACGCGAAGCACATCTCTGAGACGGGCGAGGAGAAGTACATCGCCATGGTGCCGGATCTGATTTCTGTCCTGGATACGCAGTCCGGTAAGGCGCTGGGTGTACCGGAGTTTAGGTACGGCTTGATGGTTACCGTGCTCGGAATTGCGTGCTCGCCCCGATGGTCGGACACGCCTCGGGGCTTGGAGTATGGTGGCCCGGGAGCGTTTGGATACAAAAACATCGAGTATAAGCCGCTGGGAACCTATGTTGAGCCGAAGAGTGTCGTGTTTGAGTTTGCGGAAGACTAAAAGATGATTAGTGTACATTGCTTCTTTGCAAGATGGTTTGTTTATTCTTTTTGTTTCCAGCTAGGCAACACCCTGTTACATAGAAATAGAGAAATTTTGACTCTTTCTATATCATTCCCAAAATGCCACACCTCTCCGTATACATCCCGGGTCTCTAATTCGTATTTTTGACCCTTTTATGAAGGCTTAACTGCGCTTAGTATCTGAGGCGCTAGTTGAGAGAGAAATTGATGGCCTTCAGCCCAAAACCCCCCAGAGCTCTTTGCTAGCCCCGTAACGGAAGGCTATCACTTCGTATTAGCATTGCGATTTGTATCTCACGTCGTCCCAGGGGGGTTTCATCCAACGGACGACAGTGCCCCCTTAGCTAACAAGCTTCTTTTGTGTTCAAGTTTCCTTGTCATGCATGGGATATAGAAAGCTTATCAACGTCAATGACGTACGTAGTCTGGGCAGCTTGTATTAACACCCACCCCTTCCCCACCCCTAAATAAAGGCAGCATTTCAAGGAGTGAATATCAATTGGGATTCAATTACATTTAAATCTCCAAGCGGATTTGTCTATAAGACCCGAGGATTGGGGTGTTTCGGAATAAAAATCCAATTGAGTCACCATGCATCTCGCAACTCATGTGAAGTACCCCTGACATTTCATTGATTTAAACCCACTGTCGCGGCCCCGAATGGCTATCCGGTAATTCAATTGCCTCGTCCAACCTAGATCTAACAATTGCGATATAGGTGAATCCAGAAGAAGTTATCGAACAACTTCGCAATGACCCCGAAGAGAGCCATCGACAGCACGTCTTCACCCTCAACGCTGTCGCAACCAGAACGGCATATTCCACTCGCTACGCAAGCAGCGAGGAGATACCGAAGTTTAGGATACCTCAGCTAGGGGCGTCGGCAGAAGCGGTGTATCGTCTTTTGAGGGATGAGCTGGACCTAGATGGGATTCCGAACTTGAACATGGCGAGGTAGGCAATGTTTGCATTTCACTTTGGTCCAGGTGCTGTCATTAAGGTTTTGGGGATGACTTGGGAAGAAATAGCCTACAGCTGAAGGAAATGATGGCTATCGTGGAAGGGTATATTGGAATGCTGCATAAACTTACTAACCTGCATTTTGATAATCAGCTTCGTCGGCACTTTCATGGAGCGCGAGGCCCAACAGCTGCTCGTCGAGAACATCGGCAAGAACCTTGCAGATGCGGACGAATACCCTGCCCTGATGGACCTTCATGCCCGGTGTATTTCGATGATCGCGAACATGTGGCACCCTCAACCTGGTGAGCAGCCCATCGGAACAGCCACCACGGGATCCTCGGAGGCGATTCAGCTAGGTGGCCTGGCAATGAAGCGACGGTGGCAGGAAAAGCGGAGGGCGGAAGGGAAAGATACATCGAAACCCAATATCCTGATGGGAGCGAACGCACAAGTGGCCCTTCTGAAATTTGCGAGATATTTCGATGTTGAGGCAAGGATACTGGATGTTTCTGAGAACAGTCACTACCGGCTTGACCCAAACGATATCAAGAAGAATGTGGATGAAAATACCATCGGGATCTTCGTAATCTTAGGCAGTACCTACACCGGGCACTATGAGCCTGTTGAGGAACTATCCAGAATTTTAGACCAGGTGCAAGAGGAACACGGCTGGGATATACCTATCCACGTTGATGCAGCAAGTGGTGGCTTCATAGCACCTTTCACATATGCAGGAGCCGGTGGTTCTAAGTGGTATATTTCCAGAGGATCCGGTTGGCCTTTATACGCTGATTTATGATCAGGGACTTCGAACTTCCCCGTGTCCACTCAATTAACGTGTCGGGCCATAAGTTCGGCCTTGTGTACGTTGGACTAGGATGGATCATTTGGCGTGATCGCGCCTATCTGCCAAAAGACCTCATCTTCGAGCTGCATTACCTTGGAGGAACTGAAGAGTCATTTGGCCTGAACTTCTCTCGCCCAGGGATCCAGGTCATCGGCCAATACTACAATCTCATCCGCCTGGGCTTCGATGGGTACCGCGAGGTGATGGAGAACTGCCTGCGGAACGCTCGGTTGCTGAGCAAGGCTCTTGAAAGGACCGGATGGTACGTTTGCGTTAGCGACATCCACCGCAAAAAGGGCGATTATCGCTTCCGGGGTGTTGGCGAGATCCAGCCGCACAGGCCAGGAGAAACCTCGGCGGATTACAACGAAGGGTTGCCTGTCGTCGCATTCCGGTTCTCCGAGCAATTCAAAAAGGAGTATCCAGACGTGAAACAGGAGGCCATAAGCTTGCTGCTCAGAGCAAAGCAATATATTATTCCAAGTACATGAACCATGGTTTTCTCTTCTTCTTCTTCCCCCTCCCTTTTTTTTTTTTTTTTTTTTTAATAAATATATTTAAGCATGTGCGCAGAGCGTGAAACTAGCCAGCCGACGCTAACCTCCATGGGCATCGTCTAGATTATCCGCTACCGCCTAAAACAGACAACATTGAGATCTTGCGCGTCGTCGTCCGTGAAAGCATGTCAGGAGACCTAATTGACAAGTTGATATCGGACATAGTCGAAGTCACAGAGAGGGTGATGACTTCCGAGCCCATAGATGTTGCAGTCCTTCAGAGCAGGCCAACCTCGCTCGCACGTCGTCATGGAAGGCTGGAAACGAAGCTTCCCGCCAAAAAGATCACTAAAGTCAAGGCTGGTGAAAAGGCCCGTCATCCAATGGCAAAAGGTGGCCATCGTTCCGTGTGCTAATCACAATATAAAAGCCATGCGTTGAACAGTCGGGCCGGGATGGTATAACGAACCACAGGAGGTGTCTTTCCGCCTGGCGTCGAATTGAAGGTTCCAATTGGGCAGTTGGTTCTCGGATAATTAGATATCCCGATATAACCACGCTAGTCTAATTAGGGTTAGATATCTTGTGCAGGATAACCTTGTTAGGTAATCCTGCCTTTTAGCCTCATTCACGTGACCCACATAGATGCGCGAAAAAATCTCACGAACGCTTGGCCTGGCTGAATGATATGTACAGTAGTTATCTGACCTCGATGACAGAGCCTCCAGTCCAAACGCTGTTATTAAATCAAAATCCTATGCACTCCATAGAGAGAGCACAGCATGGCTCCCTGCTTTTAAGAGCTTCCGCTCATGCTTATCAGGCTGGAGGCCTTGGTGAGAGGTAATCTGTACACACATATTCATGTCCGTGCACCCAGCCGGTCGATACATAATCCACTGCCGACTGGGACACCCTTGTTGAGATAAGCCTTGTCGAGAAAAGATAACTAGGTAGTTATTCCAGACCACGAAGTAAGGACGGAAGACATACCAGATAGTTGGGTCCCAAGGATGTATCCGCAATATCACGGCTCAAATTACGTTCAGAGCTCACAGGGACATTGTTGTCTGACCGGGCTGCCATGCCTGACCATTCGAGAAACAGCACCAGCGAGCCTAGTGTGTCGGCATCGGCAAAGGGCTGGAAGCGTCCCAGAAAATTACGGTTCGCCGCGTATGTGAGCTGTATAAGGGACCTTCTCCACACTCGCTTTTTGGTGTGTTCTCCACTCTGACGGGACCCGTCACGGCTGGTAAACTGCGGAGAAAAAGACGTGGCTTGCCACTTCCAGAGCCATCGACGTTGGTCTATCTCAATCAACACACGCCCTGGCCTCGACTGCCAGCCTGCTGAAGCTGGATTTCTATCTTCTCTCACTGCTGTCTGGTGCCTTATCTTCACTCTCAAAGGTCCGGTATTCACGTTCGAATCTCTATCACCGGGGCTCTTCGGCTCCTGGCAAAGTTTCTCGGCAGCGTAAACTTGGAGCCAGCGTCGAAGCTTACCCCATAACTTGCTTCGACGCTACATCCATCAGCGCTCTTGGAGTCCCCGCATTTCTGGCCCTGTGCAACATCGTTGAATCGCTGTCGTGTCCGCACAGTCTCATGGGCAGCTCTTTGCTTTTTTCATCTCTTTCTTTGCACCCGGAGATGCCCCATGCCTTGAGCTGGAGACATCGCCCTGCCTAGGTATCTATTCTCCATACATTCTCGATTCCTCCTCCGCCTTGAGTTGGCTACGATCCAAGGAGCATTCAAACCTAATCGCGATTCACATACTGGATTTTTCTCCATGCCGAAACCTTGAGCTGAATCTTTCAGGCATCATTCACTGTTGGGCATGGAAGTCATCCGAACTCCCCCAGCTGCTCCGCTATCAGATGTCTCACCACAGAACGTTTCCGCCGCAGCCGCAGCCACATCCCGGAGTCCCACGCGCATAGGTGCTGCGCCGTCAAAAGCTCCGGGAACCTCAACCAAAAAGGGCACAGCTGACGGATCGGCTGGCGTGAAACCGAAACAGTCAAAGAGTCGGAATGGTGAGCACCTACTCATTTACAATTTAGTTGCTAATCTGATGCGTTCACGATATCTTCTGTTTCCATCCCAATCTCGCCGCATCCGCTAATATAGAATGCTTTTGGTAGGGTGCGTGACTTGCAAATCAAAAAGACTAAAGTGCGACGAGACAAAGCCAATATGTCGACAGTGTCAGAAAAGAAATGTCACATGTGGAGGTTATAAGAAGGACTTCAAATGGAGACCCTTTGAGGAATCGAGTTTCGCCAATAAGGTATCCTCTAAAGGGAAAAAAGGTATGTTTATTCCCTCCATTCAACAGCCCTAATAGGGTAATTGACATCTTGGTAGTAGTAGTCCCGCTGCCTCGGGCTTCATCACTTTCGCCTACCAATCAAGTCTCCAACACATCTTCAAGCCCACGGAGCCCCGGAAGTCCAACCTGGCAAATTCGGAGCAGTGATGCACAGAACGACAGTCCCCGTTTACATTCCGCTTCTCCATCAAATCCAGATATCGTCTTTCCCAGTCCAAGCGACGTCCTTCCTCAAATGCCTAGCCCGCATGAGCCTGCGCTTGAGGGACAAGACCGCATTTTACCTCCGAGCCCACTGGAATTTCCACTTGGCCAGTCGCCCAATTCTAGAGATGATCATCTTTCCGATACTCATACCATTCACACTCCTAATGCTTCATTTGATGGACAGCAATATGGGTCCTTTTTCCCACCTTACATGAACGGCGAGGATGGGGAAATAGAAGAAGTCGTCAGGCAGACAGACCTTTGGGGTGATCCCGTATCTCCGTCGATGATATCTCGAACATTATATAATCTCACAATGCCAGTGGAACCCAAATTTTCGTCTGGAAGCTCTGAGATGCTGCTGATGAGGTTTGACCGAAGAACCTGTGGCATATTGTCTGTCAAAGACGGGATATCTGAAAATCCTTGGCGGACACTGGTTTGGCCCTTGGCCAAAGAATCCCCAGCATTGTATCATGCCATTTGTTCTTTGGCCGCATTCCACTGCAGCAAAGAAGATCCGCAATTGAAAGTCTATGGGATGGACCACATGCGGGAAAGTGTTCGTGCTCTAGCCATGAACATTAGAACAATGAGAACGGATGCTGCTCTGGCGACCACACTCGCGCTCGCATTTGCAGAGTCATGGGATAGGCATATATCTAACGGAGTCCAGCATCTCCGCGGAGCCAAAGTTCTTGTCACCCAAGCTATGGAAAACCAGAGGCAGCTTTCAGCTCGACGCAGTGACTTCGCTCGTTTACGTTTCCTCTACAATACTTGGGTATATACAGCCGTGCTAGCTCGCCTAACATCCCTGGAGGAAACCGGGTTCGACGATTTCCCGCTGCTTCCTGAACCATTGCCCCATACCCGCGTTCATGAAATAGACCCTCTACTTGGTTGCGCCGCTACGTTGTTCCCTCTGATTGGCCAAGTTGCCAATCTTGTTCGGAAGGTTTGCAGTACTAAAACTAATTCTATCGCCATAATATCACAAGCAATCGAATTGAAAACTCTAATCGAGCAGTGGGAGCCTCCTAAATACTTCGAGCCGCCGGAAGATCCAACCTCTGATGTCCAACATAGCTATCAAACCGCTCAGGCGTACCGCTGGGCAACATTACTGCATCTCCACCTCGCAGTTCCAGAGATTCCATCAGAACCTGCAAGTGAACTTGCAAAACGAGTTCTTGTTCTATTAGCGACAGTCCCCCTCAGCTCTAGGGCAATCGTCGTGCAAATTTTCCCCCTTTTGGCAGCAAGCTGCGAAGTCGATAATGAGGAGGATAGAACCTGGGTTCGAGAACGTTGGGCGGCAATGCAAAATAGACTAATGATAGGGAACATTGATCGCTGCCTGGAGGTTATCCATGCTGTCTGGTCCCGCCGTGACGAATATAACTTGACAAAGCTCAGAGGCCAGCAAGTTTCCTATGTCATCCCTCTAGACCCAACGCGAAGAGGGAATATCCAGCAAGGTAGCGCTATTGATGACGACTATCCCGAGGCTTTAGATCTATTCGACGACCAAGGAAGGCGGCAGTCGGTACCGGACATAAGTAACTTGAGCTTTGGATCCCCCATTTTGTCCTCGCCTATCCCTGTTCCAGTAAGGAAAGGATCTATGCATATGCCACTGGAAGGTTTGGAGTTTGAGAAAACGGTTCGAGGAAAACTACACTGGCTAGGAGTTATGAGGGATTGGAACTGGGAAGGTAAATATCAAATTACCCCCTGTTTTATGCAAACTGACCTTAATTAACCAATTATTTTCCTGGATAGTGCTGCTGGGATAGTGTCATCATTAATAAAATTCCTAACGATGCTATGATTATTATTCATCTAAGCTCTACTTTCCACACTTTATGTTATGGCCATCGGCACCAGCAGTTTCCCTACGGAGTTCATACGAAGAATCGTCTCCCCTTGCATGCCAGCCCGTTATTCCTTTTTCTGGATGCTGCAGGCCCGGCGCAATTTTTTTGCCGTCCACTTCGCGAGTCTTTTCTACCTCCTTCGATCCTCCTGGATTAACAACGACCAATAATGAATCAAGATACGTCTGAAGTTCATCCGTGACTGTCACGAGCGCCGCCATTACCCTGTCCTTCGAGGTGTCAGTATTCGACTCGGTCCGTCAATAGATAAGTGACAAGCTCTTGCTTATCGCCCCAAGTATCCACAGTGGAACCTAGCTCCAATCAGCCGCGGAATCTCATAAGCTTCCCTCCAGTGCAGACGCCTTCCGATCCCAATCTCCATTTTTGATAAGCAGGTTTACTTATCCGGCGATAATTTGACCGTCAAAGATCCTCAGCCTAGATAACCAAAGCCACCTATATATATGACTAATACGTACCGAGATATCCCATATGGTGCCCACTATCTCGCCCTTGTAGGGCTTATGTCTGATATATGTCTATTTCTGCAAATTTTCCAGCTTGCCGTGATTTTTGCTTGGTTTATAATGTTATAGTTGATTTGATAGGTCAGAGTATTTTGGTTCTCTGTCCAACACCCGGTTCTGGTGTTTATGGTGGCAGCAGTAGCGGTGGTATCTAGATCACGGCCGGTGTTTTCTGGACTTTTTCAGTTCCTGGACACTGGGTTCTGAGGAATTTTGGTGTGAATGAACTATTTCTAAGCGCATATCTTCTTTTCTTTTCTTTCCTTTTTTTTTTCCCCTCAATTTATTTTGTTGAGTTTGGGATCTAGGCCTCTTGCTCAGGCAGGGAATGGGGGTTTGTTCATTGGAACCTTTCTCCTAAGAGAGGCACGAGAAGCAAATACACGGTTTACTCACCAATTATCACATTCAGTGAGGGATAAAGCCTGGCTTCATTGATGCGATTCCAATATTTGAATCTGGGACTTCAGGGGAGGTAATCTGGAAAACAAACTTAATTACCGACAAATGTGAATAATTCAAATAGACCAACCACAAATCCACCAGAGATCAACAGGACGGTGAAAACAAGAAAATTGCGGCCATGAACAAAGAGGGAGGGAGCTATTATCCTAATATACAAATTGCTTAACGCTGCAGCCAGTGACCTATCATCCAAGGCTCCAGCCAGTTTCGACGCGAAATATTAATACATCATACATCATTCTGAAAAGTGAAAAATGTCCAGCATTGTGTGTCAGTTCATATATGCAGGTAGTATTACGGAGGACATCCCATGCATAGTACCTACCGAGTACATGATGCATGTATCGGGCCTTTTTCAATGATATTCCTTTCTGGGAGTAAGATTCCGGACTCACTTAACGGGATTGCCAACTTTATGAATCATAACTACCCAGCTACAGGCAACACGGGAAAACCCGGTATCGCACTAGAAGCTCCCTGCAGCTTCCTCCATACTGCGTACAGACTATTCGTTTCCTCATTGGCCGTTGTAAACCGACGCTCAATACATGGCAGAGTAACGAAGAGTGCGCGTGTCACAGCGGCTCCATCCTCCGCGAAACTTTATCAAACCGCTAATATTGCCACAATAGCTACTGCTGCAGATGCCGGGACGCATGGGGCCTGAAAAGCGCGACTCAGTGCGCAGGGACTCGACTTCACTCACTTCCTTGTCTGATGATCTCCCTGAGCTAATAACTCCATCACGAATCCAGACATACGTGTCTGGTGACAGTATTAACCGGTCTCCGACTATTAACCGGCTTCTGGAGATAAGACCATGGCGGCCAGTGCAACCCCGGAGCTCTCGCAACCTTACACTCACGCGGGCCACAAACCTAGAGGCCCTGCTTGTCCAAGCTGTTGGTAGCGAGTCTGGGCCATGCAACCGTTGCGCGCGGGAGCTAGGTCCATTTGTTGGTTGCATGGCTCTGGAGGGATTCCTCAGCGGATCGTGCGCAAACTGCCATTTCAACAGCGCCGGACGCTACTGCTCTCTGCGAAGCGGTAAGCTTAACATGATTTAAGATTAAAAATAAAAATAAGAATACAAAAGCAGGCGATGTACTCTGTACACTAACTGACATAAATTATAATGCAGAAGACAGAATCCCTCGTCGCCGTCCGCCTGTTCGCGCGCGGAACAGTGCATTGAGCAGCAGTTGTCCCCGTCGCCAGCGCGCGGCGTCCAATGTCCCGGAAGGGGAAGTCCCTGCCTCTGAAAGCCCTCTAATCGATCATCGACTAGCGCCAAATCCCTCATCAACCGCAAATTCTGCCGGCTCAGCCAGACCTGCTCGTCGCACTGCAACTGAAGCTTTCCGTGAAGAAGACGAAGAACAGGGTCAAGAAGTGATAGACCGTCGAGCCCGCAGGGCAAGATTGCTTCAGATTATGAAAGTCACCACGCAGATGCAGGAAGCAATGACTGATCTGCTGCGGCTCGTTACAGAGGAGCTTGCGGAGGAATAAGGGAAAAAGGAGAACAAAAACAAAAATGGAATCTTTTCTTCATTTTTTTTTTTTTTTTTTTTTTCCATTTGTTGCTTTGTCAATACATAATATGCGAAGCAAGATGTGTGGTTTTGAATATGGCCAGGAGCGGAAGACTTAGGAGCAGTGCTCCATTGACCACATATGACGGGTCTCTACCGTCTTTGGACATCTATGCACGCATTTTCAAGCAAGAATAGATGTCCTTTTCTTGTGCTTCTGGCGGCTTGCAACAAGTAGTTTTTCTCTATGTGAAGTGTCCATCAGCAAACAGGGACAGCAACAGTAGAAACACAATCCGTTTGAGCAGTCAATTGAAATGTTCTGTACTCTGTAACAGTATGTAATATTTCCGTACCGCCAGCAAATCTGGAACGAAAATCGCAGGGGAGCTTGGTATCACACTGTATTTACATCCCTACTAGTGTGTCTCGCGCGATGATACTCAAGCCACGTTTTGATGATGGAGCTTGAAACCTTTTTGGCCTGCTTCCAACAATGGGCGGATATTCAGTGATTAAACATAAGCTCTGTGCAAGTTAAGAGGCCCTCCAGCAGCCAGCATATCACTAACCTAACTGTCGATCTTCTCACTCTTCTTTAATACAACCCCCAATTGAGGTGCTTTGGTGTCGTACTCTTGGAATGACTTTTAATCCTCAAAATGCCCTCATATTGTCATTTAAGACCTAACAACACAGGCCCGCCAAGGTGTATCTGTTTGCACTTTGCTTGCTTTCGGGGAGGGTGGAATTGCTTGTTTGTGATTGCCGCCAATCTTCTCGCAAGCACATTTCCCCCACGCTTTCTTTTTTTTTTCTTTTTAAAAAGGCGGCTATGGAGCTTGATACTACCATAAACAAATACATATTGACTGGTGACGAACACCAAGAGAACAGGTTGCACTCAAGCCTTATTGAATTTTCAGATTTCCTGTTCGATGGCTTCTTTCTACCTTGTTAGTTCTACTATTCCACTGTGTTTCCTCTTTCTCGAAAGGTACTTGGTGGCGAAGAATACTCTAGCTAGAAATCAACTCTCCAAGCACCGTTATCGTTACGTGACATGTCACAAATTCGACGCCATGAAGCAGTGATGCGCTTCAAGCAAGAAAGCAAAATTACACTCAGAACAGGGAGTGGGATCCTCTTCTTGAGTAGTTATTTGATGCTCCAGGAGTAGTCCATATACTCACGCATGCCTTAACAGTAAGGGATAAAAATTTGCAATTAGGACCATCCACTCCTTGTAAGGAATCTCTTCCCTTAACTGCTCTGTACCAACTCTCTTTCACAGCCTGAATTCAAAAACACCACTCTTGACATTCTTGATATGCTTGATAATAGTGTTGCATGTCTTATTGATGGCACTGAGATAGACAGATCATTCAATGCAATCGGACTCGCAGCCGTGCCCTGTACCCTTCTTTTAAGCAACTTTTATTTCTTCTTTAAGCCTGTCCTAGAATAGCCAGCCCACAACTATTGAATTGGCGCCTTTCTGCATTCTCCAGGATCTTTCTGTTCGATGCACATTCCACAGCACCGGTGTTCATGCAATAGACCTGCTTTCCATCTGACTCTTTGAAATCCACAGCGCAAGCTGTCACATACTTCACTTCTCAGCGGTAGGAGGCTATACTGACAGATCTTCCTCCGATATCGAACCGGTGTTACAGCAGGACGGATCTGCGGATCTGGGCCGTTTAACGAGTCAGCCGGCAGTTGGTCGGATGGTTGGGTGTTTAGTGTTTGCTGCACCGATATCCATGGTGGAAATGATTTAAGCCTTCCTCATCTCTGGGCAGTGTGTCTGTTGCATGTTGACTACCATGTTCGACCACCACTGCTCCCATAAACCTCATGGCGGAACTTACACGCACCTTGACCGGCGAGACGAAGGATGAAATGCTGCTCAAGTCCGTGTTGCGCGCTTGTGGAATGATTACATAATCAGGTTTAAGAGGAGACTAGTCTAAAAGAGGAAAGCTTTGCCGGGAGCTAACCTGATACGGATAAACAATCCCCTGTTCCTTATCGATAAGCCCCTCGCGACGGCCGTAAGAAGTCGCGCGTCGCGGACATCGAACGCCGGAACAGCATCAAGAGCGCTGAGGACGGCGAGCCTGGGAACCAGTCGCATCTCCAATTGATGGTTTGGTTGCGGTTACCCTGTTCCTTGCAGCTACACTGGAGAGATGCTCACTATAGTTGAAAATGTTTTTTGTATGGAGTACTCCATACGTTGCTGAGAGATAACGTCATTGAGCTCGGTGCTTCCAGAGCTTCCCCTCCTTCTAGTCAATCAATTGCCGTCTGTGTGAGTCTGGGTCAGTGTACGGGACGCCCCGCAGTGCATCAACAGAGTCCCATCACCGGCAATGGCCGGGCACCTTTTCGCATCGCCATGCGTGTGTCACCCTTCCCCTCTTCCAGCAACCCGGAGGGGTGTGGAGAGCGAACTTCGGACTGGTTAGCCTGAGTAGGGAATCAATTGCTCGCATGCATTTGACGCTGTATATGCATATACATATATAGGGGCTCATAGGCTTCCAACTTTTCATCTTCTTAGGCTCACATAAAATCCCTTTTCAACTTTCACGTCTTCTCCAACAATTGACATCGTAGGTAACAACATCCGGCAGATTCTACGGAGGTAAACCAGCTAACTAGACAAGCCCTACCAAGGAAAAGCACTCACCTTTGTATCTTCGACAATATGGCTGCTCCCGTCGCATTGAGATACCAACCCCAGGCTCAGTCCACCTTCAAACCCCCGTTGATCGCCAATGACAACGCCTTTCTGGGCGATGTATTCACCAGGTAAGTTTTCTTTTCTTCATATTTTCCGCACTGGTGTTCGGGAAGCTAATGGTTCTTCTTTTTCCTTTTCCCGCTATCCAGCCAAGCCGAGAATCCAGAGAAGCCTATGTGCGCTGGTTTCTACAGACTCGAGAAGGGAACCCCCTTGGTCTATACATACACCTACGATGAGATGAAGATCATCCTGGAGGGTGAATTTGAGATCTCCGACACCACCGGCCAAAAGGTCTCAGCCAAGCCAGGCGATGTCTTCTACTTCCCCAAGGGCGCAAAGATCACTTTCACGACGCCGTCGTATGGATTGGCTTTCTTTGTGAGTATTTCCACGGTTGTGCGGTCAATGTGTCCGGATTCAAACTGACTGGCACTTGCGCAGACTGGACAACGTGCCGAAGGCGGAGCTTAAGAAGCCTTTCTCTGAGGCCGTGAAGAGTCGATTGAACAGACTTTTTCGAGGGAAAAGAAAGGTGTGGCCTTTCAGTTAGATAGAACAAACACTTCAAGATTTGGGCATTGGATTCCCTCTGGTCTTTTGGATAGGATCCTCCTAGATCTTCAGATGAAATACCCCAATATATTGTCAATATATACCTCCGTTAATTTATTCTCTTTTTTCCGTTTCGACGAAGAGTATCGTGAAGTTATCTTCGATCAACGTTCAGATAACAAAGGAAGAGACATATATGTCCCGTTATCCATCTACTTACGTGACGACAGCCCTAAATCCTCCGGGGAGCTTTTTTTCTCTTTTAAAATTCCATGGAGAGCCAAAGCACAACCCTTGGAAACTCAGTAGCCCTGGATTCGCTTTAGGGTCCTAACTTACCATGTACCACACTTTTGTTTGAATATTCCAACACCTCAAAAAGTTTCCAAGGTTCCGCGAGATACTTGGCATCGTAATAGCCCCATGATATACGGAGTATCTTCTCCAAAGTCGAGATTGAATTGCACATATACGAGTGTTATTCCCACCATTCTCCTTTTAAGATATGGATTGCACAGATCGATCATTCATAGCGACCATTGGCACGATGCCGTTTCAATATAAGGTGGTCCACGATGAGCTTTTTTTTTTTTTTTTTTTTTTTTTTTTTCGAAGTTTGAGTGTCCGAGGCTATCCAGCAGTTTCAATTGGCAGAGTCCTGTGTTTTAACCCTTTTTGCATGGAATCCGGGATGCATTTCTCAGCTAAAGAGCGTGTCACCATAAGGGGCATCGCAGAACCTTATGGGAAATAAGTATCGTCTGGAACCATGCGATGACCCGAAGGATGTGAAATAAAGAACGGCGGTGAAAAAAGATTCTGTGCCACTCTCGCGTGCACAGTCACCCGCAGAGTTGCCCCATGTTGATCCCTCTCCAGGATGGGCTTCTGGACCATATACTACACCAAGTACTCCGTATCACTTGCGATTTAATCCCCACTGGGCCGAGCCAAAATATGAACCAGCCTTCAGTCTGTACGTGCAGCGTCGCCTTTTCCACTCCATCAATCCGTGATCAAGAAGCTGAGGAAGGCTCCTGCGCAACTGCATATATTTGACGGCGCTGCGTTCACGCAACAGAGGGCTGCAGGCACAACTTGGCCAACCGAAGCGGGCCTCCTTGCTTTCGACCCCCTGCTCTCGAGTCTCCAGCAGGGTCCTTTGATGACGCTTTGAAGGCCAACAAGCTTTGTGGTTCAGCCTTACCTGCCGCGTCGGCCATGTTGCTGCGGCAACGGCCAGCAACAGCGCACGCTAAACCGCTTTCTCGGCTCGACGAGACGCTCCCGGGGCCAGCCAGCAAGCCAGCCAGCCAGCCAGCCAGGGTTGAACACACAACGCAGCTCGCCGCCGCCGCGACGGGGCGCTAAGAACCGATCCTCTCTTCTTTCTGTTTCTCCTTCTTCTCACCGCCCTTCTCTACTGCTGCGCCTGGGAAATTTTCTTCTACCCCATCGCCTGCCTCTCCTGCTCTCCCAACACGCGTTTGTTGTGAGCATCCTCGATCCCTCGTGATAGTGGGGTTGCGGCCAGAAAACGTCACTGTTTCTCACCGCCCCCCCTCTGAACCACAGCGATGACCGTCAACATGAGGTCGCAATCCCCGCTGGGGAAGCAGGAGTTGAGGCCTTCTCACATCCCGTCCCTCATCCATTCACGCTCCAACAACGACCTCTACGATCCCCCGCGAACCCCTCAGCACCATGGATTCACAAGCCCGCTGCACACCCCACACGGGAGCCCTAGCAAGAGTCGGCTGCCACCAGGCGCCACAGACCTCCCAAGCATCTTCGATAACGCCATGAAACTCGCGCCGTCGTCACCGACTAAATCTGTCTTCAATCTGAGCAATCTGTCTCCCGGAAAGGGTCAGATAAGCGGAGGCGAGAACCTGACCACCTTCAACGAGAGCGTCATTCACAAAACAGCCTCTGTGCAGGGCAGCCCGACGCGAAGAGGAAACCAGGAAAACGCACCGCCAGGTGGATCGCGCCTGGGCAAGGAACCCGTTCCCAATTCGAATCACGCTGCTCTCTCGCGGCAGGAGGCATATCAGAATAACAAAGAGCGTCGAGACCGTAGGAACCCCGCACAGACCAGGGGCTTGACGGCCGAAGAACTGGAGAAATTGCAGCTACCGGGTGTCAAACGCCTCGCGAATGTCGCCCAATTATGTTAGTTCCCTGTCCTCTCTGCTTGCTCTATATCTAATCAGTGCTCTTACCGTCTCACACCTTCTCAGATTTTCTTGATCATTATTTTGATCTCCTGAGCTACGTGCATAACCGCCAAACACGTCAATCGCAGTTCAAAGCCGCCTATCCCCCCCCGCCTCTCACTTCACAAGTGGAGTACGAAGCTGCGCTCCAAAAGTACTTAGGCAGAGAGCGAGCTCACCTGCGCAAGCGAAGAACTAGACTGCGTCATGCTGACTTCCAGATTCTTACACAAGTCGGGCAAGGCGGTTACGGTCAGGTCTACTTGGCGCAAAAGAAGGATACTCGTGAAGTCTGTGCGCTGAAGGTTATGAGCAAAAAGCTCTTGTTCAAGCTGGACGAGATTAGACATATCTTGACCGAACGAGATATCCTCACTGCCGCGAAGAGTGAATGGCTGGTCAAACTTCTTTACGCCTTCCAGGATGAAGAAAAGATATACCTTGCAATGGAGTATGTTCCAGGAGGAGATTTCCGTACCCTGCTCAACAATGCTAGCGTTTTGCATAATCGCCATGCACGCTTTTACATCGCCGAGATGATTCAATGCGTTGATGCCCTCCATGCCCTGGGTTACATTCACCGCGATCTCAAACCTGAAAATTTCCTGATCGATTCGACGGGCCACGTGAAGTTGACCGATTTTGGATTGGCAGCGGGCATGCTCAGTCCCGGAAAGATCGAGTCAATGAGGATCAAGCTGGAGGAAGTCGGCAAAACTTCGGTCCCGTTCGGTCGACCCATGGGCCAGCGCACGGCTGCAGAGAGACGTGAGGGATACCGGACGCTGAGACAGCGCGAAGTGAACTACGCAAAATCCATCGTTGGATCTCCCGACTACATGGCGCCGGAGGTGCTCAAGGGAGAAGAATATGACTTTACCGTTGATTACTGGAGCTTGGGTTGTATGCTCTTCGAGGCCCTGGCCGGATACCCTCCCTTTGCCGGTGCTACTGTCGATGAGACATGGCAGAACCTCAAGCAGTGGGAGCAAGTCTTGCAGGAACCAGTTTACGACGATCCAAATTACTTCCTGTCGAGACGAACCTGGGACTTGATCACCCGGCTTGTGGCCTCGAAGGAGCGCCGGTTCAAAAACATCAGGGAAATTCACATGCATGAATACTTTATCGATGTTAACTTCAACAGACTGCGGGACATGCAGCCTCCGTTCGTTCCCGAACTTGACTCCGAGACGGATGCGGGCTACTTCGACGACTTTGGCAGTGAATCTGATATGGCTAAGTACAAGGAAGTCCATGATAAACAGAGAGCCCTAGAAGAGATGGCAGAGCGAGGCGAAAAAATGAGCAAGAGCCTGTTTGTTGGCTTTACCTTCCGGTATATTTACACTGTTAGCTCGTAGGATAGGGCCCCGTTGCTAACCCTTGGATTCAGGCACCGTAAACCAGCCATTGGAGGTGACGGACGAACCAGCCCCCGAAAAGCGATTCCAACGGACGGCTCTTTCGGCACCATATTCTAACATGCGACGTTCTCCACGAATCTCTTTATAGCCTCCAATTGCTTCCCGAAAAAAAGGCTATGTGTTACCTCAAACGCAATTTTCGCTTCCATTCTGAGCTGGCCCTCCTTTGCCTTTTTTTTTTTTTTTTTTTTTTTTTTTTTTTTTCCTTCTTTTTCTTCGAAACTTCACTTTTCTTTGCTCTTCAGCTGCGTTTTCATTAATATATGAGTATTGTAATGAGTTTCCGCCCGCATCACATCTCCTCAACACATCTGCTTCTCTTTCTCCATTGTGTATGTCTGAATGTTCATGTAAACGCGATCAGTTTGTCCCTTTTCTGTTGCTGTTTACTCTATTCCTGTGGAAAAGGCCTGGGTTGGCTGGATCTGGGTTGAGAGTGAGTTTGTGTCTCCAAAGTAATTCTCTCAATTGCACTTATTCATTTGCTTGAGTCCCATGTATTCTTCCAGATTCCATGCTTTGTATTATGGGTCATTCAGGTAGCTAGCTGGCATCAAATATGAAATGAAAGCCGGTACTCTGTATTCTGTACTTTGTACTCTGTCCTCCGTTTGGATATTATGATAGTTGTGCAGGCTCATTGGTCAATTGGGATGCTAGTTCGGTGATGACGTAGTTGGCTGGTGTTTATTGTCACTCCATTTATCGTCTCAGCCTGCACAGCTCAAGCATCAACACACTTCAAAAGTTATTCGTTAATCCCGCCAAACAGTGACCACCATCAGTGCATCTTCTACCATGTTCCGCTTCGTAAGTCATTCTCTCCACCAACAACACTTCCTAGCTAAGCCAGAGCTACTAATTCACCCCCCTCTCCAAACTAGCACAAACCTCTCGACATCATCACCCTCTTCCACAAACCCGCCCTCCCCAGTTCCCTCCGCGCTCTCGCCCTCCTCAAACAGGCCTCTGCCAACGCTGCCGAAACTGCCACCATCGACCAGGCTTCAGATCACTCGGCGCAGAACAAGCTCGAACGTCAGCGCCGCGAGCAGTTCGACCTCACCGTCACCGAGGAGCCGCCCACGCCGGATCAGTTGAAGCTGATCATGGACTATATGGCGGCGGGGGCGGGCAATGGCGGAGTGGGCGCGGGGAAGCCGGGGGATTTGGTGAGCGGGGCGAGGGATAGGCTGGATGCGCTGAGAAGGTTGAAGGAGGATGGAGAGAGGTTTGTGAGGCCAGTCGTGAGTTTTGGCCCTGGATATTTCTTCCATTTTCCTTTTCCTTGAGAGAGATTTTATGCTGATATAGGAGTTGTATTTATAGGTTGTTGATTGGAATAACGGGAAGGCAGGTATGTGTATAGATATTCCGATTTTCTGGGGTGATGCGCTGACGTCGCATTTCTCTGCCGCTGTTTTAGTTCTCGGGACAAACGAGTCTGCCATTTTGAAGCTGCTGCAGGATGAACCACCGCATACACCTGATGATACTGCATGAGGGCATTTTCATGCCTCGTTATGAGTCTAATCTACGATTTTATTCTAGTTCTCAGTGGAGGGCAATATCTGGCGTTATGGAGGCATTTATGTGTATGACTTGGGAGCCATTCGTCAGAATTGGGAGCCATTCGTCAGAAGGAGGGTATAAATTGACAGTCTCTGTCCATGGAATTCTTATCTATGTATGTATGAGCTTGCTTCGATGTCTGTAAATCTGTTTCAAGCATAGTCTTTCAATGAATCTTTGGGAAATGGGCTTTTTTTAACCGAAGGACATAAGTTTTTAGAAGCCTTTCGCCGCCTCGAAAAGTTCGGAGTTAGGCTTTTCTTTCGGGTCCAAAATTTTGGCGGTTCCTTGACAATATGTAGGGGAGTGGTGAGTGAGCAAAGAGAGGCGGGGACGCAGGCAATATTGAAACTTCCTCCTCACAGAACCACCACCTGTCCCGTTACTTACATCGGGTTTGGTGATACTTCCGCTCCGCAAGACCAGACTGTCACCGCTACAACGGTTGCGATGACGGACGCCACCACAAAGACCGGAAATGCCAGGATGACGGTCAGCAGCATACTTGCCAAGGTCGCAAAAATGTTTCCAACGGGGGTCAAATTGCTGTAAATTGCAGTCTGGTATAACGCCGCTATCGGGCCTGGACAACGGAATATTCACAACATCAGTGGTCTTATTATGCGGGGTTATGTACGTCGAATCGAACGTACCGCCAACAATGCCAATTGGTCCCAAACCGGCCGATAGACAGACAGTGCAAGTCACGGCGAAGGCAATCGAAAATGCAACAATAATCGCGAAAACATCTTGATACCAATGGGTTAGCCTTGAGGGAAACTGTTGATTAAGACTTATTTACTGGTAAACGTACGCGGCTGGGAAATCCAGTGGGGGAAGTTCATCCAGCATTCCATAACCCACCGCGTCAGATTGGCCCAGTGGCCCATCAAAGCATGAATCCACTTTTCATACTGGACGATTTCCACGACAGACGATATCATTGGCCCATTGGTGACATACTGGCGAGAGATATCAATAAATTGAAGAATGGGCAGCGAGCTATTTGGGTACGGAGGAAGGATCATTTTGCTCTTCAAGGGCAAGCAGGAAGCTTCCGAGCAAGAGGGCGAAATCGATGAATATCAAGATAACCGCGAATGTTCAATATGTTGAACGTGGGAGGGAGGTCTCAGAGCAACATCTGTAGGGAGCTTAAGAGAGAGAAAAAAAAAAAAAAAAATTCAGCTGGAGAGGCCGAGCATAATAGTCTTGCGTGGGAAATTCCTCATAGCATATCATGTGAGAGGCCTTGCGGCAAAGCAAGAGACCTAGGAGAAGATTGGTTAAACATACAACACAACGTGCGGCGATCATGGCCTTAGAAAGGCGTCCTCCCCGTTGAATACCTCTTTATAAGGTGCAGCTATCATCTATTGTTCAGCTGAAGAGGCTCTTTAGGATATCATCAGCCCGTTCGGTCAGTCAGGCCACCTCTGATTGACGGAGGGCGATGAAAAGGGCTTCTTAAACCTCACAACTTCATCTCTGTGTGAACAATGTAGACATCATCTATTCTTCTGCCATTACCAATGACTTCATTATTTCCACCTCATGCAGGGCGGGGCATTTTGATAGTTTTGAACAAGCATGTAAGAAGCAGATGACGGTTAGGGGGGTGATGGATTATCTGAAAGAGAAAAGTGCAGAAGCACTGTCGTCTGAACGGAGACTTTTGCTCTCGTCATGGTGTTCCCTGTCTCCCTTGATAGCACTGCGCCTGAAGCATTTTGAAAAAAAAAAAAAAAAAAAAAAAAAAAAATCTGCTCGCCGTGGTGGCCTTGACATTCTGAACAGGATCATCATCGCCGACATAGCAACTGTGATAGGGCGGCTGCTCTATCTCAGGCTGCTCGCCATACTAACATCAACAGGTTTGCTCTTTGGGGCTGTCTGTGGGCGTATTGCTCAGCCAGTATTGTTCACGCAGATGGATCGGATAGATCAGCCTGAGAGGAGCGGTTTGGGGTTTCATTTTCGGGCTGCTCTTTCTCCGTCTCGGAGGATTGGGTTGAGTCGATATGGAGTATATGGCAGCCGATTCCTCCGTGTTTGTGTTACCCATAACCTAGGCCGGATCCAAGTGATCGTGGAATTCATGCAGGACTCTGGTTCCTCTGACAACGGGCGACGTCAGCAACCTGGTGTGCCTTTTCGGGTCCGCAATTGCCGTAATGGCGTTATTCTGTGCATTGATACATGCGGCCTCTGCATTCAGAACGAGTTTCCATTATTTTCACATGCTGTAAGGACTAGGAATTGTTCTCGAATCGGCCATAATAAGCTTCTAGCGAAATATTCTGACCCTGATGTTCAACTGCATGATTCCAGTGGTGGAATACGTCGCATTAGCAATTTCCCCCCCGTTTGGATTGGGTGTGAGTGGTGTGTCTCTGGCTGTTTGCGTCCACTTCAGTAGTGTGTCTGGAAAGTCCATCGCAGCTTTAGGCCCGCTACCAAGTGGCGTGTCAATGCCTCAGAATAACAGCGAAGCAGTTAGCTTTATTCCAAAGGCGGAGGAGCTCCAGTCATATCTCCCATGCGAAAGAGTCGTTGAGATCCTTGCAGCAGAGTTATGGCAAATCGTTTCGTGTGATTTGGCAGGTGATGATTGGGCTTTGCCGGGGTTGAACTTGTCTCTCAAACAGTTAAAATCACCGCTGAGTGCGATAAGCCGAGGAGACAGCGCTTCGAGAGCGTCTTCACTGCACCCTCAAGACGCCTTTTCACCCCATCGTCCCGGTTGAGAGGATTATTCTTCCATCGATCGCAGTCGAGCAATATGTGCTGCGCTGCACTAAGCCTAATCCAGCCAAATGTTCAGGGCACGCTTGTTCTGCGCTGATTTTCCCGCACAACGAATTCACTCAAGCAGCGCTATCAGCGTGTGGCGCATTCGAGGACGGGGATGCATTGTATTTTTAAAAAGTCAGATCAGAGCAATGGATGAACAAAGACGCTGCTTCAAGAGTTTCGTCACGTCATCGCGCAAAAAGGGCCGTTCTGCAGGGAGAGAAGCTACTATGGAGGACCGAAAACCAACACTTTTGACAAGCAAAATGCTTCAATATGACTGGGCTTCTGCCCCTGGAGGGATTGGGGGCGGCGCATTTGGGGTTTGGGCGCGGATACGAAGTGGCCAACACCCAATTAGCGATCCGCTGCCGGGGGCCACGCCTCCGCCATGTCGGGGAGCGATTCCTTACCGAGAATGTCCACTGTGGCCCGGCTCCATTTTGCAATCTCTCCAACCAATAGTGCCCAGCATCCATGCGGCGCCAGGGTTTGATCAAGGCTTTAAAGCGGCCCCAGAGAGCAGGCAAGGATGCAGCCCACGCTAAAGGTTCGGTTTTTTCCACCTTGACAAATGATCATCCTCAACCTCAGGCATGGTCGGCTGGTCCGCAGGGAAAGGTTGGTGTTCGATCAGCGGCAGCTCTCGATCAGAAAACTGGATTAATGGTTTGCTGGCTGCCTTAATAGAATACAACTTCGACCTTCCTTAACGACATAAGAGACACGACCGCGATCCTTTCCAACGTTTGCCCGGCGATCGAAGTTGGTCCAGACCTGGGAGCTATCTCTCTCTTGCTCTCTCCACGGTCGACATGGACGCGGACACCCGACCATATAACTTCACATGGAGAGCGATTTTCGGATCGAAGCGAGCGCGCGTTGTCCTTCTCCTCTTGACTCTCATCCTCTGTGTCTCGCTTTTATTACCATACGCCCCATCACGCTCATTGCCTCACTTTCCAAAGCTCCCGAAACCCGAAGATCCACCCCCCAAGAATGATGATCAGGTGGATTGGTCACAGTTTGCGTATTCGCAATATGCGACGAATCCAGACTACCTCTGCAATTCTGTGATGATTTTTACTACGTTGAAGCGTCTTGGTGTGAAGGCAGATAGGATCTTACTGTATCCTCAAGAGTGGCCGGATAATGATCCTGCCGACCCTAAGTCCGGGTTGCTGATAAAGGCGAGAGATGAGCTGGGTGTAAAGCTGAGGCCAATATCGGTGCTTCAGGAATCGGCAGATCCAACCTGGGGTGCCAGTTTTACGAAGTTGCTCGCATTCAACCAAACCGATTACCGGCGGGTGTTGAATATTGATTCTGACTCTACAATTTTCCAGGTGTGTGTTTTCCCGGACTGTTTTAGTTATGTGGGCTACCTCTTATTCTGCCTCTGACACATTGTTTTGTTTTTCAACTCGCAGTCCATGGATGAGCTATTCCTCTTCCCTTCTGCGAAAGTAGCCTTGACACGAGCTTACTGGCTCGATAATTTCCTTTCATCCCAACTCATCCTCCTAGAACCCTCCGCAACCGAATTCGCGCGCATTCAAGAATCGATCAAGAACAAGAAGCCCAACGACTTCGATATGGAAATCGTCAATTATCTGTACAAAGACCATTGTATGATCCTACCGCATCGACCGTACAACTTGCTCACTGGGGAGTTCCGTGGCGACAAACATGCAGCCTACCTAGGCTCCGAAGAAGAGGTTTTTGACCCTGAGAAAATTCTCAAAGAGACGAAGCTGGTCCACTTTTCGGACTGGCCGTACCCGAAGCCCTGGATTAACGCCAGTAAACGCGAAACAGAGCGGCTTATGCCGGAATGCAAGACTTCTGAGCAGGGTGGGGAGCAAGATTGTCGCAATCAAAAGACCTGGCTATGGTTGTATTCCGATTTCAAGGAAAGGAGAAAGGTAAAATCAGGCTCAACCCCATCTTTACCTCTTGGCTTTGAGAAGTGTTTGGGCTAACTCAACTGCAGAACGTCTGCGGTTCTGACTTTTAATGCGTTGCAATGGACTTACGTTATGGAAAGAGTTATATATCGGCGAATGCGTTCAGGGACTCTTGTGCTACATTCCCCTGTATATGTATAATCTTCGACTGTTATTTTGGCGCTAGGATTTTTTTGGCGTGTTGGAATGGATTGCAGCTCAGGCGTATACATGTCGCATAGAGTATACACGCACATAATTACTCCTGCATTGGGGCACCCTGATCCGGGTCTGCAGTCATGGACCTATGTGTTCGATTTCTCTAATCCACTTCTTTTTGATCATTCTCAACACGGTGTGTTGAATATGTGGTTTCATGGGCAAATTGAGTTCGCGCTGTTTCAAGAACCATACCTACATACTAATTTCTTCAGGGGCACTCTGCAGTAGAGAGTCAAAGGATGCTTGACGCAGTGATGGGGTTTCCAGCGAAATAATTTTTGAGCTGACAGAAAGACACCCGGTCTCAAGCTGGTCTTATTTGATGAGGATGGCGGTAGGTGGTGATTGAGGGGTCAGTTTTGTGTTCCACGCTTGCCAGCGACACGGCGAAATCCGTCCAGGAAAGGTCTCCTCTTTCCCTCACATTTGCTGCTTGATATATTTCTCTCGGCTGCTTCATGTTATTTTGAGGCGAGTTCAGCTATTTCATACACACAGCGCAAGTAACCGCGCCAGCTGTCCGTGGAAGTTTTACAGTGCAAGTTTAAAAGAGCACAGTACGTCTAAAAATTAGACAATTTCTAAGAAGTGTTCTTATCTCTGACAATAGTCGAAAGGGATCAACATGGAGCGTGCGCCGGCTAATCCTATGTCCGATAGTCCTACCTGCGCTGAATGCGGTAAACAGGGCGTCGTCAAGTTAATCAGGGGCCTGAAATATTTGAAAATTGAAGAACAATTGCGAACCTTTGTGACAGGTTGTTCGCCTTAAAAGACCAACCTGAGAAACATCGTCAATCTTCAAAGGTACCTAGCGTTCGTGATGCCCCAAAAAAAAGCGTGCTACTGGTCCAAGGTGCAGAACCCCAAGGACAGAACATTTCATCCACGTCCCACGAAGATGTAGCTTCAAGAGCATGAGGAACAGCAAAGAGAATGAACCAGAAGAGAATGGGTGACAGTCGACGAAAGGTCAACTACAGAAAGTTGGTTCAGTCTGCCTATTCGTCCCCATGGCAACCCTTGCTGAATGCCTTCTGATGGTACAAAGGGGATATGGTGCACACTGAAGCTGCCGTCGCGGAATTTGAGCTGTAACAATGCCGCTTGTGAATTGCTGCCCAGATACTAGGACAATGCGATATCCGATTTTAGTACCTCTTGACAATAATCTCTGGCTTTCCATGCTATATGGAATTGTATGGCTCGGCACTCTAAGGAACAAGGTTGCGATAGTTATAGGGTAGGATTAGTTACGAGTAGCCAGAGACCTGCTTCAGAGGTGCTATGCTCCGATAGTATAGAGAAAACGGCTGGAGTTTGTATATATCGGTGCTGTAGTGCCTTTTGGACGAGCCATCCGACCCCTATTTTCACTTGTTGGGGGGGCATCGACCTGATAACAAGCTGGTGTGACTGGTATCGAGCGGCTAAACATATGTAAGAAAGCAACGTAAAGCAGGCAGACCATGAAATCAAGCGATTGAACCCATCTCATCATGCCGGCTCGCAAGGGAATGACATTTGGAAAAGGGATGGAATTGCGCAGAGTTGGAAGCCCATTTGGATAATTTATGATAACCCGTGCTTGAGTAACGAGCCTAGTTGACTAACTAACTAACCCAAAAATGGTCTAAGTAACTGGTTAACTAGCCCACGGCAACTCAACTTCGACGTCGTCCATCGCGGAGAGTCAAGGCATCGCCGAATCGCCGAGGAATGGTTCACGCTTCAACGGTGGCTTTGATCTTGCTCAGGGCTACAGCCTACATATCGGTAGCAAGAAAGAAAACTAGGTTTCCAACATTTCAGCTCTAGAATGGAGCCGGTGGTGATGGCGGCTGGCCATTAGCGGGATTCTGCCAAAGTGAGCTCGGGTGGACGACATCTTGGGCCCTGTCACAGTCAAGAGCTACATATCTACCCGCCATGTCAGCTGCTGTTAGGCCCCGGGTGAAAGTCGCATGTAAGCTATGTCACTCGAGGAGAGTCAAATGTGACCGAACGGAAGAATCGGCATGCACCAACTGTCAGCTTGCTGGTCAGGAATGCCAGTCCATCATTTCACGGCGTGGAAAGTATGTTGGGATAGTAGCCATGGATTGTCCTTCAAACGTAGGATGCAAGTCTTCTCGATATACTGACTCGTCTGAAGATACAAACGACACCGAAATGAACCGGGCCGGGTACGTTCAATCAGAGGATTAAAAAATGGAGGCCCTCTGCCCGACCCTTCCCCGAAAGGCGATTCCACTGTCGATTCGCATGCCGGCCTGCCGGCTATCACCCAGGAAGCGAGCGAGACCGTTGCAGCTCCTAGGGAAACATGTGAAGAAGCGCCGCCTCCGCCTGTGGACTCCAGTTCTAACACCCAAGGGAACGACAACGAAATGGTCCACTATGGGGATAGCTTTAACCTGAATTATATCTTCCGTGAAATGTGTGACCCGTTCGATACGGCCTCAGGTGTATGCTCCCCAGAGAAAAACTCGGAAAACCTAAAAAACTTGGAGAGCCTGTATCTCGAGAATCTGGATGGCTTGACAAGACTTGCACTCGATGAGCGAAAGAGAGACGATAATTTACGCTTACGCAGCCAAGGAGCGTTTAGGATGCCTCCTAAGGAGGTTGGCGACGAGCTGATAAGGGTATTCTTCCGGTACTCTTTACCGATGTCATCGTTGCTCTTTGACCGAGAAGACTTTTGCCTAAAGTACGAGAGCGGGCGTATTTCTCCGCTACTTTTGCATGCTATCCATTTCGTTGCGATTATTCATTGCGAGGATTCCGTTTACAAAGCAGCTGGTTTTCAAAATCGACATGAAGCGAGTTGCGCTTTTTATCATAGAGCGAAAGCGTTGTATGACGCAAATTACGAGTCGGATTCGATAGTCAATCTCCAGACCGTCTGCCTTCTATCTCAGTGGTGGGGAACTCCGACGGAGCAGAAGTATACATGGCATTGGATGGGCATTGCAGCCAGCCTTGCGCAGTCGCTGGAATTGCACCGATCGTTGGTGGACCCTTATTTGTTTTTGTCTTCACAGATCTCGCTAACAAATAGCCTAGGAGAGCATATGCGAACCTCAACACAAAACATCGGAAGCTAAGGCGAAGGATGTGGTGGGGAATATATGTGAGGACCTTACAGACAATATCAAGATCTCAACATTTTGCGTCGCTGATCCCTCTACTGTAGATACTAGACATTCTCGAATCATTGATCTTGGGTCAAACACCGCACATCAATGACGCATACTGCGATGTGTCGCAGCTCACTGAAGATGATTTTGACGACGAGGACGAAGAAATTATCGAGTCACATATGTTAGGAAAACGAACGACCGAATCTACCTTATTCTTGATATACCTCTCGGATCTTACTACAAAAAGTAATTCTATTATCTAAAAACTCCAGTTCTGAGAATATCTGCTTACATTATGCACCAGTAAGCAGGTGCCTTTTAATGACCTTCGGTGCCAATGCCGACGAATCGACAAGGACCGAGTCTCTCGAAACTCTCAGTTCATGGGGAACTTCTCTGCCGAAGGAATTACATTATCCAACCTCCACCATCTCGATACAAAATGGCTTTTGGGCTTCTTTGCTCCATTTACTTTATTAGTTTGTGCTTTGATCCTTGGCAATTTTTCAGAATATTTCTGACAGCTTTGGTCAGCACTTGTCGAATACTATTACACCGAAATGGATCTCATTTCCCCGATAGAATGTCCGTGGGAACGACCACATTTGATGCTGCCGTCAAAGTGGTCCGAATGCTGGAGGACTTACTTTCGTCAGATGCGCTTTGTTTCTCACCCCTATATGTGTATGTGGCTTCTATCCCTTGAAAAGCTCGTCCTAAACGTCTCGCAGAATCGCGCCTACCTTTGCTTCCTTGTCTACTCATATCGCCAACATGCAAAGCTCATCCCAAAAAGTCAGGGATGTCTCTGAGCACAGAGTTCATCTATGTATGCTCGTGTTAGACAAACTTCAAGACTACTGGCCGCCTGTTGCTTGGAACTATCGGCTATTTTCTCGGATTCTTCAGGCTTTGAAAGCCCGTCAATCGGTGGATAAATGCCCCCCATATCAAGACTTTTCAGCTAATTCGGGTTTTCGAACCCAACAACCGGGGTTAAGTTCTTCCCGACATAACCAGAACTCACTGGGAGAGAGCTTTGTCTGCGGTTTGGCTAGCGAGTTTCCCATGGTTGATGCAACAGTGGAACCTGTCGACATCGCCACTACAGCCTTTTCTTTTGGAGGTCTGCTAATGAACCCCCAGTTTAATGCGGAAATCCCGTTTTTATACCAAGAGAACGCCTACAATCCAGGATTGTAGTCCTCGGAGCGGCAATCATTCTTGTATATGTACAAACCGAAGGAGAGAAAGCCGCACTTTCTCTCGGGAAAAAGACGATGTATCATCTCCACGCAAGTGTATATTTGGGACTCATGCCTGTACGTGATGATTTCTCTGGCTCTCACTCCCCAAGGCCTCTTTTCATTTCCTATACCACATTCTTGTGATCCGTGTTTTTCTCATTCTCTTCTGCAACAAAAACACTCCGTACAGCAAAGCCTCCGGGGTCGGCGGACATCCCGGAACATAGATATCAACCGGAATAATACGATCTACTCCTCTCAACACGCTATAACTGTAGTGATAGTACCCCCCTCCATTCGCACAACTGCCCATACTAATTACCCACTTTGGATCGGGCATTTGGTCGTATAACAGCCTCAGCGCAGGAGCCATTTTATTCGTGACGGTTCCTGCCACTAGCATCACGTCGGCCTGTCGTGGAGATGCGCGAAAGATGATACCAAGTCGGTCTTGGTCGTATCTAGGCATGGAAGCGCTCATCATTTCGACCCCGCAGCATGCAAGGCCAAAGCTAAGGGGCCATAGGGAGCCCTGCCTAGCCCAATTGACAAGATTATCTGTTGTCGTCCTTTTTGCGGAACAAGTGCGGTGTCAGCCTCTTATGAATCTTTTCATGCTAGGGGAAACGATAGATGGCAATACAGGAAATGTTGAAGGGGGGCTCCCTTCTCCGCGTCGTGTTTCACCGGTTTTAACGCATTCCCGCTCCAGGTTGAAGACGGCTGTCGTTGGATGTATGTTGCTTTGACAATCGGCCTCTGCCTGCCAGAAAGCAGGGGATAGATGTGTCGAGTACGTAGACCCGGTGAAATTATCGTTAATACAGCTTTCATGTAGACGGGAAATCTCGCTGTCAATAAGGGGGTGTAGGTTATATGACCATGAATCAGAGAAGCCTGGAAGGATTCTTAATCGGCAAAAGATTACCAAACACAGCTGGGGGGATCCGAACAGCTTGAGAAGTGGAGGATAACGAAAAGCATCAGGAATACACCTCAGCTTTAAATCTGGAATCGGTGATTTGTCGTGGGCTCGTATCGCCGTTATATCTCGAGTCGGCGTTATGGATGCTGAGCCAAGCGCTATATCGGCGGTATGGCCCAGGACAACAAGTTTGTCTGTCATTTTATCGACGAGGGATGGAGAGGAAATTAATCAAGTTGGCAATAGCAATTTTACTGAAGCAAGTTAAATCCAGATAGTATCGCGCATTACGGAGCAATTCTTGCGTGTGACCCTGGGTAGAGCGCATGGCCTATATGTTGGAGAAGCTGCGTCTAGATGGCAAAGGGACCGACGTTATCGTGACTGGGGAACTGAACAGGGTCAGTTAGGGCTGTTGCTAAGGGCGTGCTTAAGGGCGGGTTAGGGCAAGCAAATGGCGGACAAGGCCGACGGATTCTGTCAAGGGCGAAAACCAATCAAGTTGCTTGCTTGAGGTCGGCGAAAATAAGGCATACTCCAATTTGGCTTAAGTTCTGCCCTGCCGGTGGGAGAACTCAAAACGCTTGATCAAACTTTCCAGATGAGAGACCTCCTCGCATTGGATTGGAGAATAAATAAGCAAGGATATACTGACATTTTCGCCTTGTCGCCTTTGGTGCAAATTCTACAAACAACGTGTAAGTAAGGTATGGCCAGCCAGCAGGTCACCCACGGTGTATTCACCACTTATGCAACCCTGGGAATCTGCCCTGCCTCTACGCTACTTTGTTTGCGCGCCATTCCATGAAGTGGCCCAGATGATTTCATCTGCCATACCATCGTGCAGGATAGCGGCCAAGTCAGCTGGAATCTCCCGGATAGTTTTATCTCGTAGAAGGACATGGGTCCTGAACGCAAGACATACGGTCCTCCTGTGCTTTTCAATAAAAGACTGGAATGGTTTTGCTCAAGGCCATAAAAAGTTATTCACGAGCAATAAGTGTTCTGGATTTCTGGCCCTGGGTGGCTTTCTCGTTACTCTCGCGTTCGCTCTCACAATCCACTACCGTTTAAGATAGTTCGGGAGCTTAGGAGGTAATTGAATATTCAAAAGCTCGTTATGCAACTGGCACATCCACTTGAAGACCCGGTGTCCCCGAAATATAGCTGTAAGAATACCAGTTGGTATCTGCGTCTAATGCTACGCAGTAGGAACGTTGCACTCCGCATTCATATCAATTACGGCGCCCGAGGTAGCCAGAGAGAATAGAATCTGGCCGAGCGTTCAGGTCTTGCATAAGAGTGGATAAACTAGTATAGACTGGAGATTGGAATTTCTCCAAGGACATTTTGGAGTCTAAAAGGAGCATGCAGTCAGTGAATATGCGTGGAGTCTTCCAACCTGTCATCCTGGTATAATTTACCACCTCGTTCTCTGGGGAAGCCCCATTGCCAAGGATATGGATGCCGGAAATAAATGGATGGCCGTCGGCCTACATCTCCTGTCCTTGGAGCGTAGCGAATTCAATAATGTAGCCGCGCGAGTCCAGTATCCTCTCACGATCTCCAAAGGCGGTTTTGTTATTCTGTTTTATGAGAATAGGGCATTGGCCGGAATCATAAGCCTTCGTGCAGCGAGTCAGCAAATGCTTAACACCATTGGGTCATCCACCGATTGTAGCAACAACAAGGACCTTTAGCTTGGTTAAGGGAGACATATGCATGGCCTAAGAACCCCGGGATGGGTGCGGTTTGTCGGACATTGAGAGAAGTTCCAATCCGTCATCTCATTTCCTTGACCACGAATCCAAGTCTTTCAGGATCGGAGTGTTGGATCCAGGCATATGATTATAAAAGAGTAGCTAACTCCAGGTACACAAGGGAAGCCGATCTCATGTCAATGCGCGAAGGGCAACCGCTGTGTCTCTTTTCTCTCGCTACTTAGTTCTGTATAAATAGCTAAGCAAAGCGGTTTACATGGCGAGCACGCAGGATTCCTTGCGCACTGCTGATCCGGTAGAGCAGAATAAGCTTGGGGAGATGCAGGAGCTTCACAACATCGTCCAGTGTGCGCAATCACTGACGTTCAATTCAGACAAGTACGCGCCCGTAGGACGCCCTTGGAGTGTCAAGTCAGTCCTGACAAAAGCCTAGAAGATGCTGCTGGACTGGTGAGGGTGGAACATGTGGCAAATTTCGCGAAGGTGGTGGCAGACATTTGAAGATATTGGGCATACAAAGCCTATCAGCCCCGATGGAGTGATTAATTTGCTAATGGTTGGGATTCCAGAGTCGGCTGCTTCGGAAGGCCAAGAAGTTTTTGGTGTCTGGGAGCTTTTGCGAAATGCCTAGAGAGTATTTTGTTGCTTACGAGGAATCTTTCCACGAATTTGGGAGAAAAAAAAAAAAAAAAAAAGAAAAGGAAGAAAGGAAGAAGCCTTGACGCAGGCTGTGACCAAACAACGTTATAGTTTTGGGTTTCACTTGTGTTCTGATTTTAGACCAGGTATTTGAATTGGTGCTCATCTTACCATTTGTCGCCAATTCTAGACCCTGACTTTATGAGAGCAATTCGGTAAGGGTTAGCTAAGTATTGCTCCCAGTTGCTGCACATTTATCTGGGATTAGGAAGAAAGATTTGCGTGAAGGCATGGGGGAGCTCATCTGTTTTTTGATAATAATAGCATCAACGATAGATCCATGATATCATCTCATCGTTCATTAATGATTGGGGACGTTTCACACTGGGTGTCCACCCCCACTGTAGGAAACATCAAAAGGAATGAGAGCCGACAACAGTAGAAGCATATTGTGCTATGAGATTTATACCTATAATCCTAATGCAAGCGCTCTATCTCAATACCCGATGCGCGACAAAAATAGCAAATAATGGTAATAATAATGTACGTAAGGGGGTATATAGACATTGAACCTTATCGAGTCATAATCCAGGCGAAGCCTCTTTCGACTCTGGCGGAATTACCTTCGCCAAAAACTTCTCAAGGTCTTGGATCTCGAGAGGGTCACCTGAGTGGCCCATTCCACTGTAGTCAAAAAAAAAGATAAAAAGGGTTAGCACCGGCATCGGGGCAAGGGCCGCTAAACGGTAGGAATGCATACGGGTATTCATTGAAGTCGACCTCCATGCCCATCTCCTTGAGATGCTTTGCCGAACTCTGCCCAAACTCAAACTTCACAACTGAATCCGCATTCCCGTGTGCCATGAAGACCGGTGTCTTCTCATTCGGCCAGTTTTCGGGAAGTAGTTCCTTGACCTTGTTGGAAAGAGGCAGGTAGCAGGAAAGAGCAAAAATCCCTCCAAGCTTCTCTTTGCATGTGAGGCCAGTGATCAGCGACATTGCTCCGCCCTGTGAAAAGCCGCCAAGAACGATACGGGAAGGTTTGATTCCTTTGTCCATTTCCTCTTTGATGAGGGAGTTGAAATAGTCACGAGATCGCAGGATTCCCGGCTCGTCTTGCTGTCTAAGGAATTCCTCCTCAGTGGCCTGCATTTCCGTTTTCTGCATAAGCACGGGGTGCCAACATCCAGGGAGAGACAGAGTGTGAGACAGAGCCAAGAGAGGGAGTGTTACTCACAGTGACCGAGAGCGTTGCGATGTCGTACCAAGCCGGCATGGTCATGCCGAAATTCTACCACAACATTCAATATCCACACCTAATAACATCTTTGTGAGTTCCTGTATCTAGGGTTGACATACAACTGTAATTGGGATTGAGGGCGCGTTAGGGAATATGAACGACACTTCATCGAACATGCCTCGACGGCGCCAATTCCGAGCAAGCATCATCCTAAACCCCCCATCAGTATCGAGAGAAAACATGCCATCTCGATTCTAAGCTGACAGGAAGAGCATACCACCCGGAGCCACTGCCATTGCTGTTAGCTGCATGATTGGATCACCCCGAGATGGAGGTCGTTGCAGGACAGACTTACTCGTCGCCAAGGCCATGGGCCATGATAACGGTGGCAGTGTGCTTTTTTAAAGCAGGCACTACGAACGGAGCTGTCACCATCCTGAACATGTGTAAATCGGATATCTCCTCTAGAACGTAGGGAGGAATGCGGCAGTCAAGTGATGGCTCTTCCAACAGCTTCCAATAGACCGAGAAACTGCCCTGCGCGACCGCCTCGGTAACTAGTTAGTTATCGGCATTTTTGTTGATCCGCTCCCGGGCAGATGAGTCAGCTTTCAACCTTGACTTAAGTAACTTAACTAGCTTCGATATCGCGCTGGGCGAGATGCGGCGCTGACCTCTGACCAGGAGTATCACTGTGATATATCTGAATCCCGCATGCTCCGGTTGAGCCTGGGGCTGTTAACGCTGCATTTTCACCTACTGCCCCATCTCCACCTTCCTACATCCGTCAAGGATACATGGCAATAGGACTTTTCCTGCCATTGACTGCTGTAGTATTGTTCCTTTGAGGAACGATTAACCAGCCCTGGTAGCTAAAACATTCCTCTACGATTGTGGCCATAGTTCAGCGGCATTATTGACAAGATACATATTTCAAGCACATCAGCAAAGGATGCAAATTTGGCAAAACGAAGGAACACACTTCTATGGTGAAATCAAAATTGTCGAAGATACTGATTTGCGCAACCCCTGTTGTCCATATTACCGGCAGAGCTATTGATATACTCCGTACAGTGGTTTCAGAGTTGGAAAATTTGGATTTCAGCTGCTGAATCCAATGGTGCTGAAAAGATCTATATTGTTGATCGCCCCATAATTAGACAGGGTATGTATATATGTACATACATACATACCTTCACCTGTCCAACCCAACTCCAAAGCTTTTGGATTTCCAGTTTATAAAAACAAGATAGCACTTGCTACCTACTGATTTGGATGAGCTTTTACCCATAACTCAGAAGGGACCGGCTGGCCTCTCTTATAGCAACGCAACACCCCCTACAACAATTGCGCCTAAAACTCCCCAGGTAGCTGTCTCCAAATGACCAGCTATATTCGATGTTGGTCCAGATCCAGAGTTGCCACGTTGCGGCTGTCCGTTCGGTGTGGACTCGTTTGCATTACGTGTTGCTGCTTCTCCCGAGAATGGCGTGGCCGTAACTCCGGTGCCGTTTTTGCAGCTGCTGGGAACGGTATACTCCGTTGTGGAAGAGAACGTGATATCGGCGCACTATTCCCGGCTGTCAATATATGGAATTTATGTACCTATGTAACCCCTGACAAGAAGGAATGACTCACATTATACAATCCACCATTCGGGTCTCCGTTTGTCACGACCTGCAGCGTGGCATTCATCCCATCTACCGGCTTCACACCCAGACGCTGCTCATCTAAGCTAACAGATGGCAAGCAAAAATCTCCCAGCCCAACTTGCCTAAATGTCGGCACCAAGGTGATGTTGAAGTTCGATCCCGGATGGCTGCCCAGCGCCAATAATACCTGCACGGCTGTCTGATCATGGCCCATCTCCAATGCGATGGGCATCTCGAGATCGGTTAAGGAAACGCTGGTACGGGACTTGGACATTGATTGGCCGCCGCAAGGGAACCTAGTGAGCATGTCCTCCGAAAAACCTCTGGGTGGCGGGTCAACCAGCCTGAAATGGGCTGTGGAGAGGGAAATGAGAGAACTGAACGCAAAGACTATTCCTGAGAGATGCATTGTGGTTGCTTTGAGAGACTCTCTGGTGCTCTGCAGACCGCTTCAACGAGGTGGACGATTACTTTTGGGAAGGTGAGAGTAAAAAGAGAATGCGGTTGAAAATGTATGCTAATCCCTTCGATGGTTTACTTTACTTTTGGAACGGGTTGTGGGGGAAGGCACTGAGAATCGGAGGAGATACAGCTAATTATACAGACACAACAGGCTTTCAGGTACTTTCTAGGCTAAAACCTAGCTCCGGTTACACGCTCAACCACGGCGTTTGCCATTGTTATCCCTTTCTTGCCACTTCATAATACTTAGTCGTTCCCGTAGAAAGTGTATTCGTGATCGGACACCTTCGGGTAATGGGCCTATTCCAGTACCTGGACCGGATCGTCGGCTCTTTGTAAGGCATGCAAGAACCTCAGTGCACGTCATCCAAGACGATTTCCAGTGTCTCAACTGCAGCACTGATAGTATTATTCCAGCGCAAGGTTCCCCGGAATTGATGCAAGAGCAAAGAGAGCTGCATGATTACTATGGCTGGAAAGTCAAACGACCATTGGCAGAGAATCTGCTCAATTCTGCGCGCTGAGGGTATCTCCACTCTGCTATGATGTATGGACCATCCCTAGACCTGTACAACTGTACGGAGTGCGAGAGTTCGCTTCTGCAGTGGCAGCGTTCGAATTGTGCTGTAAAAAGGCCAAAGAGCCAAACAACAGACTAAAAATAAAACAGATTATGGGAGGTAAGTTCAACTTCTTGTGAGGATATCCTTAAATAACATTGAAGATTTCCAGTCTACAGGCCCTTACAGGATCTTAACGTATTTGTCTCGGAAGGACCTACGAGGCTACTAACCATATGCGGAAGCTATAGGAACCACGGAACGTGAACTCAATAGATGTGCGTGCCCTCGCTCCTCTCATCCAAAGGATTGTGGGATGAGAAGTGAGACAAAAACTCTGCATCAGATCAAAAAAGATCCAAGCCGCTAAGCTGGAGACTAACTACATAGAGACTAGTGTCTCAACACCACCCCCTAGGCTCCAGCGAGTACTGGGAGAAGACAAATTTCTAAATACATAAATCCAACAAATCCAGGATCCAAGCTGATTCAATAACCAAATGAGTGGAATATTTCTTAGTAAATGGTAAGCGGAAGTCCAAATTGGAGGTTGAGCTCCAAATCTGTTGCTGGTGTAATGTTGTTGTGGGTTATGCCACTTCTGCCAGTGTTTGTGTCATCCTAATCAAGCAAGTGTGAATGTAGAATCCATGTTGTTGAGATTCAACATCTGTAAGAATTCTTTAAATTTTTGTTTTCCAAGTGACTTCATCAAGCCATCTGCTGGATTCTCCATTTCTGATATATGGTAGAGTTTCACCCTTTCCTCTTTGAGAAGCTTCTTCACAAAGAACCAACATGTATCCATCCACCTGGTGGCTGGTGTGTATGTTGGCTTGTGAGCTAGTGCTATAGCATTCACACTATCTGTATATATAGAAATCAGAGCTTTTGCTGGAAGATCAAGATCTTGTAAGAGCTTCTGAATCCAGAGTGCTTCCTTCACAGCAGAATCAAGAGCACAAAATTCTGCTACTGTGCTTGACAGCACAATGATCTTTTGGTGTTTTGAGCTCCATGCAATGGGAGTTCCCATATAAAATAATACATATGCTTCTGTTGAGTGTCCTTCCTTGCAGTCTTGGTGACTAGCATCCATGTAGACTTGTAATTCTGGGATTCCAGGCTTCAGGGTGCCTCTGAGAGTTAGGTCTAGCATGGGAGATTCTTTCAAATAACACAGTATTCATTTGCTATATTCTAGGTGCTCTAGTGTTAGCTTTATAGTGAATTGTTGGAGTTTGTTGACAGCCAATGTAATATCAGGGCAGCTCTTTATTGAGAGCCAATTGAGAGCTCCAAGAAGCTGTTGCAGCCAGTTCACATTGCTTTCAGCAACTACTGAACTAGGCTCAGGCTTCTGTATAAGCTGTACTCCTTCTGCCATAGAGGTGGTCTGGATTGTTGAGCCACTCATGTAGAATTTGGCAAGAACCTTTTGAACATATGATTCTTGGGAGAGGTAGATTATTCACTTCATACAATCTCATTCAATTTTGCAACCTAGGAATCTTGACAGTTCACCTAGAGATTTTATAGGGAAGTGATTGGACAGCTTGTTTTTGAAATCAGTGATGGTTTCTTTTATAGAAGCAGCAATAAGAGTGTTGTCAATGTAGATTATTAGTAGCAGGCCAGACTCTTTATCTATGAATACACATGGATCTGTATTCTTTAGTGACTTTAAACTGATCTCTATGAGAGCTTTTGTGAAGGTCTTCTGCCAAAGATGTCCTGCTTGCTTCAGTCTGTACAGAGCTTGCCAGAGTCTGCAGATGAAGTCTTTTCTTTCTGTTCCAGTTGGAAGGCTCATGTAGATCTTATAGTGCTTAAGTATGGCATGCAAGTAGGCTGTAACTATATCAACTTGTTCACAGTGCATATCTTCAACCACTATTTTTATAAATGCAAGCTTGATAGCTGATTTGGTGACTACAGATGCAGCAGTCTCATCAAAATCAAGGCCAGGGCATTGGAAATTACCACATATGATTCATCTAGCACAGAAGAAGATAATGTAGCTGTCAGCATTCACTTTCAAGTCAAAAACCCATTTGCCAGGTAGAATCTTAGCTGTAGAATCTATTGAATCTGTCTCAACTAGCTCTCAAGTATTGGCAGCTTCTAGCTTCTCAATTTGTTTTTCCATAGCACTCTTCCATTTGCTAGCATATTCACTAGTTATAGCTTCTTTGTAGTTGTGTGGAACCTTAACTTTGTAAGCTAGCAGGTCAGCTGTAAGATAGGAAGCATAATCTCCATATAGTCTTGGTGATTTGTCTTTAGTTGTATGGCTTGATATGTGTCTTGCAGGCTGAGGGTTCAGCTCCATTGAAGCCATAGGTTCTGGTTCATGTGTAGGCATGGATTCAGCACTCTGTCCCAGTTCTTCCAATGCATCTCTGAACATCTTGTTGTGGATTTGGCTCTTGATCAAGTTATTGTTGCTATCTCCATTATATGAAGGCTCTGGCATTTCTTCAATAGTCTTATAGACAGGCTCTTGAAATCTTACCATGTGTTCAGGTGCTGAAGAAGTCTTCTGAGATGACAGCATTATTATTTGAAGCTGTGGGCCATGCATTTGCTTCTGCATCCAGAAAGATATTGGAATCTCAGGGTTCTCAATCAGGTTAGCTTCTTGAGCACATGTCTCCATAGGCTCTTGTGTTGAAGCTGGTAGAAACCTAGTAGCAGCTTGCTTTGCTGCCCCTATAGCTTCCTGCTTTGGAAAGCTCAGAATCATAAAGAGTTCTGTAAATCTATTCTTTGACTTAGGATCTTCCTTTTTCAGAAGGTCTGGAATGGCATCAACATTCTTGTTGAACTTGGCATCACATGTACATATAATTTTGCCAGTCTCTGGGATCCAGATCTTATAAATATGTCCATTCTCACCTTCATATCTGACTAGACAATCAAGTTGAGCCCTGGGTTTCATTTTATATGCTTTATTGTAGTTCACTCTATCCTCTGATGAAATATGTGTGTAGATTATACATCTGTAAGCTTGTAGGTGCTGTAGATTTGGCTTCTTTTTCCAAAAGAGCTCATATGGCAATTCTCCACCTTCAGCTGGAGGGATCCTATTTGTAATGTAGCAAGTGGTTTGCAAGGCCAGATCCCAGACTTCTTGTGGAAGCTTCACTTCTAAAATCATGACACAACTTATTTCTACTAAATAGCTGCCAATTCATTCTGCTATGCCATTTTGCTCAGGCATGTATGGAGCAGTCACTTCACATTCAATTCTACAGGCTGGGGTGAATTCCTTCTTAAATAGTGAAAATTCAGTGCCTTCATCCATTCATACAGTATTCATATAGAAACCTAGTAGATTTCTGAGCCTCTTGACATGCTCCTGAAGGCTACATGAAGCTTCAGCTTTATTCTTGAGTAGTATAACCCATTTAAAATGCATGCAGTCATCCACAATTATTAGAGCATATTTGAAGGCTTGAAAACTCATTAACTTTATGGTTTGAAGGTCAATGTGGATCTTCTGCCCAGGAACTGTAGACCAGATCTGTGGTGTTCAGGATATCTGCCATTTTGATCTTTCTAGTGCACATGCTTCACAATAGAAAGTATCTTGGCCTTCTATTTTGATTTCCTGGTCTTTTGCTGCTTTTCATGTGGTAGGGAATGCACAGTGTCCCAGCCATCTATAAAGAAGCTCCAGCATGAGCTTTATAGTAGCATACATCTGTTGAATGGCTTTCTCTTGCTGATGAAGTGGCTCTGTCTCAAGAATTGTAACACCATCACTTTTCTTAGTATATCCCACTAGTTTGTGGTCTCTTCATGTTCACAGCATGTGGTCTACTTCCATAAAGTAGAGATTCAACTTTTCAGTCAACTGGTTCATGGAAAGCAAATTCATGCCTAACTTCAGGTTATACCATGCACATATATGGATCTTGTTGACAATGCCATTCTGGACAATGCATCTAATGCATACTATGCCACTACTCTTTATGGAAATGATTTCTCCATTTGAAGCTCTGTACCAATGGTCCATAGTAGAATCAAAGCTAGTAAAGTAGGCTTTATTGCAACAAATCAAGTGGCTGCAGCATGTGTCAACAAGCCAGGTTTCCAGACCAACAGCTCTTTCAGATACAGATGCCACCAAGCCAGATCCAAATGCCATGCCAGCAAAGCTATTTTCAAATCCCATTATGAGATGATTTTCTCCTGTATTATTCTTAGCATCTTCACTGGAATTTGGTTGCTGAGATTTGAATTGGCTCTGGTTTTTCTGTTCAGGATTTGTGTGCCATCTTTCTTTGAGCCTTGATCTCATCCATAAATGTGGCTTTGGCTTCCATCCTTGATATCTCTTGTCAGTAAAAAGGTGAGGGCATTGTCATATGGCATGACCTGGAGTCTCACAATATCCACAGTTGTCACCTATTTTGCTAGGTATTTTTTCACATAAGAATTTGACATGGTCATCCCACAAGACTTTCTTCTGTGGAGCATATTTCCATACAATTTGCTTGTTGGGGGCAGTCTCTTTGGATTTGGTTTGTCCAGCTATATATATTCTACTTGGAGCTTTCACATATTTCTTTGCCTTCTGCACAAGATTTCTCATATCCTCATATGTTATATCACTTGGGTTTGTATTTCAAACTATTGATAGCACACTATCCACATAGTTCTCATTAATTACTTGTACACCCTCAATTATCTTGTTAATTGCTAGAGAAGGATGTAATGGATGAGGAGCTCACAATGCCCCCTGATATCATTCAAGCAGTATGTTGAGGTATTGTGTAACTGATCCATAGTCATGTTAATGTGTGTAGAAATAATTCTCCACTGCATGAATGCATGTATTTTTATCAGGCTTTAGGAAGAGCTGCTTTGTGTAGAATATCATGAGAGCAGGGTCATTAATGTCACCTCCATAGTGCTTGCTGATCCAATCTCAAGCATCATCTTCCATGCTTAAGCTGAGTCATGTAGCAAAGAATGTCATGGCACTTCACCATTTGATTCATATATCTTCAGAAGCCTCTGTAGGCTCTGGCACCACTGCATCATATAGAATTCCCCAGCCATAGTGGTTTAGCTGCAATCTGACAATGTTTAACCAAGTATTCACATTTTTCTCACCTTGTAGCATGGGGATTGACCAAATTGTTGTTCCAGTGATATCTGTAACCATTTTATCTGCTATATTGAAATTTCTTTCAATTCAGGGAGTTGTTTCTCTGAACTGGTGGCCTGCAATGCCATCTCATAGAAAGCCAACCTGCTGTGTGATGCCCACTGGCTGTGAATGTGCACCCATGTTGGTGCTAGCATCCTCCATATGTCCCACTGGACTCATATTTCTAGAGGTTGGATTGGGGGTTGGAGCTAAGGAGCTCTCCAGGTCAATGTCCATCATTCCATCAAGAGTTTTTCCTCTTTTGGCAACTTCAAAGGCTTCAAAGATTCCTAAAGAAGGGCTCAGAACCTCTCAGAAGGACCTACAAGGCTACTAACCATATGTGAAAGCTATAGGAACCACAGAACATGAACTCAATAGATGTGCGTGCCCTTGCTCCTCTCATCCAAAGGATTGTGGGATGAGAAGCGAGACAAAAACTCTGCATCAGATCAAAGAAGATCCAAGCCGCTAAGCTGGAGACTAACTACATAGAGACTAGTGTCTCGACAATTTGTTTAGTGTATTCAATTGCCGGACAAATTGAACCGAAGCTGCACGGAGAACCCAACAGGACCAATAAGACGTCTGAACAGGAAATTTACCTATGTCCGGTAAGCTTAATTTAGTCAAATCTTAATATTGGATAACCGTATTGTGGTAACGGTATGTAAATTATCCCCAACTCAAACACTCCAAGGCGGGCATTGTCAGCCATCGCGAAGGAAGAAAGGCGCGCATCAACAAATCCGATGAAATAATGGTAGTAAATACGCCGCGTTGGGTTAACTATCCATCCGACCTTCGAAAGAGAGACCCTTAAAAAAACATAACCAGAGAACTCCAAGCATATCCCCCGTATCCCTTTTGGAATCATAAGATCATTCAAGAAAATTAATGCTCGTCCGACCGATGAGCATACCGCCCAACAGCAAGATCTCCCAGGAACACACCTCCAAGCACGGAAAGGAAGTATCCCACATTCATAGTCATGACAGCCAGCATGCTTCAGTTCCTGGTCAGCAACTACTTCCCAAGATTTCTACACGGAATCTCGAAACTCACAGCAAGTAACCAACACCGACCATGACCGTCACGAAAGCTGCTCGAGGTAGGTCCACACTGAACCGCCATGGCATCACCGGCGCACCTGACGTTCGTCTCACAACCCTCACTTTCTCCTCCACTCCTCTCTCAGTCAACAAAGTCGCATTTTTCGCTCCTGGGTCATTATACGCCCGTTCGGATTCGGGGGTTTGACCTGCGACCACGACAAATCGCCTTTCAAGTGCCTGGTTCAGCCACCGCTCGTCGAGCATGGCCTTAACAGCGATCAGGCCGCGCCCGAGCATTGCCAACACAATCAGAAAGATACAAGTTGCGGCATACGTGCCGCCCGTTGCTGGCGTCCACGCCTCGGTGTATAGCGGTGTTTGAATGAAATTCTGGAAGACCATGGCCATGATTGACGAGTCCGGGCCACCGCCATGAGAGTGCCCGGCAACGCCGTGACGAGCGCTAAGACCGTGAGACATTGTTTTTCAAGGTGTCTGAAGATCAAAGGCCCGGTGGTCTCTGGTTCCTTGTGTTACCCGAGTAAAAGTTGGGAAATAGAGACGATATAAAAAAATAATAAAATAAAATAAAAAAAGGTAGTTTCTCGAGGTGGTGAAGCTGGAGGTCAAGCAAAAATATATCTGCTTCCCAGTCCACGTAGTCCAGACAGCTCTTGTGGCAGCCAAGGTTAATGCACGTCTCACGCCCGTTGGAAAATGACGAAGGACATGTGGGATGAGAAGATCGCTCAATGCAGCTTTCTGCAAATCAACAAAGATCCGTCGATGTCTCTAGATATTGTCTGATGGGGACAGTGCTTGGGTTGACAATGTGTGCCAGTCGGGCGCATGTGCGACTCTTGACTCTCTCCTGTCTATGATATAAACGTCGCAAGGCGGATAGACTGGTCATAATTATATACTCACCAGGCGAAATCGATCCGATACCAAAGTAGCGATGAGCAGATTATCTCCAACAACCGCGCGCCCAGAGGCACCTTGGTAGCCCCATTGGCCGTGCCTTGCTTTAAGGTTATCGCGTAGAACCGGGCCTTGGATTGCACCCCCACGTGGATTTAATTCGACAAACTTATTTTCATCGGTGCTGCGGATGATGATGATGATGGTGGCAGGCTGCACTATCCCGCCATACAAAGGGGGGGTTTTCAATTCCCACTCGAAGAGTAGCCACGCAGAAGGCTGAAGAGATAGCAGGTGGCTACGATTTGCTTTCCGTTCCCCTTTGTCCAGACGACCAGAATGGCCCGGCCATGGCGATACGCGCCCGTTCAACAGAGCCACAATGCCCAGAACATTATGCTCTCCTCAAGTAACTAACTTAACTAAACTCCAGAGTTAAGTTAGCGAGCGGTTATCATGACTCGAACTCAACTGGACCCGAGCTCTGTTAGTAATATTCTGCTCATGGTTGCTCAATATCCCCACAGCACGACATTCGCAAGGCAAGACGGGTACACCGCTATATGGACAGCCAGAACCATGAAGAACGCAAAGCCAGCCAACTTAACTCCCTTGGCCTTGTCCTGTTTCCTCTTATATCTCTGGCCCCGTTGCACGATTGGTATGACAGGTCTCGGCCACTCACTTTGAGGCGAGGATATACAGTACTATAGTATGACGCAGACCGGAGGATATTCTCCAGGAGCAAGTTCACTAAAGGAAAGCTGCTTGGTCGATTTTGCTGCCAACGTTGTTTGCGGTCGTCAAGCCAGAGTGTAGCCAGAAATATGGAACGGCGACATGCCCATGGAGCTCACACGCCTTCCTCCCCTGATGGCGTCCCCAGCCATTTTGATCTGCAACGCATGTACTGGGCAGTGTTGGGAGCCTTTATCGGTGCTGCAACACTCGCCAACATCATGAATATGATCATAGCGGCCCAAAGGTTCGTCGACCGCCAGGAAATGTCCACTTTACTGGGCTGACCCCGAACGTTAGATTCTCGGACCGCACTTCTAGCCCTGCAAAGCCGAAATCGTTTCTCTTCAGGGCGTATGCCACGGCAACAGCACTGATCAGAGAAGCTTCCCAAGCCGGACTAGCTCCCTTGAGGGCTTGGGGAATCACAGTCCATATGCCAACGCTAGGTCGTTTGAGCATGGTCCTGGCAAACTTGGCTGTATTAATGGTCCTCTGTTTCTACAAGCTTAATACTATGGATGAATGGAGCTGGGAAACTATCGGCTATCGAACTGGATTTATGGCCATTGCGCAGCTGCCCCTGATAATTCTCCTAGCAGGTAAAACCAATATCATTGGGTTCCTCACAGGGTCTGGCTACGAACGGCTGAATTGGTTGCACCGATGGATAGCAAGGACTTTATGGCTCACCGCTACGGTTCACATGGCCTTCTGGTTTCGAAGCTGGGGGAGATATAATTATATCATAGTCAAGCTATCGACAGACACGTTGACTCAGAGAGGATTCGCAGCATGGTGCATTTTAACTTACATCGTTATCGTTTCCGCGGGCCCCGTTCGGCGGTTGAGCTACGAGTTCTTCGTCTTGTCTCATATCGTGACATTTTCGGGGTTTATTGCGGCCGTATGGCTTCATTCCCCAGACGAGGTCAAGGCCTGGTCCTGGGTACCTATTGGGCTGCTGGTTTTTGACCGGGCGGTAAGATATGTCGCCATGGCCTTTACCAATGTACGTCTCTCATCCTCTAGTCGGGGAGCGGCGTCCACGGGACAGAGATCGAAATGGGCGAATTGGGCAACATTCACACCATTGCCCGGGAATGTCACGAGGATAACAATTCATGACGCCGCAGTTTCGTGGAAGCCTGGTCAACATGTGCTCCTTTCCTGTCATTCTATCCTGCCATTCCAGAGTCACCCATTTACCATTGCCTCCATCCCATCCGACCGCAAATTAGAACTTCTGGTTCGAGCGGAAAGAGGAGGAACAAAGAAGCTATTCGACTACGCCTTGAAGCATAGTAAGTTCTTAGGGCGGAGAAACGATCAGCCTATTCCGCAAAAACCCAAGGCTGTGGTGATTGAGGGTCCTTATGGCCGGATAAGGCCCCTGCGACAATTTGACAGCGTCGTTTTGATTGCTAGTGGCATGGGTGCCACATTTACCATGCCGCTGATGCGCGATATCGTTGAAGGTTGGAAAACCCAGTATCTTGATCCTCAATTTGCCCAGTCTAAAGATCCGCTCCACTCGAACTTTGCTTTGACCAAACGCATTCGGTTTATCTGGATAGTCCGGGCACGGGCTCATTTGGCCTGGTTTATCGACGAGCTGCATAAATTGAAACGAGACCTCGATGACTGCGCTGCCACGAGCAGTTCATTCAATGAAACGAGAAGTCTCGAGGTAACCATATATGTGACTTGCGACGAACAATTATCTTCGGGGGGACCAACTTCTTTTCTTCCGTTGGAGTGGGCTTCAGCCTCTCAGTCATCCTTTGTCTCGCAGGATTCGGTGATGCTTGAGAAAGAAAGGGTACTCCCAGCGGAAACACCGCTCCCACCGGAAACCATCACCGCTCCCAGCAAAGCTACGTCTTGCCTTCGTCAAAGTGGCTGTTGCTGCACCAGAAAAGTCACAGACGAGACTATTTCCATGCCTCCGTGCATGTGCTCTGGGGCAGCTTCAGCCCATCCCAGTCTGCTACCCGTCACTGCGTTAGAGGAGGCGAAAGAAAGCACCGCAGAAAACCGCTGTCCTACTTCTCCACAGAGTCCTCAAAGCCTACTTGGCCCATGCATCACGATTCGCTCTGGACGTCCAGACACACGCACAATTATACGTTCCATTCTCGAACAAGCCGAAGGAGAAAGCGGCGTCGTCGCGTGCGGGCCAAAGGGATTGAACGCTGATGTCAGACGCAGTGTGGTGTCCCTGAGTGATGAGCGGGCGGTGCATAAGGGCACTGGGGCCCAGGGGATATACTTACATGTTGAGGAGTATGGGTTTTGATTTATGTGCATCGATGGATCCTAAGGTGGATTGTCATTGTTATCGTTATTATTATTATTATAGGTTTTTCGTCGAGTTTTGCGACTTTATTTAGGGATATGGAGTCTGGGTAAGGAGTAGAAGGTAACAAGATAGTGATATCCTAGATGTTAGCCAATAAGTAACTATCGTTCGAGAAAGATAGCCAGAGGACCACTCTCTACTCCGTATTTCGCCTCTATAACAATGCTTTCACTCGTGCTTTCGATTTTTCGGCCACCGGCTCGACATATGCGTTGCATCGTTGGTTAGTCGCTAGCTGTGTCTCAGCGGCCTGAACGGCTGGATCTCGCCGTGACGTTTTGTTCCGCCAATTGACTTCATGGCTTGAACTCGATCACCAATTCCACAAACTCCTCAACAGAGCACTCCGTACAGAATACCAGATCGAAAAAGCTGTTGCTCGAATAAGCATGGCGTTTAGTCTCGCGACGCCAGGCCGCGCTAACTGGCTACGGGGCGTTTCCGGTGAAATGGAAAGTTTGAGTCGCGTCCATCACACGTCATCGTCTCAACAAACCATTTGAGCTTTTCGAGAATCCCGACATCACAAAGGTATTGTCAGTCAGAGACCGGAATATCAGAGAGGGGAAATGTCACAGGAGCGCAAAGACGACCGTCCGGCCGCATCATCCGAGCAAGACAAACATCATGAGCCAGGCACTCCGGTAGCTCCCTCGGGATTCCAGGGGTTACTGTCGCTCGCCACTCCGCTGACACGCTTTGTCTTATATCCTATGGACCAGCTCAAGCTGGTGGGATCAAACCTGCGACAGATGGTGAGCAAGAAATTTGACCCTGAGAAAGATATCATTGATCAAGACGGCAAGGTCATTTTAATCACTGGAGGTAAGCAGATCCTCGGGAAGGTTAACGAATGCTTATTTACTATTATCCCAAGAGGACTTGAGATGTTAACCCATATTCTTAGGAAACGCCGGACTTGGGAAAGAAACAGTCCTCCAGCTCGCCAAACACAATCCATTGCGCATCTACCTCGCCGCGCGCAATAGCTCTAAGGCCCAAGCCGCAATCGATGACATCCAAAAGCAACTCCCACAGCATGCCGATATCCGCCATCTGCCTCTCGACCTCTCGTCCTTCACTTCGATCCGTGCTGCAGCACGCGAGTTCACCTCCAGTAACGAACGTCTCGACACCCTCATCCTCAATGCCGGCGTAATGGATCCATTGCCCAACCGTACCGAAGACGGTTTCGAGGTCGATTTCGGCACAAACCACCTCGGTCACTTCCTCTTCACCAAGCTCCTCCTGCCCACCCTCACCAAAACCGCCCAAGAAACCAAGTCCGCCGGCAAACCAGCTGACGTGCGCATCATCGTCGTCGCATCAATGGCCTGGCAGATGTCCCCGCCACTATCCACCATGCTCTCGACGGATTCCCTCCTCGCACTCAACCCACCCACTCGTTACGGCGCCTCCAAGGCTGCAAACATCGCCTTTGCATCCGAACTGGCCCGTCGCTATCCCGAATTATCCTGCGTCTCTCTGCATCCGGGTGTGATCATCACCGGTCTGTATGATTCGCTAATGGCTACGAACCCGGTAGCCCGGGTGGGTTTGAGAATAGCTAAATCTATTACCGTGGACGAGAAGCAGGGCAGTCTTAACCACCTTTGGACGGCAGGCTCGGAGAGAGGAGCTCTCAGGAGCGGGGAGTATTATACACCCGTTGGTGTGGGAGGGTGGAAGAATAAGTGGGCAGAGGATAGAGAGTTGGGACGAACGCTGTGGGAATGGTCCGAGGAGGCCATTCGAGACCAAAAGAAATAAAAAGCTAAAAAGAGGCAAAGAGTTGGGTTATATAGGCTTAGAATACGTTGGCTTTGTACGGTTCTTGTTTGATATGGAGTAAACCGTTTAATTTATCTGGTGCTTGGGCGGTATTTGGCGAGATTTGCTAACCTCTTTCACAAATCTTTCCTTTTTTTTTTTTGGCCACAATTTTGGCGGCCGCGGCAGCATGTTTTGGAAGGGATCTGAGAAATGACAGCTTAGGGCGATCGATAAGGTTCGTTTAGTCGATAGAATCAAGAAAGGTCCCATACTGGTACGAGAAGATACCGTACATATTCCACACAAACCGTAGACGTACCCGTCAGCATCCTTTAACATAGTCCGAGACACCAGACATCACAAAAGGGAGCAAGAGGTGGTTGAAAAAGCGGTCAGCTTCTTTTAAAAGGATACCATCATTTCTTTCCCACATATTCATCCTTGTAAATAATATCGACGGGGCATCAAGACACGCAAAAGGCTAAATCACATAGTTTTTTCCTTAGTTTATTTGTTTTCTTTTGCTGCCCTATTACTCCACCTTGGACTCGAATGTCTCTCCAACCAGATCAGGAATATCCTCATCGTCCTCTTCGCCCTCCTTCTTAGCCTCACCTTCCTTCTTCTGCATGTTCTGGTAGCTTTCAGCGAGTTTGCGGAGGGAAGCAAGGGAGTCGGGGCCGAGTTGGTTGAGGATTCCGGGTACGAGTTCAGTGAGTTCTTTCTCTTCGCCGTTGCCGTAGATGGCGAAGGTGTTGCTTGGGACGGAGGCTTGGACTGTTGGGGGGGAGAGTATATCAGCGCCGCGGACCGAGTTGGCTATCCATAAGACCGCAATGCAGATAACATACCCTTAGGAGCAGCAAAGTGGATCACGTTGCCATCCTCCTTGAACATGTTCACCTCCTCAATAGCTTGGATTGGCTGGACATTGAGCTTCTTAAGAGAGGTTTGCAGCTTCTTGTCATCGGTTCCGGACGACTTGTGGACCTTCTTTGTCTTGCGGCGGGGAGTACCCTTTCCTCTATCATTGGGAAATGTATTAGCATATCGACTCAACGGACGTATACTATCCATCGAATTTTGTGGTCATATAATCGAAACGGTCAAAGCGTGGCTTCTCAATGGTCCGCAAATCCGAGGGGAAGGAATTGTTATACATACCCTATAGTAATCAACGTCAGTTATCAATTCAGCAGTAGTAAGAAAAGTTCCCATTGCCAGCCCTCCGTCATTGGAGAACAACTCATTCAATCAGTGTTCCACTGTTGAGGAACGACATGATACACTCCATCCACTATCCAACAACCCGCAACACGCAACACGCAAACCGTAAAAGAAAAAAAAAAGAGAAAAAAAGAAAAAAGGCCACGTACCAATCCGCACGCTCTGCTGCAGTCTAGCCAATTTCGCCTGATCCATGATTATGTATTTTTAAAAACAACGTTCAAGCAACCCAAACGGTCCTCGAACGAATTTCTCGCTTCAAAATCCCAATTAACCAGAAGCCGAGGCGTAAGCGGATACAAAAGTAAAAACCGGCGAACTATGCCTTCCGCAGAAATCGTCTATTCGTAAGTTCGAGAAAAGAAGCAGACAATTAGCCCATGCACATCGACAATTGAAACAAACCGTGACTTATTTGTGGGGTGGTTGTGGGAAAAGCAAGTGGAAACGCAAAATGCCGGGCGCGGCGAATGGCAGCTTCTCGGACACGCCGTAGCAGTATCAACGCCCACAGCAAATAGAAACCCACATACCGGTTGATTGGAGGAATTCGAGATATCCTTGACAGCTGTCTGGTGCTTCAAGTGACGGGCGTTGAGGTTGGGCGTCGGATTTCCCTTGCTCGCCTTTTGCGATGTGGAACGCCCGTTTCGGGTTAGCGCGAACCGCTGGGTTAGGTCAGCAGCTCACCCGCCGGCCCCAGCCACTCCGCAAGCCCTAACTTCCAAATCCGGTAGGCCGCTCGACTCACCAGCCGTAAGTTGACCTGCTGAGAAGCTACACTGCTTGATATCGTACAAGATGAATAGAGTTGCGGGTGCTGTGCATGCATGTACAGATAAAGCTTGCTGGCTGATAGATCCCATTGCTCACATATCTATGAAATCGTAGGTTCCCCCAGTTACAGCGATGCCATGCCACTACATAAAAACGCCGCCGCTGAATATATCCAGAAGCCATAAAAGTACATGAAATAAAACCAGTATCAAACCAATTCTCTTCCTGTGAGGCATCGAGTCCCAGCGTCACTCAAAACTCTATCTTCACCCGAGAAAAAACAAAAAAAGAAAAGGTTTTCTCCAAGTCCGTTCTCCCGAGCCGCAAGGCTACACAGGGTTAGGACTGTCAAGGAAATTTGCCCATCCTCATAGCTGAACAGCCCGGATAGAAGGTCGCGGACCACAAGTCCAGCCGCCCGTAAAACAGTGGACAAAGGCACAACAGGCGATAAGAGTCACTGCTGTCCCATTGGGCTGAAATACGCTCCCGCGTGACTTAACCATTCGAGGTGTCATATATACTGATTCATAGGTTATTCAATAACCGCTCAGAATCTTCGCAGAGCAACGAAACAGTATATAGCCGAATTTAATATCCATGGCGAACACAACATCGTTCTAACGGTACTGTACGTTGAGTGGGGAACGGGGAACCGAACGCACGGGACGAAGTGTGTATTGATCGGGCCGTATTTGTAGCTTGCGGAGGTAAATATCGGTGATTCAGTAGGGCTAAGAGTCCTCTTTTAATCCACATAGGTCTGTTCCAAGCACCACATCAACCATGTACCAAAATCGCCAGTATAAATTCGACTTCTCATGATCGAAACTACCATCTTCTTTCAAAACGGGTCCATCCCCAACAATGTCGCCACTGAACCAACTAAGGATAGGGATGGACCGAATGATGCGCTCACCCACAGAAGGCTGTGGAGGTAGCGCTTCAGATACCGGTCGAAGCACCGCCCGACGAACAGTTGGGATGTGGGTCATAAATTCAGATTGAGACTTCTGCGGGGCTCGCTGACGGACGGCGTCATTCTCAGATGCTATGGCGGTGGCAGTTGCCGAGCTAGCAGTAGTTGTGGACAGTTGAGAGGTCGTGTCGCCAAAAGGCTGGCTATCACGTCGGAAAGAAACAGATTCGAAGGAACGAGGGAAAACGGTACTATCGATATCTCCCCCTTGGAGCAAATTATTTGTTGCCGAAGGCGGTAAGGTATATGGCTTTGGTAAACTTTCTTGCCTTGGTTCAAGATCTCCTTTTGCAAGAGCAACATCATCATTGGGTCCGTGGCCATGATAAAGCTCGCAATGGACGGTATATCCATCAATTTCTTGAGGTGAAAAGAAGCAAGCCCGGTCAGCGGAGGTGAAAGAGTCGAAAGTGACTTTGATCCAGTGTTCACCCCCAGCATATCTCTTTGCCTTTTTATTGGCCTCCGCAGAGAGGTTCCTATGTATTACGTCTCCAGCACTCAGTAACTGCGGGTATTTTGGAGCGATATCCGGATCGGTACGGGGATAATCTTCGCAGATAAACCCTTGTGAGATGCGCTCAAACCGATCAATAACCTTCCACTCCCATGTCCTATCCTTGTATCCATAGAGGATACATTCAGTGGCAACAGGAGCGGCGGTTTTGCGAGAGGGATCGATTGTGGTTGAGGAGGCAGTGGAGGGTAACATCTTTCTCTGGGCTTGTTCTTCTTCTTGCTGGAGAGCGAACAACCTGCCGAATTCTGCAACATTCTGGTTTTCACGCTTGGCCGGAGTACCAGTCCGAGTGCCGGAACGGGTAGAGCTGTATCGGGCATTCCGCCTCTTTCCAAACGATCCAGTCTCCTCGGGGGGTCTCCTCGGGTTTCGGGACTCGCTGTAATGAAAATGCGCCTCCGTAAGCTTATGGACTACAGGTAGCAGATTCAACACGTAAAGGAAAGTGAATGGCAGCCAGTAACTTTCACAGCTAAAAGAACCAAAAATACAGCGGGAAATCTAGGGAGTAAGGAAAGCAGGTAGTCAGGAATGATGTTCACTCACTCTTTATATACATAGCCAAAAGGCAGGAGATTTCCTTTCGGTCCTCTTGCGCGTTCCTCAGGAGGCACCGAATGATATTCCATCTTTTGAACAAAGGATCAGAGCTATGTGTGGTTTAAAATAGACGCTTCGGAATAGTTAGCAAGAGCGTCCGGGAGCTGAGAGGACATCCAACACTTCTCAGTCGAGATTGGTATTGAGCTTCGCTGAGAGGCACAATTTTGTTTACACCAAATGACGTTTGAGAGGATTACTAAGCAAATTAATCACGTGATTGTCAATAATGAAGATATTTCGAGCCAGCGGCTAGGGACTGAACATGCGAACGCATCATTCCCAAATCTTTGTCTAAAGCATGTAAAATAAAATGTCTATTTATTTATGCTCTGGAGGTATCTAATTCATGGAGGGGAAAAAAAAAAATACTAAGCGCCAATTGCTGAAAGAGCAACATAGCACATTGAGTATGGAATTTCAGTGCGCAACAATTCCAATCCAGCGCCGGGGTTTAGGGGGCCCTGCCTGTTATTGTGGTCTCAGGAACGTGATTCTCCCCTTCTCACTACCATCGAGCCCACAGACAGTCTCAAAGTTACCCACCTCTTCGCCGCGTACGCGAGTCCTCTCCGCAAAATTGGATAAGGGGCAGCTTCCACCAGGGCCAGAATTACAATCGGGTAAGGTGACAATGCCATCGTTTATATTGATTCGAATGAAGCGTGATGCTCTATCATCTTCTGGGCTATCTCTCGGGTCGCTTAGATTTTTCATTTCTCCGGGTTCGCAGTTTAAACGCTCGAATATGATCCTGCCACCCATGGGCATGACTTGCGAAGTCCGCCAGTTTCGGTTGCCCGCGATGTGAGTGGTTGTTAGGTCCCTAGTGTCGTCAAATATTTTGAGTGCGGAGAGCATGGGTGCAATATCGCCATCGTGGACGCTATCAATGTTAATTATAATGTTATTCGACACATGGGAACGGCGAATGGGAAGCAGCCAGCTCACAAGCTAAAGAACATATCTCCTTGATTCGAAGGGTGTAAAAGTAATTCGGTTGTCCTATTTAACCACAGCCACCCCATCGTCGCTCCATATGGGTTCCCTGGACCGGCGCGGTAATAATGTAATAAATCTCTGGCATACTCAAAATGTTCCCAGTCGTTCAAAGTGAAAACATCGCACCAAGGGCTTGAACCTCGTGTCAAAATCTCAAAACCACACATTTCCTGCATACTGTATATTTCCGAGTTAGTAAACTTGATATTTGGGTTCTCTCTTATCAACCTTTTCGAGATAAGCGGTATGTAAGCCTCTTGAAACTCTGCCAGCATTTTAAGTCCTTTGTCATGTCCATGATCGGGATCGTCAAGGTACTTAATACATGTGTCGCCAGGAGTCAGGGTATCAGCGGCACGATCAGCCGTCTCGGGAATAACCTCGAGAGTAGCAATGTGTTTTGTCTCCCAGTTCGAGCCAAAGAACCCGGTCGCAAAGTATCGCGCTGAGTCGATAACTCGTTTGCAGTCACTGGCCCAGAATCGGGTATGGTTTCTGAGAGAAAGGAGATGGGAGTAACGAGTTCGCAGTCTCACTCCAGTAGTGAAGGCTTGCAAAGTTCCCGCGTAAGGCCCGTGGCTAATAAGCTGATCAAAGTCGCCATGAGAATCCTGAGTAATATATGTCCAATTGTTCAGGAATGCAAGGGTTCCATTCATCAGGCCTGCAGCTTTGATCCGAGAGAGAAGATCCAGATGACCTTTCATGAGGTAAGAATATGGACCACAATTTGGAAAAATAGACCATTTTCTTCAGCGGATAAATGAAAAATCACATACGTCCCCCAGCACTGGATGTGGGATACCTCTCTGCATGTCTTGACATCTAAATACACGCGCACTGGTTTCAGTAAAGAAACAGCTAAATTATAGATAAGAGTGGGAGACGAAACTTGGAAGTGGGCAGCAATATCGAACCGCCGATTCCAATAATCAGGCCGAGAGCTGGAACTGGCCAGCCCAAATACTTGCAGCAGAAGAAACAATGGCCCGTGATGGGAAGTAAAACACGGGAGTAGCTCAAGGAATGATTACCATGTGCACGCCGTCCACAACACACCCCTGAGGTGGACCAATTCCAGAGGCTCCGACCTCAAGAATGCCGTCAATCTTCTCAATCCATGGGCCATTTCCCCCAAGATGGTAAAGTAAATTCCAGCCGCTGGGCCGACTTTGGATTCCCCGCTTCCCAGCAGATTGCTGGTGCCACCAGCTATTCCAGCTAGGAAAATAAGGTGTGGAGGAAAAGCGGTTAGACCCGGTGGTGGATTGTACAGAACATAGCGAACTGTACAGTTGACGAACAAATATAGTAGGAGAGAATACAAGGGCCAACAAAAGGACCAGGATTGCGGGAAAAAGAAAAAGGGCCTGAAATGCTGGCATTGTTGTCGTTATCAGCATGATGACAATCCGACTTCATGTCGCGTCTGCAGAACAAGAGGCCCTTGGCCTTGGCGCGCCATTAACATCACGTGCTTATTAGTCATCGGTAGTTATTTTAGCACGTGATTCCGGGGCTTGGCGTGCCAATGCCAACAGAGAACTAGAGCCTTCTTCTAGGGTCGACACGATGAAATCAACCTGCGCCAGTAAGCAGAAGATAGGAAATATCATCAAGCTGGCACGCTATTCAACCAATCACCTAGTTTCAAGGGGACAATACAGCCCAACTCTGCAGTTCCTTACTTCCTCCATATGACAAATTATACAACCAATATATTCTCCGGCGGCGCTGAGATGGGGGGTAACGGCAATTTGCCAGTGGATCATAGATTGTGGGTCAATGATGTGACTTGGTGAGAGGAGCAAGGCTCTTTTTGCTGGCAGACTGAAGATAATGAAACCCTGTCATCTGGTGAACTACCTTGTAAGCGTGTTTGGCATCCGTGGCTTCAAAGGACATTTGAAAGTTGCTGAAGACTCTATGGGCCTCAGGTGTTAAGATAAGAGCATTGCTTGGACAGTCAATATCTAACTAGTCCTTCAATCAGGTGACTAATGCCTAAGTCGAACATGTTGAGGATTGCAAGAACAGTTTTTTAGACTCGCTCTAAGAGTAAAAGTTGGAATTAGAACTAGGAAAGCGTCTCTGGGCATACCTCTTTATAAATGTTGCATATTCGTACCAACTGCAGCTCACCATCAACAGTGACGATTGCTAACATTACTGAATGGGGTATATGCGTGACTTCAAGCTGCGAAAGCTGTCTGGAGGCAAAATCAATGGCTGGTCGTCATTACCTTTGGATTGGAAGGATCTTGTTTGAATCTCTCTGAAACTTCAGTCCAATCAAATACCCGCCTAACCACATACAGGTTGTGATCGCGAACCAGGCAATTATGGTGGAGAACTGGTTGCCGAGTGGGGTATTCCAGCCACATTTTCAACCAGAGGAGTTGATAAGCCAGCTGGAGTTGGCTGTGATGTCCTTCATCTCTGATATCTTCACTGTAAATTATGTTAGCAAGCAGTGTGTGTAGATGCGTGTTAGTACATGTAGTTAAGAAAATATTCAAAAGTTATTCTGCGAAGGAATTTATGACTTCTTCTGCCGTTGTCTTTCGATGGACTGGGGTGACAAAATGCTAGGGAATCGAGATAGACCTCGTGCAAAATTTTGGCGGCTGGCATTGGGTGTTCAGGCGATTATTTAGTTGTTACTTGGCTAACTATGTACCTGCAAGGTATGTACAGTACATATACACCAGCGCAGAATGTATGTATGGACGAGCTGCCTGTGTTCATGCTATTCCTAGAACGAAGACGGACTGAGAATTGGGAGGACCTTCAGAAATACTGGCTGCATTCCAGGGAAATATATAATATTCGCCCAGCATCTCATGTTGGTGTCGATGAAGCTCGTAGCCCTACGACTCCAGTATCTATACATGATAATGACCGACCAGTGATGCTGGGAAGATATCTTAACATGATCACAACATATAATCTTTCACAATTCCATCCCCTGTGGGAGGTGCCCGAGGACTCAGGCATGGTGACGGAGAGAGATCAAGTGAAGGTACCCATATACATATAATTAATGTATGTATTGTGAGATCTCATACTTGACTCTGAGACAAGTGTAGCATTGCTGCTCCAATCGGTGAAACCGTAAATGGTCCATTATTTTCGAGAATATGAAGTTCTCTAGCAGCCACACCTTGTCTGCTGTTCAAGCCCTTCCGGGAAATAAAAGGGTATGTTGTTCGTAAGTCAGGATGCGTCGACTCCTTCGCTAGTCCGCAAGATAACCTAATAGGCCAAAGGAGAAGAATCCAATAATGTTTATACCAAATTCATAAACATTGAAGAAGAAAGAAAGGTGGTTACATTGAGGCCTGGGAATAAGAAGATGGCCGTAGACATACGTAAAACCGGGGGTTCTTTTAAAACCACTGCAATATAAGCAATCTATCCAAGGAGCTCAAGCACTGTTTGCATTAGTAGCAGGCACAGAATGCAGAGACTCATATACGAAAAGTGTCAATAAGAATCAACTTCGGGAAAGACCTCATATGAGTTAGAAAGACTAAAACATCGATTCAGCTCGTGCCGCTAAAACCTCCTCGATTCCATGACGGAGTTCTCTCGGGCTCTCCGGCCCGCTTTCACCCTCAGCAATAGAACCTTTAATGAAAATCGAAGCGGGATGAAGTACCCCCAAAATTATGCCCCAGCCAACTCATATCGGCAGGTGCATACGAGTGCTACATGAGAGTGTAGCTCGGTTGATCCTTATCGCCGGATAACTTTCGGATGCGCAGTCATGTCCGGGTGTAATTGGGTTGTGATACGTTCCCTTCGAATTCCTGATTTCCAGGAATCAAGATATTGAGTTTGTTATGATCGGAACTCCACTGCAGTTTCCAAACAGATATAAGGAGGGCTGTGAAAGCTGTGTTCATCTTGAAGCACCCCTGAAACTGGAACAAACCCGATGAATATGGCCGAGCAGCGCTGGCAGATGATCTCAATGCTAGCGAGACAACCTAGGTCCAGCCCCCAAACGGAAAAAGTCCAAACGATATGGGTCGCAGGCAGCAGAATACCTAGCCGGTTCTTCCTGAGCTTCATAGCGGATCGCGCTGCATACTAATCCTTGGGAAGCATGTTCACGCGAGAAATTCCACTTTCAAGCCTGGTCACGACTGCCGAAGAGATTTTGCTCTCCGTTCAAGGCCGCGTTCGTTAGCTATTTCCATGAAAACAAAAGCTAGATCTGTCCCGAACGCGTCGAGGAGGAGCAGGTAGGCTCGATCCGACACCAATCGGATTCCCCAGACTCCCGAGATCTCGGATGTCGCTCGCTATCCGGCCGGGCGCTGTGCCGATGGAACCGTCTCTGTGGGACCGATACCCCGGAGGAGCGTCCAATTGGCCACTCAGAGGGGGTCCCCTGGTGGCTGTTCCCCGGTTTTCTGACAATCTTCCCCACGCCGATCCAGTCTTGGCAACCACCAGCCACGTGGGGCAAGCCATAGAGCCAATGAGAGGGCGAGCCGGACTTCCGGGCTTCCGACTCGAGGTCAAAGCTTCCTGGCATACCCACCAATCAGCTGCCGTCTTGTCCCGCCAATGGCCATGCAGAGCTAGGAAAATCCGCCTCAACCAGAAATCCATTGCCAGAAAGTCGAGAGCTGCATCAATAATTCCTCCATAAGCATATGTCATCAGCCAGGCACACGACCTCCTCGCCATCGGACTGGGTCCACCCCGCCCGGCGGACAAACACAAACCCGCCCGAGCATCATAATGGCATCCCGAATTCCGCTCCACAAACTTGCCCTCTGTGCGCACCAGTCAGGAATCATGGATTTTACCCAACTTATCTCAGCATCACCAACAGCGCTCCTAACCGCCTTCCTAAAACTCAAACTCCACAAATATCCCACAGGGGCCAAGGACTAAGGATTCTTCCGCCGCCCGTTTTCTGGGACCTCTGCGTCTAAATAGCAGCCAAAATGCGTAGGGAGTGGAGCGGAGATTTAGCTAAACTCAATCCCCAACCGTACGATTCTCGAAGTCCGGGGATTTTTTTTTTTTTTTTTTTTTTCCTTTTCGTTTCTTCTCTGGATGGGGATAATAATTCCCTGTCACATGGTGGGGTGCAACCGTACGTAGTTATATAGACGACCTTCGCATAATAGCCTGTCGGATCCTTGTTCATCGCGCTGCCTTTGCTTCTCGTTTCTTTTTGGGGTAACCGTCTTCGAACCAAATCCTTAATTCTCAAGGACAGAGAGCACCGGGTCACAATGCCTGTTTTCACCGAATTCGCAAATGCAAGCCGCCAGCTGCGCGTTTTGCCTTCGTTCGCCAACCCGCTGCCCCGTCTCTGTCCTGCGTTCGAGAAGAAAGAAGATAGGTATGAAGTAGTCATCGTCGGGGTACGTAAATCCATAGGGAATCGACCTAAATTACATCAATCTACTGCGCGGTTTGTGCTATGCCGGGCCACCAGACAGCTAACGCCGTTCTCTAGGGTGGTCCCGCGGGACTCATGCTCAATCTGCTCCTTGCTCGCTATGGCTTGGGCGACGACTCTTTACTCTGCATTGACTCTAAGTCGAGCACCCTTCTCTCCGGCCAGGCCGACGGACTGCAGCCCAGAACACTCGAGGTCCTGCGGAGTTTGGGAGTGCTTGATGAGCTCGACAATGACGGCTGTCACATGCACCAGATTTGCTTCTGGAATCCCACAAACGAAGGTGGTATCGAGCGCACCTCCATCGTGCCAGATATCGCGATCAAGTCAAGATACCCATATGAAATCACCATCCACCAGGGCAGAATCGAGCGGGTTTTGGAGACCGACCTTAAGAGATATTCCAAGCGCGGTATTATGCGCTCGACCAGCTTGATCGATGTGAAGATGGATGAAGAGGGCGACCCAGATTTCCCAGTTGTCGCAGTCATCGAGACCGAAGAGGGACAGAAGACTATCAGAACCAAGTACCTCGTCGGTGCTGATGGTGCACACTCGGTTGTGCGCCGATGCATGGGCCTCATGCTCGAAGGTGAATCGACGGATCATATCTGGGGTGTTGTGGACTTCGTTGCCGTGACCGACTTTCCCGATATTCGAAAGCGATGCGCCATCCACTCTGACTCCGGCTCCGTCATGGTCATTCCCCGAGAGCGCATCCAGTCAGGAGAATACCTCACCCGTCTCTATGTCCAGGTGCCGGGTGTCGTTAAACCAGATGACGAGTCAACGGCAGCCAACGGTGTAACGGAGTGCGCGAAGGCGGAAGCCAAGGCCAGACGAGCACAGGTTTCTGCTGAGAGTATCTTCGAGCAGGCCAGTCAAGCATTTAAGCCATACAAGATCAGAATGCGCGACGAGAATGCCCTGGATTGGTGGGCCGCCTATCAAATTGGCCAACGAGTTACGAGCGAGTTTTCCGTCAAGGACTCCAAAGGAAAGGAGAGAGTTTTCATTGTTGGTGACGGTAAGGACCCATTGCATCCAAAATGAATTGCTCCATACTAATATAATTTTCTTTTATAGCCTGCCATACTCACAGTCCAAAGGTAACCAATACGCTTTGTCCATTTTAGCGCCCCCGTTGGCATCGCAATCCATCTTGGACCAATGGCTAATGTTGATGTAGGCTGGTCAAGGAATGAACGTTTCGATGATGGATTCCTACAACCTGGCGTGGAAATTGGCATATTCGATTCTTGGATTATCTCCGGACTCGAAGGCCGATCCCGCAAAGTCTGACCGCCTTGTAGAAAGCTACCAACTCGAACGACGCAAGGTCGCTCAACAACTCATCGACTTTGACAGAGAATTCGCTGGCATGTTCTCCGGAAAGATCAAGGTTGAAGAGGAGAGCGGTCTCACCCACGAGGAATTCTTGAATGTCTTCCTCACTGGAAACGGATTCTCCAGCGGATGCGGTGTTGAATATATTGAGAACACCCTTGTGGAGAAGGACGTCGAAGGTTCCATTACTGGAAAAGACTACCTATCCGGAATTCTGCAACCTGGAAGACGACTCATCGATGCCGAAGTTCTACGACATGCCGATGCCAACCCACGACACCTCCAGGACGGTAATACCCCCCAGATTATTCATAGCTCCGTATGCTTTGGGTGAAAGCTAAACTAACTCTTTATAGACTTCCCATCAACTGGCCGCTTCCGCATCCTATGCTTCGCTTCAAATGACCTCCTCAATCCCAACGGTGTTTCCGCAAAGGCATTCACCGGTATTGGTGAATTACTCTCCAAATTCCCCCAACAGCTCATCGAGCTGGTTGGTCTTTACCCATCTCAACTCTCAGAGTTCTCCTGGCAAGACATCCCCGCCGCTATCAAGCAGCATGCAGAGATGCGCTTCCACTCTTCATCAACTGGTGCTCCAGCATCCGAGGATGCGTATAAGATTTACGGCGTGTCCCCTGAGAAGGGAGCAGTTGCTGTGATCCGCCCAGATGGATATGTTGGAGCCATCGCACCATTGACTGGCTTGAAGAGACTGGAGGAGTACCTTTCGCGTTCTATTTGCAGGATTTAAAGGAATAATACCCAAGTTTCAACGATATGTAGATATGTGACAGGATAAAGAAATGAATCTCATTATTTTCAAGTATTTATCTTCTGATAATATATATGTAATACAGACGTCTAACGATTCCAACCTCCAGGGCTGGACAGCCGACGTCGAACACCAGTTCTGTCATGGGCCAACAACAGTCAGTTTTAATTATAGATACTCAACACTCAGGGAGTCAGACATTCAATGTGTTATATATAATACCGGGACTTTGCTCGGATCGCACATGTCTTTAACGAACCTGATCAGGCGTGCCTCTTGAGATCAACGGTGGACGTCTCAAGTAGACGTCTTATCTGGGTGATTCTCTCGATTCCGCCTACACGCGCCAGTGAAATGACGAATATAACGAGTCATGAAGCATATGTGATTACGGCTGGTATGATACCTTATTATTTGGCCCTCTTCGATTCGCCCTGGAGAAGCCTCTTAAACGCGCTGGGCAAGCATCGCGGAGGACCAATCTCTTAGGCATCCAGGTCTGTCGTGCCTCTCAGGACTCCATCTATATTCTTCATTAGCTTTGCCTAACTTTTTAGGGGTATAGGGAATTTTTATCTTTGGAGTTAATTTCCAGCTGAATCTTCTGGGGTGTCTTTAAAACCAGCCTCTGTGAGTCGATATTTCTGAGCAAGTTTTGGGACCCTGCCAAATGATATAGGGTTGTGAATCTCATCAGCAAGCCAGTAATCAACCCCAACGGTTGCATATGCTATCTTTAGATGAGAGCAGGGAAGAATTAACCTTGATTCTTGCAAAAACATTTGCTCTGGTGTCAAGACAGGGCACGTGCTCATGGAAGCCCCCTTTACTCTCATTTTAGTTTCTAAATGCCATGGAAATTGACCATTTCATTCACTTGATTCTTGTTGTTCTCTTAGTTATGTCCTGCAATGATTCCGGTAGCTTGGTCTCTACTATTGGCTAAAATGCGGATCGGGTACTTATGTCTCGCCAATGAGCACAAGCCTTCTCTGCATACTTTAGCGGTTGGGGGGCAGCATGAGCAATTCTCTCATCAATATCACTCGGTTTAATGCTGCTCTCTATAAGGATGACATGACCCTAGCCTTTGACTTGGAAGGATATGCGTCTACTTCCGGTCATGGCGTGATACATGAGCTTTTCTTCCTTCCCTTATGGGGGTAATTGAATAATTCTCGCGACAGTCTACATGAGTATACGTGCCTATGGCATAGAGAGATATCTTCTGGTATTTAATCCTTGCTGGACCAATATGCATAGGTATGTAATGTCCCGGAATCAAAGGTTTTGAATCTGCTACTCACCCAGTTTCATAGCTTCCACTCTCTAGGTATGAATGCCTCTGTCGAAGAAAAAAAAAAAAAAAGGCAGAATCCGGGCCACTTCATCCGATATTGCACAACTTCTATCTAAAATAACCAATGGGGCAACTTTTTTCGCATCCTCGTCTGATGGGAAGATTTCTTACTACTTTCACCGTTATTTCTATTCTCTGTTCATTCGCTCTGGCAATTTACGCCAGTGACATCGAGTCTACTTGGACCAATTATGCTCATGCCCCTTCAGCCTTTGCAGCATTCGCTATTATCCATCATATTCACTTCTCGGGAATGTCTTTGGTGAATTCGTTGAGTATGTTGGTTACGTTTTGGTCGAATTATGCATGATTCGCTGGAATGATTTACTCGCATAAGATGCTGGACGCAATCGATAAGATTGTTGGGGGCAATAAGGGAAATATAACACGGTTTGGCAGCTCAACACCTGAGTCGCTTTCTCCCACGGTCGAATTCCTACAGTTTACCCAAGGATTCTTTACCAGAACCGTTGACACTACTGCACCTAGCCCTGCAGAATGGCATGGGACTCTGTCAAAACCTGGTTTTCCTCTGCCCGGTAATCATGCCGGATTTTCTGGGCCTTTAACCATGGCAAATATACCAGCATCGAACGCGCCCATGACTGGGTTGCTGTGCTTCTGGCATTAGTCTTGTCTTGATAACGGCTATACTGGTTTTAAAAAGCACACTTGATGTACTCATACGTTTTAGACTCGTGCGGACCGCTCGCTTAGAGTATTTCCGTGCTCACTGGCTTGCCTTTTTCTCACAGCTGCTACCTTCTGGTTGATTTTCATCAACCTTCTCTTTCTGAGCTTCCTCACACCTTTCCAACTCAGACATAATGGTCCTTTGGTTGTGATTGCCATTGCCGCCATTACATTCCTTTTGATCTCCGCTGGACTACAGGGAGTTCCATGCTACGCCTTATACTTTCGACTGAGGGGTGATAGACTCACTTGTGAGCTGGAAATATGCCGCCTACAGAAAATGGAGATTTGAAGATAGTTCCATGGTGCCAATTGGTTAAAAAGTCGATCCTATGAACGATCCGAATACAATGGCATACTCTCTTCCATCTTACGTTGTTTGTTAGAGGCCCTCAAGCTCTGGATGAGGTCGTATCCCTACAGACTGCAATTTCCTACTGCACTTTCCCCCTCCGCTTCTCGTGGCTCTGGCCAAGGCCTCTAGCAGAAGAATGACGAGCGAACGTAGTGCTTTTCGTTCACCAGCAGCCTTTGGATTCCATAGAGAACCTTGTTCTCTGTCTTTTCTGTTCTGCAACATCCCAAAGCTGGGGAACAACCTTGCATCGGCACGCCTGCGGCCAGATACTTGTCGCCGACCGCCTCCCAAGTTTCGATCAGCCGTGACTTTGGAGTCAAATTTCCTCAAATCGACAATTCTAGGTAGTGAGCGTCTTCCGTCCCTAGCCTCTAACACTCCATCCATTAAATTCTAACTGAAAGATAAGAGGCCCAGCGCTGGCCGGTTTACTATTATTTCTCCGTCCAGCACTCCACGGCGATTCGAACTGAGGCCTCCACGGTGAGAGCGGCGAGACCGCGATAAGATCCAGCTCCTTTTAACCTTTTGATCTCTGCCCGGTCAGGTACACAGCTCTCCTGCTAAATCTCTTCTATGGTTCCCACTTGTGGCTGGGGCATCAGCGATGAGGTGGGGTCTTTCCAAGCTTACTACAGGACATAAGAAATCAGCGATGTTTTAAGGGAGAAGAGCGGGGGAGTTTTAAGGCAACAGTGGCGTCTTTCTGCTGTGTTTTCTTCCTTCCTTTCTTTCTGAGGCCGTGTTTACTCTGTGTCTACGCTTACGGAGGCCTAGGGATGACGAGAAGGCAGAGAAGGCATGACTCTGTCGCATTAAAGGCCTGTAGGTTTTCCCTTGGATGCTTACCCCAGTTAAGTGGAGAGAGGCCCTCCGTTGTAGGAATGAAGCCAGCCCCATGTGGTAATTTCTTTCATCTAAGGGTAAACTCCACTCTCGGCCGTTATAATTTGTAGGTGGCAGGGTAGTAGTATGGGGAAGGCCGTGATCAGTTAACGTGCCATTTCCACGAGATCCAGACCCGAGAGGCCAGAGGATAATCCCGAAAGATTGAAGCCGAGGTTGCGCTCAGGCTTGGATCCTGCGCGGGGATGAGGCTAGGGACTCAGCAATGGCGGGATGGCTGTTGATCAGACACGCGATGTTCGTGTGGTTAGCACGCAGCCGTAGCAGTGTCAAGATTTAGATGGCCCACGCGCTGAGGTGGCGGAGACCTTGGTGGATATCGAAGAGCCGCTTTTGAAACGACGGATTAATGTGACTAAACTCCCTGAGAGATCGGGAGGGGGTCTAGGACCTAAGGTAGTAGTGGGCGATGCAGGCTCGAGCGTTGGATGGACCCTCCCTCTCGATGTATCTCGAAATGAAGGGATGCTCATTTCTTTGTCGTTGAGAATACTCCGTGGTGAGCATGCCTCGGCTTAACCTCCGTCTTTTCGGATCAAAAATGTGTGTGTGGCATGTCTTTCATCATCGATGGTCGTGAGGAGTCGGTGAAACAGCCCGGAGTTCTCCGTTGAACCCAGTATTCCATGTCTGACAAGTTTCCAGTTTGTCTTTCTCTCATGCAAGCGATTTGGCCACTGCTGCCAGTTGCGCTGTCCAATTGAACCACAGAAAGCCCGAATACTTTTCCATTTTTTTTTTTTTTTCCCCCTTCCTTTATCGTATTCACCGACTTTCCGAGCCGGTGCGAAAATCCATTTGGGCAATAATCCCGCGAGATTTCAAATGCTTTGATGGGTTCCTTTGGATACGGAGTACGGAGGGTGCTGCGGTGTCACGGTGATTGTGAAATGAACGGCGATCCATCCATAATAACATTTCCCCTTTTTCTCCCTTCGAAGGGAGATGGGAACGCCGTTCTGCGAAAGGTCCATTCTTGACTCGGGATAAAAATAGACGATCGGCAGTGCGTCATTTAACTGAAGAACCAACGGCCTGTGCAACTCTCACCGCAAGGGATCTGGCAGCGCTGTCCACACTCCCGGCCTGGGGCACTCTGAGGTCGCATGAGCCAACTTGTTGGAGTGGTTGATGGATGGGACTTCGCAGCAACCCATCAGTATCATCGTTGGATTCAGCTGTACCGCGTACGGTACATACATGCGCCATACTGTCTTGCTGCTGTAACCCAACGGCGCGGAGTGGGATGAAATGGGGATTTGTGATCTGCACAACCCGGAAGGGCGGGAGCAACGTGGGAAATCTGTGGGCTGGGACGCCGATCCGTGTCGGTGACTGGACGAGTATTCGCACAAAAAGGGTTTAAATAGGCGACTTTCTGTGCGTTGTGATAGGACACGTGCGCCCTATTTTTGGATGCATGGTATCGTACGGAGTATTACCATACTGTCGAAAACACGGGCCGTCTCCTTCACGTTCATCCGGGAGAACTACGCACGAGGATGATGATGATGATGATGATGATAGGCAGCAGATGGACGCCTGCTTGCGACAGACAATTCCACCCTGTCCCAATACACATGCTTGAAAACTACGTGTTGAGCATCCCTGGAAGCCATCTTAACACGAGTAAACAGTAATCTGCTCTTCTCAACCATCTGCCTTTGCCATGGACGGGGGCATTGGGTGCTATTTGGCCTCTGCTTCCCCCCTGAATATCCCCAACAATGCCGTCAACGACGGCAAAGATCTGTCAATTAAGATCATCACTGCAGACTTCAAGACCTTCAGGGATACAGCTCAGCCACTGCCCTGGATGCGTTTCACATTAAAGACTTTAATGATGCACACTGTTTCCAGAGTCCTGAAGGCTAACTAATTTTCGTCTCTCTTGCGAGACGAACTGGATGCTGCAGATACAAAGTTTCAATCCGTCAGATCCCACGGTTGACGTGTCATACTTGCATCGTTTCAGCATGATGCGTGGAGAGTCGAGACGTGTACCTCCCGGCCGTGGATCTATTGACTGGCCCAGGCTAACAGTTCGATCCGAACTGAATCCTTCGTCACATTTATCAACCTATGCGTTGGCTCTTTCGATCCGAAACCCGCCAAAGATCGAACCGCGAGATCGTGACCAACGCGGAGATTCAAGGCCACCTCTGGTCGCGTGGCCCGGGAATTCATTCCCATTCGCCAGATATCCGTCACTCTTGGCCCAATACTAATCCCCGTATCTACGATGTGATCTAGCTAACAATGCTATTCGATATATGTGATGAAAATCGCGAATTATTTGGATTTTGTTGGCAGGATAGCTCAAAGGAATTCCCGTTGCGTTCCCCTTAGCTGACATATCTGCAGGGTTAGGACGTAAGGCAGAGGGATTCTGCCGTCTCCCAGTGCAGTTTTCACAGTTTCGATCCTGATATCCGCAGAAGGTCAATCAAGCCTAACGCAATTGGCTGATATCGGCCCAGCAACACGCTTCGAACCGTGTAATTCGCTTTGCGTCAAAAGGGTTTACTTTTGCACGAGTGAGAGGAATTTTCTCGTTCACCTGATGGCCTTGGTAAAAATGTTGATGGCTCAACTGCGCGTTCGTGCAGCTGGTCCAAGGAATCTCTTTACTTGGAGGCCACACGATCTGCAAGGCAGCAAATATGGGGGATGCACGTGCCATTCTTCCTGAGAATATCGAAGATCATCGGTCGACACGGATTCGACTTATAACAAACTGTAACAGCTGTGAACATGTGGATCCTCTTGAGAGCGAAGAATCAGTATTCCTTACTTGCGGACTTCTGAACGTGCAAGTCAACGCTCGTGATAAGATGTAGTTAAGAGTACCATTTGTTATATCCATAAAACTCCGTGTGACCTCTTCCGTATCACGTAAATCACTATTACTGGGGTAGTAATAGTAATAAGTCAACGGTACCCTAGAAGAAATGAAGAAGCAATTCGAAGAGATGAATTGATATTCTTTTCAGGACGCCTATCTGCACTAATGATGCCGGAAGCACGTCCCCGTACAACGCGCAAGCGTGCCCTTTGATCGGTGCGAGCCGTTTTGCATAGTGGTAGGGGTAGGCCTTGTTGGAGATTTCAATAAGGAGCTTGGGGTGAGCGCAATCAACTCCCTGTTATAATAACTACTGCTGGACCGATACGAGCAGGGCTAGCTCAATAGCCACTAAAGTTAGCTAGCTCCATCATCCTGAGTTAAGTTACCAAGCACTTCCCAACGACAAAGTCCAGCTCCCTTGTCATCTGGTAATGTGATAGCGATACCCCAGATGTCTCAGCCGGGTTGTCTCTTCAGTTGTAAACGTGACACTCGAAGTCGAAGCTGCAGAATGCCGGCATTTCATTCATTCTCCATTTTCCAATTATACGAGCTGCACAGTGGGACTCCATTTCCAAAACTCGTGGGATGCGCAGGGATCAATCCCCAATAGCCTGCATGATATGACAGCTTAGTCCCACGCAACAACCCCCCTTTTCCTGTCAACAACCCACAAAGCAGGGATCTTTCGAGATGTTGGGTTGCTGTCAGAAGGGCAAGCTGACACTGCATGTGAGAGCTCAGGCTGATGAACAGTCTATGGGCTACGGAGTATAGCAACCATGATATATATCCCATCCAATGACTTGGCGACACGGGTTTGTCGATTTTGACGTCAGAATCAGCTGCTTCCTTGGAATAGGATCAAGCGTTTTCTGGTAAGGATTTCTTTTCCTCTGCTGTCTGTCTGGCGCGAAGACACGCGCGGGATGCGATTCTGGACTTACGATGAAGCTCTTCTTCCATGAGTTGGGACAACCCGAGATGACGCACCGGACGTTAGGACTGTTTGAGCCCCCGGAATTTTGGAGAGGTGAGTTTCACCTCTTAATGGAATTTGTCTTTGGACCCGAACAGACATTATCCCTTCGGGAGAGTACCTTGTTCTCCAAGGCTTCTCAGCAACAAACCCGGAAGTTGCGGAAACTAGGGTAGGATTACGCCTTGTTTATGCCCTTATTATTTTATTTTTTTTTAAAAAAAAAAATCTTTCTTGGGCCCTGGTCCCCCTATTCCGAGTCGTTGGCCCGGGATCGTGCTCATCATCATCTCTCAAGCGATAGTTGAACTTCCTCCATGGCTTTATGATCCTCCGACCGAATTGAATTCATCCTCCTCTCCTGTGTTTCTGGAATCCCTCCCACGGATCAGATAGCGCCTGCTCTCATATTGCTACATACGAAGGGGGAAGAGTGAGCTCTAGTCAGCCAATTAAAAATTGGCAGCCAGGCGAAGAATCCTTGACCAGCCACTCACGAGTCCCGTTTGATAGGATCGTTAACAAAAAGTGATAAATTAGCTCATTGTTGGCAATATGCGCGGAACTTAAACGCCCTGTCACGAGGGCGGGGGGGCAAAAGAAAGCCGCCTGCGCGTTCGCTGCAGGCGTCGTCACATTAGATGCGCAAGGCAGAAATCCCACGTTGCATGTGGATTCCTTTTGTTTTAAAAAAAATAAAAAATAAAATAAAAAATCATAATGTGCCGCTAATATGATCAACCTCACCACGCGCTCTCCGCTTCCCCCAGTCTCGTGCAACCATGGCCCGGATTCCGGGAAGATCAACCACGATATTGGTGAGAAACCCACGTTTTCGTGGCGTTTGATATCTATCACATGCTGGGTTGTAGCGGCAAGCGGCCGGGGGAGCTTTGCTGTCGCCAAGGGCCTGCTCAATTTATGAGGAGGGCCTTAATTAATACTGTAAAGCATGGGGGTGGGAAATGGCAGTCGCTGGGTCTCGACGCACGCATTAGTAACGAATGCTCTTTTGTTTGCTGCTTCGCCGATCCCATTGGGGAGGAGGGTTGCTTGGGCATTCGTATTTCCCAAGTGAGATTGTTTCCAAGATTCTTCGATATTGCCAGTTCCGTTATTCCGCTTTGGAGGATGAGAACAATGAAAAGGCATAGAATGTAACCCGTGAAAAATAATATTGGCGTCTGCGCAAGACGTAACCGTGCATGCGGGTCGGTCGAGAACTAGGAAGATGCAAGGGAAATAGCATATTGCTGAGAGCGCGGCCCAATAGCTCACGGGATCAATTGCTCTGGTCGAATTGGTAACTTGGCCGAAAAAAAAAAAAAAAAAAAAAAAAAAAAAAGGAAAAAAGGAAAAAGCAAAAGAATTATACCAGGCCTGGTTGAAACGCGAGCCGCTTTTGATTCAAAGAGCGGGAAAAAGTATCTCATCAACGGGGCGAAGGGGTGTTACTTCGTGCAACAGCAGCCGCGAAACAAACCAAAATCCAGACGGCCGGAAGATGACGAATCGCTGTGGGCAAGGACTCTAGATGGAGACAAGGTATTTCGTTTGAATCCCACAGCACCTCCACCCCACTCACTCACTCCTGCCGCACGAATTGTAGTAGTTCCGTTGCCCCCAGCTCCCATGTTCGGTGTCTACTCTACCCGGGAGATTCGCCAGGCCAAACTCTCCCATGGGATCCAACCAGAACTCGCAGCACTCTGCAGGATTGACCTTTGGGTCTAGCCCAATCAGTCCATTGGTGTGGGAGAACCGGCCGGGTTCTAGGCGAGACAAAACGTCCACTTGTCTTTGTGGTTAGATTAAGCGTGCCAATCGCTTTCCCAGCAGGCCGGTTCGGCCACAAAGTCCTTCCGAAGGCACCAAAGTAATTCGCGCCGATGATATTTGAAACGGGAGGAACTCAATTCAAAAACCCAAAAAAAAAAAAAAAGAAATTGGAAATAGAAAGGGCGCACCCTCATAGAAAAAACTGGACCCTGTAAGGGTAATGTGATAGCGAACCAGGGTTGAGGCTTGCTCGTATATTCGAGAGTTTCTCCATCCATGGTGAGAGTAGTTTTCAACAATGGTTGAAGCACGCTCAAAAGGGTTCCAGACTGATTCGAGAATCCTGCGGGAAGCCACCTTCACGGGACACTAACCTTGCGGCGAAAGGTATTCCGTCCCAGGAACCAGTTTTCGGATCGTCAGTCGGGAAGCGACGAGAAGTGGACAAACCAGCAAAATAGACTTCCGACGGCGGCGTCTTCTGACTCAGGACTTCATCTCCGGGCCCATGAACTGGATCAGCCCGTCAGCACAAACCCAAGAAGGAAACAGTGTTCCCGATCATGACGGAATACAAGCAAACTCACAGCATTCGAAACTCTCTCCCCAACTTTCCCAGTCTGCAGAACGGTGCAGCAAGTCCGTGCTCACACCGGCGCAGCTGAGAATCCAAGCAATCTCCGCATCTCGAAGTGACATTCGTTTGATCTCGCCTGCTCGTCAACCCCCCCCCCCCCCCCCCCCCCCGCCCGGCTGTCGCTGGCGCTGCTGCGCGTCGGTTGGGAATGTGGGCTAGTGCGTGCGCGCGGGCGGAGTGCAGTGGGCGGGTTCAGCCGCGCTCCGAGGGCAGCTCCGTACTAACGATTTCTCGCCTCGCCACGGTGTCGCTCAACAGACTTTCCCCAAACACGTGGAACATGATCGGCCATGAGGGCCCCACACCTCCCTTCCCCTTGCCCAATCACAATGCGTATCTAAGCGGAGCTGTGGCTCATGAGATTACGGGCGGCGTGACGGGAGTTGGGTGCATTGACCGGGCGGTCGCGGGCTGGAGGCGAGGCTTTGGGGGTGACCAGAGCTGCTGCCGGCGCAGCAAGTGGTGTATTGCCAATTGTTGGGGGAAAATAAAGTACAGTATGGAGCATTGCATACTCCGTATGGATGAAGTTTTGTGGATACGCAGGACGCATATTCTCATGGTAACAATGCACAACCCTTCTTTCTCCCTTGCTGTACTTCGTACTCCGTACTCCGTTGTAATTGCTGATCGCAAGGAGACAATCTTTTTTTTTTTTTTTTAAAAAAAAGGAGAAGCATATCTTATTTATTTATAATTTTTTTTTCCTTGACGAGGCGATGATCAGGTTATTATTAGTAACCATACCCGTCCTTCAGCATCCCCGATCCCTGGCCAACACGCGGGCCAGCAAAAAAATTTGATGGTGCAACAAGGATCTAGCTTGAAATGTCGCTGTTGACGAGGGGAGACGTCGAAAGACCACAGCGGGAGGACGGGGAACATGGCTACAAGGGTGGACGTATCGTCCATACAGCACGGATTACATTAGTACGTATGTATTCTCCGTATTTCAGAAATGGATACGGGACTCCCTTGGAAAAGCTCTGTATTTTGCCGCCGCCTGAGTGGTCGAAGTTCACATTTCATGTCAGCAAAAATTCGTAAAAAAACGGTATGGGTCAAAATACGCCGAACGAAAGCACGATCAGAAGTATATCCTTGTCGTCTGGCAGCGGAAAGTTCGTATCGATAAGATCGCGGCTCGTGTGCATCGGAAATTTTAAGCCACTCACAATGAAGAAAATGTTCCGTTTCAGACCAGGCAGCTCTGCTTCAAGAAACCAAATCAAAACGTTGCCAGGCGAGGAGGGTCGGTTTTTCCTGCAACCGCTGCGTAATCTTCTGGGGTCTGATGCCCGACGGAGACCAAGCACCCGTCTCGAAATTTAGAGATCAACATCTCAGATCTGCTATCCACAGGTCCACCGATTCTCTCAAGGGAAAGCAGCCTTACCGAAAACGATGCAAACCGCACGGCGCGACCGGTTTTTTCAACAGAGAAAACAGCACGTCCCATCTGTCGAACAATCCATAAAATGAAGATCATCGTCGATCTCGCGTAAAGGTGATCCCCAATTTCTCGCTTGTGTTCGCCAATTGTAAGACTGGCACTCCGCATTCATGCATGAATTAGCCCGCGGATCTTGAATCCAGCAAACCATTCCCGTCCCGCTTGCATCTCGCCTCCCTTTTGCTTTCACTTAACATAATTTGTTCAGTATTTTCTTCAGTGAGTCTAGCAATTGGCAGTTCGTGCTCGACGTGATCATTGGGCAAACGAAACCTGGCAGCGCCGGGGTTGGACGGCATAACTTGGCCGTTTGCTGCTGCCACATGGCATCCACGAGCTTCCCCCCTCACTTTCTTTATTAATAGCAATACGGGAGGAGACAAAAAGTGCTCCGGTCAGAGGACACTAAGCAGAGGTTCCTCGAGACCCCCGTTCTTTGCTTCTTCTGCGATGGTGTTACATACTTAATGCAGGGAAGACCGGAAGCACAGACGTGTGTTCCCCAGCATGTTGTTTGCGTTCTCGGAGGCAGCCGTGAAACCACGCAAAGCGCCCATCCGATAACTTGGAATACAGGGATTTGACTCTTAACTATGGCTCTGCAAAGCCATTCGAACCGTGGTGAGGAATAGCGGCACGAGATCCCTTTGAAGATCGTCATGCGAGGGAGGATAAAGACCTGAAATTTCGGGGAAAAGGAGGGAAAAAGCAATCATTATCATTTGGTATGAGCATTTGCCTGGTAAGGAATAATCTTCACGCAAGGCTCACTGCCGGTGATGAAAGATTATCCATGAAAGGCGATGGCTGCCGTGTACGCCTGGCCAAAAATATGTACCTTTTAAGGTTCAGAGGAAAAGCAAAAGCAGCGACCCTGACGACCTGGTTGGAGATTTTGTTTCTGACAAATTTGGTGTCGCTGGTTCTCGTCACCGCCCGCCGAGCGCGAGGACAGCAAAAGCAAACAGACGAACCCTGCGTGGCGCGGCATTGATCCGTTTCTTGGCGCCTCTCCGAACTCTGGAGTTTGCTCAGCCGCTAGTGGCGCGGAACATGATGTCCCATGATCCCGGGAGCCCAGGAGAATGGAGCGTGGAGATCTTCGAAGCAATAACAAAAGCTTTTCTCTTTTTTTTTTTTTTTTTTTTTTTTCTCTTCCACCCCTTCCATTCAGAAGTTGTTGCTATGAGACATACACTGTAAAAAGCCACGCTCTCAATGATTCCTGATCTGATTGGCACCCGATGGCCGTACCAGCCAACATCAGCCCGATTGCAGGATCGTGAAACAGCGCGGAAGAAAGAGAGGCGTTCCCCTGAAACTGGCGATCGTCGAGGTCGCAGCGCAGGCGAAGGGAACAGGCTCCGATAGCGGAACCGGGCTGGTGGCAGCCGCAAAATGGCAACAGCGCGATCTCCACCCGGTGGCCCCCCGTTGGGAAGGTGTGGGTTTGTCGGAAAGGGCTGGTCCAGGCGAGCATCGTACTGAACCCGCATTACAATGCATGGGGGGACGTATGGAAAACATGCATATGTAAGTTATGTACGGAGGATGTGCCCGGTACGGAGTACTTGCAGTAAGATTCGTGGACTCCCGATGTGAGCAGTGGTACGGGGTAGTTACTCTGTATGGTGTGCCTGTAATACATGTAATATATTACATCCCCGTTCGGCACTGCTGATTCAGCATCTGCCGCAACCTTCCGCTTCGTCTCCGACTTCGTTTTGGAGTCTTCGCTACCGGTCCACAGCTATCCACCGCGCTGAAGAGTCAGATCGACGCACGTCTCTCGCTTTCAAGCTTCTGCTATTGATGGTTTTTATTTTATTTTATTCATCTTTCTTCCGCGAGACTAGTGCGTGGGATGGCGTGCTCCAAGCAGCTGGGAAAGCATCTTCCCATGCCTCCCACGGTCGAGAGCCCTTTTGCAGGAGTATACGGCGTTTTGATTCGTTCCCATGTTCGATCACGGTACCTCCTATTTCCTTTTTATGTCTTAATTTTATATATATATATATATATATATTTTCCCGGTATTTTGCCTGCTCATTGATGATACTGATGACGATGTATGAACGTGATTTAAATCTTCCGGACATTCCAAGAAAACCGTTGCTCGAATCGAGCCTGTATCTGGCCGATCACCTATGCCGGACGATGCTGGAACCCCCACTTGCAACGTAAATCGGGGCTAGATCGCCAAAAATATTCAGCAAACCATGCCCCCTTGGGGAAGGACTGGACTTGTCACAGCATTTCGACATCATCGTCCCGTCCACGGTTGGTTCGCATGGATCTGCGCTAAATGCTGTTTGGGCGGATCACCCCAAACCTTCCTCCTCCATTTCCTCGCTAACCCAACCACTCAGCACCCAATTTCTCCGGGACTAAGGTTCGATACTTGCTAATCTTTCCCCCATGGATCCTTGGCTGGCGATCAGTGTTATGACGGCACCCATGCCACAAAGCCCAAAGGAAATTGCCGTTAGCTTAGACCAGGGCTGGACTAGTTTACCACGAGGCAATTTAGTGGTGCGCCGTGCTCAGTCCCATGTCATGATTCGGCGCCCACGTTCCTTATACCACCTGGTATGTGCCAGGGAGCAACATAGCCTCCCCCCTAACTAATGAACAACTCCTGAAGCCAACAAAGAAAGCCCAAGTCGGGTACGAGACGTTGTTGACAATGCCTTTTTTTTCACATTTTGGTTGTAGCTGAGACACTTCCCCCGTCCTCCTTTTGCTTTTATTTTCCTCTTCTTTCTTTCTTCCTTTTTTTTTTTTAGGAGGAGGGGAAACGACAAATGTAGCTCTACACAAGAAACCTCGGACCGAGAAAGGAAATGGGGACTTATTGGGTCTCCCCGTCCCTTCAATACGGTTAAGTTCACGATCACAAAAGCCTAATTTTTCTCCGCAGTCGCTTCCAATATAATTTTTATGCTTTCGAAGCTTACCGATCACGCTGTTCATTTCCCCGTCGGTTGGGTACAGTTAAGTATAGAGTGACTTTCTCTGGGGAACTGCCGCCAGGCTATCTTAGAGAGTTGTTCGTCTCATTATATTCTCGCGTGTTAATACGGCCGCTCGGATACTAGCACCAACCTCTTTCCTAACCCCATGCTCCAATCAATCCCCGTTTTATTTACATAAAGTATTACCAACTTCCAGGCCCAATCACTCCCGCGCTCTGGGTGAACAGCGCCGGCCCCGCTAAGTCTGTGAAAGATCCCTTAGCCTTGGTCGATCTCTCATCTCGGCTGATTCTAAATATCAGCAGATTGGCTGCCATATCCTGTTTTACTTATTGGCTTCCTCCTCCACTCAACCCCCCATTACCTATTATTATATTCGTCACCCGGCCTTCCCAACCCATTCAAAATTCAGTCCATATACTTGCTTCTCTTGTCTTTCCCAACTGAACATCCCTCAGTATATCAGGACTATCTATTCTTTTCTCATTTTCCCATCTTGCGACCCTTTTTCTTTGTCAACTGCGGAACACAAGGGGAGTCTCGTATCTAAGGTCCCAAATTCAGATATTGGGTACAAATATCGTCGTTGTTTTCAACATGAACGTTTCAAGCCTGATCACTTGCGATCAGCCGCACCAATTGCGCGCGCCTGCATCTTCATATTCTGAGCACCGTCGATCCCCATCCATCCCCAAGCCTTTGCAGACGGAGAGCAGTTCATGCGCTTCTCCATACTCGCGGTTCGAGCGTCTCCCTCTTTCACCGCCGGAGGAGGATGGCAAGACACAGTTCTCACTTCCTTCTATCTCGTCTCTTCTTCGGGGCGTAGATGGTGTTTCTGATGCGCACGTTGCTAGTATGACTCACTCAAGTCTGAATAAAACTGATGATCCTGGCGGAGACTGACATCTGAACAGAGAGACAACGAACCAACCCTCCTCCTAGCATTGACTTAGGGATGGAGAGACGGACTATAGACCAAACATTAAAGCAGAGGCCAGCGCTGCCTTTGACGCCTCCTCTAAGGCCTGAGTCTGGCATGAATAGCACAAGCCAGTCGCCGTCAACATCATCGCCACCACGAAGCGCCATCTCACTACCGAGTCTTGTTCGGAGTTATCCGTCTCCAGTTTCAGAAGTTCCAGAGGGACGACGGATGTCACAGATATCGCGACATTCGCGAGGGGCTTCGACGTCGCAAACTTCTCAACTTTCAGGCCCAGAAACACGTTACCCATCGCCACCAAATGTCAACTCTCCAACCTTTGCTGCCCCTGTTGAACCAGCGCCAAAGCCGACAGAATACTACCCAGCCAGCCGACCGGTAACGTTTCCGCCTGTGGCGTTCGCAGTTCTGCCAAGCCAGCCAACTCATCCTCAGGTGCTTCCTCTTGGAAGTCCTGCGTGGCAGCACCATCATTATTTCCCTCCTTCCAACACAGCAACTTATCCTCTCAATCACGATAGATACATCTGCCGAATATGTCATAAGGCTTTCTCAAGACCGTCCAGCCTGCGAATACACTCCCACAGTCATACTGGCGAGAAGCCTTTCCGGTGCCCCCATGCCGGCTGTGGGAAAGCGTTTAGCGTGCGAAGCAACATGAAGCGACACGAAAGGGGTTGCCATCCTGGAAGATCAGCACCACCATCGGCCCTGGTTAACTGAAAGGGCAAAGAACTCCAGTTCTACAACGGGACTTGAATCTTGTAGTGGTCCTTGGCTGCTGATGAAGGGAACATGCCGAACCTCTCAGCAATATAGCGAACACGCAACATGTTGACATTGACGCTAACAACGGAGTTTTCTTTTCTTGTGCTCTTCGAGAAAGCCCTGTCGACGAGGTATCACGAAGGGTCGGAGCAACAACTCGCCCCTCTTCGAGAGGAGGGGGAGTTCGTCCTCGAGATGAAACGATACTATTGCTTGGCGGTCTTATAACTGCATGTTCGTCTTCACACCCCGCATGCTCCCATCTCGAGGTAGCTCCTCTTGGTGCAGGCACCGCGGGGCCAAAGAAAAACGTCCCCGTCAATTCAGGAGGCGACTTGGCAAAAGCGAGTACCAAGAGCGATGCGCATCATTTCCCCAATCAAGGGAAAAGTCCATTCGGCATTGTATATATCATATAACGTCATGGTTCTCAGGAGCATGCAGGGACTGGGGTATAATATAGATGGGGAAGGATCTTTTTTGGTCTTGCACGGGAAGCTTTCCGGTTTAGCACGCCTTTAGCTTTATGGGGGAGGTAAAAATAACAAAAAGGGGTTGTGCTTGGGGTTCTTATTCCCCCTGGATTTATTACATTTGGAAATTCTTCTTTTGTATTAGTTAGTTGTCTGGAACATTTCTTGGCCTTCTATTCCCTGGATATATTTTATTATCTATTTTATACACAAGAATGAAAGGACCCTGAGGGTCACCTGTCATGCAACTTATCGGACCTTGCTTGAGAATGGGAGCCTCGGGTGAATTCCTTGGATTGGTGCTCCGTACGATGCGTCTTCTACCCCATACTCTGTAAGGGTGATGATGCAGGACAAGGTCTTCCCCGGGGACTTATAATCAAGGTATCATCCATGAGCTTTCTATCGACGTTTTCGTCACACTAATCATAAATAATCCCAGTATATATAGGAAAATATGGACTATATGCTCAGGAAAAAAAAAAGAAAAAGAAAAAGAAAAAGGATTTTTGCTCCAACCAAAAACCAGTTTGCAAAAGTTGTAACACGTGCGTCAATCATGCAGTCTGATCTGATCCCATATAAATAAGACGCAAGGCGGGTCTTGTATAGCAGAATATATACTTGCACTCAAGCATCCAAATTCAGCTTCCCTAACAGGCGATCAAGTTTGTTCAGGAGGATCTGATAATTTGCGGCGTCTCTCGCGAACTCGTTACCTGAGATTTCGCCGTCCAGGGTTCTAATTATGGGGCCCATGGGACTGTCCTTGGGAAGCCGGTTGGTGCCAGCATCCACACCTTCGTCTTCCTCGGGTGTTGTGAATCCCTGTGACGACGATCCCAACGAGTCAGATCGATACGGTGAAGTTCCCAGGTCCGAACCAGACTGTGACGCGTCGGCGTCCATTATCGTCATTTTATCTTGTAGCTCAGTCGCAATTTTCTGCGCATCTTCCTCCATCTCGTCAAGGCCGGAATCTTCGTAGGGTGATCTAAAGCGATCACTGAGGTAATATCGGATGTCATCAACCAGTTCGATGGAGTCCGTTTCCTGTCGCTTTTGAATACGAGTTGCTGACTCGAGGACGAGCTGTTCGAACTCTGGCCTCTCGATATGCGACTCTAATCTGTATGCGAGATATCGTGCCGCGAATTCTTCCAGCCGCTGCACGCGCGTCAGCCAAGCGGCACGAATAATTTCGTATATGTCTATTGGCTCTTCTTCTTCGAACTCCTCCACATTGGTTGAAGGTTGAGATTCATTCCTTCCCGGCCATGGGGTTCGTTCCGACTTCTGGCTTCCATTACCGAGCGAGCTGATCACCATGGCCACCTTTGTTTTGAGCCTTTCGATCATAAGGAGATCCGCTGCGTAGAGAACGTCGACTGCCATATCGAGGGGGATGTCCACTTTATCGGTATACAGAAACTTGAGGACAATCTTTAAAACATCAGGGGAGCAGTCCACATGGATGATTTGTAGATGTTGTGACATTTGAGCCTCTCTAAATGTGGAGGAAAACATGGCAAGGAAGAACTCCGATCGGAGAAGCATGGCTCGGTGGGCGGGATATAGGACGGTCTTTCCACAGTCCCGTACCGGTATTGTAGACGTTGGGCGTATAGGGATCCCACCCGAGTCCTCTTCATTTTTGGAATCAAGAAGTAATTCAGTTTGATCTAGGTCCTCAATCATGTCCTCGTCAGCTCGGAGGAGCACATCGGCGAATACGTTGTTGTCCCGGCTCCATTTCACTTCGTTAAGCTTATCGGTGTCAACAACAGTTTTATACCTCAGTACATTGTTCTGGAACCACGTTTCCATCTGATCGCGACCCTTCACCACTTCATCCGTTCTTCTCTGCCTGGCTAACCGCCGATCACCACTGTCCAAAATCGTGTCCATTAGGCTGTGAAGCTCCAACTGGGATGCGATCTTGTCTATTCCCGCCAAGACTTCAGACTCTGTGAAACCAGTCCCGGGGCCTGATCTAAGCTCCCGTGGTGCCTCTCCAAGGTAGAGGTATTTAATACCGGCGCTGAATGCCTGTGGCGGAAGCGTGTTTGACAGCTTCAATGTTGTCGCCTCGGGAGAATTGGCCAGCTTTTTCTGGAAATATGGCGATCTTGCGGACAGAATGAATTTATGTAAGTGGAATGATTCATCCGCTGAGGTTACAAGGATATCTGACGTCTGGGGGTGATCTCGTGATAATAATGATGCAATATGTGCAGCATACGGCTGCAGAGGATCGGTCGACTTTGAGTAGTCATACTTCAATAGTAAATTCCGTATCCTATCGTTAAGAGCGTTGTAGAGGCATCTAGGAATACAGAGTCAGTTATTGCTCATCATTGAAGCCGCTATCAGTAAGTCAAAGGGAAATAGCACCTTTCGCCTTGAAAAGTGTCTCGCTCGCACAAGGCACCAGAATCAAGGAGAAGCTGCGCGACTTCATAGTGACCACAGAGACTAGCCTTTCACGAGGTGTTAATCCGCCTGTCTCACCCAAATACGAGAGCATAGGGCATCGGATTTCGCCTGAAATAAGAACACCCGCTGAAGCATGGAAGCTCGCCACTCCATCAAAGAGAGATACTTACAAGAATCAGAGGAGTGCAGTCAAAGAGATCTCTGGCATTAATATTCACTCCCTCGGTGATTTTCTCCTCGCACACTTTCAAATCTCCTCTTCGACAGGCCTCACAGAGTTCTTTAAACCCCTCGCTGAGGTCGAGCGGGTTATCTTCCTTCAGCTTTCCAGCCTCGATCAGCTTTCTTTCGTTGTGCAAGCTAGTTGCGAGCTGGTCTTTCCGGAGTAGCGCGGATGACTCTGCCATTTTGAAACCGCAACAGGATCTTCAGTCCCAGCAGAGCAGCGCTGGAGAGTTGAGACCGGACGTCAAGCTCACGATGGCGGCGAAATGGCAATTCGGCAATTTAGGTAATGCTGACTAATAGATAGTCCGTTCGTTATCGATAAAAGGTCGGAGCTAGCTGTAAATGGCTAGCGCCCATCTCCGCTCAACGCCGCCGGCGCCGTTTCTCGGCACGCTAGCCCTGTTCTGGTCAAGCGTTTTGCTGCAGTTTTGGTTGCTGCGCAACGACGTCAATCTAAACAATTGCGCTTTGAGCGCCGGCGGAGAGCTCCTCAACGTCGAACCGCAGGGCTCTTCACCAGTTGCTCGCAGGCTTATGATACTAACACAGCAGGTTTAATTTTGTCCGATTCCTCGTCCATGTGTGAAGGTCTGCCTTAGTTCTCTCTATTTACCGAATATTATACCATGGCAATCGCATTGGCGGAAGCGGACAAGTATGAGATTCTTGAAAGGATAGGTACACCAAATTACCCCATGCTTCTCCAGCTCTAAGGTACTCTGCTAACCGTTCTTAAGGGAGCGGCTCTTTTGGGGTGATCAGAAAAGTTCGAAGAAAGGCTGATGGATACGTATGCACCTCCGTGTCTCCTTCGCTGTGGTGAAGATAAATGCTAACGGCCCGCGGTTACACCTAGATCCTGTGCCGGAAGGAGATTAATTACATTAAAATGTCCCAAAAAGAGCGCGAACAGCTTACAACCGAGTTCAACATATTAAGCTCGCTCCGGCATCCTAACATTGTGGCATATTACCATCGAGAACATCTCAAAGCGACCCAGGATCTCTACCTGTACATGGAATACTGCGGTGGCGGCGATCTTAGCATGATAATCAAGAACCTCAAAGCAAACAACAAATTTGCCGAAGAAGAATACGTCTGGCGTGTCCTTTCGCAGCTTGCTACTGCACTCTACCGCTGTCACTATGGCGTTGACCCTCCGGAGGTTGGGTCCAACGTCTTCGGCGCTTTGCCGTCTACGAAGCCAACAGGGTTAAAGGGAAAACAGGCACAGGTGATGATTCTGCATCGTGACCTTAAACCTGAAAACAGTATGAAGTTTTAGTCTGCTTAACTTTGAACTCGATAGCTAACGTTGTGTAGTTTTTCTCGGGGCGGACCAGTCCGTGAAACTGGGCGATTTTGGCTTGTCGAAGCTGATGGGCTCCCATGATTTTGCGTCAACTTACGTGGGAACACCATTCTACATGTCGCCGGAGATTTGCGCTGGAGAGAAATATACGCTCCATTCAGACATTTGGGCTGTGGGTTGCATCATGTACGAGCTCTGCATGCGCGAGCCTCCTTTCAACGCCAGAACGCATATGCAATTAGTGCAGAAGATTCGGGAAGGAAGATATCCCTCCTTGCCTGACCTATATTCGCCTGAGCTCAAGAGCGTTATTGCGAATTGTCTACGCGTCAATCCGGATCACCGTCCCGATACTGCTGCGCTTTTGAAGTTACCGGTTATTCGGTTGATGAGAAAGGAGAAGGAGGTCGTTGATCTAGGCAAAGCTTTGCGAACTAAAGAAGAAACTGCACTACAAAAGATGAAAGAATTGGAGCTGAGGTGTGCTCAATTCGACAAAGAAAAGGCCGCTTTGAAAGTGGATATAGAGAATTCTGTTCGCCGCGAGTGGGAGGTCAAAGCAAGGCTAGAGATCGATCGACAAGTCCAGATGGAACTCGAAACACTCCGAAAACGTTTTGAAGCTGAAGTGCAGGATAGGGTGGCTGCTGAGCTCCAGAGACAAAGAATCATCCAGAGCCAGCCGCTGCAAAACGAAGACGATGGAGTAGGCTCATCAACCGACGTGTCTCGTTCATCACTTGGTACCGACGATACCGACTTCCCATCTTCAACCGATCTAAGCTCCCTTTCGCTGGAATCTCCAACTTCAGACCAGACCAGAGCTGCCAGGAAATACAACCGGACGCCCTTCAGCCGCGCCAAGACCACGCTTGAATCTCCCATGGACGTGCAAATGGCGGAGCCGTCACCAATGAGCATTGCATCGCTTTCTCTTTCTCCTCGGCGTATGCATCTTGGGTCAACAGCTAGAAATATATTCGCTGACAATGGAAGAAAAGTCCCTAAATGGGATTCGGCACTATTGTACTCAGATGATGAAGATGACATTCCGGATCTTCCATCACCTTCTCGGCCACAGGTTAAGGCTGATCCATTTAAGGCCCCACACCGACCATTGCTGCGGCAGAACACGACAGCAATGATGCAGAAGCTTAGCACTCAGCCCAGTTTGTTCCCGGCTAAAGCTACGACTCAGAGTGCGCAAGCGAGTTCTCCCACGCAGTCAGAGACACGTATGTCCGAAGGAAGGGCAAAGTCGCCGCATCGGCGTCTCTCTAAAATTCCATCATGTACTAGTTTGGCACTTGATGGAGGATCACCTGTCCGCAGAACGGCAATGAAGCCTCCAAATTCTAAGGCTAACGCTGGCGGAGAAGAAATGTTCAAGGCTGTGATGCAGAGGAATATGGGTGGCAGGACACTTGTTGAGCTGGCCCAGGCCCGAGCTGGCGGCAGGCCTATCGAAGAGCTGAAACGCCCTGGCGAAACCAGATTTTCGACCACTGGTCTAGCAACAGTGAAACCTGTTGAGCGAGACCCGCCCGCAACCTGGGACCCTGAAAAGGACGAGATGCCCAGCCCCTTTTTGGTTCGCGGGACTAAGATCATTCGAAATCTTCGTTGAATGTACAACAGATTTACCAGTCAAGCGATACGTCACCGCTGACTGCGTAATTACGGATGTGCGGCGTACGTGCCTGAAATATCTTTGTTTCGATATCCCTGCAACGTTACTCTTGAAAAGCTTGGGCAAAAGTAATAAAAATTGCTTGTCTAAAGGCGTTTCTACCGGACACTTTCTGTCTGGCTTCAAACGGAAGTTATCCGCTATCCTTTATATCGCGAGTTGGGGCCTCGAGGAGTTTTTGGTTTGTCGCATTTGCACGGCGTTGGGGATCCCGGGTATGACGGGGCTCGCTTCTTTTCCTCCTTCTCGACTTTCTTACCATCGTTCTGGGGGCAGGCTTTTGCATGAGTCGGGTGCTATCGTTCCTTTCTTGGGGGTATCGTGTCATGATACGCCTTGTACCATCGTTTTCCCTTCGCCTCGCGAGGTTTTGGTTTTTCTCATTAAGAGAGTGCATCCTGTTCGGTACCAGCCCGGTTATCATGCACTTCAGCATTCGTTTATTTTTCTCCTCTCCACGACTTCAAGCATTATGCCTTTGGTTCCTCCTTACCTTAATGACACTAATAACCATGCCTCTTCAGGCGTACGAATTTCGTTTTTGCTCTTTTTGTTGGTGGTTCAGTCGGTTTTAGAGATCCTTTTTTCACTAAGGGGCTTGGTTTCCCCCCCTTTAACGCCCTTTTTCCTCTTTTGTTTCCCTTTTATTTTGTACACCACCAAACTCCAGCTAGGATTGAATGACAATGAGTTCTTCAAACTTCGCGTTCTGTGCTATATGTAAGATTTACCTTTTTTTCCCGCATTCGTTACTGACCTCATAACTGATAGGCATTTAGTCCCCCTGTATCATATGGAAACATCAAAACCAGCAGGCTTTGTCCCATAAGTTATATTCAACACATGACAATGGCCCATCACCAATGTTAGAGTCTTAAAAAGCTGAATTTCATTTTAGACAAATCTTATTTGCCTATCAAAACTGCAATTTCGGGTCTATTGCTGTGGTACAGACCGTTTTGGGTTTTCTGGCCCAACTGTATGTATATTCCACCTCTCTTGTCGAAACTCTCCGTGTCCAGGTAGACATGTCTTTAGGGCCTCTTTGACTCCACCTCGAGGGGTCAAAGTTGAGAAAGCGCATCTTCTTGCCCAGAAGAAGGTAGGAGCTCTTCATGGCTTTGTCGTCCTCGGGGACGACGCACTTACGATGTTCGTGAACCTTGTAGAATTGTTGCAATTCCTCGTCCGTGCTGCAAAAAGGCCTGGCGTCGCAAAGGGTTGACTCGGAGCCGCCGTTTTCCTCCCCGACAAATGAGAACCTGGAAGACTTTCCTGCGGAACGGATCGAGGGTGGTGATGTGCTCATTCATGTCTTCGGCGAAGTTGTACCTGTTGATAATGAGCTTGAACCTGACACCGTGCTCGCGGCACAAGTTTGCGGGGCGCATCATGTCTGGGAGATGCGCCCCTTTTCCACTCGTAAAGACGTTTTGAGATGCGAAATGAGATGATCGAAATCCCAATGTTTGTTAACCCGGGCGTGAAGTCATATAGTACATGCAAACACTTTAGTTACATGGCTGGATGAGCAGTGTCGCTGCCGTGCAACTGCGCTTCGGGAAGGAGAGCGCATACAAAATGAATAAAGGAGAGGATTGCTCTCCTGGTGCTTGCTTTAGCGGCGGAATGGTAGGAAGGGCGATGATGCCAGAAGGAAGGCCACAAGTTATAAAGTTTAACCAAGGTAACTTAGCTCAACTTGCTTTCAGAACTCCTTGCCAGCGAAGCTGTGCTGGGCAAAGGCAAAACTGTCTGAGATGCCACGCTGCAACGTGCAGGATGGAACCTGGTTCTAAATCAATGGTTCCGCAATCTCTAGCTAGCGCTAATATCATATTTATCCTGGGAGGAACCGGCGCTGGTAAAGGCACTCAATGTGCAAAGCTCGCAACAGATCCCCCTGTGGTGCACCTGTGTGTCGGAGACCTCGTCCGGGCTGAACGGGAGCGTTGTTCACCTGGTGCCGGGCAATTGATCGAGAAGTGCATGCGCGAGGGCACCGTGGTTCCTTTGGAACTAGTGATAGGACTCCTGAAAGCAGCCGTCGTCGGGCATGTTGAAGCCGGCCAAATGAATATCCTTTGTGGACAACTTCCCACGGGATATGCAGCAAGCAGCGGCCTTCGAAGCGCAGGTGCCTATAATCCGATCTTTGTACCCTGGCAGACCCTCCGTCTAACTAGCGTGGGTAGATTGGGCCCTGCAGAGCAGCCATCTTCTTTGAATGTTCGGAGGAGACACTGTTACGCCGTCTTCTCCAGCGGGGAAAGACTTCAGGCAGAGTGGATGACAATGAGGTCTCCCTTCGGAAAAGGATGACAGATTTCAACGAAAGGACCATACCTGTTATCGAGCATCTGAAGCGGTTGATCGAGTTAATAGCGGTATGAATCGCACATACCTAGGGTGAAATATCCCTTTCCTTGCTAATAAACCAGGTGGACTGCGAGCGCGGAATTGATGAATTATATCCATCGATAAAGCAACTGGTAGAGGTATGGGCCGAATTGGTTTTCTATACCATTGTATAACTAACTGCCTCCGAGTATCTTCTCCTCCCTGGCCACACGACTCTCAAGAGATGACTAGCTAATTTCTGGAAAAGGCTCTGTTACTTTGGGACCGGATGGGGTTGTGCTCTAGCTCAAACGCCATGGGTTCGCAAGGCCTATATCATTTTCTTTCAAGAAAGAACCATTAGAGGGAGCAACATAGTCTTGGAGAGGATGCAGAGGTAGTTCTGGACCCTTGGGCTACGATCACCCTTTCGGATCCTTTATTCCATTTCGAAAGTCCCCAGTGTGCTGAAGAGGAATTTTATTTCAGCCGTGAGCCAGGCTCAAAACCGGTTAAATATCTCCTTGTTACCGGGATCCCTAGGGTCGCGGCGCTGTACATTCCCAGCCATCTTCACAAAAATGATTCCAGGGAGAGTTTCGGGCAAGACAAACCTTCTCTTCCAGAGAGCTCAGAGTATGCGAAGTGTCTCTCAGTTGCGGATGTCGTTGATCTAGTGTTTTCCAATGCGATATCTGCTCATACGCTCTGCAGCTTGATCAGACACTGATTCTCGCCTCCACCGACCGTGGATTGGACAGTTACTATCAGCTCTTCAAAAGTCTAAGAGCTCTTGGGCTAGTCGATAAGATCTACAGAATGGTGCCATCGGCACCTGTGGCGATAAGATCGATATGTGCGCCACTGTATAAGGCTCGCTGGATCCTTCCTATGGCAGGCCTGTCAGCCAATGCTTCTCATGATCTTGACCGTCCTCGCACTTTTGCTTGTATTGCTATGTTTGAGTCAAGACATCTTAATCTCGATCCCTATTTACTAAATGAGGTCTTCCCAATGTCCTCAGTTGACTCGCTGTTTATCAGTGGTTCACTTTTATGTGATCCTTCAGAAGTTCCAGATCAGTTTGAGGTATATCGTGTTGTTGGCAATGTCGGTCGCGCGGGCATAGCCCTCCTAATACCGCCGCAAGCTCCTCAGATTAAGGAGGTTTGATATCGGATCATGGAACTTGCTCTCACACGATGAGTTTGACGGGGAGATAATCGATTCCTTTCCGGGGACATCAATGCACCTAGCCTTCTCAGGATATAAGCTACCTCTTCAGACTGGTGCTAATGATATGCAAGATGTCGATGCCTATTTGCTAGAATCGATCGTCCAAGTCCGGGACAAAGGTAAATGGGTTGCAGATGTTGATATCCTCAAAGCTGTGAAACCCCAGGGCAACCTCAGCCGCGTGGGGAGGTACCGAAGCAATGACAGATGCGATCACTGTGTATCTCCAACCACGCTTGACATACCCATGACCGCTATAGACACACGGGAAGAATTGCTTGAGGGCCCTGAAAAACTAGCCGTTGCACGAGCTCATGGCAATTGATTAAGTAGGCTTGCATTGACATGCGTCGCTGCACATAAGGGCCACAGTATTTATATCCTCCCATCTTCGTTTTGCTGGAAGTGCGCATGTTCCGGTGCGAGTCACTTGAAGCAGCACGATGATGAAGCTCTGCATGCAAAACATGATGGCGAGTATACGCCTCCTCAGGACTGCGTTGTTATGGTTTTGTGAATGTATCGACGCTTTTTTATGGATAGGAGAACGCGATTGGTCTCAATGGTCTTTCTAGAACCCTGGATTTCCAACTCTGCAGCAAGTGTAAGCTTCTGAAGCTGAAAGCTATGGGATTAAGAGACGTCCAGCAGCGGTATGGACAGGTCGAGAGTTTTTTTCTCTAGGGTCAGGCTATGCTTCTGAGATTTGCAAGGCGTTGGCATTTAATGTCCGCAAATGAGGGATTGGTTTCACCGTTTCCCAACAATAAGTGGAAGACAAGTTGAATTTGGTTGAACTTCTCTGGTCTTTGCAATTTTTTAACAAAAGCACAATCCGGGCATCCCAGATGTTCAACTGATGGCACCGTAAAAGGCATCAACGGGGTGTACCTCGTAATCGACACTCTCCTTTATATTCCATGTCCGTGACATCCTCCGAAGATATATCCGATCAAGTATTTTCGGGAAACACGTTATCGTGAACGCACACAGTTGGTGTCGTCCAAATTCCGCATTTACCGTCCACGACTCCCTTGCTCAGACAGGGTCAGTTGAGTAAGGCAAAGCTATGCTTGGCTCTTTTCCTCCGCATTGCGTAGAGGGCGTCAGCCATGGGTACGGCACTTTTAGCAACATAAAGGACATTCTTAAGCTTTTGCAAGAGGAATTAGTGAATTCCCACCGGCCTAAGCTGATGAATCCACAGGTTGGCATTATGACACCTTTTTGTAAGTAACAAGGAGAGTAGGGAGGAGTGCGTTTTCACGACGGCCGATATTCACGGATCACGAGGGAGCTTCATCGAAAAAATTACCCTAGCAGCCTCGACCGCGGTTCGAAAGGCCTAGTTTAAGCTTCCGGATACGATGCAGTGGGCGATCTCACGAGAAAACCCCACCGCGAGCTGTCGCTCTGTGCCGTCCGCTCCGAGGTTTGAAACACTTCAAAAAGGCTGGTAAGACTCCCAGCGTGGAGAGCAGCTTCATTGTTTATATGTCATCTACCCGTTAACAACGCCTCATTGGGTCGTTCACATTCGGAGGGATTTCAATCGTAAATACTTAATCTACTTTAATTCCCAGACAAGACTCCTAATAATAGAAGGCAATCACAATGGTAGATTTATCTTTCCAAGTTCCGTTCGTTGCGGTTGACAATAATGCGTGGACAAATGCTAATTTACTCCTTTGAAAAGGCCTCTTCCTCTGCTTCACCTGTCCAGCCAAAGCTGATCCGCCTCCTCTACAATTCTGCCTGCGTCATCCTCACTGCGGACCTATTCATTTTCTACACGGGTTCCCGCCTCCTGTTTCCGGAGCAAGAGGAAATTCGTAGCAGCGCCGCCCTGCGCTTCTTTCTGCGTTGTGCAGCAAATACGTCTTTCCCGTTTGCGTTGTGCAGTTGGCTCCTCCGAGATTATCATATCCGACACACGCACGTAGGACGAGTGGTAGGATCGTGTTTTGCCCTGTCTCATGCTGCCTCAGTGGCCCTGTATAGCTGGAGCAGGTGGGTGGGTGGGGAGTACCAACTCGCAAACTTTTGGGGTATTGTTGGCTTGCATGGTACTTGGGCGGGCATCGCCTTGTGGGGACTACTCAGCGCGTAGTTGAGTGATAGAAGATATATAGAGGAGTGGCTGCGATTAATCCGCGACGGCCATAGATATAACGAAGCAGCATGTGTTGGGAAAACCGGTCTGGCTGATACGGCAGTGGTGTTCCGCCTGCTGGCGGCAAGGACTGTAGCTTGTATCATATTTCCTCATCCTCCACTTCCTCAATCTGAACGTGTTTGAGCTCTCGCCGAAAGCGTTCCTCCTCTTCTGCTAATGTAGCTGCATCAAGATTCGCTGAGGTGGGCTTTGTTTCTGAATCTGTCCGTTCAGCATTAGCCGCAGGGCCAGAAGCCTGAGTAGTAGAAGTATATCCTTCTTTTTCTAAACGGTCCAATTCTTCCGGTTCTACCAACCGTCCCTGGCCTTTGACAGCCGCCTGCTTCACCCTCACAGCCGCAGGAACAAACTTGCTCACGGCCTCCTGTTGTAGATTTCTGATGACCGGTGCAGATTCGTAGACTGTTCTAGCTTCCACTGGAGGTTTCTCTGGTAGACCGTGTGTCTGGCGCTTTTCTTCGCCCTCGTTATCACGGGCAGGTCCTCGTCGTAGGTATTGGCGTGGGATCGGGGGTGGAGTGTCCCTCGGCATGGGTATATTTCGAACGCTCTCGTCAGTATCGCTACTGTCATCATGTCGTCTCCGCTGATCCCATCCATTTCTTCTTCTTTTCCCCAACACTCCTCGATCGGAATCCGTGTCGCGGTGCCTCGACTCGCCACCCCCGAACTTGGGTGCGCGGTCTCCGAGGGCCTCTCTTGCCTTCTTAACCGCCTTAAGGTCTCTTTCTAGGCCCTCAAGTATCTGCTTGTCCCGTGGCCTCAGTGGCTGCCCCGACTCCTCGATCGCCTTCAGCTCGTCAATTTGCCGCTGGAGCCGCTCCGGATTCCGACGAGCGAGTTTCTCATTACGACGGGCCTGAAGCTCAGCCTTTCCTTTTTTCAACGCACGTTGTTTCTCCAATCGGCGCTGGGCTTGGGCCGGGTTGACGGTGCGCTCTTTGTCCTTCGCCATGGTAGAGCCGTCGATTCTAGAATGCAGGAAGGTGTGACTCGGCGGTTAAAACGTGCAGCGGCTTAAAGTTCAGAAGTGTGATAAAAGCGATATTTGGCTGTCAGTTGGTAGCTGCGGGTCTCGAGTACCGAACCGGGGAAAGGCTAAGAAGTCACGTCGAGCTCCACCGACGAGGTGTACGTACAAGCCCGGTTGGATGCTGCCTAGGCGCTCAGCACCCGATTCTGAAATCCTACAGGCTCGATTTTCCGGGGTATCCTCTCAATCCAATGGAGGCCGATGGTATGTTCCGGGAGGCGTTGAAGCCTCACAGGTTGGGCAGCGGTAACGGTGGATCGTCTGCCTTCTCGTTCGTGTTGTATGAAGCGAGCTGAAAGCTGTCTACGTCGAGCAAATATGGGTGATCTTTTCGTCCTCCAACGATGCAGAGGCAAAGAGGAAGAGATTCGAGGGTTGAAAAAGCCCCGTTGCCGCTTCTCGCCAATTAGAGGCCCCGATGGTGACTCTTTTTTTTTTTTTTTGTTTTTGGAACCGTGGGTTTCGGACGTCCTCGTCTTCTGGGGATGCACGCGTGATGGGGAGCTTTGACTTGGATTTTGTTTTTCCCTTTCCTTGTTTTTTTTTGCTTCTTTTTAATTCACTGAATTCTGTGGTAGGAAAATGGAGTCAGTGTCAGGATCCATGGAAGCGCTAAAATGGAGCAGACCTTTTCCGCATCTTAGCCCCAGGCGGGAGGCGACAGACCGCTTCGACTGATACTGTCGAGCCGGGAGTAGGCTGGCAACGGTTTTACATCAATGGGGGGATGAGAACGGGTGTATTTTGGGCGCAGCAAAGAGGGTTGGGTATGGTTGTTGGCGTCTGTCTCCTGAGAACGTTTTGTAGTTACTTTTTGTCGCTACTCCACAACGGTCAGCAGCACATCCCATTTCTAGAACCTTTCAACGCTCGCTCCGCTTCGCCGCCCGCAGCGTGGTTAGATGACTCTTTCTGCCTCTCTCTTAGGGTCTCTCTCTCTATCCCACTGAATACACCGTCCTTGCTACTGCTATACCGGCCATTTGTCCCTTGTTCGCCTCTTGCGCATAGTTGCGACGCTGAATCCGCCTCTCCCGTTGCGCCTCCTGGTTGGCTGCGGATAGGAGGCGAGTCTCCAAACACATCCAGATCTGTACACCACGACCATCCTGCAGTCCAGGTATATTCAAGCGTTACGAAACCGTTTGGCGCTATCTCAAACGAACTCATCTGTCCCAAGCCAGCGTGTCCTGCCTCCTTTCCACCATGCTCGGCCGTCAATTCTATCTATCAAGCTCATTCCGCACTCCCGTCGAGCGTCGATTCTAAGAGTATGTCTTTGGTATACAAGTCGGTACCAGATGTCCGCGTCAATGTCCGTTCCTGATGCCCGACTTGGCCTCACATCGTCCGAGTGGCAGATGGTTGTACACCAGCAACAGATTGCGCTGCAGGGCAGCCATAATGGCAGCATGATTTCACGGGGGAGAGGTATGGGGAGGAGCACATCAAGTTCAAGAGCCGCCAGTGCTGCAAGCAGCCAGGGAAGGCTCCTCTTAGATCCGGATAGTCTCCAGGCTTTGTATTATCAGCTCGACCATCTTCTGAGGGACATTCGCCGGAGGATTGAATATGTAGGTCGCCCCGTGTCTCCTTGGTCCGCTGACGCAGCTTCTACATGTTCTATTTTCCCATCTGCCAGTCCCCTGAGGTCTGATATCTTGTTTGGTTGTTCTTTTCTGGCTCTGGACTTCTGCTTTATTTAGTGCATATTACTTCCAGAACTTGGGATGGCACCGAGTCATGTTCTAACTCTGCGCAGCTGAATGAGCAATCCGAACTTTCAATACAAAACACCTATGACCAAGCGGGAAATGTAATTGCGGATGCAGACGTGGAAATAGCACGTGTTCGACAAATCATCGCTTCTATCGACGAGCTGGAGATGGAGTTTGACAAGATCAAACGGATTCGAGATATCGTCAAAGGTTTTCGCGCCCGGGTAGAAACCTTGGATCATCGCTTGGATCAAGCATCGCGCAGGCGGCGTTGATGCTGTAGCCCTCTCCCTTTCTTTTTTTTTTTTTTTTCTTTTGGCTTCCTTTGGCACCTGCAGCGGCGATCTCGTCAACTATACATCTCTAGACGAACACGCAATTAACACCATACGATATGTTTCTGCACGGAGCAATTTACGGAGTTTTGTATGATGACACGAAGGAACGGCTTTCATTCTCTTTGATATTATATGTGAAGAAGACCTCTCTGCTATGAATACGGTTCCACAACACCATATTCCACGATCTCTAAACGGCTATTTTCCCCCGTTGGACCCATAATACCTAATCCGCTACCCGCCTTAAGCAGCTGTCCAACAGCCATCAACCACTCGCGCCCATTTCTCCGGCTTAGACGAACCCCATTCTCTTCCGCTGAATCTACACTGTGCTTGGGTTCTACAGCATACCATCAGGCTCATGACACACGCTACTCGCATATTTCATATCTTCTGACTTGTAGATATCTGATCTTGCCTCTCTATACTTGCAGCGACCTTATACCCACCCCTCCCCAGACTACTATTTCTCAGATATTTTCTTTTGTGTTTTTGTCTGCCACGCGCCAAATGCTTGACTTTCTCTTTTGACGCTTTTTGTAATTTTTCCTCTGCTTCTTCTTCTTTTTTTTTTTTCTTTTTTCTTTTTTTTTTTTTTTTGGTAAGATTGGTTCATGCCTCACGGCAGCAGAATGTGCCTTTGACCCCATATCATTTTTAGTTTACTTTTATCTAACCTCTTTTCAGACAGCATTTTTTTTTTTTATATGCTATTTAACATTGCAAAAACATTTAATGAAATATTTGATAATGTCTGGTCTAGCTCCCCTTCAGCCCGTGTAGTATATATGGAAATCGGGATACCATCCTGAGATCGAAGCCATAGCAAGATCGAGTAAAGAAAATTCAACTTTGCACAGTTGTACGCAATGCGCATACCGTGACGCAATCCTTTCGAAACGTCAGGTGAATCGGCATCCTTCCACATCTGAAAACAACTCTCATTCGAAATAGTTGTATCATTCGTGCCTCGGACTGCAAGTCTCCCATTTCGCATTATAGCTGTAGAGAGCAAAGCATAAAGAGAGAAATTTGGTAGAGAATTCGGAGTCGCCTGCTAATTTTAAGTCTGAGCGACCGCTTACTCGCCCTATTTGTTGCTCCTGTGCACCACCTAGGAACATACTGTCCCAAGTCGCCTGGACCCAGCGCCAGACTTCAGGCAGAGCACCTAGGCAACGGTCCTCGCCTTCCCCCCTTCCCCCTCCCACAAACAAAAAAAAAGGAAGAAAGGAAAAAGAAAAGAAACGCAAAGGTTCCGAGAACGAAGACGGCCGTGGCAAAGTTTCCACCGTGCCTTCAGCCTGCAGCAACTTCTGTTTTGGCTGCATCATCTGCATGTCGTCGGCGATCGACAAGTTTCATGGTTCTCTTCTTAACTTGAGGGTACCGCTTTACAGTTCCGCAAACGCCGCACTTGACAACGAGAACATCCGCCCATGGCTTTGTCCCACCACGACTCTTGTTCTCAATCTCTTTCGAACAAGTCGACCCAGGTACCAGTATAGTATCACATCGTTTGCATAATGTGTGTTTGACGCCTCGGGGTAATTTTTGCTGAGATTTCAACGAAGTGGCTCGAAGCTGGGAGGCATATTGACGAGCCAGATGTGACGGGCGACCGATGATGTTGGCGGGCAAATCTGGCGCTGCGGGTTGGTCTAGCGACTCTGGGGCACGAGCGATGGAAAGGCTTTCCATGTTCCCTGCACGTAGCGAGCCGATTGGATCCCTCTCTGCATGTTGTAGCTTGCTCAACGAAGCAGGATCGTGAGCAGACTGGAACAAAAGGGAAGCCTTGTACAGATATGATATTCTCGCGAAAAGATGGCCCTGTGCTCCTCCGGCAGAGCCCTTCTGGCCCTTCGCCTTCGCCATCGTTTCCCGGCAACAAACTGCCAGAGAAGCTTCTTGATTGATATCGGGAAACAGCCGCAGATCGAGTTTTAGTCATCAAGCTAGGGAGAAAAGCTTCCTTCTAGCCAACAGCCAACCACAAGATGAAGAAATTCCTTCGCGCCACAGCATTGGCCAATCAGAATTTTACAAACTCCATTCGGAAGATGCTGTGGCGCGTCAGTTACCACGTGACTGTACCATTCCCGAAGAGGCTAGGTGGCGTCTGGGCGGCTCCGGGGCGCCAGCGAAGCAAGCAGCCAACCTTGACTCTCCCTCGCTGACAACCTCCCGACTCACCTTTTTGCACCGCGCCGTCTTTGTCTCTTCTCCGTCTTCTTCTAATCAATTCCTCGCTACATTCTATTGTAAAACCGTCCATTATTGACTTCCTCTATCTTTGTTGTAATTTGCAGACGTCTTTTGTATAACTTGTTGCCTGTCTGCTTTCCAACCACCTCAAATACTCTGATTTTCACGTCAACGCGTGTCCGCACGACCACCTCAAAAAAAATCCATCACCATGTCCCACGAGGAAGATCTGATCGACTACTCCGACGAGGAGCTCCAGACAACCGATGCCGCTGCTGCTGCCGCCACCGCCGCCGCGGCTGCAAATGGCGCCGCTGTGAAAAAAGGTGACTTGACCGTGTCTGGCGCGCGTGCGGACAAGAAGGGTAGCTATGTTGGCGTCCACTCGACTGGTTTCCGCGACTTCCTGCTGAAGCCGGAGCTTCTGCGTGCGATCACCGATTGCGGTTTCGAACATCCTTCGGAGGGTTAGTTAAATCATCTTTTTCACAAAGCTTTCCTCCACTTCCTGCATCTTCAAACGTCCGTCCATCCATCACGAGTGGGGTGATTGTCGAATCAATCAGCCCATCACGAAGCCTTCAGGCGGCACGAGGATATGCCTTCGAAGATAACAAGACTGTTTGCATTGAAGCTGCACCGTTGGCCCCTGTGATTCCCTGTGGGGGATTCTGAAAAGGGCGTGCCGTCGTGGGCTTTCTCCAAATGCAAGTTCACTGTTGATCGCTCATCACGAGGGATATATTCGGTTTCGATGTGGAAATCGAGAACTCAGGGTGCAAAATACCTGGTTGTGGGATGGAATCCTCGTGTCGACCTGTACGAAGGAGGCTTTGAGTTGTGTCATGAGTGCTCCCTTGCTCCGGCCATTTACTGCAATTTCCACGCTCCTTTTTTTCGGACCTTTCCCTCCCTATATATTTGTTGATTGTTCCATGAGACCCTTTTACGATGGACGGACGTTTGGGATATTCAGCGTCAAAATTATGCCAAGTTTTAAGCATTGGATCGAACCAAGTCTAACATATCGCTCGCTCCTCATACAGTCCAGCAAGTTTGCATCCCGACCGCCATCCTCAAAGTCGATGTTTTGTGCCAGGCAAAGTCCGGTCTGGGAAAGACAGCAGTCTTCGTTTTGACCACCTTGAACCAGCTTGAGCCTGTTCCTGGCGAGTGCTCGATCCTCGTCATGTGCCATACACGAGAGCTTGCCTACCAGATCAAGAATGAGTATGCTAGATTCAGCAAGTATCTCCCCGATGTCAAGACCGCTGTCTTTTACGGTGGAACCCCAATGCAAAAGGATATCGAAGTTCTCTCCTCCAAGGACACCTACCCCAACATCGTTGTGGGTACACCTGGTCGACTGAACGCCTTGGTCCGCGAAAAGAAGCTTTCCCTTCGAAACATCAAAGCCTTCGTCCTAGATGAGTGCGATAAGATGCTAGACCAGATAGGTGAGCACTTTGTCGAGTTCTCTCGCTTTAAATGTCGCCAAGCCCTCTGACGCTCTGATTTATCTAGACATGCGACGTGATGTCCAGGAAATTTTCCGCTCCACTCCTGCTGACAAGCAAGTCATGATGTTTAGCGCCACCCTTTCCCAGGAGATTCGGCCCATCTGCAAGAAGTTCATGCGGAACCCTCTGGAGGTTTACGTGGACGATGACACCAAGCTAACCCTCCACGGTTTACAGCAATACTATATCAAACTCAGCGAGGCGGAAAAGAACCGGAAACTCAACGAGTTATTGGATAATCTTGAGTTCAACCAAGTCATTATCTTCGTCAAGAGCACCCTCCGCGCGAACGAGTTGGACAAGCTTCTGCGTGAATGCAACTTCCCTAGCATTGCAGTGCACTCTGGAGTGTCTCAGGAAGAGCGGTAAGTGTTTACGGATCCGATATTTGTTTCTATTCTATTTTTTATTTTTTTGGGGGAAAGGGAAAGGAAAGGGCCTCGAACTAACTTGAACCCTTCTTAGTATCAAACGTTATAAGGAATTTAAAGAATTCAACAAGCGCATCTGCGTCGCGACCGATGTGTTCGGACGTGGTATCGACATCGAGCGTATCAACCTTGCCATCAATTACGATATGCCGGCTGATGCCGATTCATACCTTCATCGTGTGGGTCGTGCTGGCCGTTTTGGTACCAAAGGTCTGTCCATCTCCTTCGTCAGTAGTGAGGACGACATGAAGACTCTTAAGGATATTGAGAAGCGATTCGAAGTGGCTCTGCCGTAAGTAACTCCCGGTCCTTTAGCCGAGCGAATGACTGGAGAAGGTCTAACTCGTGTCTACTCAACAGTGAATATCCCGAAGAAGGAGTTGATGCCAGCACCTACATGGCGTAATCTCCTGGCTTTCGTCAGGGATCGAAGCACTATGGCCGCTTGCAATGGATCGATTTGATGATACTGTAATTCTCCTCACGGTTCTAATCTCGTTTCGAAAGATTTTGTCTCAATAGCTCAAAAGGGTCCTTCAGGTTCTTTTCTCTGTTTAGTTTTCTTTTTCTTTCCTTTTGCTTTCTCCTTTTCTTTTTTCTTTTTCTTTTTTTTTTTTTTTTTTTCCCAGTGCGCGTTATCTGGTGTTTTAGTTTTACAACTCACTTTTGCCTCCAACGCCCTAGCGAGTTTGCAAATAGGGGATAGGGAATTACTCGGGGATAAAAGCCATTCAATAAATGTTGTTAACTTGCTTTGCGCAATGACTTGGGCGATGTATGGGGCCGTTCTCTCTCTCATCTGGGGGGCTGAATGTATTGTTAGGACAGGCGTGCAAATGGAAGTTTCACTGCTTTGCACTGGAAGATATGGTCTGGCGTATGGGCCATTGATGATCAACTGGCCCTAGAAACAACACCTTCTATCTTCCCAGCACTCATACCTGATACTTTGCCTCGTATCTCACCCTCATGCCTCAATATCTCTCGTCTCCTGCCTACAAGGTCTGATGCCTTCCGGGAAAAACAAATCCCGGTAACTTTGAGGCACCTACCATATCGGAATTTTGTAGGCCCGAAAAACCGTGGAACCCTGATGAACCCACCGTAAACAGCGCCTGAAAGGTTCCCGCAGCAGGAATGACATGTTTACTGTTCCTGAATAGGAAACGGTTCTCATTTTTAAAGGTTCCCCTGCCTGAGAAATGTTCCCGATTGCTGTAGAATGATTTTGGAATGGTGGGAATGTTCTCAGAGTTGCTGAGAATGTCAGTAGGAACCCAGTTGGAATGCTGTCAGGAATTAACTACTACAATCCTAGTTCCAGGCACCATCCATTTCTAGTCCTTGATCAAATATGTACAAAGCAGGCAAATCTCAGAGAAATGAAACATCCCAGGTGCATAGTAGAAAGGTTCTGGAATCATGACCACTGAAAACCAGATTGCTGCTGGCATCCAACACCTCACTAATTGGTATGGCATAAAGACTCAGCTTTTTAATTGCAGGAAGTCCAATAATGGTGTAGTTGCCACCCCCTAGGTCTACCTGCACAATTGGTAGGTCTAAAACCTGATCTCTCATCATTTCCAATGCTGGAATCACTGAAAAGAATACCCTTTCATTTGTATGCAATTCATGAATGAAAATGCTGGTAATTTGCCTGATGGCAGGGCTGGTTCCATGTGTATACTCAATCAAATCATCAATCATTAGTTTGATTTGCTGGTCTCCAAGTGAGAAAGTAATATTCTTATAGAACCATATTGTGGTTGAGCCTGGTTCCACTACAGACAGCTTATCCCAATCTTCCTTATATGCATTTCAGAGTTTCTGCAAAAATGGGTGGAGATTTGGTAATATGGATAGCTGTGCATTTGGGATATCTAGCACTGGCACCATTTTTCCTGCAGATTGTTGTGCCCAGAGATTCAGAGAATACTCACCAGCAATATCTTTGCCTTCAGCATCTGGTGCCTCAAATTCATCTTCATGCAGATTGGTATTCAGTCAGAGTAAGTCTGTGAAAAGAGTTGGGCAGTGCTTATAGAGGTTAGAGATATACTGAATCAAGGATGGCTCACTATTGGCAAATGCTTCTTCAAGTAGTAGAAGCAGTGTACATCTGAAGCTCTCTTGCATTAACAGAACCTTTTCAACATCTCACTTGTTTGTTCTCTGGACCAGCTTCTTGTATTTCTGATGCTTGTTCTCTCCAATGAGAATATTGCAATTGTTCAGAATTGCATATTCATTTGCTTGTGCTGGATAATGTATGTCAACATGCATATTTGGGTGGTTTTTAAAGCTCTGAATTGCCTTTGTCTTCTTCTTTGAATTGAAATTTTCTGCAATTGGGACACCTGTCTCTTTGACATATGAATCAAGTGCCAGGAGCTCAATTGGAACAGGAGATGGCCTTGCACTGGTTATGGAAGCTGCTCTAGACCCTGCTTGAGTGCCTGCTGGATGGGTAGTCTCAACAGCTGATGCAGCAGCATCAATTAAACTTTGTAGGTCCTGTCAGGCTGTTGTGATGATCTCTTGCAATCCCATGGAGGCAAATTGAGCTGGTGATTGGGATGTTAGGACAGAATTGCTGTGTGCAATTCCAGCATAAACCTGAACAATCAAATTCTTTGTCAATCTTCCAGAGTGATCTTTAAATGTTATGGGCATCATTTGTTGCACTGCTGGATTTATCCATTCCTGGGTCATGTAGCATTGGAGAAGAAGTGGAATTATGATAGATGCTCACACATGCTCCTGTAATTGATAGGATTCCAAATGAGTAAGCAGAGATTGAAGACAGGCCCATCTCTGACAGAATGGAAACCTCTGAAGCAATTTACAGTATTCTTTTTGACCATGGGGTGTAAGAATCACTGAAACCAATAAATAGTGTGCCAGTTTTGATATTCCTGAAAATTCACTGTGACATGGGTCAGAAGAAAAGAAGGTCACCAGATTGAGAGATGGGCATATTTTAAGCAATGCTGTCTGCTCTTTGGCCATTTCATATTCCTTGCAGAGGCTTTGCTTTAAAGCTTGGGTTTCTGTAGAGTTGATTTTTTCTCTCTGCTGCAGAATCTGAAAATGATAGTGTCCTTTGGCAATGGTATCAAAATCCATGTCATGTTGCTGATTCTCCAAAACCATGCAGCTCTGACAAGAACATGTTGCTGTAGGCTCTTTTATTCCAGCATTGGCATTCTGTTGTGGCATATCCCCAAGAAAACAGAGACAAGAGAAAATAACTCTAGTGACTCTCTTGCTAGAAATATTCATATTAATGCCCTTGTCAAGCAATGCTAGACTGGGCTCCAAGACTTCAATCACATCAGGAAAATTGGTTCCATGTGGCCCAAAAGTAATTGTATAAACATTGTTACACTTGGCTCTTTTGGTAGCTTTCATGCTGGCAGATATCATGTAGACACCCATAAGGCTTCAGTACATGTTCTGGTATAGGCCAAATCCATCAATGAAAAGTTGGTAGGGAAGGGATATAATCTTTTTGCCATCAGAAAACATTTGCTTCAATACCTCCCTACCATATGCTGCTATTTCTAGCTCACCATGTAGTGGAGTGCTCATATTAAGTGGTCAAGCTTCCAGTGTTCCTGATTTCAAAGTTAGCACTTGCTGCATGAAATATTGAGCATTCAGAAGCTCATATCCTGAATTCTCCATATTGAATCCATAGTCCAGGTATATGTCAACTCAGGAAAGAATATTGCCTGTCAAAACAAATGTTCCTTGGCTTTCAAGAGCAAGGACTTCATTTGGGTGGTGCTGTAGATTCAAATGGGATAATTTCCTGCCATAAAATGTCAGCATGAATCAGTATACTGGTTGAATTTGGAGAGTGATTGCATTTTCAGCAATTGGATTTGATCTTTTATTCTGACCAACAAATTGGACTCTCCCCAAATAGTCATGGTTTATTAGATCTTTATTGCAGGGGCAGTTGGTGTTGCAGCATTAGTAGAGAACAAAGTTGGAGGGAAATATAGGCTTGCCATTGCAGTAATATGCAAATTTGCCTGAGGAGTATTTAATGGAGCTTCCCCAGCTTCAAGATTGCCATAACTCTCTTGAGTTATCAACCAATTCAGTCATTCCTATATGCAGTTTCTTCTGGAAAATTGGTGATTTCACAAGTGTGGATATCAATGCAATGGGGTCCTGGAAATACATGTTTGTGTGCAATGCCACTTGAGCAAGTCTTTTGTCTGCATCTGATAATGTTGGCATTTTCTTTGGGATGACAGACAGTGGTTTTTGGTGGATAGGTAGTATTGGGAATTGTGACTGGCATCTCTTCTTTAATGTTGACAGTCCAGTAGGCATAAGTTTCAATGGCTTGATATCTGTCAGGTTCTGGAGGATTTCCCTCAGTGATTGGTATTGCTGTTGGGATATGCCTGTATGCTCACACCACAATGTGAGAGACATTAGGAATTGATCCATTTGATCATATGCTTTGGCCTGTGAGTGTGAAATAGCTTCTGATGATTCATTCTCAAGAATCAGCATTGTTACTTGGATATCCATTGTCTCTGGATCTTTGTTAATTTCTGGATCTTCTTCAATCAGGATTTCATTTTCTAGGCATGACAATTCTGCATCAGCTGCAGCATCTTTCAATATTTCATGTAATTGATTGTCATTGTTGGTATATGCTGGGCCAGCATTGCCATTGCCAGTATCTAATATAGACTATGCAATATTAGCCTCAGCATTTAACAATTCTAATAAACAATTTTTTGCACTATAAGACCAAATTTGTCATCATTGAAAATTGATGCCAAATCCTCCAGCTGCTCTGACTGTAGTAGTGTCAGGTGGGCACTGCTTTCATATTCAATTGACTGATGAATGCTCTCTCCACTTGCTTGATCCTGGGTCTGTTGTTCACTGGCAATTGAAGCATTATTGCTTGGATTTGGATCTTGGAGTGTGATTTTCTTGACTTTTTGGAGATTTGGATGTGACATTTCAATGACAAGGCTATTATTGATTGTATGAAGTTGTAAAAGAAATGCATGAAATGCTCTTGAAGTGAAGTGTCTTTGATTACTCTTTTGGGAAGTGAAGATTACCTGTTACCTGTCAACAGAAAATGTGGGGGAAATTGCTGATAGGATATGGAGTTGGGAATAACTGCTTTCATGCTGGGGTCAGGAAGCTTGCAATTGATATAGATTATAGTATATCCAAAATTCTACAAGGGTTTTGGAGTTAAATTCTCCAACATGGATGGTGAAGCTTTCTTTTTTGATGAATTCAATGTGGGCAACTTTGATGACATTGCTGCTGCAGGAACCAATGCAGACACACAGGGGGTGGATATACAAGATCAGAATCCTGAAAAAGACAAAGAGAATGAGAAAAGAGGCAAGAAGCACAAGTAAAGAGTTTGGCATCCTGATGCAGGAGAATATGAGAGAGAGAATCAGCCAAAAGAGAAGGCCCTGAAACAGCAAGTGAGGTGGATGTATCTCACAACATTCAGCAAGAAAAAACTTCCTGAAATTATAGAGAAAGTATATAAAACAAACAATGAAGACTCATATGTCTTCAGTTCAGCAAGAGTGTCTGCCCTGAAGTTTTTAAAGGGCTGGAAATGTAAAACATTGAGGAAGATGAGTGTTAGTATGCTGCCCCATAATATTGAGAGATCTTTTACTGACTGCTAGCAGAAGCATGTCAAGAATGTAAAGAAGATTGATCACAAGAACAATTCTGATATTGGCATGCACTGTTGCCAGGATCCCAACAAACTCTTTGCATATTTTGCAAAGCACTTTGACCCTGAAAAATTCTTTGAGATTTTCTTCTGGGCAGAGCCAATTGTTGATTATGAGAAATCAAAGCAATTAGGGCAATGGTATATCAAGTGTATGTCAGAATTGAAGACAAATATAAGGTAATGAGCATCACTGACCTTGATTTAGAGATATACACCAATTTGGTGGTGCAGGTCAAACTGCATGATGATCTCATGGAGAAATTGGGCTGTGAGAAGGAAGCCATCAGGGCATGGCAGGAAATTCTTGAATTTTGGGACTATATGGGACAACATCCGCAATATGAGAATGTCAATAAAGAGGACTTTGCAGAAAAGAGAAAGGAGATCAAGAAGAAGACAAGAGCTTCAGCTTCTGGAGCTGATAAGTTGGCAATTCTTACAAAGATTTGATTTTCAGGTGAGGCTCCACCAAAAGAGTGAACCACAAAATGCTGAATTGGCAATGTCAAGCTCTCTTGGAGCATCTGCACATTGATTAGCATGTATATATATATGATATAGAATTCAAACCTGAGCAGCACTGAAGCTGCAATAATTCTTACAATAATTCAACAGGCAAAGCAGCTGTATAGTAGAAATCAACTTTTCAAGAATTCCCACCAAAAATCTGCTGGAGGATTGCTTGTCAGGGTTGTGTAGGTAATATAAAAATCAACACATCTAGTAGAGTGCATGTCAACAAAGCCCTACCTAATCAGGACAGCTCTCATGTATATAAACAACTCCTCCCACAACCCCTTCTCTTCCTCTTCTCTCTCTCTCTCTCTCTCTCTCTTTTCAAGCCTTTCTAACCTTCATTTCCCCACCCCCTCTTTCTCTCTTCCATTGGTATTTCTTTTTGAATTCATTAATATACTTCAATTTGCAGAGGTAGGTGATCTGAGATATATGAGATTAGCAAAAGCTGATGCATTTTGCAGAAAAACATGTCAAAATGGTGAACACACATGGAACTCTGAAAGAGAACAAGCCAGGCTGTAAACCAAAAGGTAAAGCTTCAGATGGGCCATCAGTCTTCTGTCAATAATGCATTATGGCATATATGACCCTGAAAAATCTTGGAAAGCCCTGTGATAATGTCCAGGGCTCTGGCAACACTTGCTCAAACTGCTCACAAGACAAGAAGCATTGCTGTGACTTTCCTGAGACAATAATCAATCAGGTTCTTGAGTTGCAAAGTGCATACTTCAAATGGGTGAATACAATGAACACTGTCATCAAAAACACTCATGAAGTGGGTGTTGTTGCTTTTGCTCAAGCTATCAACAAAGAGTTGAAAACTGTTCTTGCAAATATGCTGAAAGAGACTCCTTCTGTTGATGATAAGCCAGACACATTAAATGATGAAGTTGTTAAAGCCCTCCAAGAGATTTCTGCAATCTTGAAAGAAATTCAGGAAATTCAAGAGGTGAACTTCATTGCAGTCTCCAACATAAAGAATGCTCTTAATGTAAGTTCACTTCACTTCTTATCTTTGAGGTGAAGATTCTAACTTTCAAAAGAATATGCCACAACTTATCAATTCAGGTCTTTGTGCAGCTCTTGCTGCTTGCTCAGCTCTGCCTGCAAATAACTCTCTTCCTTCTCATGCTGTAAGATATTCTCTTAGAATTGAATTGGAAAAGGGATCTAATAAGAGTGAATTAGTTGAAATGTTCCTTTGATGGTGCTTCCAATTCTGAAGCAAAAAGAACCTGCTTAAGCTTCTTGCTGCCACAAACTGTTCCTGAAACCCTGACTCTGATCAGGAGTCTTCAATTTTCTCCATTTTCAACCAGTATGTGTGCAAATAATATTTCCTGAAATATACTGACTGTTTACTCTGACAGAGCAACAAAGTATGGCATCAAAGGGTGTGTCTTCTTCTCATGATGTGACTCTGACACAAACCATCATTTCTGCAAAGTCAAGCATGCCAGCAGTCAAAAATCCTGATGCCAACAAGAAGAATGCTGAAAAGAACAATGCCAACAACAAGAATGCTAACAAGAATGATGCTGACAAGGATGCCAATAACAAGGATGTCAACAAGAAGGGTGCTGAAAATAAGAATGCCAAAAAAGCTGATGCAAATGTTACTTTCAATGTTAGCAGTGAAGGTTTCCAAAACTGGTTTTTTGGTCAGGGTGATCTATAAAGCAGCAGGAATTGTGTCACTACAGTAGTTACCTAGTTTTCAAAATTAAGAAAAGGTTCTTTCAATTTGAAATGAAATCCCTGATCTCATGGTTCAAATTTCAGTTATGTTCTAGAACTGAGCTCATTTCCCGAAAGGAAGCATTCTCAGAAAGGTAATAGGAATCCTACAGTGCTCCAACAGTTCTCTATTTGGATTATGGTTCTCGCACAATTCCTAATTAGGTTACCGTGAGATCTTGGAAACATAAGGGTTTTTCGGACCAACGAAATCCCGATATGGTAGGCTTCTCAGCTCAACACAAAAGGGAATCGCTGTGCTCCGTACACGCAAACAAAAGCTGCAAACTAGCGATGCAACTGAAATGCAATGGATATGGAGATTAGATCTAAACTTTAGCACCTGTAGAACAACCACTCCACGGTGACTCTCTGTGCTGACAACGGCCAAGCAGAGCGCCGCCAAGCCCTCCCCACGCCTCCCTCCATAACTGCGGGCTGTCACATGTCCCCGAGTTTCTCCCAAACGCCATCCGACCCAACCCCAAGTTCTCTTCCACGATCGATCTCTTCTTCTTGGTTTGCCGCTGGCCCATCCATCTGACGTTCGCCCGGCCAGTCACCCGCCAGCAGTCCACTCCACTCTATTCCTTGCTCTCCACGAGCGTCCATAACCACCATCCTTCGCTCCATTTCTCCAATGGCCTCATATTCAGGTAACAGCAGAGATTTCCTGAATCGTACATATCCGATTTAAGCGCGATGCCCTATGTCTATAAAAACCATGTGAACCAGCGCCAAACCCGGGAGGTCGTTCGGAGGGCGGACGGAGATGTCCAGAAGTCCGCTGGTACACTACTCCCTCGCCCGGTTGCCTCACTGGTAACCCTCTTTGCCCACTCTACGTCTCTCTCGCTCCGTGTCGGAACCTTCCTCGGGGGATTCGCTATCGACAGCTTTAGAGCGACGACGCTCACCGGCCTGGAGCTGAGTAGAGCTGTGGTGGAGAGCATCTTGATCCGGGCCGGTCGGGATGTTTTGTCCAGAAGCAGTGACGATTATGGGAGAGCGGAGGCTGAATCCTTGTTGGAGCGGAGCGTGAGTTTTTTTTCTTTCTATCTTTCTCCCCTTGCTTCATCCATGGGTGATGAGCTCACTTTAAGAAATAGGCTGACTTGGTTGATTATAGTTGGCAACGTTGCATTCAACGATAACCTCCGCTTCCTTCTTCGCGTCTGCGAGTTTCCACCTCTCTGCTACCACACTGTCCTCGGTCTCCCATTTTTCCCAATCTCTCCTGTCCACACTCGATGCGATCCTTGGGTCCTCAGAATCCTCTCGTGCTATTGCCGCGATCATCACGTTGATTCGACGAGAGTTTCGTAACCCAGAAACAGGTGTCCATGCAGGCAAAGTCGGCGTTGGTGATTTGCTCGTGGGTTGCATTGGCTTTGCTATGCTGCAGCGTTGGGGAAGGCGGAACACTGAGAGAGAGTTCAGGGAGAATGGAAACGAAGAGATAATCTGGGACGTCGTTATCCTCGACAATGGCCTCAGAGCAGATGTTGTGGGAACTCAGCGGACGGAGTATCCGCCCAACGTCGAATCGCTGGATACCCCGCCAACAAGGCCGGCTTCGTTCCTGGCACCTGAAGAAACAGATGCGGACATGACATTTCAAGCGATGGAACGGGAGTCGACTCCGTTAAACCCCCTCGGTCGACTTGTCCCACATGTGTCACTCCCCGCGGACCGCCAACATGCTCTATCCGATGAAGAGATTCGACATTACATCGTAAATCAGCTCCCACGCGGGTCGCATGCTACAATAAAGACCGATAGCGTAATCGCAAGGACCATTACTGTTGATGTATATGATAGTCAGCACAAATATATAGAGATCTCCCCACCTCCGGGAACAGCTCTTGTGAAAGAAAGTTTTCACGAAGATCACGACGCTGAGGGCGTCTCGGCGTATTCGGAAACGCAGCTACCCAAACATACTGTGGTGTTCCAGACGGTATCCAACCAATCTCAGACTGCCGAATTGAGGCCGGAGAGTCATTTCTCCCAGCACCCAGTGGAGGAGGAGATTGCTGGTGGGCATTCCCCACGGCTATCATCCCACAAGAGATCGCCGAAGCGGCCAAAGGTTAGCAGTTGGGTGAGCGACCCAGTGCCTACGGTCGAATTCACGCCCGTTAATGCAAAAATTCGGCAAGCTAGGTCTCGGCGACCTTCATTCAAAAGGACTATTTCAGAATCTTCGTTCAGTGGCTCGGAAATGCCTCGAGCTTCATCACAAAAGAGGTCTGTGGCGAGGACAACCCACAAGCTTATCTCCAATGCGGAAGCAAAGCTTGGAAGTATGACAAGTACGAAGAAGCGGCCGGCTTTTTCTTCTCCGACCAGCCGTCAGCCGTCGGACTTTAATAACAAGGAAAATGCTGCTGCTGGTCCTAAAGGTCTACTTCGCAGCGGAAGATCTAAGCAACCCGCACAACCCGCGGCACAGAGGCCCAAGTTACTGCCCGCCTTGCCTCTTACGTCAGGAAAACACGATGCACTGAAATCAAGACGGTCGGACGAGCACGCTGTCGACTCCCTTCCCGATACCGTTCCCACACGAGACTACTTTCCATCACACGAGAAGTGCGTCGAATCATACCTGGCCCGTACTGACGCGTATTCTCTACATGCATATCCGGGATCACCATCATCGCCTGCGGTTGCCAGAAATCATATCTCAAGCACCAGCAGTTTATCGAGGGTAAAATCTGACAGTGATATGCAGAAGTCGTCAAACGAAAACCTCCATTCTTACAGTCCCATAGCCTCCCGGAGAAATTCAAGCAAATCTCTTGCACCAACTGTATATTCCTTGGCAGAAGCGGATTCGAAAGCGTCACTCGTCCTTGCCCCGCGATTTGTCAGGAGTGTATATGAAGACCAGGACACGCTCTCTGCTCTCTCTAGGGATGGGAAATTCTTCGGCCTTTTTCCGTACAATCACCTGGTGCGAAATATACAACGCTTTTCCAGATTTTCGTCGGCGTCGTATGGATCGCATTTCCTCAGAGTTATGGGCATCTCCACTGGGCCACAGGATTGGCAAAATGGTGAGGTGGATCATCATGAGCATAGCTCGTTCTCCAACCATACAGGAATGCCTCCTTCAACGATCCTTCTCTCGTCCTTTGTGGATCCAGCTGGTGGCTCAAATGCTTCTGGGCAAACACAAGAAGGGTTCCCCTTGGTACATTATCTCACACTAGACCACGACTCAAAAGCCGTTGTCTTGACGCTGAGAGGTACCTGGGGATTTGAAGATATTCTCACCGACATGACATGCGACTACGACGACCTACACTGGATGGGTAAAACCTGGCAGGTTCACAAGGGAATGCTTGCGTCCGCAAAGCGTCTCCTTGAGGGCGGTGGCGCCCGTGTGATGGCTACCATAAAAGCAGCTTTGGAGGAGTTTACTGATTACGGTGTTGTATTCTGTGGCCATTCGTTGGGCGGTGGTGTTGCCGCACTTCTCGCGATATTAATCTCGAGGCCGAATGACACGGATATGTGTGGTCCATCGTTCGTGACCGCCTCTACGCACTCTAGCGGCACAGAGGGTAACATCCAACGTCAACCAGGACAATTCAGATTGCCGGCAGGGCGACCAATCCACGTATATGCCTATGGTCCACCCGCGGTGATGAGTTCGTCTCTGCGACTCGCCACAAGACGCTTGATTACCACAACCGTCAATGGGCAAGACGTCGTCCCATCATTATCCCTGGGTGTTCTCCACGACTTCCACGCTGTCTCGCTATCATTCAAAAGCGACGTTGCGGACGCCAAGTCATACTTGAAATCCCGCGTCTGGGACAGCATCAGCCGCAGCATCGCCAACAAGTTCTACATCAACCAACCTCCCCTCCTTATTCATGCTGGTAACGGTGTCGGCGAGGACTCTTGGGCTTGGAACACACTCAAGTCACTCCGCAGCCAGCTGACGGCTGCGAAGCTGATGCCTCCAGGCGAGGTCTTTGTGGTAGATACCATGCGCGTTCTGCAGCGCGACGCTTTTACATTGGATACGTCCAGCGGCGATGGATATCCGCGGCTGGGCAGGCCAGCTACCAGGGTGCAATTGAGATTTATTCGAGACGTGGAAGCACGGTTTGGGGAGATCAGGTTTGGATCAGGGATGCTGGGCGATCATAGTCCTGGACGGTATGAGGCGAGCTTGGCGGCTCTGGCGAGGGGAGTTTTAGATAATTGAATTTTTCTGTTTTTCTCTTCCGGGAATGGATACCCTCCGGAGTTGGTTGATTTCCCATTTTGTTTTAGACTTTACTGACGAGCTTATGAGGGGACTTATATACACAATTCCTTTGATACAATTGCACTTATAGAGCTGTCATGACGCGGTGGACAACTGAACTATATAATGTGTTAAAATTCTCGAGACCTCCAACAGCATTATCAATTGGCGTGAAACTCTAGAAAAAAAAAAAGATTAGAGCTTCTCCAGCACAAACAAATGACAAAATTCAAATTAATCTATTATACTATTCAAGATACAAGAAATCATACAGGACGAGGGTGGAAAACAGTGCACTCCTAATGGGTATAGCAATCATTAGAATTTCTCGGCAAGATGTCTTCTCTCGCCGTAGTTTGATTGGTTGACTGATTGATTGATTATGTCATCCACCGTCCCAGCCGCTTTGTCAGCAGCTATGCGGGTTGTGACCTCATGTGATCGCCAGCTCAGTCATGTGCTCTAAATACAAACTAAACAAACACAATGGCAAGCAAAATAAGCAAACACAATAACAAACAAACTAAACAGGCACAATAACACAAATACAGCTTTCTCATCCCATTCTCCATAACATCAAAAAGCAGTAAACATTGAAAAGCAAGAAATGAAATATATATAAAAATACAGATGAATTCTCAAATGCTATTCTTGTTAGGTAGCCACTGCTGGCCGGGCCGTATTCATCCGAAACTCTGATTCAAGGCTCCCAATCTCGTCGGCAACAAAGCTTCAACCACAGCTACAGCATCAAAAGCCTGGTCACCATCTTCTCAACTCACCGTCCCAATGCTTCAGCAACAGTACCCAGGCTCTTGAGCCGGCAGATGAGTGTGTACTTCACACTTTGCGCAAGCATGTCGCTCTTTTTCTCTTTCCTCTGGCTGAGAAGACGTGAAACTGGAGCGTCAACCGCGACTCGCTACCAATCCAAGTCGAAGTCAGAAGAGACCACCGTCGACAATGACGAAACATTTCGCATTGATATCGCACGCTACAGTGAAAAGAAATGGAGCCGTGGCCAGGAGCCTCGAAATCGTTCGCTACATGCCGTTGCAAGCAGGGCTCATTCACAGTGGCATATATCAGTTTCCTTTGAAGGCTCATTATACTCGGACGGGGTGACCCGTGCTAGGGTGGAAAAACGCCGACAGGACCTTGAGGATCTTTGTCGATGCCTTGATTTTGGCCGTCTGCGGCTCTTGGACGACACAGTGACACAGGTGTTTATTCGTCGCGAGAATGATGCTACTCTCCCTTCTCATGAGTATAATATCGCCGTCACTCACCGCCGCCCTCTTCCATTGAAAAGATCACTACGTTCTGACAGCGAATATACCCCTGTTTTCACTCGGTTGTGGTTCTGTATCCGAGAAGATCCCTTTCACGTGCGCTTCCCGCTATACCGTAGCGCTATTGGTATACCTACCATAGATCTGTTAGAGATCCGCAGGACATGCGAGCTGAGTCCTGGGGTGCACAAGGTCCACCTCGAGGGCGACAAACTGGAGTTATTGTACGTGTATAAGGAAGTTGACAGCCGACTATACATACCAAGAGACAGTCAAGTTTTGGATCAGGAGCTGCAGAACTTGCAATTGTTTCGTGGTGAAGGAGGAATTGTGCAGATCATTGCTGCTGTGATCTCCAAAAACCCATACCAGACAACACCTGGAACAGATTCCAGCAACCAAACTGTTCTACGGGGCATCCTTCTTGAGTACCATCCCAAGGGAACATTGTTCGATGCACTGCAAGGCACATCACCCAAGCCATGGGTAAAATGGGCACTACAGATTGCCCATGGACTTGCTTGCCTTCATCAGAGTGCAGTAACACATATGGATCTAAAACCGTCAAATGTTGTCATCAGCGCAGACGGCAATGCTGTGTTGATCGATATCAGTGGAATTGGAGGCACAACGCGAGAATGGCTGGCGCCTGAGATGCATGATGTAACAGACCCACTGTCTGAGAGTCTGAAAGCACGGATACAGAATGATATTTGGGCATTTGGGCAAATGTTGTCGGCAATGGCCAAAAATTCATGCAACAGTGAGGAAGAGAAGCTACTCCGGCGTGTTGCAGTAGGTGCCATGGCGAATCCTTCCTCGCGCAGTTCTCTTCACGATATAATTTCCCAACTCAGCTCTAAATAGCTTTATTTAGAACTCAGTCCAATCAATATCATCAGGATCAAAGCCGCCATCGGTACGATCATCTGTTTTAAATTAGCACATACGTATCAGTCGAGCCGTGTGAAGGGTGAGACTCACTTGGGCCCTCGCGCCGGATCCCTGGTTTCCTATCACACCCAGGAAGATAACAAAGGCCTCCTGTAGTCTTTGAATCTTTCTGAACCACCGTCACATACCTCTGTCGATTTCTTCGCGTCTTCGCAGGGCGTCAAGAGGGTCTTCACATAATGCCCGCAGGAGTGGACTCGGGTTAGGAATGTGCACATGTTGTGTATTGGGGGAATTGCTCTACAATATAACAGTACTCATTGGCATTCACTGTAGCTTCTACGCGAGAATGTTCCTGTTCTGAGAGAAAATTACTATTGATTGTAGTGATTTTTGATATCCAGTGTTTCAATCAACCATTGATCCTCCAGCTACTTCTTGATCCTAATCATTGTTGCATTTGACCTCTTAAGACGTCTCCTTGATTGCTTATCAAAAGAATCAAATTTCAACCTGATATTCTAACATGACGTGGTTCAAATACAACTTGAGTCCCCGTCCAGCGAGGGTTCAGGAAGGAAGAAACGGGAGAAATGGTCACGACAGGTATTAGGAAAGAATCTGAGGTGAGCTCATGGGCATCAGCTCCACCTCTAGTGTATTGTAATGCTCCCGCCACCCCCATTTTGCCCTTTTCAAAGCCTCCTCCTTCGTGTTGTCAGTGTCCACCCTTCCTCTTTCATCAGCCAAAGTAATCAGGTTGCCCAACCAGTGTAGTCTGTAGCAGGGGACAACATCAGACAGAGCTGCCATGAAACCATAAATCATTTCGATAACCACTTTCTGAAAATCCACCGTCATATCTGCCACAGCAGCCAAGTACCACCGTAAATCCCTCCACAGACGACTTGGAAGGTCGTAGGGTTTTGGCAGGAGATGCTGTCGTGTCATCCGCTTTTGAAGCAGGATACTCATGTACAACTCCATGACCTCCGAGAGCGAGCGCAGCAGCCTCAGACCCGGAGCGTCATCAGCAGGGAGACATATCTCCTTTCCAATTTTCTCCACCTGCAAATGACATTCACAGAACGTGGTGATTAGTGCCGGAATCTCAGCACCCTCTGGGATCCCCTCTTTTTGGAATTCGTCCCACGAGTCACAAGAACCGAGGAGGTAGATAAGAATCGCTCCCAGCGCCTTAAGGTCCGCCTGCTGTGCCGGCCAGATGGCTGACGGCTCATCGATTCTTTTGGCACACTGAAAGTCAGTGATGAAAAGTTGATGGCTCTGCCAGCTTCCCCCCGCCCCCCCAGCTAGCGCTTCCGGGGTGAGATTTCCGTGCGAGATTGACCGGGAGTGGATCCACTCTAGTCGCGAGAGCAACTGCTCCCCCAGGGACAGGATCAAATCCAGCCCAAGCCGGCGACCAGCCTGCTTGTAGATTGCCCCAAGCGTAGGCCTGTAAACGTCGGTGACAATAACAGTATGTGCAGGCACCGTCTCCGACCAAAGCAGCTGGGGGACTCCCGGCACGCCTGCAAGGTCGCAAAGGATTCGTGCTTCGGCTGAAAGGCTTGTTACACATGCTGGTGTGCTCCCAATTTTCAAAAAAGCCGCTCTCTCTGTAGTCATGCTCCGGCCTGGCTCTATTAACTTCTGAACCACCGAGGGGAGATGGTCACTTACCTAGATAAACTTCTGCTAAGCCAGTCATTGGCATGCGCACTTCGTAGTCACCATAAATATTGCTGAAAGCCATTGAAGAAGAGCTTTGGAAGGTGGAGAGGGACTAGCAGAGAGAGCAAATGTAAGAAGAGCACAATCCACTAGACAAATCAAGATTACGGATTTCAACAGGATGTGGTCAGTGGTGGTTGCGGCAAGGTGAAAAGTTGCCTCAGGGGAATATTCAGTTTATGGCTTCAAGAGAACTAATGCGGCCTGCCGAATGTTGAAATGGCTTCAAGTGAAGTTGCCTTGGGGGGAATTGAAATATATGGCTGTATGTGAAGAAAGGTTACTCTCCATAGGGCGGCAAGCTGCCCTGGGGGGAATTGAAATATATGGCTGTGTGTGAAGAAAGGTGGCTCTCCGTAGGGCGGCAAGTTGCCTTGGGGAGACAACTGAAAACTGATGTTGTTGAGGTGAACAATGTGGGGTCCTTAGGGCGAATAGTTGCCTCAGGGAATATTCCTTTGTTGCCGAAACTGTGGCCCGCCTCAGTCGATTCAGGATCCTGGGGCCAAAAATGCCTTAGGGGACTGAAACGCCCTGAGGGTATGCTTGTCCTGAGAGGAAGAGCCTTGACCTGGAAACAAGTGGCTTGCCTCAGTAGTATCTTCTGCCCTGCGGAATCGGGAAAAGCATGGCTTTCAACTAGAAATGCGTGGACTGCCTCAGTAGAAGCCTTCGCCCTGGGGGGGGAGCTGTGAAAGTCGTGGCTTTGGTGCGAAATAGGCGGTTTGCCCCCGGGAGATTGAGAATCGTGGCCTGAAATATTTTGCCCTGGGGAGCCTGGAAAAGGCATTGTTAAAATGCTCTCTTTGTGGGACCCTCGAGAGCTCCCATGAAGTGCAGGCATGTTTGTTGGAACCTACTACGGGAGTAGTGAGCAAGGCAGCTAGAATGATGTCAACATAGACAAAAATAACGCGTTCATGCTTTGAGGCACTGTTTACAGTGGGTTCATCAGGGTTCCATGGTTTTTCAGCCCTACAAAATTCCGATATGGCACGACGCGCAGGGAGATATCTTGATGTTCTTGTTTTTCTCACTTTCCTCTTTTCCTTTTCTTCTTCAGCTTTGTATCCTAGTTAAATGGACTCTATTTGCTTTCTCAGCGAGTAGATTTGCCGTCGTAACAGTAAGACACCTCCCACACTCCTACTTCCTAAATACGCCCAGAAGAGCACTCCCTCTCAGGTACTTGAAACCTGGAAACTGGAACTTCAATCAAAGAGATTGTAATGCCAATGCATGATGAATGAGCAACAACACATCTTCAATAACGCATCTCCAGTATGTTTCTGACTGAATGGGGACTGATCTCTTACTAATTCTAAAAAAAACATGCAGTCCAAACATTGGATTCCAGATCCTCCAGACATGGCATGGGCAGATGTTGTCGCTGCGATTGACCCAAGGGCTCTCTCATTTTCGATGAATTCACAAATTTATAAATTCAAGCAGGGGCGAAAGGCATACAAGGCCCCTGCTAGCCAACGTGAGTTCGACCTCATGATGGCAGCAGGGGACTGTGCTGTTAAGGTCCATGGTAGATCTCTCTGGAGGGATAAGGAGGGAGAGATAAGGATGAGCGGCATTATCATGGATCTTGAGACTCCTTTTGACCCAAAATCTGTGGAAGACCCTCAACGCAAGGGTTTGATGGGCCAGATTATCTCAGTCTTACACAAATTGCACCGCAAGGGAATTATTCACGGTGATATTAAACCGGCTAACTTTCTTCTTTGCACGGATGGTTGGCTCCGCCTGTGTGATTTCAGCGACGCGATGAGGGTAGGTGAAGAGCCAAGCAGCTGGGGCGGATTAACGACAACGAATTACATATCTCCACGTCGAACGCGGAACTGGCCTGATGGGACAGATCCTCCTCCAACCATTGAGGATGATCTCTATGGCCTTGGCCTGAGTCTGTGGGAGCTCTACACAAGGAGGACACCCTTCGAGGGCTGGTACGAGGACGAACATCATGTCGACTCTTCACAGAGGGAAGACGGTTGATGTGGATGAAGTAGAACACGAGGATGTGAAGTCTGTGATTCGCCATTATCTGAGGTACGGCGGTGCAAAGATATAGTTTCGCCGGAGACAAGGAACTCTGTAATAGGCGGTCGTACGTCGATAGCTGCGGAGATCCCAGACAGTAAAGATCTAGCTATCCTTCTGTTTGAGGCTGTATGAATTCTGCTGCTCTTCTCTGTTGGCTGGTGGTGAAAAATCTTCAGCGCAAGTGGTGACCCAGCTAGCTCAACCAGCACGCTACCAATTTTCATCCACTCTTTTGGGCAGATCTTAGCTTCTTCTGCAAATCCTCTCTTTGCAAGACTACTAGTCCCCGGGAACCTACCAATTGGGCAGTCTCCCGGGAAAAATAATTCTGATACCGGAAATAACGATCATAGCAGACAGGAGTTATGACGGCGGAAAGCCAGAACAGACAAAGCGGGCGGTGAGGGCCCGAGTCCCTGACAACAAGGCATAGGTGGAACAATTGTTTTTCCACTCCAGCCCAAGATCAACTAAAGGTCGAATATTGTAGCTTCTAGCATTCAATAAGTAGGCAAAATGGCCTGATGCTAAAACAAACCACACTAGCGCCTTTGCGAAGATGCAATCGAAATAGCTTTACAGAAAGTGTTGAAAAGACATGTATTCTGAATTCTATTTAGTTCGGGCATCCAGTGGGATTATTGCTAACTGAATCGCCAGAGACAATGGAACTGACCTTCTGCTTTTTGGGATCTCTGCCCGGGGTTTGAAACTCTTCCTCCCTGCCTTCAATAGGAGCCGTGAAACTCCACTGCGCATCCTGATACTCAGTTTTGTTGGACACAGTCGATGCATCAGAGACCTGTGAAACAACAGCAACAATTGAAGCTGTTTGGTGTTCAAATTGAGCATCAGAGAGGTGTTCATTCGCCATTGCAATAAAGTTGTCCCTCATTTCCTTCACCTAATCTCAAGCATTTTGGTACCCAGATGCTCCCTGTCGAAAGGTCTCAGGGTTCCCAGTCATGCCCCAAGTATTGATCTGAGTCATAATATATTCAGGAGGACGGCCCGGATCGCTAGGCTCTGAAAGATGAGTAGTATATAGCTTGAGCGTGCCACCGTGATAGGTTGACGTAATAACGTAAGCATTGTTGTCGTAGGTCGATTCATTGATTTATCCTGTCGGTATGACTGAAGCGAATGCATGCCTCGGGCTCCTAGTGCGCCATCATAGCAAGCTTGCCGTGTAGCCACCGCAAGGGATCCGTCAGGGCCTTTTGCCTCCAGAAAGAAGTTTGGTGCCATGGGAAGGTCATTCTGGATTGATGGAATAATCTGATCACTAAGTTCTTTGCGGATTTGACGATCAAGCTGTTCAGGACGCGCACCATAAAAGTGATCCGGTTTGGCTTGAGCCAGCGTGCCATCAGTTAAGGGGGCAAGATTGCCGAACACATACCCTCCTCCGGTACATTTAGGATCGCCGATATCGCCTTCGATAATTGGAATCACTGTGGTTGTCACTGGCTTCTCTTTAGATGCGTGTGTATCCGCTCGTTTGAATTTCCGGAACTCCCCATCAGAGAACTTTGATGGCGAAAGGGAGGGACGGGTTCGAACCAATCTTTCATTGATCTCCTTCCAGTTATCAGGTATTGCTGGTGACCGGTCAAAGTTGACAAGCCTGGTGAAATCTTCCTTGCCTCTCTTGTCACCGTTTGATCCGCTATCCCCACCCCGCAGTTCGCGCGTACATTCATCGCTCGTGGCTAAAATTTTGCCGATGCGCGTATATTAGCACAATAATGGCAATCACTCGTCGTACCGCCAGCTCAACGTTCCACGCCGCGGCTTTCACCACCGCCAGCCCCAGCTCTGTCTTTCCTCCTTTCTCTCTCTTCAATCTCCCGAATCTGCTCCTCCAACGTCTCCTTCTTCCGCATCAACCCCTCTCGAACAACCAACAGCGCGTCAATCTTCTCCTGCGGCGTCAAATTCTGCCGTTTCCGCGCTTCCTGTTTTCAAATTGGGAAACTTTGATTAGAAACACACCTTGTAGCAAAAGGATAGATAAGTAATATAGGGAAAAAGCCAAGTAGGAGCCTAAATAAAAAACGGAAAAAAAAGGTAGATCGATAGTTACCTGCTTAGATTCCTGCTTCATTTTCAAGCTTGCTCCGTAGAGCGCTCCGGATGCTATCGCTACCGACAAGGTGCCGGTGATAAGCACTCGTCGGAGTTTGGAAACGGAGGCCATGGCTTCGATGATCGCCGGGAGCGACTCAATTGATAATGCAATTGCTAGAAAAACATGAATTTCCAAGCTTCCAGCGTGCGTGAACTGCCACGTACTATTTTCGTTGCGGTTCGCAGAAACTTTGAGAATGCTTCGGGTTTTGTACTTTGTGGTTGTTTGACCGATGTTTGTGATGTTTGCATCGGGATTTTCATGGCGGTTAAGCTGCTCAAAGATACATGACATAGGATCTATGTAGTGCTGCGGTGAACTTCAGTTACGATGTATTAAAAAGGATTTTAGATCATATTGGGACCTCTTAATAATCTACACATATCAGCTATATCATAGGAGCTTCAAGCACCTCTAGGCCCCTCACTATATACTCATAAGTAATACTGCTGATGGGGCATGCTTATTTATTTCCCCAGAACTCCGTGTCTATGGATTTATCGATCGTACGCAGATAGAGAAAAGTATGCGGAGAGGAGGAGGACGACTGACAGAGAGGCCAAACTTAGGAGCGATTTCAGTTCTAGCAACAATTGTCTCCAAGCCATAGCTCATAGTTTCCGTGATACTTTGAATGGAAATATTAGCATATCATTACCATGATATGGGGCAAGAGAGCCAGTATCGAGCATGCATATTGTATAGGACTCACAGGGCAGGCAGTTTATCGACTTTTCTAACTCAGATCAATTACTCCGGCCCGACAATGTTGCTTCAACGCTTCAGCACTCGGGGAATAATGTCGATCCCCTTTCAGCCATGCCATGCGCCCGACCCGGGCCCAACACCGGGCCATCCACACCGTTCCGCAGAGCATAGGCATGATACCGTCTCGGTTGATATTTCCAAGTCCGACGTCGGTCCGAACTAGGGTCCCGGGGGCGGGATAACGACTGTCGGCCGCTGTCACCTCGAGAGCGGGTTACACGACAAGAAAATACCCGACTCCGCGAAAAGCCCCTTATGACCGGACAACAGCTTTTGCCGGGCCTGCACGCTGTTCCTCCGAGCCGGGTATCATTCAGTACCAGAACCCGCGAACCAAAAAAAAAAAAAAAAAAAGACCTCCAAGAGAAAACCCCTTCCGCGTCCAAATCCCATCACAAGCCAATCATTCCTTCGCATTCCCACCTGTCTTATCAATCCCTTCTTCCCCCAACACCTTCGCTGCTCCCATAAACAGCCCGCCCACGTATCCGCCCAGGAACCTCATATCTCCAGCCTGCGCACTCGTCATCCTCACCAGGTTGTCCGTATCGGCCAGGTGGGCATTGAGCTGGGCGAGCTGCGCGTGGAGGTGCGCATATTGCCGGGCCTTAGACGCAGACATGCTCGAGGCGGAGATGATGGAGGCAGAGGTCGATGTCGATGCGGGCGTTGTGGATGCGGCGGCTGCTTGGGCCCTAGAGTGGGCGAAAGCGGCGGAGGAGGGGCGGGAAGGGTGGGGTGGCATGGCGGACAAGAAATAAGATACTAGACTGAGGGCACGGGGAGAGAGACTCGGTATGTACGGAGTAATTAAGCGGTCAATCGAGCAGTGCAGGATAGCTGCGATCCGGACAGTTCGACGAGGAGTTTGTTTGTCCTTCTCTTTTTTGTTTTTTGGTACGGAGTACGGGGTATGAATAGGTTCTCCCAAGGCTTGTTTGTTTGTTTGTTTACCCCGACGGCGATGCCAAGAGCATCTTTGTCGTGTTTGCATTCACCACACAACGCCGCCAAACGCCGATTTTGGTTGACGAGCACGAGCACCCCGTACAGAGCAGCTAACAACCTACAGCAGCAGAGAACATGAATATTGGGCTGGAGTCTGCCCTCCGCCTTTCCACCACAGGAGACTAGCAAGTAGCCAACGTGATGTGTGCTGCTTCCCTGATATGCCCGGCCCAAAGAAGACCTACTCGTACCACACCATCCCTCCATATTCACTCGTCCCCAAGAACAAGAGTCGCCCCCTATTTGGGGTCATCTGCAAGCGCAAATCCCCAAGACATCGTTGCGTGACCCACCATCTGAGGTAGCGCCTCCATTCTAGGGAGAACAAAAAAAAAAAAGGAAAAGGAAAAAAGGTCTTACGACGTCTTGCAGCCCCAAATCCCGGATCTCCGACCCCTTTGCATACTATTACTTGGCGGTCAAGGGGACAGTCAACCCGGCGGGCGGTGGCGATGTAGATCCCCTCGATCCGTCCAAAAAAAAAAAAAAAAAAAAAGGTCCTATCCGTGAGGCATGGAGCTGCTTGTTTGGGTTCACAGCGGAGGATCTCAAGGAGGCGCCCCGATCTCAGAGTCTCCATTAATCTAATTCGAGGGTGCGCACCACGTTCCACAGCGCACCATTCCGTCAAGACCCGTGCCGTTGGAATCCAAATCTTCTTGCGTACATATGTATATGCACGGGAGGACGTATGGATGCCCCCTATGAATCTTGACACGAGAGAAGCAAGTCTCCGAGACATTGCCATGCACGAAGCAAGTAGAATCCATCAATTAATAAGAATTCTGTAGTTAATTAAGAAGACATGTTTCTCGAAGTGTAAAAAAAAAAAAAAGAAAAGAAAAGAAAAGGAAAAGAAACAGCTGTGATTGACACCAACAGTACGGAGTAATGAAGTAACGAAAACAAAGGAGAGATTGGGAGGCCATGAATGAAAACAAAAGGAAAATGTCCGTATCCGTCCCACCAAATTTTCTATCATGATATCAGCCACCCGAAAGTAAAAAAAAAAGGAAACGCAACATTAGCCCATCACCAAATTCCCTTTTCCCCTCATTTCTTGCGCCAGACAGCAACCTTTCATATCCCAGAGAGCACCCCAAGGCAAGGCCGTTGGCTTGCATTCGAAATTATTGCAGAGAAAGCGGGATGAGAACCCGCAAAAGACATTACGTGCGATATGCACGGTGAACCAAGCAGTCCAGAAAAAAAGAAAAAAAAAATTGCTGTCGAGCGCCGCGGGTATGCAAGGTGAGATTGAAACAAGGAGGGAAAAAAAAAAAAAAAAGAAAAGAAGAAAAGAAGAAGCTAAGCGGATGCAAAGAATTACAGTGACAATTTTTTTGTTTTTTTGGTTTTGAAGAACAAGCAAGGGGAAAGAACCAAACTGCAATCAATTGAGCCAGTCACAAAGAAGCAAAAAAAGGGGGGGAAGATAAGGGCGATTTCCATATGGTAGCGAATCGCACCGGTGGACCAGCACTGCCACGAAGACAGCTGGCTTCGCTTGTAAATCCTTCACCCACGAGTTTTCCGTTGATCATTACCGAAATTGCGACTTTAAGAACCATTTTGCGATGTCTTTGTGCAGCAACAAATAAAAAGACGCTAGTGAAAGTGATCGAGAGCGAAAAGGAAGGAGAAGGGGGTGCAAAATGAATCGAACGCTTTGCGAATCGTGATATGAGAAAGGAATCAAGATTAAATCTGTAAAAAAAGTGATGCCAATCCAGAAGATTTGCGCATATTCCTGCGACTAAGGCAGGCATCGAAAATATCATCAAGAAGGGGACATGTCTATGATAATTCGTTCGTAGCAAAGTTCGATGTAGTGGAGACGAATGTTGACTGAGGGTCGATGTTCGAGGGTGCGTCTGTTGAGGCGCTATTTGTTGCCGGGCTGTTGGAGCGTCTGGTAAGGTGGCAGACTGCTCTGGCTACTGTGAGCAGAAGTTTCAGAGTCGATATTGACACTAGCACCACTATCACCACTCCCCGCGCTAGCGCTCGCACTTCCTGTCAGACTTCGAACGTTTGTATGCCTTTTGGCAGGATTCGAATTGCTCACCCCAACTTGTTGTTCGACTCGCTGTGGCATGGCCCCATTGGGCTGCCCTGGATGTCTTGGGACCGGCGCTCTCATTATTCCCGGTGGTGATCGGCGATTGGGATGACCCATTCCATTCGGCTGTCCGTTAAAGCCGTCGATGCCTGTTGAGGTACGTCCCATTCCACGGCCATTGGGCCGGAACCCTTGACCAGGAGACTGGCTGGTGCGTCTGCTCGGTGGTGGATATGGCCCGTGCCCTACTCCCTGCGATAAATCGTTAATCCGACTGGCAGTTAATGAATTAGCTCTCGATTCTGCTTGCATCTCTCGTCGATCAACACTTCCATATCGGTTCGAAGAATATCCTATCATCGGATTATCAAGCAATGAATCGTGCATGCCAGGAAATTCTTCGACAATTCGGGCGCTGGTGCGGTTCCTCCCCATACCAAATGCGCGACTGAAAGCGGAAGGGGGACGCCCAGCAGCCATCTCGGGGTTTTTGCGAAACTGGCCAGCGTTGTTACTTGGTACCTTTCTGTTTTTGCGGGATGTAACGCTCATCATGTCAAAATTATCGGGATCGATTTGGGGCATAGGTGGAGGTGCATCGAAGTAATCCCCATCGTCACCATCGTCGAGTGTATCGCGAGTGGTCGACATTCTTCTACTTGGCGGACCGCGTCTCATGTTTAATTCCTGTTCTCTCAGTTGCAACTCTCGCTGTCGAATTCGTAGTTCACGCTCTCTGAGTGCTAGATCGGCGTGCGAGGAACCTCCGTTTGTGAGACTATTCATATGGCCACCTGGGGGGATGTCACCAGCAACGGCTTCATAATTAACAACGTGGCTAAATTCTTCCAATCCGTGGTCTTCCATTGGCGCATCGCGCTGTGGAGGTGCACCGCGTGGCGGCGGAAGTCCATTCGGCGGACGGTGGTTTCCCATGGACGGACCTCCCCGCCTCGGAGGGGGCACACTTTGTGGAGAAGGGTAGTTTCGGCCACCGTTCCGCACATTGTTCACACCGGGACGAGCTGCTGATGACATCCTAGGGGGGTGCGTTACAACTGGCGACGTAGGCTCATTTCCACGGGTCTGGTTCACGCTGTTAAGGTGATGAAGCATGGCGTAGACTGTCTCGATTCGTGGGATCTTAACATCGGTGTCGATACTTAGTTTGACTGGAGAACCCAGATAAGTTTCCACCTCCATCGGTCGTCTTGCCATGAAATCCTGATACATGGTGGTTGGGCTCTCGGGCTGAGAAACCATATTTGAAATCGTGGTCTCCCTGAAATCTTCAGGAAAGCTGCAGCCAAGAGCCTTAGCCAGAGCTATCAATTCATCAATCACGCCAGACACCAATTGTCGTACTCCAACTTTTTTCATGAGCTGTGCATAGTTAGGGGTTTCGAACAAAACACTCGCCGGATGGAAAGCGATCGGCCTAGCAAGAAGAACGAAAGTTCGGTCAGTGGATCGGATCCCGTATACGTAGAAATGAGGAATTTCTCACCCGATCATGCGCTCGAATTGCTCTTGTCTAATGTTTTTAGACACCTTGCAGTTAACCTGGCCTGTGCCTAACGTAATCGACAATGCGGTTGCCATATCTGTTTGAATAGTTGACGGGATCGTTGCAGTTTTAATAGCGGGGCCCACCCAGACATCGCTAGACGCAGTGTGGTCAAATTCGCTCGGGCCAGTCTGAGCGATGTCGACACCAGAGACCAGAGAGAGAACGACATTGGTTGGGAATCTATGCTCCAACTCGGATTCGATGCCAAGAGTGCTTGTGGTGTTCACGATGATACAGGTGTGTTCAGGAGTGACGACGGAGTGGATGATTTCGCCGAGATCGTAGAGGTCTGGGAGCGCCTTGACACAGAGAATGACATAGTCGTAGGACTGCTCTCTCGAAGGAGCTTCGTCGGTATGGCGAATAACTGTAGAGAAGCACGAGCTCATCAGTCAATCGCTCTTTAAGTCACAGGAGATATTACCACGAAAGGTGTTACATACCATGACGTGGTTTGAACCGTTCATTGCCGTAAACTTTTGACCTGCAGGAGTAGAAATGATTATTTAATAAGGCATTCAAGAGAGCAAGAGCAAACAAAAAAACAACAACACAACTATTGAAAAAAAAATAAAAGAGAAATTTGAGACCGTACTTAAATGAGATGCCATATTGCGCGACATGCTCATAGTTCTGTTTCCATACCAAAGTCACATCGCAGGCGTTTGTGGCTTGAAGCCTCCAGGACAAGAAAGCCGAGATCGCATTTCCGCCAACTACGAGGAACGGGGTTAGTTTCGCGGACATTGGGCTCCAGAATACACTGAGTAGTTTGAACCGTATACGGCGTCCGCGGGAACTGAAGGGAGAGAAGGGAGAGAGACGCACCAGAAAGCACCCGAAGCCGGGGAGTCGAGGGAGACATTGGACCCATGGGCGAGTCGGAGAAAGAGCGGTCCCGGCTTGATTGAAGAGAGAGGGAAGAATAAATAAAAAAGAAGGAGAAGAAGAAGAAGAAGAAGAAGGGGAGGAGGAGGATCGAGACCGGCGGAAGCTGTCACGCAATGCGACCTGGTGGCAGCAGCAACCGAATGGAATTCCCCTCCGTCCCGTCGTCTCCTGAGGTATATTGCCTTCGACAAGAGGTGACGTGTTCCGCAACGCCCCGACGGCTCGAGGAAGAGAGCTTTTCTGCTCACCCGCAATTGCGTGTAATTAGACTATTAGCAGATTCTCGCAACATAAGGCGATTTAGCGGTCAAAATGAGCGACGGCGGATTAGGGAGGGGTGACTCTTTTTTGAAAAAAAAAAAAAAAAAAAAAAGAAAATTATTGTTAAAAAATTGACCAAAAAAAAAAAAAAAAAAAAAAAAAGGAAGCCGGTGCTCGATGGAGGTATGCCCGGTCGGTTTCGAATTCAAGGGTCGTTCGGATCTCCCAACCGAAAGGATAAAAAGTTGCAACTTAACGAGAGCCAGAATCACTGGTCCTGTGAAGACGCAAACACCAGCGATTCTGTAAGAAAGGGAGGAGACCCGCACCAACACAGCAAGGCGATGGCCGGGGGGAGGAATCAGACGGTGGGAAGGAAGAGGACGAGATGGAGGAGGCGGAAGAGAGGGAGGAGAAGAAGGTGATGGTGGTGGTGGTGGTGGTGGTGGTGAGAGCGACTGGGGGAACTTTTCGAGGGGAAACGGCCTGCGACAAAGTCCGGTGGTCGATGAAGATAGAGTTAAAAAGGAAGAGAAGACGGGAATGACGGGGATGAGTTGGCCAGGCCAAGATGACGGTGTGGGAATACCTCTCAGCGCCCGTCAGGCGTCGTAACAAGGTATTCTTGGGGTCTCGAATTGGGCCGGTTCGAAGCTAGGTTCTTGGGCGGCAGGCAAGGTATATGAGACGTACGTAATAAATGGAGAAAGTCACTCACTATCCCACCCAAGCAAAATCTGCTGCCCGTGCCTGTCTGACTTGTCCTGCTTCGTTCTTTTTTCCTTTTATTAATTCTCTTTTTGTTTTTCTTTTCCCTTTTGGTGGCTCAGGGTCGGGAAGCAATCCCGAACCAAAGTAAAATGTTGCAAAAGGGCCACCCGACTTTCAACCAAAGGGAAAACAGGGATCAGCGCGAAGCAGATTGGTGCGGCAAAACAACCTTTTTGGCTGTCAGCAAATCCGTAGGGCAGTTAAGCGGAAAATCACTGTTGCTTGGAGGGTCCTTCTTCCCCGTCTTTTTTTTCTTTTTCTTTTCTTTTCTTTTCTTTTTTCTTTTTTTTTTTTGGGTCTCGTCTTGGCTTTTCCCTTGCTTTTTTAGCGTACCTTAGTATTTGATCCGAAAGGCGCGTCCCAACCGACAATCCCGAGGTCACCGACAGAAAATGAAGAAAGTAGGAAAGGCTCGAACTATGGCGATGGGGAGCGCGGAGATGAAGGATGAAGAGAAGGGCAGAGACAAGGGGGAAGATAGCTCAGTACACCTGTCAGAGTGAATTGCAGGGGATGTTTGCCGCAGAAACAAGAGCTGTGCCTGGTTGGTGAATGATACGCCGAGCTGGTGAAGAACACATACAGCAGCCGGTAAAACCACTAGTAACCATTTTTGACTTGCGTTTCTGGCCCCAATGGAGCACAACCATGATGTCGTTTGTCGTGGCCAGCATGCCGAGAAAAGAAGAAAAAAAAAAAAAAAAAAAAAAAAAAAAAAAAAAAAATATATCATCGGCGACAGGCCGGTGTCTCTCTTGGTGCGGGTTTGCGTGTGTGTGTGTGTGGGGGGGGTGTCTCTTTTTTTTTATTGTCCCTTTTCTGTTTTATCTCCTGAGAAGTGTCCAGGGACAGTGCTCGAGGAAGGGATCCAGAATAACCTTGGCTTGATGGGCCAATTTGCTGCATTTTTACACTGGGTGATGGTGATGCGCCTGTGGAGGGAAAAGAGGAGAGAAGAGAAGAGAAGAGGAGCACAGATCCTTCTACGGCTACAATCTACTGTTTACACTACGCTGGGGGGGAGACCGAAAAGCACGCTAAGGTGTTATTGCAAGCAGAACCTTCTGTGGATGTTCTCGAATTATCTAGACAAAAAGCACGTGAGTTGAAGATGTTTGGGATTTTCCATTGCTCTGCATTATTATTAGAGAGCGGCAGCTCCTTTGATGCTTGTTTGCAGCTCAAGAACCGGGATGGCAGTTTGAGGGAAACGCCTTGTTCCAGTGCGAACTACTGCCCAACCCCGTGGACCGCAGACTCACTGCAAACAATATTTTGCCCCCAGTCCTCCATACTGCAGCATTCAGCCAAGCAATATCCTTGAAGCGAGAGAAATGCTGAGGGGATATGCAGTGTAGCTGCTCTGCTCCCTGTTCGACAGAGCCCGCCATCATCGAGAACCTGCTCCGTGGCAGCAAGCATCGGTCTCTGTCTTTCTCTGTCTTTCCCTCTTCCCCCACTGCCGTGCTGTCCGGACGCACCAAACGTCTTCACCTTCAAGCTCGTGGGCAAGCGTGGAAGGCCAGGCCTGGCGAGTGGCTATGCCCAACACGTTCCTGGAGATGAAACGACAATCTCCGGAAGCTCCCTTCGCAGCAATATCAATAATCAAACCTGCAGGTATGGATACATCGATACGTCAGATACATCCCCTTACCGTACGGCTTTGGGCTCAAATACGGGCTACAATGTCGCCAACTTGGCCCGTGCGGCGCTTCTCTGCCCTGTTTTGCAGCGTATGCGGATCGTATGTACGTCTGTATTCGAATTTTGAGTTAAGTACCGGAAGTGGAGATCAACCTGCACGAGCTAACGCAGCATAGGAAAGTTTCTCGCGCGCTGATTGGCCCACTCCGATCGTGCCTGATCCTGAATTTGATTTGTGGAGCCCGCTCTTTCCCTGTTTTCCCTCCACAGACGCAATCGTGGCTGATGAGATCGTCACGCGCTACTTTAGTCAGCGTCCACTCCCGTCGCCGTCACGTGGTTTGCTCCAGTCAAACAAACGGAGTCGAAGAGCCTCGACCGCCGGACACCGAAGTCCCCATCCGTCGGACGCTGTGCGACTCTTGCGCGACCTGTGTTTGGAAGAGGTTGTGCCTGCACGCTCAGGGGCATGCTGCTTCTCGGAAGATGAAGAGCTCTCTTTGCGGTCGGCTTTTGTTATTTTGAAGTTAAAAGGCCCTGAGGAGCTCCTCCGTGCGACACCAAGCCTCCTCGTCACCAACGGACGCTCTGACCTCGAGAAGATTCTCCACGCCCCCCCCCTTTTTTTCCCCCTGCACCGGCAATTGAAGAATAGTTATCCGCCGCGACGCCGTTCTCTTTACTAACCTCAAGAAGAACACCTGCTGATAGCATGCCTGAAGACAGTCCATACCCCCTCCTGCGAACATGTGGAAAGCCTCCGGACCAAGGAGGAGAGGCGAAAACATGAAACACGTTGTTCTGCAGCCAACACATGGAATTTGGAACGGAGACGTGGGAAGGGAAAACTCCGCTGCCCATCACTCTATGTACATACTGTCGCTCCACACCCGTCGGTCGGTCCAGTACTAGGCAGGGAAGGGATCGGCCAGGGTTATTAATAGAATTCAATGCCGATCGCGATCCCAGATCGCAGGCTAAAAAAAAGATAGGACAACTAGCAGGTGTTGCCGTTCCCGCTTGGATTGGGAAACGTTGACATCATAGGAGATGAATTGGAGGGTTCCATTGATCTACAGAGTACATACAACGCCTGCTGCGGCGGAAAACGGCGCCCAAGGAGATTGGGTGCTGTGAATGAGAATGCAACGGAGATGCTTCTACGAATGAGGCAGGCTTTTGCACAGAAAAAAAAAAGAAAAAAAAGAAAAAAAAGAAATAAAAAGGCTAATTTCAACTTCCAAGTCGTCGCTTTCCGTCGCTAAATGTATCTCTCTCCAATGCAAGTTTGAAACCGGGGAATCAGGCAACAATCTACTCCGTAGGCGGAAAGTACTTCTGAAGCCGACGATGCAGGATAAACAGAGGCGCGAGATGGGGTTCAGGAAGTTAAAATTCGCTACCGCAGAAGCTCGATAAATGCTACTTTCCGCTGGACGAAACGCAGTCGTCCTATCCCTACTGCACAGATTCATACCTGGTATTGTGGGAAAATCTTTAGCGGGCGAAATGAAGGTCCTTTTCATTTTTGTTGGAGCCTTGGAAAGTGGGTGCTGGATGAGTACCGTATCACCCTTCTCTCGATCCACGACGAATGCGAGGTACCTAAACCCGGCTATCGGAGTAACTCAAGCCCGAGATGTAAAGAAACGAGAGCGATTAACCGGTTTCGGGGTTTCGTAGGACTAAGAAAACGTTGGCAAGCTCATTTTCTCCAAATCTTACTCCGTAGCACACGTCATGTTAAAACATTACTCGAGATGTGAGAGCCTCAAAACACCTTCAGGAAACAATGGTGGCTTTACATCCTGTCAACAGCCGACAATGAGAGTACCCTTTACACGTGGAGGTCCTGGGTTTGAGACCGCATGAAGTGTTGTCGCCGGCCTCTCTTGGCATCCCGCCACTTGGTGGTCATCAGCCAGCCGCTGAATCTGATGCCAAAAAGGGCCAAGCATGCGGTTTCCCCTGCATCTCGTCCCTCCAATGGTACCGAGATGCACACACCGATCATCGTTCGGAGTCCTAAATGCAAAGACCGGAGGATGCTTCAGCGCCAGCAGCGGCTGTTCCTCGCACGAGCTGGCGTATTCACAGGAGCCGGCACCATCAGTCTCATTGCGGTCCTCCGTAGTAATGCTTCCACCACAGCACCATGTTTGTTGAAAACTTCCTCCTCCTAGCAGCGGCCGACGTAGTTTAACTGGACGAGGAAGATGACTAAGCAACCAATATACACTTTTCCGAAAACGGCTAGCGTAATCTTTCCTGGCCTCGCGTCAAAGCCGCGTCCCAGCAAGACGTGTTGATCAAGGCCGGGGGGTTCATCCGAAAATGAGTTGCGCCGTACGGAGTGCTGTTTGACGACAACGGCCACTATAGAGCCTCATTGTCCGCTCCAGGTTTCGACCCACCGTATCTGCAAAACATGAATAATGCCGTCGATTCCTCAGCGACGACGGCAAGCAACTCACTCAGACTCAGACTCAGATGGAGAGTCTAGTCGAAACTCGACCCTGCTGCACAGCTCCAACGGCGCTAAACGCGTACGATTGACGCCCCAACGCGAACCGGTGCAACCCGAAAGCAGCGACACAAGTTCGATAAGCACCGGCGATGATTCTGACGTGAGCGAGAGCGACGATGAACCCTCCACCACTGGCGCCGGGCAGCCGTCCACTGACCCTACCCCGCCCGTTCCGGAGCGGGCTGCAGATATCGTGGACCGCATTCGCGGTATCCCGGGCGGTGCTGGCGCCGGTAAATATCGGCCAGGAGCCATTGTGCGGATCAAACTGTCGAATTTTGTCACCTATACATCCGCTGAACTTCGACCGGGCCCGCGGCTAAACCTGGTGATTGGACCTAATGGAACGGGGAAAAGTACGCTTGTTTGTGCCATCTGCTTGGGATTGGGTGAAGGGCCGCAGGTATGGATGACGGACGTTGATTGTTACTTACCTTCTATGTGACGTGTTACTCTGTTTGGATCGCCTGTGCTGATATAGATGGGTCGGATACAGCATCTGGGACGTGCGAAAGATGCGGCTGAATACATCAAACACGGCTGTCGGGAGGCAACAATTGAAATCGAGTTGGCTGCCCCGCCAGGGAAACGAAATATCGTGATAGCAAGGGTTATCAAGCGAGATGGCAACAAGAGCACGTTTACGGTTAATGGTGATCAAGTGCCAGGAAAAAGAGTTCGGGAGCTTGCCAGATCGTTGTCCATCCAGATCGACAATCTTTGCCAGTTCCTTCCTCAAGATAAGGTTAGCGAGTTCGCAGCGCTTACTCCCGTTGAGCTTCTGCAGTCCACCCAGCGAGCCGCCGCCCCGCGGGAAGTCACACGATGGTATGAAGATCTGAAGCGACTTCGTGAGCAGCAAAAGAAACTCCAGGTTGAAAACAGACAGCAACAAGAAGTCCTACAGAATCTGGAGAGGCGGCAAGAAAACCAGCGTGAAGAAGTGGAAAGAATGAAGCACAGAGCAGCGGTTAAAAAGCGCCTGAAGTATTTAGAACTAATGCGGCCACTGCCAAAGTTCAAGGAGCTCAAAGCTCAGTGTAAAGAGTTGAAAGAACGGAAGAAGCTTCTTCACAGGGAGCACCAGGCTCTCAACGAGGAGCTCGGGCCTACGATGAAGGCAATCAATGCCAAGAAAGAGTATTACGCGACACTTGATAAAGTCGTTAAGCAAAAGCGAAATCATCTTGCAAGAGCAAACGAGTTTGCAAAGGAATATAAGAATGAGATGGCCGTGGTAAGCGAGAAGCTCAAGGATTTGACGGCAAACATAGAGGCCGAAAAGAAGGCTGGCACGAATTACGTCTCCGAAATTAAGAAGTTGAAGCAAGCGATTAACCGAATCGAACGACAGATGGAGGAAGGGGCCCCTGAATTTGATGTTGCTGCGTATGGATTGAAGATTGTATGTCCTGTTGTTGGTGATACTATCTTCTTTTATATTCATTCTCTGACTTACAGTGTGTAGCGAGAACAACAACGGCGAATCCGCGAATTTGAAGATAAAGCAACAGAACTGCAGAGAAAGAAGCAACCGACTGCCCTGGAGTTTCAAGCCAAGAAGGTGGAGTACTTGAAAACCAAACGGCGACTGGAGGGTTTGGAATTCCAGGATGGTCAACAGGAGGAAAAGTTGCGTCAACTGTCTGATGACTCTTTCAATGCCTGGCAATGGCTTAAAGAGGAAGAAAACCAAGTGCACTTCGAAAAGCCGGTTTATGGACCTCCACTGGTAGTGTGCTCCGTAAAGGATCCCAAGTACGCTTCGGCGCTGGAAGGGCTGATGCAAAAGAACGACTTTTGTGCGTTCACAGCCCAGACCAGAAATGATTTTCTCAAGCTACAAGAACTTTTATATCAGAAACATGGCTGGCATGATATTACGATAAAAACATGTTCGGTACCCCTCTCGGGCTTTCGCCCTCCTGTGGATGACGAAGAACTGCAGAAACTGAGATTTGATGGCTGGGCGAAAGATTATATCTCTGGTCCCGAGCCTGTGTTGGCTGCGCTTTGCAGTGAGAACAGGTTTCATGCCACGCCTATAACACTTCGGGATATCTCAGACGCCGAATATCGACACCTGGAAAACAGCCCGATTTCTATGTGGATTGCGAATAATTCACATTATCAAGTTGTCCGTCGGCGCGAGTATGGCCCGGCTGCAACATCAACCCGTGTTCGGCATCTGCGACCGGCAAAGTTATGGACAGACCAGCCAGTCGACGAACAAATCAAGCAGCAACTCGAGACTGAGCTCAATGAATGGAAAGCTAAAATGGATGAGATTCAAGAGAGGATGGACGATCAGAAGGGCATTCTTGCCCGCTTGGCGGCTGAGCATAGAGCAGCCTCAGAAGAGAAAGTCCGTTTTCCTGGTTTCATTTGCATCTCAATGCTTTTGGCTAAATTCTCTTTAGGAGCGACTTGAGCGAGAAAAAGCGGCGAAGCAGAGTGCCCTTACGGCCTTTAAAGCTTTACCAGCTAGACTTGGTATGTTACGAATAGGGTATATTGACCGTTTTCTCTAAACTAACAATGTGCAGAGCAACAAAAAGAAAAATACCAAGAGTTGACGGAGAGAATCACAAATGTTCAGAAAGAAGTGGAGTCTTTACGAAAAAAGCAAGATTACGTCTCGCTTGATAAAGCCGCAGTCGTTTTAAAGTATGCTGTAAGTATTCTTGATGAAATTACAACTTTCTCCTGTCAATGCTAAACTCGTCTAGAAATTTGTCTCCAGATTTCGGAAAATGCAGGACGACCTCCTACAAGCCGAAATCTGGGCCATCGAAGCCTGTTCCGATTGGCAGAGTCTTAAGGAGCACAATGCTGAAGTGACGGAAGTGGTTGAGGCGAAAAAACGTGAGATCGACGAGGTTTCACGACAAATATCAGCAATGGCCACGGAGTTGCCTAAATTTGCCGATGAAGTGCGAAAACTCTCACGCATGGCAGATCGTGATCGGGATATGGGCGATGTTGTAACCGCCGTCGCTCAACTCAGCGCTGAACAGCTGGAGGCCGAGATAGATTCCGCAAAAGCCACCTTAGATCTTACATACGAGGGCCATGGCACTCGCTTTATTGAGGAATTCGAGCAACGTCAGACCCAAATTGACAGGCTGAAAGAGAAACTTGAGAGGTCCCAGTCAGAGTTGGCCGATTACGAGCATGCAATCACTGAGGTCCGAGGAAAATGGGAGCCTAAGCTCGAATCTTTGGTGCAACAAATTAGCAACTCATTCTCTAATTTCTTTTCGCGCATCGGATGTGCAGGACAAGTTGGCATCGACAAGGCCGAGGACATTCCCGATGAGAACGGCCGCCTCGGTGATAGTAACAATTTCGACCAATGGGCGATCCGCATCCAGGTCAAATTTCGCGAGAACGAATCCCTCGCCGTTCTGGACTCGCACAGGCAATCCGGCGGTGAGCGCGCCGTTAGCACGATCTTTTACCTCATGGCCCTCCAATCGCTCTCTGCCTCACCGTTCCGAGTCGTCGACGAAATCAACCAGGGTATGGATCCGCGCAACGAACGTATGGTGCACGAGCGGATGGTGGAGATTGCCTGCGGACAAGCGGATTCGGATGATTCTGGGGGCCAGTACTTCCTGATCACGCCGAAGTTGCTAAGCGGCTTGCATTACCAGCCGGGAATGACGGTGTTGTGTATCTACAGTGGCGAGTATATGCCAGCGGACTATAGGAAGTTGGATTTCAAGCAGTGTATATTGCGAATGAAGGACATGCAGAAGAAGAAGGGGTTAATCCAGGGGGAAACGGAGGAAGTGGAAGTTGACGTCTGAGGGAGCATTGGACAATCGGGTTGGCTGGGATTCGGGACACAGCAGGCGAGGGCGGCTTTTGTCGATATGCGTGTTTTATTTTGCGACTTGGCTTTGAATGTATTAACTCCCCTAGACTTGCACGTAAACGCCTAATACCCTTTTTTCCCCTTCCTTGGGATTTTTTTTTTTGGCCACTCTCATTATATCTTACGGATCCTAGACAGGTCATGGGTTAATGCGTGAAAAGATGTCATCCATGCTGTTCGCCGCCTTTTACTTTCCCTCTCCCTTGACCTCGATGTAATCCCAACGACCTATCGATCCAAATGCCTGCTGCAGCTTTCAAGCCACCGTCCTTCATGGCCTCACGTTCCACCACTTGCCGAACCCGCTCTTCCATCTCCCCGCTGTCCCAACTCTCGCCAGTGCTATTCCCCTGGTTACCTTTTGACGCTTTCCAAGTATTTAAACCACCAATTATTCCAATATTTCGCGTACTCGGGATGCGCATCAGTGTCTTCTCGACGTCGTACCCAAGCTCTTCCGCGAGGCTCACCGTTTTGGCAGTCAATGCTCCGTATGTGGAAGACGGGAGGCCTGGATCGTCTCTTTCGGCAAGTTTAGTAGCACGAAGGGCTTTTAAATCGCCAGTCGAGGGTTGAGTGTCCTGGCTGTGCTTCTCGTTGGGCTGACCTTCCGTATTTGACTTCGCTGACGGCTTTTTGGGCGGTGGATATCGATATTTGCTGCCTGATATGGAGTGCGAGCAGCAAGGGATGGCGAGGAATGGTAAAGGGGAGGTTGGCTGGGCCAGAGCACCGAGAAGAGGGGTCCAGATTGTAAGTTCGTCGGCGTGGTTTGAGATTATGAATGTGTCCTTTTCGAAAACGCCGTCGTTGGTTTCGACGGTATCTGGGATTTGTTCGGATGCTGCGCTTCGAAATATTGATGGTATGCAGATACTCTCCTTGAGACGGTCTTGCGTTGAGGGTGGGTACTTCTCCCAGCTTTTGCGTCTTCGCGCATCGAACCCCCATCCTCTGTAGCCTTCAGCATGCAGGAGGTAGACCAGCACACCATTTCCACAGGCGATATCCACAAAGCCAGGAAACGAGGAGGTTGCTGATTTTCTCTTCTCACACTCTTCCTGCCCATTGCAAGAATTTTGGGTATACATAATCTTCCAAAGCTCGATTAAGAAAGCCGCTATGGCAATATCTTCAAAGACATGTTTCGAAGGCTCTGTAACCTCGGCCCAGTTTTGAATCAGAATCGATGCATATTTATCCTTTAATCTTGCATATGTTGTCTGAACCACATGTTGAGGGATGATGTTATCCTTGTACGGCTTCGGTTGGCTTCCGGTTGTATTGGATTTAGCTGATGGGCTGCGAGCGAGGCGGACATGTGTTGATAATAGTGCTAAACACGTGCGTTCAAGACGGTATGGTACTGTTTCTGGTATGCCATGGGAGAATGGAATGAAGTGAAGTGATAAAGTCCCCGTACCCTTAGACGAACTGTCGGAATCGCCAAACAACGGTCTGGAGAACTCGTATAGAAACCCCAAACCCCGAACACATGGATGGTAAAAAGGAACTTGCTCCTCGGATGAGAAATGGGGCAGATATATCAAAAGGCACCTTTCTACTTTTACACCCTGATCCTGCATAACAGCTGTCTGCGAATAAAAGTGACAGGTTTGATCCAGCATGGGGTCCAACTTCTGTTTCCTGGGAATAAATCTCCTCAAAATTGTTCTAGTCAAGGAAAAAGAATCAAAAGCTGGAGCAGGCAAAGGCTCAACAGCCAACTCCTGGTAAACATCGACAGAAACATCTTCGGAGCTAGCAGTCTCTCTCTCCTTTTCCGCCGGAGTCTTCAATATGCCGGAGCTGTCAAACAGAATATCCGCCCGAAAGAGGTGTCCGGATGTCAAATTTGGATTTGCCAGAAGATGCGTAGCCGAACTAACAAATATTTCAGGCTCAAAATGCAAATTTGATCGAACTAATTCAGGCGATGTGATCCAGTTTTCACCGTTCGAGGCCAGTAGTGACGGCCTAAGGGTGTCACTCAGACCCATAGTTATCTTTAAAAGGGCTTTGCTTTTCTTTGTTAAAAGCTCGTGGCCTGATTAAATGGCCGTCGAAGAAAAATGAAAATCTAGGACATCTTGGAATTTGTTTCAAGTAATCATGTACTGTACTCTCGCCGTGGGCATCAAAAAATCCGCTTTGATGTCGAGAATCGAGATGTTCAGCAAGCGCAGCAGCACCATCTGATTGGCTGGCGCGTGTCATTACATGGTTAATATCACAGTCACGACGTTACAAAAAACGACTAATCCCTCTTTCGACTAGCGTCTAGATGCAGGTCAACCTCACCTCATCCTTGGTCTTCACGGTCATTCTGCAACCTCAGCCTGGGTTTTCACTGAAATGGGGTATAGGCGGCTTGGAATCGGGTTTGCGGTATATTCTAGTAGTTACCTGGTTTTTATTGCGGGGTATGGAAGAAATTAATGCCATACAGCGTCCCTATCGGCGCCTGATATATAACCACAGCTCGAAAATGGGAGATAGGGGATTGAAAGGCGTTCCCTACAAAAGGATTCTTGATTTGGAGACTATACTCGGATAATTTCCATGCCTCGCCCTCTATTGTGAATTCTCAGCTGCCTTTGACTCCGGTACCTTTATCCAAACTTTAATTTTTCCAGATAGGTTTCTCTGTCGTTCAAGCGGGGAACGGCTCGTCGAGAATCGGGAACTGGAACTCCATGGAATTTACAAAGAGGCTCCCATCCATCTGAGACAGAGTACTCGAGGATTTGGCTTTGGAATCTCTGGCCTCACCCTGTCATGGTGTGCGGGGAAGCCTTCGTTCCTCAAAACCGTCCGGAACGGTGGCTTGCCACGTCCTTCCTAGCAACTCTTTTCGAATGTTCTTCGAAATAATCTGACTCTTGCTCTCCCGTTGTGGCGCTACCTCTTCTGTCTAAAGCCCCAACTATCATACTCGCTGTCAACCTAGGTTGAGTGTTGGTTGTCGGAGAGTCTTTCGTTCAGCCACAACAAAGCTTGATAAGCTGGGCTCTTATGAATACCATGAATCAGCATCCTAGTGTTTGACACAACTTTGGCTTCTAGATACACCTTCGCTAGTTCCATTGTGAAAGGTGTGGCTGGGCTATTCGTTACACCCTTAAGAGGATCAGCACAGGAGGGTACATGTTCGCGGTGGTTTGAACATTTAATTCCACTTAGTTGACAGTGTCCTAGCAGTTGATCACCCTTTTCTTTTCCTTTTTCTTTTCTTTCCTTTTCTTTTTTTTTTTTTTTTTTTTTTTTTTGGGAAAACCAAAAAAATTACAAACGCCATCATATTTGGCCCAAAAGGCATACAACCACATTACGCGCAGTTTTGGAAATTGTCATGCGTTGCTGAAATTATGCGATATGTATCCTCTTATCCTAGGCGCCCTAAGGATGCCCTTAAGGTTATGACAAGTGTTAGAAACGCGCATCCACTGGGCTTCGATGTGTTGTGGTATTTACTGCCTGTTGTACACATGATTCTGGTTCTAGGGAGACCGGCACAAATTATCCGCATGGGGGCCACACGTGCACAGGTGCGGCGATCGATATTGGTAATCTCTCCAAAACTCCCTGCCATATTGGTCGTTTCGTTGATTGCAAAGCTGCATTCAATCACTTGCTACCCATGTGTTAGAAAACGTGATATCCATTTACGAAGGGAAATGCTTGCAACTGTTTATTTTGGTCGAGTATGTTAGACAAGAGGTATCCCCCGAATGGATAGTAATATCCCCCCCTTCCTGTGCCACCCGACTCGGGTGTGGAGGATATATGATGATATATCTATTAACACTGCCTGTTAGAAATCGGATTAACTTATCATGGGGCTATATTTCAGACGGCATAAACTACTACAGCCTAGCAATACGTGCCGAAATCATTTCCACTCAGGGAAACTAAAGTTTCACCAACGAGCAAGTCCTCACACTTATCGGGGTTATGCTACCACCTCCCTTAAAAGAATTTCGATTCTCCTTTGTGCAGCTTACTTGCGCACATTTGACTGATACGCCCAGCTCCCCAAAATTGCAACTATATCTCCCCTGCTTACCCTGCATCAATGACACAATTCCATGATGTGTTTAGGGAATCCAAGAGATGTAGTCCTTTATCATCCGGTACGTGGTCCGCGAGAAGCAGAAGGCTTACTTCTCCGAAAGGCACCCGTGAGTTGGGGGTAACCAAAAGTTCCTATTGCCCGGCCAGCGTCTCCTAAAAAATGCGGCGCGCTCCCTAGTCTCCATTTGTACCTGCGATTCGACCACCATTCATCGAAGCTATTGTGCTTCTCCCAATTATCTTTTGTCATTGAGATGAGTATCCCTTTTTGCAGTACATGCGTTGACCATAGGCAAGTTGGAAAAGAGCAACAACTCGATCGCCGTCATTCAGATCCTTAATAGCTAGGCCAAGGATTTTGACATTTCCGCCAAAGTCCGTGGCCAAAGGTATCACCCTCTTGAGTTTGTATTATTAGGCATTTATGAGTCAAATACGGCGGGTTTGCCAACCCGAGAACACAATAAAGACGCAGACCACTCCCGAGAATCGTGATCCTAGTTACCTTTCTAATAAATATTCGTGTCTTCAAAGATCCTCGGTTTGGGTACATCAACCACCCTTGGGGGACGATCTGGTCAAATTTTGTCACCAAAACTACTAGAGCCCAAACTACGCAGGGGATAGAGCATACCAACCTCCACATCATTTATATCTCATCCAAACAACAAGCTTTATTGTCTCTCCGCTGGGGTCGGCATACGTATTGGGATCCAGCGCCGTAGAAGTCATGTTAAAAATTTAGAACGCGAAGCCGAGTCCAGGTAACCACTCATGCAATCGATATTATGTATTTACTCCGTATTTCCAACGAAAATGAGCGACAGAAAATACCAAACCAGCAAGACCAAATCAGCAGCTTATATTTGTCATTATGTCTAGCTGCTCCTGCACACAGGGAATAGAGCGCTCTTAGAATCAAGATTTTCCCGTTCTACATACTCACCTTTATCTGGGAGGCTTGTCGATGGGGCTGTTTGCAGCTTCGTGGGCCCCAACATACTGCCCTATACATGTAATGTAGGATGCTGGGACGAGCTTATTGGTTGAAATTGTATGCTACGAAACATGTTCGCTTGGGCGTCCAGTGCTCAACTGTCCCGGCTACTGCTGCAGAGTACAAATGAGAATATTTTTGGGCATACGTTATGTGGCTTATTCGTGGGAGATGGTATAGCTAGATAGAAAGGCAAAAAAGGCCCCTTCTGTGAGACCGGGGGATTGATGGTTTTGTTTTTAAAAAGAAAAAAAATTTCTCTTAAAGTATTCCCATCACCGGTCCTACCGCCGCCTAACCAGAACCCTTGCCAATTTCTGAAAAGAGATACCAAATTCCGATCTTTTCAGAAGTAAAGATCAAAGTCCCTAGCAAGAACCAAATCTGCAGGCTTCATCGTGTTTCGCAAAAGCTCCCTCACGTCGTCATGCAGCGCATACAATGAACCGAACGTCCTCAGCAGGTTGGGTTTGGGAGTCCCACGATAGCAGGCAAAGTCAATTTCGAGTGACTCTTGGGCTAACCAGCGAAGTAAGAGCCTGACGTCCGCCAAGTACCTCATTGCGTCGCTTTCGCGGGGGGTGAAATTCCAAAGACGTGCCATGATGATGACGAACACTTTTGGGTGCAGAACATATATGTCGAGTATGGAATTTATCGGGCGTCGTAGCTTCGGTGCCCACGAGATCCAGGGAAAGTAATATGGATCTCTTTGGCTCTGGAGGACTTCGATATATATCGGGTCCGCGCTAATGTATTCCACATCCTGTTGCGAGTTATTTTTGCTTAGCGCGCCTCTATGGGAGATAACGTAACGGCCGGGTCCAAAGAAGACGTTCGCAGGATTACCTACAGGATCGTACACGAGGCCCATGACAGAAGTTAAGCCGAAAGGCTGATTCGAGTTGATGAGGGCATTGACAACATATTCCTTTTCGCAGTCCACAAAGACTGTGAGGGTATTTAGGGGAGTATCGTACTCCGGGCCATCGGGACCAGTGGAATAGAGGACTTCGATGGCATAGCGGCCGCCAACAGCATATTGGATGCGTCTTGTCGATAAAACGACATGGACGGCGAGTACTGCACCCTTAATGTCCATCCCTTATGGAGGATTTAGATGGCAAATTCCACTGGAGTCAACGGTGCATTCGAAAAAGGAGAGGATCACAACGAGAAGCGAGCGCAATTTATTCGTAGTTGCAATGCAAAAGGTCAGGGATTTACCACATCTTTCGAAGTATCAATTTTGATTGCAGAAAATGTCCACACAGAGGGCAAACCGCGTTTCACTGAAGAGATACCAGCTGAATATGTCCGAAGCTGGGTAATGGAGGCTCGAGAATCGCTAGCTGCTTAATGGAGGGGCAGAGGAGCAAAAAGGGAAGATGTAGAGAGGGAAAAAAAAGGCATAACAAAGTGTCTGTCCCAGAAACTAGACCTTATACGCCGAGAAAAATACTAGTGAAAGCAGTGAAGCCATGCCTTCAGCGTTGCCTATCTTTCTCGGCACAGTGAGACACCTTCGAAAGGCGCTCTGGTTCGGTAACGGGAAGAAAATGTTATGAATCATGAGTGCATTGAATGCCCACAATAAATTGCTAGCATTCTGCAATCTACCTCAATCTATGATTGTGTAGAAGCAGCAATTCAGAGGAACATAGGCACACTCTTAAGAGCAGCAACATGCATGCCATGCTCCTTTTGGGAGATATGGCTATGCTTTACTTCCAGTCTTGATAGAGAACTTCTGGCTGATTTCGTGAAGAACAAAGAAGGCTAGAAAACTAGTTCTTAACATAAATAGATAAGCTGTTCACAATGGACAGAGAGGAAAAAAAGAAAGAAAATATAGCCTTCTTGTACAACTGAAAGGCCGGTTGTTCCATGGACACAGTGTTGAACCCCCTGCTAAACCAGGGATTTGCATATATAACTCCTCTGGAGAAAGGGTCCTGCAAGCATTGTGTCCCGGTATGGAGCAGAGATTCAACCACAGGAATGTAGGCATAGGCATCAGTACGATTACGAATTGAGGCGTCGAGCATCGATCGTAGCCCTGGCCTGGAAGCCCCTGCGTGGCCTTCAGCAACGAAAGGAGTGTGCCTTGATGAGAGTTTGCAGCTGCGGCAGAGTTTAGAGAAGATATCTTAAAATAATTCTTCCTGCACAGTCGAATTTTGGATTCGATGCGACCATCAGTCTTTGCTGGCAATCCTCTGCCACGGTGATTTGGGGCGGCAACCTGGGCCTAACCCCTGACAAAAAAGGATCTTGGATCAGCGCTGGGAAAAAAATAAAACTTGAGAGTGGGCAGATTCAAGAGACAAATCGGGTGCTCCTGAATTAACACAGCAATAATTTTTCAATCAATCAATGAGAAATTCTATGACGGAGGTGAGGCGCAATTGAGGTGGTTTGGCGGTAGGGGTACCTTGACTCGCAGCCATCCGGCCATGTGCACCGCGGTACATCTACTTACCTAATCTTCAGCTGACAGCTCAGCTGAAGGCGACGCGGCCCTTTTATCTGGCTTGGATCAACTGATGCTTATTGAGTATCGCGAAAATCGATCCCTATTGGATATTGGAAACCTCTCTCGATCATTGTCCTTCATTCCACCTCACATTCAACACCTTCAACTTCCCTTATTCTCTTGCTTTTTCGGCATATGCGAGAACCCGAATGTTTACCCTTCTGGTGACCGTCGCCCGTATCGCGAGAGTTCTGTTCCGGAAATACACTTGACCAGACGCATTTGGAAAAACAATAATAACACGCGTACTCTGTAATGGGGGTTTTTCAAAAATTTCGTCGCCAATACACGTTCTCGCCAGATACAGCGCATACCAGTGAGTTTCGTTACAGCTAACATTTCCCTTGCTGGAGTGCGGTGGTGGGCGCGTAAGGAAAGCTGACTAATCGGGTATAGTTTCAGGTCACGACCAGTTAGGAAAAACGTGACATAAAATACGCGAGGCTGGTTTCTGACGGACCACGGTATTGGTCAAGAAAAACAAGCTGCGCCCGAAATTCGTGACAACTCAGAACCACACCTCGCAACACTCCTGTTTCTTTTCCTCCTCGCCGAAAACCATCACCACCCGGCAACTCTCGCCTGTATCATCACCCTTCATCAGCTCGCGGGCTGTTCTATCAAGTTTCCCCCGTCAATTTTTCAAAACGTCTTCCCATCTCGATCCTTCGTTTTTTATTCCTTACAGCTTCTTTCTCGATAATACGATGGGTCGTACCGTCGACCAAGAAGTGCACGCGGCTTTCGTGGAATTTCGTGCCAAGGAAGACGATAAGGTGAAACTTCCGTATTTCATGTATCTTGGGTAATATTTCCAACGACGCACGATGTTTACTGACTCGAAACCCACTCCCGTATAGTGTCTTTCGGTGCAATGTATCTATTGTCAGCAGATCCGGGCGAAGAACACCAGCCGGCAAAAGCAGCATCTGCTCGAGTGCCCTGCCCTCCGCGGGCAACACAACCCCCATGCTCAACCTCCCCCAACTAACGGGGTCACTGCTCCCAATGGCTATGGCGCTCCTCCAAACGGACCTCCGGGAGCTCCAGGTGCTGGGTCAGCGACAGCCGCCCTTCCCTCTAACACTGGCTCCATGATGGCGACTGGAGTTAACCCCCATGGCAGTGCTATGCAGGCGCCCATGCAAACCATCCCCGGTCGACCCTCTCTTCCCTCCCAGGCTCCCACCGCCGCATCGTCGTCGACAGCGCCTCCGCAGGCCCGTGCCCATAGCACTCCAAAGGCCCAGAAAGCACGTCAAAGCACTTCGAATCTTCCTGCCCCGCCGCTCGACGATGTTCACGCTGCCTTTGTTGAGTTCCGTGCGAAGGAAGAAGACAAGGTACGCCGTTCATCTGAGACACGTCCCATGATGATGGCTTTCCACTCACCTTATGAGCAGTGTCTGTCGGTCCAGTGCATCTACTGCCAGCAGGTTCGCGCAAAAAATACGAGCAGACAGCGCCAGCATCTTCTCGAATGCCCAACCTACTTGAATGTGATGAAGGACTCAATCCCTGCGAACAACCTGCAGCACACCTTCCCCGAAGGTGATATCGCGCGTTCTCTTCAGCTCCCGGCTCCAGCCTTGGAGCTTGATTTCCGTATGAGCCTGAAAGTTAATCCTACCTTATCTGTGGGCCCAGGTGTCTGGGGCCAGCGAGACTGGATCACCTTTGTTGGTGGACAGTGGGCTGGCAGATGGGCCAAAGGCATTGTTTTGGTATTTTCCCCGTACATCACTGCCTCATTCGCTTCTTAACCGCTAACTTGGTATCCGTAGCCCGGTGGCCAAGACTCCCAAGTGACTGTCAAGGAGCTTGCCACAAGTATCAGATCAACCTTCCTTTTGCAAACTGCAGATGAACCCCCCGCATATATTGCTGTTAAAACAAATGGCTGGTTAACTGGGGCGAAGGAGGTACTTGAAAAGCTCCAGGACCCCACAGTAGCAGATACCATTAACCCCAGCACCTACAAATACCGTGTCAACATTTCCATGGAAACGGGAGATGAGCGCTACTCGTTCGTGAATACTGTGATGTGGGTGGGAAGTGGATGCCGTCGTGGCGCTGAAGGTATGTTTGAATCCTAGAATCTGGCACCTATGCTCAACACTCTTCTGACTGTTGCTATAGTAATCTTCGATGCTTTCCGTATTACCTAAAAGGTTAAGTTCTTTGTGCAGTTTGAGTTATCCGTATATTGCGAGAAAGTCTTTTTTTTAGGGAAAGCCGGAGTGTTGCGTCTGTGAATGCCTTTGCTACTGATTACAGGTGTCTGAGGTGAACGGGTTTTCTCTGTCGTCATTCGAGTTCAGCTTTTCGCCGGTTTGAGTTCTTTTATATCCGGTGGTCTCACATTTAATAATACCTCTGCTTTTATGTTTTCCTGTCTGGATCTACATTTTCTATGCGCTCTGCTGTTGTTTTATATCGTGTATCAATCTCCTTGATGCCCTGTCGGCAGTTTCTTATATGTTTTTACTATCAAAATGGTTCCTGTTGTCTGCTTTGTCCTGTTTGCTGTCACTTTGTCCTTTCACTTCAATATAATTAATCAAGAATATCCGGCCCTTGCATACTTTGCTTAACTGCCATATTTTAAATTGATATCGCATTTACTCTCTTATCCTTGTCCTCATCCGAATGTCTGCTGTAAGAGGTCGAGTGAGTGGGTCACGTGATATGTGTAAGGTACCTAAGCAAAGACGTCCGTATTTTGTATGACTTAGATTACGGTTGTGGGTATGAAAGAGGGTGTGTACTGTACAAGCTGTGCTGCCCGTATGGACGCGATCGCCCGGTAATACAACTTGCACCGCGAGTTTGATTTAAAAAACATCACGGATCATCGAGTGTGGAGAGAAATTGAAGCGGGTTTTGCTGCAGGAACCCGGAGGAGGCTAGTTATCGCACTGTGCGCCGTAGCCCCAGTCTTTCGGAGATCAATGTCGGGGCAGACCCTCGCGTTGCAGGACCAGATTCAAATGTTTGATTTTTATGGACTTTATGTTCGTTTCCATTTTTCATTACGAATGCTTTTCTGATACGGCACCATCGTTGGTTGGTATGGTGAATGTAACCCACGTATGAAAAGAGATATACGCGCAAAATACCAAAGACGGTATCCGGATTTATGATGTTCCGGACAACTTTTTGCTGGTGCGACGACCAACCTTAAGAAATATTGGTGCCCACCCCGGTGAGGACGGATCAGTGCGATGGAACGGAATCGCCTCCATGGTCGGTGCATGTACTCCGTACGAAGATATATACCTTACATTTACATGCCCAAGAGCCGATCCCGGTCAAAATCCGCGACGCCTATTGGTGTCTCGTTATTCTGGAAGGGTAAAGAGAATACCACCTGACAACTCCGGACTGCTTGACTCTGGAGCGTCCTGAATGAGGCACATGTGGCATCCACTGCTCGGAGATGACATATCAATTCCGTATGGAGTGCAGAGTGCTTTATTTATGCATGTGAGCACCACTCTTTGCAGGCGTCTGCTTCGCTTCGGAGCCAAGTCGAGCTCTCGAGACCTGGATGTTTGCTGACATTCACTTAAAGTTTCGCCATCCGGGCGGTACCCTGCTAGTGTCAAGCCGCGAGCGAAATTAGCCGCGCTCCCGCGGGGCTGATAAGCTGGCTTTGGGGCAGATCAGGGGGCTCTCCGAATATGATGACGTGAGCCCCGCGGGTTAAAAAGCTTACGACGGGTGGGAAAATTAACCGCGCCGCCGCGGGGCTGATGAGCTGGCTTTTAAGGCAGATCAGGGGGCTCTACGAAAACGATGCCATGATCCCTGGTGGTTATATCACATACGAAGGGTAGGCAAATTAGCCGCCGTTTCGGCCGGGTGGTCTCGTTTTGTCCAGTTGATCGTCTGATCTCGGAGCATGGTGAGTCGGTTAACATTAACTCTATAGAACAAAATCCAACTTGGAGTGAGGGGTATGGAGTTGCAGCTCAAAGATGGGCAAGGTAATGTCATACATGTATGCTTCTCGAACTCCTTCGGGTTTGACTGCCGGTTCTATTCATATATCCAGGCATGGAAAAAGTGTAAACCAAGCAACGCAGATACATATGCAGCGATTGGAAATATACCCAATACAATATAGATCAGAAGGAAACATATAGCATCGTAATTCTTCCGAAAATAGCGCTAGATGGGAATACTATACGGTTTCGATGTACCGTTTCACCTCCCTGAATACCAGCATTAGCCAACCGTCACCTAGTACGGAAGAAGCACACGCGTGGTAGATCACTTACCAGTCAGTGACTGCTTCCTCCCAAAGTCTTACTTCATGCTCTCGCGTTCCACCAAAATGGTCAACAAACTCATTCCCAAAAACTTCCCTGGCAACACTATCCTTTGCCATGAACTTTGCAATAGCTTCTTTCAGGGACTTGGCCAGCCGCTCTCCCTTGTCACTCTCATTACCAACATTTTCACCTCGTGCCAGCGGTGGAACAGGTATTTCTAGCTTCTTCTCCACACCCCTCCATCCGAGAGCAACGATAGCTGCCAGAACATAGTGCGCATTCACATCGGCACCGGGGACGCGAATCTCAAGTCGTGACCCCTTGGGACTGCACGTAGGGGGTGTGATCAATCTAATGGACGCCGCACGGTGTTCCAATCCCCATGAAACGGTCACGGGCGCCCAGAAGTTCTCCACAAGCCTTTTGTAGGAATTTATCGTCGGGGCGAGGAGAGGCATGATATCTGGCAGTCCGGCGAGCACACCCGCTAGGAAGTGTCTCCCGAGATCGGAAAGATTTGCAACATCTGGGTATGGCGGCGATAGATCTGGTTGTTCGCGGAAGAAAAGATTTTTGCCATCGTTTGAAACGATCGAGACATGCATATGACCGCTGTTTCCGGGGAGGCCATGAACAGGCTTAGCCATGAAAACAGGCGTGATGCCATATTTACTGCCGAGAGATTTGACGACGTATCTATAAAACCAGCATTTAGCCACGGCAGTCTCCAGGAAAATGTCTCGCACGAGCTCACTTAAACAATCCTGCTCTGTCTGCTATTTCTTTGATTTCCCCGAACTCCAAGGCCTGTATAAAATGTCAGCCTCCACATATGCGTTAACAAAAGACGCCACTAACCGCTTCGAAGACTCCAGGACCACTCTCAGTATGCCAACTTTCAATATCGCATTTGAAAGCCTGACACGTGTCGAATATTCTATAATAATACTCTTGATTATGGACCGGCCTTGTTAAGCTATACCCAAACATTCCTTCCGTTAACGGTGGCAGATCGGCGACCGGGTTTGTCTTCAGGAACCGGGCGGTGCCTGACGAATTTCGTTCTGTTCCATTCCCGTATGACGGCGCGCGAAATTGGTAAAATTCATATTCCGCTTAATGCAGGAGAGTCAGTCTTAAGCGCGATACGCCGCACCAAACAGCGCAGCACATACCTCCTGCCATAGCCTTATATCCTAGTTTTTCCATCGCTGCCGTCGCGCTTCTCAAGAGCCCGCGGGGACACGCTGAGATCGGAGCGTGCGTTTCTGGGTCAAAAAAATTGACAAGGAAAAATGGTACATTGTTCTCCCACGGTATTCGCCTGAAGCTCTTCAAATCTGGAATAGCGTTCATATCTCGGTAACCATTCTCTTTATTGCTAATAGCCAGTTCCTTAAAGTATGTTTGATCGTGCATATCCCACCCAAAGATTACAGAGCAGAACCCGAACCCATCTTTGGCGATCGAGAGGAACTTCTTCTTGGAGACTAACTTTCCCCGTAGAATGCCGTCGGCGTCGATTCCGGCGAGCTTCACCTGTGTATCGCGCACCAGCACCGCTTCTAGGTTGTCAAGAGTGACTTTTGTGAGATCTGTATCCGTAGTCATGTTGGTACCGGTGCTGGCAAGAGCTGTTACTCCTTCTTGAGGCATCGATGAACAGACCGATGGAGTTCAGCGGGGGTTTTATTCTAACCCAAAGCAAAATCACCGGCCAAGCCACGACCGAAGGATGTTTCGGAAAGGGATGGCTGAATTTAGCTCCAGGCAGGAAAGTTCTCGGAGCTCCTAACTGATGTCGGCAGCGTGCCGAGTGGGATGCGCCCGTCCCCCGACCCATGCGACGGAAGCGTGGGGGGGGAAAGGCCAAGGAGCCGCTCTTATCTCTCTTATCGGGACCGCAGCCACAGCAAAACTTAAACCGGCCTATTGGCCCCGGACCCACCAGAATAGGGTTTGCGCTAACCCCGGACTCGGAGCGTCAGGTGACGTTGACTCGCGCCGCTTTAGACTTGGATTCACCCGGGCCCTGAGATTCAATGCTGGCTCAACCCAGGTTAATCTTAAAGCTTGGATTTTGCCGCCGCCGATGGTTTTGGGCCCCACCGCTTGCAGCCTATAACACAAAGTTCTGTGGGTCGCTGGACTGCATAACTAATGTTGTGTCGTCGAAGCTTGATGACGGAGCTCTCGCCCGAGCCTTTTTATGTCTGTCATCCGCTTCCTGTCATCGTTGCTTCCACCCTCCTTTTATATTCTCAGCCGGAGTCACTTGAGGAACCCAGCAGCGATTAAACAGCACAAGATAAAGACAACCCAGTAAGCCAGCATCTCCCACTTTTTCACACAGAAGAGCAAGAGGACCCCGGGCTGTGTGTATGCTGACCAAACAGAGTCGGTGGAACTTCGAAAACCCATCCGTATTTACAATGACAGCCCCAAGAGGACGTCTCCATGGCAAGAATGCCATCGTTACCGGTGCTGCAGGGTACGTTCACTCCTGGCATAGAATAAGCCACCGTATCTGCTGGCCGTTTTGAATGCTGGACTTCAACTTAACTGACAACATCTCACAGTGGCATCGGCCTTGAAACCAGCATTTTATTTGCCCGCGAAGGCGCCTCTGTCTTGATGGCTGATATCTCCGAGCCGGCTTTGGAAAAGGCCATCGCCAAAGTCAGGGTAGCGGTCCCCAACGCTCCTAGGTTAGAGACGGTGAAGTGTGACGTATCCAAGGAGTCAGACGTCCAGGCCATGGTTGACAGGCTAGACTCATGGGGAGGGTTGGATGTCATTTTCAACAATGCTGGTATTATGCATGCTGACGATGCCGACGCTGTCGATACACCGGAGAAGATCTGGGACCTCACACATAACATCAACGTGAAGGGTGTGTGGTATGGATGCAAGCATGCCGTTCTCAGCCTGAGAAGGAATAAAAAGACGAAAGGCAGCATTATCAACACTGCGAGTGTTGTTGCCTTAGTGGGAAGTGCAACTCCTCAGCTAGCGTATACTGCAAGCAAAGGCGCTGTTTTGGCCATGACGAGGGAGTTGGCTATCGTCCATGCCCGGGAGGGATTCAGATTCAATGCGCTATGCCCCGCACCTCTGAAGTATGTCGTATTTCGTCTAATACCCGGACCTTCTGTTGCACGCTCAGCCGTATTCTAACCTCACACTGCACAGCACCCCTCTTCTCCAGGACTGGCTCGGAGATGACGCACATAAGCGTATGAGACGGGAGATCCATTTCCCCACCGGTCGCTTCGGCGAAGCCGTTGAGCAGGCACAAGCCGTGCTGTTCCTTGCTAGTGACGAGAGCAGTTTCGTCAATGGTTCCGATTTTGTGGTCGATGGTGGTATGACGAAGGTATACAAATGGATTACAACGCTCTTATTCGGTTTGAGTAAAAGTAGACTAACGCATCGACTGCTAGGCCTATGTGACACCAGAGGGACCCCCAACGGAAGCTCCAAAGAGCCTTGCCTCGTGACCGGCTTAAAGATGTTTCGGGGAAATGGATAGCTAATTAGAATGGTCCGTTGCCGCGAAGCCCAGAATGAATACTGTGATTGAGCGTATTTATTCTGTCCTCCTGGGAGTTTAAATACTTCCGAGTTCTCTGTACGAGGTAACGTAGGATTCGATCATAATCATCAGGGAACTTCTACTTGGCCTTATGACGGATCGAACGGATGGGATCGCTACTTGACCAATCCGACGTAAGCCACTGTTACCTCTCGAAGACATGTTGGTAACCTATTCTCCAGATGTAGGGCTACTTCTCTTAGCATATACAAACCTAGCAATTCCCGCTGTCTACGTCGTTCAGTTGCGTGTAACTTCGAAGAAATTGCCAGACATAAGTCCTTTTTTTTCAATTACTCAGATCCCAAGTCAAAGGAATCGGGGAAATGATGAGTCAACTCGAAAGCATAAAACACTATGCTACAGCAACACCCACCTGAGCCAATGGTCTCTTGTATATTTACATATACGTACATACATAGGCCGATTGTTGCACCACAATCGCCAAACGCCACAAAGAACAGGCTTTGTTGGCTCGCTCATCATAAAGGCCCGGACCGCCGCAACATGTCACACTATGCAGCCGTAATCAAGACAGGTTCCAGTGTTGGTGTTCCACTCTTATCATCATAGTTTCAAGCCATGAGAGGGCTAGGGCATACATAGATGGCTAGAAAGAGGGGAATAAGAGTCTATAGAAGAAAGGATTTCAAGGGTGCCCCGGGTAAGGGAGGTCATGCGCATTTGCCCTCCACCCGGTATATTGAAAACAACTTACTGCAGCCCTGATAGGGGAAGCTAGCCTCTTCTTTTAAAGATGAGGCTAGCACGAAGCGGTGAAAGACAAGCCTTGCGGTCATATTCCAGCCCCCATTGGCAATGCGAAGTACGACTTCAGTGTAACAGCCGCGGAGCTCACATCATCAGACAAGCAATAGCCACTGGTGCACCCCATCCTTGCCTAGAGTGGTCGTGATGAACTTAGTGTGGATTTACACACTAAATCAAAACTCATTTACACTTGCTCTGGGTGTCTGTGATACATGTATATACTCTAGACACAGTGCACAAAACAAGACCTTTTCTTTTCTAGTGACAATAGGATGTTTTACTAACAGGTGGCAGAATTTCCAGTTCGTCGTGAGAATGCTGAGGGTTTGTCGCGAACATATGCAAGTCTAAAGAACTTGTCTTCGACTGGAAGGATTTGTCCAAACCCCCCCGGTCCGAGTTGGCGGCCTTGGCAACGACGAATCCGATATTAGGAGATATCCTGGAAACGTTCATATTAAATCCCAGCCTCGATGGAAAGAGCTCATCGCTGCCGAATGTTTCAACCTTTAGCTCTTTAAATGTAACTGCAAACTCAACAATACAAACATCCATAAAAATTCTAACAAATATGCCTTCTCCGCTTCAGAATCCCGGCGGGTAGGACACGCGGTATAGGAGTTCCTTGGGATGTCCGAGATCGCTGGGGACTTGGTGCACTCATTCCTGTGCTCTCGAGACACAATGCACGAACCAGTTTTGTTTTTCTTGTACTTCTTGACTCGCTTTAATATACCACTCCAGCTGTCCGACAGCCGTCATGTAGCGAAGAAGGCGCCCATAATCTCAATACTATCGCAGTTATCATGATCATAATTGGTTATTCCCTGCGAAGGGCCCGCATAAGATGATGCTGCTTGTCATGCTGATGCCGAATCTCTGAGTCTATCAAATCCTGCCATAACAATTAGGGTTCAAAGTCAGTGGGCTGCCGTTCGTCTAATTAAAGCTGCATCTCGTACGAAGTTCTCTGTCCTGGATCGAAGTCCGCCGAACTAGGTACGGAGTAGTTTCCAGATATATGGTGAAGATTAACTGGAATGTCATTCCCGAAGAACAGAGGCAAGGAACAACCTCCGGAACCTCTTCCATCTAACGCTCGTACTTGCGTTTCACAATGGCTAATGCACACCACTGAGCGCGATGCTCATGCGGCCGTATGCACACACGTGTTGAAATATGGGGTTCACAGAGCCACGCATGGCTCGTAGGTCAGGGCGAGGACCTATTTTCTAAGGATCACATTTAAAAGAAATTGTCGGCCTGTGAGACTGCATGCTGGAGGGCTTCAAAGCTCTCGTATTTTTAACGATAGAACTCCCCTCAATGCGGGCAATAACAGGACCGGGAAAAAGCAAACAGGATGCCATCAAACGACGAGAAGAGGTGCTCGGATACCATCGCTATGGTTAATCCCGAACTGGCTTTATTTAGAGATATGGTTCCTGCAAATAAGGAAAATAGCATCTTGGAGACTGGCGCCGGAAGCTTGAGAGTTGAGTCAATCGACCTTGAGGTAGAGAAGCGGGTAGTGAAGAAGCTGGATTGGAGAGTTATGCCGTTACTCTCAGCTTTGTGTATACCCCCCTCGAAATGACATTTGCGATGGGTGCCAGAGGCTAACGTCATTCACTAGATCTGTTGAGCTTCTTAGATAGGACAAATATCGGCAATGCCCGAATTGCCGGGATGGAAAGTGATCTCCGGCTCAATGGGTCTCAATACACCTGGCTCTTGACTATATTTTATATTTCATTTATCGCATTTCAATTCCAAGGCGTCATGTGGAAGATCATTCCCCCGCACATATGGGCCACCATTGTTGTCTTCGGTTGGTTAGTTTAAAACCTTCAGGCAAATTTCCCAAGCACGGGCTAAAATTCATAGGGGGTTATTTGCGACTTGTCAGGCAGCTGTCCATTCGTGGGCCGGCGAGATGGCATTGCGCTTCCTCCTGGGGGTCGCAGAAGCTGGCTTCAGCACTGGGATTCCCTACTTACTTTCATTCTTTTACCGTCGACAGGAGCTTGGGCTGCGCTGTGGGCTTTTCCTTGCCGCTGCGCCTGTTGCAAACACTTTCTCGGGTGCCTTGGCCTATGCCATTACATCCGGGAAATCTAAGATTGCTCCCTGGCGGCTACTCTTTCTCGTGGAAGGCCTGCCAACTATATTGATGGCACCTATAACGTTCTATTTCCTCCCGGACAGCCCCAGCAAGGCACGGTTTCTGAACGAGGAAGAAAAGAAAGTAGCAGAGGCTAGGGCCGTCCGGCAGGTTGGCCGGGTTGATCGTGTGGGCAACATGGACTGGAAAGATGCCTTCTCTGTGCTTCGTGATGTGAAGTTGTGGTGTGGTGTGGTGAGTTTGAGACCCTCTTAGGCGACTCCTCACTTGCTGATAAATATCTACCTTTCGGGCGCAGCTTATATACTTCAATTTCGCTATTAGCTATGCCTCACTTCCTGTGTTTCTTCCAACACTTCTTGCAGATATGGGGTTTACCGCAATCGATGCACAGGGCTTGACAGCTCCCCCGTTTTTCCTGGCCATCCTGGTGACAATCGGGACCACATGGGCTGCTGATAGGCTCCAGCAGAGGGGCATCATAGTTGCCATTCTTTGTCTTGTGACACTCATTGGATACGTCCTTCTCGCGGCATGTACAAGCGTGGCAGCGCGGTACGCTGGGGTATGGATTGCTTCTTGCGGTCTATTCGCGGCTGTTGCAAATACTACCCCGTGGCTTTTGAGTAAGATTCCCATTGCCGTGAACTTCAAAAGGGAAACACCAACTCGTATGCGGGATACCGACGGCTAACATACCCAAGATAACCAGGGATCAGATAACCGCCGCGGAATGTTATCTGTCGTTTTGAGTCTTCTTGGTCAGAGTGGTACACTCTTGGGTACAAACGTGTTCCCGGATTCGGAGAGACCTCGATTTATCAAGGGCCAGACAATCTGTGCGGCTTTCGTGATGTTCAATTTCGTCATCGTCGTGGGATTGAGAACTTTGCTTGTTTATCAGAACCGGAAGCTCGACCAGAAATATGGCACCATTGAGCAGCATAGAAATCGCCAGCATCAAGAGAATGCGATCCTGGTTGTTGCCGAGGAAGATTACGGGCCGAACTTTCGATATGTTCTTTAAACTTTTCGTTTTTCTCGAGTCCCATTACCGGGCGTTGATGCCTAGAATTGGCATATATTGATATACCTGACGCTAACCGGTCGCTTCGAGTCGAGTCACGCGTAGAAAGTTGGGTATAGACAAGAGAATTGGGCCTATCAACCCCGTTTGAATCGGTTACCTTGTAACTAAAAGCTGCAGAAACTTGCGAATAAAATGGTTGAACGGCGCGGTCCAACTTTGAAAGAAAATAATGAAGTGACTCTGGTATTTAGCATATTTGCTTGATTGTCAGGTTCCTGGAGGCCCAAGCATCGGGCGCAAAGTGGAAGAAAATATCTATGTGCTGTGTATTGCCAATATCCGTATACAGGCTTCAAGGGCAAGGGTGTGGTGTAAAGGGCATGGACACCCGTTTTTGGTCACGCGAAAAAAGGACGCTGGGTAGCGGTACTACCAGACCACCTGTGTGGTAAGTTTAGCACAGTTTGGGTGTCTTAGTGGCTTGCTTGTTCCTATATCTAGCAGCGTATTCAAGGATTTGGGCCACCGCGACAGTGGTTCGTAGGTGGGCGCTCCTTTGCTCATTGCTAGATGCGGAGAATCGGTAGCGCGTCGAGCTACACATAGTTTCATGAAGCAGACCCGCCAGATGAGCTGCACTGACAGTATAATGTTACAGGGGTACACACATCTGGATAATTCTCGCGACAGTCTCCTGATGAGACCATAGGGCTACGGGTAGCATAGGACACGAAAGGCTGATGATCCAACATCTTGCGCGAATGAACTTGCGGTGTAATGTGCAACTATGGAGTCCGAGATTATGGAGGAGATCCTCAGGCGAACAATTGCTGCATAGTCTCCGCAATGAAAGAGAGAAGAGAAGCAGCAGGTCAGTAGCGATAGGAAGTTCTTCCCGAGGGCAGCATCAGGTAGTAAAAAAGGTAGTAAAACGGTTCCTGAGGTATGGACTGTTGAAGCTGGGAGAGAGCAGTAGGGCAACATTGGCCTGCTTCCAGTGCACCCTCGGCCCGGCCATCGAACCCATCTGGTACCGCAGGCGTTTCAGCGACGTTGCGCTGGACAAAAGGCGGCTTCACGGACGGTTTCAAGCGTCCTGGAGCAGAGGGAAGCCACGTGACCTGACTGAGGCTCCATAGCAGAAATGGGGAGGATTTGTAAACCGTAGATCCACTAGTCCCGATACATTTACATCAGAATATACATTTATCCGAATCCATGGTTGTTTGGAAGTTTAAAAATATATACATTCCAAATTCAGAAACATAGCTTCCAATCCTCAACATAGAAATCAGGAAATGTTCAAACCCCTGATCAACAAATATATCTAGGAACATTCAGGATACCTTTTTGGGTTTATAAATGTTTATAGTATAGAAACCATTATAGTATAGAAACCATTATAGTATAGAAACCATTATAGTATAGAAACCATTATAGTATAGAAACCATTATAGTATAGAAACCATTATAGTATAGTTACCCCAGCAGACACTGGAGAGATTTCAACTAATGCACAATACTACATACATCAAACCACCTGATCCACCTATAAAAAGAAAACACTCCAAGTACAGTTGAGAAAGATAGTCAGCAGAGCAGAATCCAGTTCAAGCCTTTCAGAATCTTTGCTGACAGGTATTATGTAAAGGCTTGATTTGCAGATTGCAGGTAGGCTAATTATATGAATCTCATCCCAATTCACCTGCAAAATCAGCAAATCCAGTACCCTCTCACACCAAATTTCATAAGCAGAGAACATGGCAAAAAAAACCCTCCAGCAGCTGCCCTGGTTGTGGGTGAATATGCATCTTATTTGCCCAATCTTGGTGCCCAACACACAAGTATACTCAACCAGATCATCAAGTTTCAATATAGTGTAATGTGTATCTCCATTGAATGTAAAGGTCAGCTTTTGAAACAATTGAATTGGGGTCAAACCTCTGTCAAGCATATGTTGATATGCCCAATCACTGCTGTATGAAAGTTGGAGCTTTTGCAAAAAGAAATGCATAATTGGTAGTTCAGAAAGCCATGCACTTTGTAAATCAAGCAATTCCATGACTTTGTGGCTAGCTGGTAGTCAGCAGTAGGCATTGATTAAGATATGGAAGAAGATGGTAGCATATGAATTATCAGCTTCATCAGCATTCTCATCATCATCTTGTTGCTTATTGTGTTTCAATCACACAAGATCTTGCATGAGAATCAGACATTCATGATGAAGTTGCTTCATCTGGCTGCTGATATAGAGTTCTGATTCCATAAGAGCCCCATCAAGAACCAAGAATATAGTGTGTTTGAAGCTCTTATGAATCAGTAAAACTTTTTCAACATCACACTTGTTGATTCACTGCACAAATGCTTTGTATTTACAGTATTTATTCTCCCTGATCAGTACATTGCAGTTATTTGGCACAGCATACTTCTTTGTCTGGTCAGCATAGTGCACCCTGATATGCATGTTTGGTTAGTGTTTCAAAGCATGTAACATCTTACCTGCTTTCAGAGCAATACTGACAGTGTTAATCAAAATGTCCTTTATCAGAAATGTCACAATTCAATTAAATACTGGTGAATTCTGCCATAATCTCAGCATCTATACTGCCCAGCTAGCCAACTGTAGTGCCTTGACAGCCATGACAGTAGCATCTATCACTTTCTGAAGTATAGTTCAGGTATTGGCAACCACACTTTTAAGTTCATTGTACCTGACAGATATCTGAGAAGTTAATAGTGAATTGCTTCTTGCAATAGCACCAAAGATTTTAGCAAGCAACAAATACAGAATGTCAGAATCAATTGACTGTTCACTAAAGAAGTTATAGAGAGCCTGCTGAACAACAGTCTGAATCCAGTCAGACTTTAGAGCAAAGCAGAGTATAATTGGAATCACAATTGAAGCTCAGATGTGTTTCTGAATTTGATAGGACTTCAGATAGGTAATTGGAGACTGCAGTCAGGCCCAGCATCTTTAAAATGAAAATCTCTGTAGAGTTTGGCAGTATTTCTTCTGCCCCTCAGGTGTCAATATATATGATATCAATAATGTATGCACAATTTTGGACAGGCCTGAAAATTCACTATAACAGGGGTCAGAGAGGAAAAATGTCACCAGATTCAGTACCAGATAGATCTTCAAAACTGGAGGACTTTTCTTGATCAATCTATAGATCTTCTACAGTGCTTCTCACTTGTGAACAGTCCACTTCACCTCAATTTCAGCCTGCAAATTAAGTAGCTGGTAATGGTATCAGCCATGTTTCATCAAGTCAAAATTCATATTGAATCTCTCCACATCAGAGACAGTACAGCTCCAACAGGAGACTGTTGCAGTAGAGCATTTGATTTCAGTATTATTATTTTGCTGCAGCATGTCATCAAGATAAGCAATACAAGAAGCAATAATTCTGACAGTTTCTTCACCAGTTACCACAATGTCAAATTCTCTTTCAACTGCTTGTAAACCAGGAGCCAACACCTTCATAACATCAGGAAAATTTGTAGCATAAGACCCAAGAGCAATTGTATATACATTGTTTCATCATTTTCTTTCAGAATCATTAAGTTCTGCAGGAATTATATAAAAGCCAGTTATATTTCAGTACATGTTCCAATATAGATCAAATCCATCAATGAACAGCAGGAAGAGAATGGATATAGTTCTCTTGATAGAGTCACCTGGGCAGAGCATCTTGATCAGCATATCTCTCCCATATGCTGTGATTTCCAGTTCACTCTGGAGCAGAGTGCTAAGTCAGAGCTCTTGTACAGATGATGTGTGGTGAATTGTATTCATCACTTGCCATACAAAGAATCCATTTGTTTCTGAGGGTTTGTAGCTATCCAATTCATCAAAGATGTAGTCAAGATGGACATCCAGTCAGGCTAGAATGTTGTCTTCATGTATGATGTGAGTTTTCTGATCTTCCAGTAAGAGCAGCTTGTTCAGGCAAAGCAGAGGTCTCAGTAAATGAATTCTTTTATCAAAGCTGCTGGCAGTAATAGTGTACTGGACAATAAGAACAATTTTATCAGATTTTGTGCAGGCCAGTCTCCAGTTCCAATCCACAAATTGAATTCTTTCAATATGGATTTCTTGTTCATTCCAAGTACACTTACATGCAGCATTGTTGCATCTGAAACAAACAAAATCAGAAGGAAAGACTGGTGTTCTGTCAGGATACCATGCAAAGTCACCCAACAAATATCTAATGGAGCTTCCCCAGCTTCATGATTGCCACAATTTGGTCAGGTTGTCAACTAGGTCAGCCATATCAATATGTATCTTCTTGCAAAATACAGGAGACCTTGCCAGTAATGACAAAAGAGCCACAGGATCCTGAAAGAATAAATTAGATGTAAGAGATGTCTGTATTAGTTACTTCTCAGCAGGCAAAAGAGTTGGCATTTTCAATGGAACAGCCAGTATGGATGCTCATCAGATGGGAAGTATAGGGAATTGAGCTCTGCATTTCTTCTTCAACATGCTCAGCTCCAATGGTAGAGATCTCAGTGCACTAATGTCTTCAGAAATCTGTAAGACTTTCTGCAGTGCCTTATAGTGTCAGCAAGATATTCCTGATTTTTTGCACCATAATTCTAAAGCAAGCATGAAGTGGTTCAGCATTTCATCAGGCTCTGCACACACATGGACTAGAACCTCCAACAGGTCATTCATTGTAGTTGGGATGTAGATCTCAGCTGGCTGGTCACCTAATGAATTCTCTAGTTGTGAATGAAAATCAGAATCTCCATTGCCAACCAGGTGCACTGGATGTAATATAGTCTATAACCAGGGTTCAGATTCAGGCTCTTCATACTGTTGTGATTTATTGTTATTAACTGATCCCATGAGTAGAGCTGCCACTGCTTCTTGTATAATCTCCTGCACCCTGATATCTTCTGATTTAGAATGAGTGTCAGATAGAGTGTTGGATAGAGTATCAGAGGCATCTGAAAGACTTGCTGCATTCTGTACACAGTAATTAGAATGATGCAGACTGACAGAGAATTTAAGATCTTACACTTAATTCTGACTTCTCAGTTTGATTGTTCAGCTGAATGTCAGGTTCCACTGAAAGTAAAACACAATTGCAATCTTGCAATTCTCACAATAAATGAGCAGGCTGTCTGTATTTTTGAAACTGCAAGACTGGAAATGACAAATGAAGTCATCTTCTCCAAAACATATAATCCTCTATGCACCTCAAGTACCTCAGATCTCACATGTTTGCTCAAGATTTATACACCAGTTTCTACAGTGGTTGAGTTTCAAGTTGCAGAAACAGTGAGGGTTGCTGCAGAATTGCTTTGAGACAAAGTATGTAGAAATTAGAAAGAAAATTGCTGTTCAATTGGGGAATCAGACATATTATAGCAAAGTTGAATGTTAGAGCAGCTGCAAAATGTGCCAACTGTGCCACAGATCAACTGTAATATTCTAATCACCTAGACCTGTAATTAACTCTAAGAGATGCAAGGTCAGCAATGATCTGCATTCTCCTGAATGATCAGCCTATTTCAAAGAAATCAATCACTTAGCAGCATTGAATTTTAGAATGTAGGGGAATATAGATACAGATCTGAATAGCAACTTGAGCAGTCAAATACACTCCAAGTTAACTATATAATAGATAGCAAACCTCTTCAAAATTCAAGCATTCACTCTCATTCATTCTCAACAGCAATCTGATAGCCAAAATGTCAGAGACACAGAGCACACCAGCACTAAAAAGAACAGCTCACATCTTCCCATGGGCCTAATTGCACAACATACTAAAGGCTCAAGAGATATCATTCAGTTCAAATACAAGTACCTGAACTGAAGCATTCTCTGATTATACAGAGATTGAAAAGCAGGTTCAAGTGGTGGAGCACAAGATATAAAATCAGGTGCAATGGGCCTATATATCAACATTAAATACTGATCTGATTCCTGATACCATCCAGAAGGTGCTGAGCCTTGAGAACTGGGAAGCCAGGAACAACTCATATTTTTGTAAACTTTCCAGACACATGTCAGATCTCTGTAAAGGTTAGAAATGTAAGATCTTAAGTAGCTTGAAGATCAGAACAATATCCCTAAACTTCTAGTTATGGTATAAACTGACCTCATTTGCAGGATCATGTCAGGGAATGTATTGAACTCAGCTTGACTGAGAATCTCAATTTCAGACTCCATGAAATAATCAATTAACAAAAGCTAATCAGCTATTTTGCCCAATTGTTCAAGTGGGACCAATTCTGTAAAGTCTTTTACTGGGTCAAGCCATATGTTGATTTTGAGAAGTCAGCTCCACAAGAGAAATGGTATTTTGAACATAAGTCAATGGTAAATCTTAATTGCCATGATTTCTGCTCTGACAGTTATAGCAATAGAGGTGTATGCAAATTTAGCAGCATACATGAAGCTGTATCTTGATGACAACAGTTTAAAATGGGACACATCCACTCTATTAATCTACATCTGGAATTCTGTACTCAAGCTCTGGAACTGCTTGATACAGAAACCAGAACTGAGAGATGTTAATTCAGACAACTTCACTCAACAGAAGGTTTAATCAAGAAAGCCAAAGACTGTCCATGTTGAGACTTTGCCAGAAATTCTGAATGCAGTCCAGTTGATATCTAGTATGCTGTCCAGGGAACCTGATTCACATCCAGCTCAGGCAGTGCAAGCTCTGTGGGAGCCAGAGAATAACAATTCAGATAAGGAGAATCAGAATTCTTTGCAGAACATTACAGAGAATTATTTTAAGACTGCAACAAATCAGCCTGCCTGTTTAAAGAGACCCACACCAGCCACAACTGGTTACATGCCCCAAAAGAGATGCAGATTCTAGTTGAATACATGAAAAGATGTCTTCTCAGATTAAAATTGGCTGTTAGTTTGTGCTTCAAAATAGATTTCAGGATTTGATATCTAGACTTCAATACAATGCTCTGTTATATCAATGCTTGCAAGAGCTGAATTTCACTATATTCAATATATATCTCTTTATCATTTACTATAATCAGCTATAGGAGCTCTAAGCAAAATGAGTTAGCACTTAGTAATGTATAAATAGATATATTCCAATTAGGAAATCCAAAACAATCAAGCAGACATACTAAATATAATAATCTCTTTCCACACAAAATCTCTCTCTTCTTCTCTTCTTTTCTTTCTTTCCTTCTCTTGAGCTCATTATATTTCTTGTCACCTCTCTCCCCCTATTTCAATATCAAGGTAAGTGGTGGATTTCAGAATGAAATAAGGAACTGCAGCAAACTGAAGAATAATATATGCAGAAATAGTAAAAAATGGCTCTGCAAACACATAAATTAGCAGCAGCTCAGGATGAGCACTCTTCAATGTCCACAAAGAAGAAGTCAGAGCAAAAGCTCTCAACTGTTAAAGAAGAGTTCACTATAATGAATAATATACTCTGTAGCCACTGTTTAACATTTGTGTATACAGTACACATTAAAAAGTCTTGTTCCTGCAAGCAAGAAACCACAAAGGCCTGCACCAATTGTGCAGAAGATAAAAAAGCCTGTACTTCTGTCTCTTCAGAGCTGCAGAAGAAAGTGGCAGCATTACTGTCTGATTATGATAATTTTCTCAGGCTTAAGAACACAACACTTCAAGAGAAATTAAAAGCCAGTATGGCAGAACAGGCCACTGGTCTCAGTGAATTGCTTGTCAAAATAGCACTCTTATTAGTTTAAACTGACAAATTCCTCTCTTTTCTCTTCTTCAATACTGAAGTTGGTGCTGCCACTTTGACAGTGTTAGAAAAGCTCATGTCCATTCAAGCTAAATAAAAAGAGCTTGCAGAGCATACATTTCACTCTGTCAAGATAGATTGAACTGATTGGATATCATACATTCAACTCATGCTAATGTAGTTATATATATAGAATATTGAAAGAATCTTGACTAACATTCACCAGAACTTAAAGTCCAATTGTTTATCTTCTGCAGTCAGTATACTTGATGCAATGTCAGGATGAATTAAACTGACTTTGATATTTGATGACAGAAAAAGCAAAAGACAGAAGAAACCATCTATAAATCAGTAGTTAAAATAGGCTAATTTACTGCTGCCCTGCTCTCTGCTGTATCTACTTCTCTCTCTCTCTCCCCCACTCCAATCATGCCTTCTCCCTTCATTCAGTTGCAGCCAAATATCTCTGCATCAGGTCTGTCTTTAACTAGAGGCAGTGAAGCTAATTTGCTTAAAAGTACAATCAAGCAGTCCAAATGGGCTTACCCTGACAATTCTTCTGCACTGGTTTTACACCCTGTTCCTGAATCAGAGACTCCAACCAGGGAGGCTCAAATTTAAAAAAAAAAAAAAAAAAAAATTCATTACAATTCAGGTTGTGCAGGTGGTTTGTAATACTTAGTTAGTTCCTAGTAATTGAAAAGCTTCCAAATCAGGTTCAAAACCCTCAAGTTTAAAAATATATACATTCCAAATTCTATACATTTCAGACCCTTTATATGTGCATTGTAAATATATGGTTGATCTATGGTTTCAAGCTTGCGACCCGTGGTTCAACAGGTCGCGTCAGATAAACGTTTTCCGACGGTTGCCCGAAAAGCTCATTTTTCCGGTATGGCTGGGTATGCCAAGCCCCTTCCAGAAATGAGAGTTACGTATCGCATCTACCAGAATCGGTTAATTCGCTCTCAGCCTCCCTTTCATCATCATCATCATCATCATCATCATCATCATCATCATCATCATCACTTCAACTTTCATCACCACCGCCGCCGCCGCCCACCCGTCCAGCGCCATCTCTACTCCCTGCCACCACGACACCCTCTGCCATCTTTTGCATCTGGCCGGCGATATTCGACCGCGAACGTCGTCCCTCAAGCACTCGAGTTTTTTCCGTTCGCATCACACCTTCGCTTTTGCGTCCGCCACCTGCGTCTTAACTCGCTATCTTTTCGTCTCTCACCATGGCTGACCGTGACCAGCCCTACGATCCCTATATCCCATCGAATTCCAACCAAAATGGAGGAGGAACAAGCGGGAACCAGAGAACTGCTGCGTTGCAAGCGGTATGTCGGCCCCCATTTTTCAAGATCTGCTCTTTTGAGTCCATAGCTTTGTTCGAAATCCCAACTTTGATGGGTCGGGCCACGCCGGATATCTCGCAATAATTCTCTGCAATTTCGGACAATGATCAACGGAAAACGCGAAATGCGGTTCCGGTTAGATTTTAACTCTAGCAACGAAATTTCAGTGCTGTTGCCCGTGACGATGCTGACATGTCTCTTTTCCTTCAGCAAATCGATGATACCGTCGGAGTGATGCGAGAAAATATCAACAAAGTCTCACAGCGTGGCGAACGTTTGGATTCGCTTCAGGACAAGACGGACAATCTCGCTGTTTCCGCTCAGGGCTTCCGCCGCGGTGCCAACCGGGTCCGTAAGCAGATGTGGTGGAAAGACTTCAAGATGCGGATATGTTTGATTGTCGGAATCATCCTCCTGCTGGTAGTCATTATTGTCCCAGCTGGTACGCTCCCTCAAGACGTTTATGTCACCAATTTTTTTTCCTCCAGTTACAACGTTTGCTAACTGTGATTTTAGTCGTTGCGACCAAGGGGAAATGAGTTTCCCGTATCTTACCCTGCTCTTCCCTTCTCACCGCGCTTCAATAAAACCCCACCGTTACGATTTACATAAAGATTTCAAAAAATCTGCTCTTAGCTACGGTGCCTGTCGACCTTCAGTGCGTGCGCGGTTACCCCCGCTCCCTCTTGTCCTCTCTTGCGCTCTCATCTTTCCGGTCCCTTTTCTGCCCCTTTATAATTGAGCTACGAATCCTCTGGTGTTTTTGCTTTAGTTCCTCGATCACGGGTCTAGCTTGTTGGGGAAATGGGCCTTGTAAATGATACTCTGGTGATTGTAACTGTCGGTTTGCGATGCTTCTGCTATAGGACTTGTTTTAATGACTCATTAGCTTTCATTGTGTGCTCCATTCACCAAAGTATGCCATTGTTATCATGTTTCGGGATGTCAATGGTTGATTCCGTCGAAAGAAGGCCAGATAGTTCATCCAGTAGCAGCACACTCGTCGATGCAGCGGTAGCTCTGGCCGCAGATGACAATTTTTTTTTTTTCACTAGTTATTGCTGCTTTAAAGAGAAAAGTTAAGATAATAATAGTAGTAAGGTTGCTGGCTAGGCCGCTTAAAATCGATTTCATGGCAGCACAGTATGGAGTTACCAAAGTTTGACGAGTCTAGTCACAACCACCTTAGTCACGAACTCGCGCAAATTTTCTTTTTTTCACGAGCATTCCCGCATGCGTCAATAGTACTCTCGGGGTTGCCTTACTTTTCAAACACAATCGAATCCTCACGGGCTGTACATGATCAGGAGGTCTCTCATTTAGTTGACAGAGCTGCCGCATGTGGGCTGAGAAAATGCTTCCTGCTCGTCTCCTTGTGCGGGGAGGCGTCCGAACCGCGAGGCTCGGCGTCGCTACTCCTCTGATCAAATTGTCTGCCACGGTCCCCTGCCTGGGATCTCAACGACGAGGTTACGCCCCAGGTTCAGCACCCTACCTTTCCACGCGTTCCACCGTTGTCCAGCTCTTAAGCAACATTGGCTCGAAGCGGGAGGTGCAGCAGTACCTGTCTCATTTCACGTCTGTTTCATCCCAGCAATTCGCGGTCATCAAGGTCGGCGGTGCGATTATAACCGAGCATCTGCAAACTTTATCCTCTGCCCTTGCATTCCTGAACCATGTCGGCCTCTATCCTATCGTCGTGCACGGTGCGGGCCCACAGCTGAACAAGCTGCTTGAAGCTGCGGGCGTTGAGCCGCAGTTCGAAGATGGAATTCGGGTTACGGATGGGAAGACTCTGGCCTTGGCCAGGTCACTCTTTTTGGAGGAGAATCTAAAACTGGTGGAAGAATTGGAGCGTCTGGGCGTGAGGGCAAGACCGTTAACCACTGGCGTGTTTTCGGCGGATTATCTGGACAAGGAGAAGTACAACCTGGTTGGAAAGATCAATGGTGTGAACAAGAAGCCAATTGAGGGGGCTATCAAAGCCGGATGCCTCCCAATCCTGACTTCTATGGCGGAGACTCCGGACGGTCAGGTTCTCAATGTCAATGCCGACGTTGCTGCTGGTGAATTGGCTCGAGCTCTTCAGCCATTGAAGATCGTGTACTTAGCCGAGAAAGGCGGGCTCTTCAACGGTGATACTGGCGAAAAGATCTCTGCTATCAATTTGGATGAGGAATACGACGATTTGATGAAATTATGGTGGGTTCGCCATGGCACGAGACTGAAGATCAAAGAGATGAAGGAGCTGCTCAACGACCTTCCGCGCACATCGAGTGTCGCCATTATCCACCCTGCAGACCTTCAAAAGGAGCTATTCACGGATTCAGGAGCTGGTACTTTGATCAGAAGAGGAAACAAGCTCCATATCAAGTCGTCTATTGACGACTTTGAGGATCTACATACCCTACGAAATGCCCTCGTTCGTGATCGCGAGGGCTTGGACGCCAAGGCAACCGTTGACAGATACATCCAAGCTCTGCGAGGCCTTGAGTTCAAGGCTTATTTCGACGAGCCTATGGACGCTCTAGCAGTCATCTTGCCTCCGAAGAAGGGCTCTTCTTTTGCTCGTCTATCAACGCTTACTATTACCAAGGCTGGCTGGCTCACTAATGTCGCCGATAATGTGTTTTCCAGCATCCAAAAAGATTTCCCTAAGTTGGTTTGGACCGTGAAAGAAGACGATGAGAATTTGACCTGGTTCTTTGATAAGGCCCAGGGTAGCCTTAACCGTGATGGGGAGGTTTTGTTCTGGTCCGGCGTCAACAGCCCAGAAGAAGTAGGGGAGTTGGTCCATGAATTCAGCAAGCGTGGAAGCGACATGTTTGGGGATATCAACCTTGAACCCAAACTCCCAACGTCCGCCGGCGGTGGTGCGAAGTTGGCTGCTGCTCAGCAGAAACGAACGTTCTCAACTAGTGCCAATACGAGTGCTCTTCGCGCGTTCGGGAGCCAAAAGTTTCGAGCCAATACTCAGTCAATTCGGAGCTATACCACGACAAACCCAAATCCTCCCCTTGGAAAAAAGAACGCTTCCAATACTCAGCCATCCCGAGTAGCTCTTATTGGTGCTCGTGGCTACACTGGTCAGGCTCTCATCAACCTTCTCAACAACCACCCATACATGGATCTCCGGCACGTGTCTTCCCGTGAATTAGCCGGAAAGCCTCTTCAGGGCTATGACAAGCGACCCATTACGTATGAAGAGCTCAGCCCCGACGATGTCAAACGCATGGCAGAGCAGGGTACCGTGGACTGCTGGGTCATGGCGCTCCCAAACCTTGTGTGCAAACCATACGTCGATGCTATCAACGAGGTCGATAAAGAGAAGGCGGTGATTATAGATCTTAGCGCGGATTATCGGTTCGATAGTACCTGGACATATGGACTTCCGGAGTTGGTCAACAGAGGCTCCATTGCGCAAGCCAAGAGGATTGCAAACCCAGGATGCTATGCAACTGCCGCTCAGCTGGGTATTGCGCCATTGGTGCCCTTCCTAGCTGGCCAGCCAACGGTTTTCGGTGTCTCTGGATATTCTGGAGCTGGAACCAAGCCTAGCCCAAAGAACGATGTGGCGAACTTAACCAATAATATAATCCCGTACAGCTTGACAGATCATATCCATGAGCGGGAAGTTAGCACACAGCTCGGTGTTGATGTTGCATTCATTCCTCATGTTGCTGTTTGGTTCCAGGGTATCCATGTACGTATTTTACCTTGTTTATTTTTCAGGTTCTTGCTGACTTATCTGCCCATAGCAAACCATCAGTATGCCACTGAAGGAATCAATGACTTCGCGTGACATTCGCAACCTCTACCAGGACCGATACGCAGGCGAAAAACTGGTCAAGGTGGTTGGGGAGGCACCTGTTGTTAAGGATATCGCCGGTCGTCACCATGTTGAAATTGGGGGATTTGCCGTCCATTCGAGCGGCAAGAGAGTTGTTGTATGCGCAACGATCGATAACCTCCTGAAGGGAGCCGCGACCCAGTGTCTTCGTAAGTTTATTCTACTTTCTATATTTACTGTGGCGAAAGACGGACTTGCACTAACGTTTCCTGGTAGAAAACATGAACTTGTCACTCGGTTACTCGGAGTTTGAGGGCATTCCCGAAGAGAAGTAGATGGTTTCCCGTGTATTCTGCCTTTTCAATAAGTTGATATAAATCGTTGGCACTAGACTTTCAAGATTTCTTTTGGTTTCTGCACTTTATCTTTGGCGCCCCTTTTCTATTTGTCTTGTGCGCATATGGGCACATACCCCTGGAGTTTTTATTATTGTACTATCGGTTTTGTGATGCAGGCTAGACATGTGTCCAATGTTATCTTCTCGGCGAGATTCATATTGGGTACGACTAAGACTTGCTTTCAGCTGTCTCTCTTGTCAAAATATGTACCTGAAATTTTGCATACAGAGCTAATAAACAGAGCTATATCGAGTGAATTTAATCAGTTGAACATGCGGATATGTTCTGGCGACACCTAGGAGCCTTGCATTCGGGTTTGCCCTACTTCAAAGCCTTTTCACTGAACATCATCTCCCGCCTATCCACTACGGAAGATCTAGTGTATCTACCAGCTCCACCCATCCTCCTCCGCTATCTCTCAGGACATCCTGGATGCTTGAGCCTTACCGACATCCCCGTGACTCTCACCTGATCGGGCCTCCAATTCCTCTCTCCCCTTCCCTTTTCGGTGTGCGTGCTCCACCGCGCTCACGAGACTCACACGCTCTCCTCCTCGCGTCATCCACACAATGCCTCACCTCAGCTGAACCGCATCCTCTCCCCTCAGCGACGGTTCCGTCGGGACAATATAACACTAACCCTCTTATATGGCTTTTCTACATTTATATAAATAATATATCCAAGAGATAACTATCACTTTAAGATTTACATCGTTTTATCAGCAATTTGAGAGTGGCGAGGGGGAGAAAGATGTTCTATAGTCATGAGGGTGAGCTGTCTTTTGAGAAAAGATACCCATCTGTATTTTAGACATGGAGAGCTTTCTTTCTACCAGCAAGGAGAGAATCGTAGCTAACAGGAACTAAAACGGATATAGTCCTGACTTCGCGCGAGCATGGGGTTGCTACAATCTGGTGAGCCCTTCCCCCCCCCCAATTCAGTCCCCCCATCACGTTTTCGCGGTTTAATATAGTCGGAATATAAGCTGTTTTGATATCATGTGTTGATACAGATATCGAATTCCGTTTAGGCTCGTCGCAACCCTCGGATCTAAATCGTCAGCTAGAAAAATAAACCGTAAAGCAATCCTTGATGTGGACGTGCCTAAGACATGTGCGATGATTATACACCCTGAGGCACCAATGGCTTTAAGATTGCAGGGGAACTTGCTGTATTAAACCTTTGCATCCCTGGGTAAAACATATATCACTATGCTGTGAAGCTGACTTGAGGTGGATATCCTGCAGCTATGGCGTTTCGAAGGTCTATAATCAACAGTGCGGTTATATGCTCATGGATGCGCAGGTCGTCAGAGACCGAATGACGATGATGCTGAAGGCCGTCCACCGTGGTGGACTGGATCCGGATGCAGGGAAAGCTAGGTAAGCCTGGAAATCCGTGCTGTGAATTAGATCGCTGACAGGGCATTAGGCAAGACCAGCTTGTCCTGCCCGAAGATCCGACGTTCGTTCCGAGGCTTATGCTTCCCGGCTTGAATCTCGATCTTTCAGCCTTGGAGATCGCAGACGTACTAGAGACTCCTCGAAAGACGTCGGACTTCCTCTCGAGCTGCCTGGAGCAGTCAAACAAATCGAGTCTCTATTTTCAAAAACAGCATCAACTGGATCTCTCATCTTCACAGGCTGGACCCAGTGTCATTGGCGGCTTTGGGCTACCAAGTGAGATGGACAGCGCAAGTAAGGGACCTCAGGTGGAGCTTCCAGCTTATCTAGGGGCCGAAGAAGGCGTGTTACTAGAGCCGGGCTTTGAATTTGATGTTGAAGGGAATATAATTGAATTGCCTGTGAAAGGAGATGCGGACCACATGATCGTTGATGACATTGAGGAGCACAATTTCGATGTTGAAATGGCCGGAGCCAACCAAGAAGGCTTTCAGGTAATTCGGGACCAAGAGCAATTATGTCCGGCTCAAATATATTTTCACTAACATTGTTGCAGTTCGAAGATTTGCCTATCAACGAGGATATGAGAGACCTACAGGACCGGGAGGCGACGTTAACCCTTGCCGAATCACCATCCAATCGCCCTTGGCGCATAGGCTTCGAGCCCTCAACAGCAAACGAAAATCGTCTCAGTCAGCAGGAAACAAGAATGCCGTTGAAGAAGAGACGCTTTAGAAATATGGAAGTAGACGACTACCCAGAACTCATGAATTCTGACTTAGCCCAGTGGAATTTCGAATACGCCCAGAACATGGAGGCTGCTGGCAAGGTAAAGGAGACCAATAAATTGGTTACAATTGCAAAGAAGAACGCTGCATTCTGTGTTCTGGAAGCGGGAATCGCAGCGGTCGGTTTAGGACTGGGAATGTCTCAGGTTCCTCACCCATTAGACACTTTTTGTGGTAGTCGACTGCTGAGTGCGTTGACGGGAACCGAGATCAAAGGCACTCGACGTAAACGCAATCACAATGCAGCAAGTGACAGCGATTCGGATGACTTTGAAAGAAATGTGCGACACAAGGTCGGAGGTGAACCTAGTCGCGAGGCAAGCGTTGAACGCGGTGTCGTGCAATTTGACGTAAGTCCAAAGGCTGCGGTTATTGCTTCTTTTCATGGCTGCGATGAGTAGACACTCATAATAGTAGGATATCGAAATGGGCCGACACGCACCCCCAGCGCTTCAAGATGACATGTCTTCGCAAATGCCCTGGAATATCACTGCATCGGTGCACAGTTCACATCGAGGCTCGTCTGTCGCCGTCGGGCACTCTGGAATTAGCGGTATGAATTCCACATTCCGCTCTGGCAAAGATTCCCTGGTTCCCCATTCAGCCAGTGGCCGCAGAGGCCGACTAACTAGCGCGAGTCCACTCGCTGGCCTCGGGGTGATGCGGAATGCTTTGCATGGCCTTTCTCTCCAGGACGAGGACCTCGACATGAATGTGTTCGCTGACATCAATATGGAAAGCTTTGCTGGAGACGCCCATGGTGGGCCAATCAATAGAATGAGCACCCCAGCAACGGCCAGGGATAGGCCCGCGGAGCCAGAGTGGTTTCTCAGCAATCTCGATCAACAGAGTCTGAATTTTCTCGAATACGTAAAAGTTCGAATTGCGGACACGAGTGGTGATGCTTCAGATGGAGACTGTGAAGATGGAGAGGTTTCCTTTTCCACTCTTGTGCCCTCAGGTTCGAGCAGTCGGATCGTTGCGACCCAGGGACTCCTCCACGTCCTCATGTTGGCGACCAACAGGGTGTTGCGTGTGCGCCAAGAGGTCGTTGCGTTTGCCAGGGGATGTGACGACGCCGGAGAGATTTTCCTGTCACTGGACGGTTGAATCAGGCTCGCGAGATCAAAAAATGGTTATTAACCGAAGCATCGCGTCGTGTCTTTGGTCCAAATTGTTCATTTCGATCTTAGATTTCGCAGGCGGAGGGTTGATTTGTTCCTTGACGTCAATTTTAGCCTCCTGCGGGAGGTACCCTGATAGTTACCAGAACTTGCCGTGTCATTTAGTTACTGCAGCTTATCATGAGTGTTTTCCAATTCGAGGTCAGTTTGTTTTATGACAAGTATCTCGCTGCTCCGTGCTCCGTGCCCGTGTGCGAGGCCCGTTTGTCTCCTCAGCCTGTCCCTGACGGACGGCCGGCGGTGTCTGGTCGCTGCGTGTTTCACCACCCCCAGGCGGAGTGGAGAAAGGGATGACGCACTGCCACAATACATGACGCGAGCGATCGTCTCGGCGGGCGCTATGTAATTTACTTTCAGGTGGAATACACGGCTGGCCCCGTCGGCTGGCTGTCGGTTCTGTCTCGCCGCCTCGAAATCTTGTAACGGCCGTACTTAGTCATTTGGTCACAGATTTCCTTTCTTGGCAAGACAACGCCAGCGGGTGAATCCAGCCATCATGCTGCTTGCTGCTGAAGATTCTTAATCCTCAACCATCATTCCGCATCACATCGTCAACTCCTGGATGCCGTGAGAATCGCAGCCTGCTCTCCTCTCTCGCTATTCACTCGTTTAGTTTGCTCCGTCGGTTTTCTCCTCTCGAGTCCGTTTCCACCGTCTCCGGCCCCCTCACTCCCAATCCCCCCCTGATCGCCTTGTTTCCCCACAACTTTTCAACAGGTTTTGAAGACAGATCACGGCGAATTATCACTGCTTCTCTGATTTTCGACCGTATGCCCTTCTAGATCCTCGCTCGCTTTTCCCGGAGACCTCCTTTGTCCTCCATTCCGCCGCCCTCCGGGCGTCCATTCGATCTTAAATACGAACGACGATCGTGTTCCCTATAACTACTCCTCGCCCCGTTACTCACAGTACATGGTTGGAAAAATTGAAGACGACGCAAGATCTTGAACGTTCGGATACTGACTCGCCCTGGTGGCCTTCAACCGTGCCAACGCACCTTACACGCAGCCGCGAGGATGATACTACCTTCGCTTTTCTCCAATCAGCCAGGCCCATCATGTTCGGCGCTTTTCTTAACGGTGTTATTGGGAGTCCAAGCGGTTCATGCGGCCATTCCGCTGGACCTTGGCAGCCCAGGTAAGCTATTGACCGTTTTCTACTATATCATCTGGATGGGTCTTCTAACTACTGCCCGCTGCAGGCTCGATTAAGAGTGCAGCAAAGCAGATTGCGGGCGGAATGGTAAAATACTATACTGGATACAAACCAGGCGACGTTCCCGGCAACTTGCCCGATCCCTACTACTGGTGGGAGGCTGGAGCTATGTTCAGTGCCTTGATTGATTACTGGTACTATACGGGCGATGATCAGTATAACGATATCACAACCCAAGCTATGCTTCACCAAGTTGGGAAGGAAAACAACTATATGCCTCTTAATCAAACCTCGACGCTCGGAAATGACGACCAGGCATTTTGGGGCATGGCCGCCATGAGTGCCGCCGAGAACAAATTCCCCAACCCTCCGGATGACAAACCACAGTGGCTCGAGCTCGCCCAGGCTGTCCTGCATTCTCAGGTGCCCCGTTGGGACGACGAGACCTGCGGAGGTGGCTTAAGATGGCAGATTTTTTCGTTTAACAAGGGTTATAACTACAAAAACTCTATCTCCAACGGCTGTTTCATCAATCTGGCCGCGCGGCTCGCACTATACACCAAGAACGAAACTTATGTCGAATTAGCAGAGAAGCATTGGGACTGGATGACTGCTATCGGACTGATCAGCCCTACTTCCCAGGTGTTTGACGGGTCGGACGTGGTCAAGAATTGTTCTGAGCTCTCCCACATCCAATGGACCTACAATAACGGTGTCCTAATGGGAGGAGCCGCCGCGTTGTATAATTTTGTATGTTTTTCTTTTCTTTCTTTTCCGTATTACAGGAAGCTCTGCTTTTTTTTACCGTTTCCAGGCTGACACACTCCACCTCATTGAACAGACGAAGGGAGCTGATATTTGGGAAAAACGACTTAATGGTCTCATCGATGCAGCTGGCATTTTCTTCTCCAAGGATCCACCAGATGTTATGACCGAAGTGGCTTGCGAGGGCAACGGAAAGTGTAACATCGACCAACGGTCTTTCAAAGCCTACCTTTCCCGATGGATGGCAATGACGATCAAGCTCGCGCCGTATACGCGTGACAGACTGCTACCGAAGCTGCAAGCATCCGCCACAGCAGCGGCATTGCAATGTAGTGGCCCTGACAACGCGTGTGGTCTGCGCTGGACCAAGGGTGAGGCTTACGATGGCTCTACCGGCGTTGGAGAGCAGATGGCCGCGTTGGAGATCATCCAGTCGAACCTCATCGACCTTGTTGCAGGCCCGGCAGACAATTCCACGGGTATCAGCAGAGGAAACCCGTCCGCTGGCACTGGAAGCGACCCCACGTTCGAGCTTAGTGATATCACCACCGGCGATAGAGTTGGTGCTGGATTCCTGACAAGCGTGGTCCTCATCGGCATTCTTGGTGGGGCGTGGTGGATGGTATCTTAGAAAGTTAATATTTTGCTGTGAATATGTAACGAACATGTTGCCTACCTTCTTTTTTTTTTTTCTCCCTGTGGCGCATCGTATTGTCATTGTTGCCTGTGCTTATGCTGCTTTTTACAAGGTATATTTTGGGAAACGGGGCTGGGGTTTTGTGGGATCTGATATTTCTCTTTCTCTTTTTTTTTTCGTCCTCGCAAGTCTGCCGAGTATATGGGATTAAATATATCCACTTAATGCCTTTTTTTTCCTTTTTTTTTTTTTTTTTTTTTTCTGGCATTCGTGTGTTCTCAGTGCTGATGTTTCTGTCCTGTATATGTATTGGCTCTTGTCCACCTCCCTGGACGCTGCTCTTTACCAATGGTGTAATCAAGGCGTATGGCGAGTAGAGTGTTTACGCAACTTTTGAGTTGATTTCCAGCTTATAAAGAGTATCACGCCCGTTTCCTCCCCTCCCCCCCCCTCCCGGGGCCCTCTGGTATTGTAAGTAAGCAAGCTGCCAAACATATCGTACACACACATTCACATACATTCCAACACTAAATCTTTTGTCAATGGCTTGTGGAGTAGAATTGTTCTCCACCTCTCTTGTTATGCTTATTTCAAAATACGCCAGACGCCCCGTCCAATGGCTTTCTTTTCCTTTCTTTTTGGTTTGATTGTTCAGAAACACACCCAAGGCGTGGAGCGCCAAGCGGCATGTGGTAATATACAAGTTCGCGCTTCATTCATATCCCGATTCTAACTCTACCAACTCTTAGCGCACAAATGGGTGGGGAGAGAGCGTTTATTTAAATCCCCCTTTGAGTCATACGATCATACCCCTTTCGGCGTATATAGAGGAGGGAGGAGCCCCGGGGGGGGGGTTCTAAAATTATCCGACGGTAAAAGGTGTTTTGCGCGGAGCGAGCCCTCTTTTTATTATTATTGCGTTGGCTTGTCCGTGGGAGTTTCGGCGGCTGCTTTCTTCGCGGCAAGGGCAGCCTCTCGTTGCTGTTTCTTCTGGAGCTCTTCGGCTTCTTTGGCGACGACCCAGACTGGGACAAAGGGAGAATATTCGTTAGTTTGGGGGGTATTTAACTTTTTTTTTTTTAAAAAAAAAGACGAATGTAAGAGCTTTTATTTTCTTTGGGACATACTGGGCTTGTCGGACTTGGAGTATTCTTTCAGCTTGGTGACGAATTCGTCGAACTCTTGCTGTCTCTTGTCGCGGTTTGCGAGGTTACGTTTTTGAAGCTCGGGGTTGAATCTCTGCGTGGTTAATAGGGTAAGATTAGCGCGCGTCCAGGCCTATTCCTTTTTCATTTTCATTTTTTTTCATTTTTCTTTTTCATATTCTCTTTCGGTGTTTCGCATATCTGATGTCCTTGCATTGCGAGCGAAGTGGGTGTCGACAAGGCTAGTTACCTGGAACAGCTCCTCTTCCGTGGGCCGCACGTAGTTCACGAACATCGGGCCGCCAACACAAACGACGGCTCCACTGGGGGGTGGTTCTGACGTTAGCGACGCGGTAGCTCGAGTTTTGGGGAGGGAGAAGGAGGGAAACGGATGCTGGCAGCTTACACCGTGATCATCTTGGTCCATTTCCACGCGGAGCCCATGGCTGCCGGGAGATGGAGGGAATTGGGGAGGCGTCGGATGGGGGTTGAACAGCAGGCAGCTCGGGCTCTGCAGGCACACAATTGGCGCTGTGTCCTCTGGGAAGTTCTCTCTCTAAGCTTGCGAACTCGCTGGACACCGCGGAATCAGCAAGTGAGTGAGTGAAATCTGCCTCGGAAATGCTTATCTCATATGTGTGGCTGCAACCCTGCCTGCGATTGCCTGTTTGAGTTACGTTTTGTCGCAAGGTCTCCCGGTTGTGGCGCAGGCGTGGCTTGTGCCTCCCACCTTTTTTTTTATTTTTTTCCTTTTTTTTACTTTTTTTTCTTTCAGTCAATATGCGACGATCGCAGGACAACTGTGACGAACTAGCTGGCCAACCCTTGACCTTAGTTATTCCTTTCACACAGCGCATCTGCATACTCTCTGATCCTTTCATTCTGGAGCCCATCTTGCAACCTTGCAGCAAACGTGAATTTCTTGACATTACAGGTAATACTACAGAGTATGGCGATGAGTACCCATTCCAAATTGATCTTTCAGGTGTTATCTTCTTATTTTCTTTTTTTTCCCATGTAAGTAAAAAGCATGTACTCCGTAGTATGTTTGCAAGCGGTGATTCCAGCATATGTATCGCCCTCTCCGCTACAAACACGCAGGTGAGATGGTTCGGGCATTTGGGGAAGTGAATGGCAGTAGGTATTCTCTCTCTCTTTTTCCTTTCTTTTCTTTTCTTTTTTTTTTTGGGTATATTTCTGTAGTGCGCATGACTTATCTCGTGGGCCAACCATCCCATCCCGCAGGAGTCTGGTCGAACCACTGACGTCGCTTCGATCAGCGGTCAGTTCGATATCACGATCTGCAAAACTCCTGCTTTGGTGACCGACTCCGTGCTGTTTCAGCGACGGCGAACTTGTCGCCAGGAGCGTTTCAAAGAGACATGGACCGAACGACAAGTAGCTCAACAAAAGAATTTTCCCTTTTTTTTTCCTTTTTCTTTCCCTTTTTTTTTTTTTTTTTTTTTTTTTTTTTTTTTTTTTTTTTTTTTTTGTGGTGTCCTCTCCAACTCCAAGTGTGCTCCGTAACTCGGTACAACAAATGGAGTTTGCAGCATCGGAGGCGCGGAGAACTCCCGTCGACAGCCCTACCGACAGCCAGCGCAAGAGTGCAGCGCGATTGGACGCTTCGGCGGAAAGATGAAAGTGACACCAGCCACAATAGTCCGTGGATCGCGAATCCGCACGGTGGAGTTGGGGACTGACGGCGTCGGCCTTGACTTGGCTGATATCAGCGGGCGCCTCGCTGGGAGATCAGCACCGCTGCATGGAGTACGCAGTGGTATAGTTAATGCTTAGTTCCAAGTACGCAGTAGCTTTGGGGGAAGGGGGAAATCAGGAAATCAGGCGTGCCGGGGCCAATCTCCTCGGTGTCGTTATCTCATTCCATCGTAGCGAGTTAAGAGGCGGTTGACGGGTCGCAGGTTGTAGTTCGCCTGGCTAACTCGCTAATTCGCAAACTCAACCACGGCCGGCGCCTTTTGCCCTGGAGAACCTCCACTTTGCGTGCGAGAGAGCGGGGCCAAACTGTGCTGAAGGCCGGCCTCACTGCAGGTCTCCGCCGCCCGTTGTTTCCTGCACGGTCTCGTGAGATTTTTCTCTCCGTGACCTTTTCACTATCTTACCATCTCTCCTCTCCGTCTCTCTCTCTCTTCTCTCTCTCTCTCTCTCTTTTCTCTCTCTCTCTCTCTTTTTTTTTTCTCTCTCTCTTTTTCTCCCTGTTGTCCATCATTACTTTCCTAGCCACGACTACTTACAATTTAGTCTTTTTTTCCCCGGCATTCGAAGCTTTCCAGAATCAAACTCTCCCCGGCAGCCCTGATTGGAGCCGCAGTCCTTTTCCCAGGGTTGACGATTGGTCCGTCTCAGCCAGCAGCCTGCTTTAAGTTACATCCGAAGTCCAACCTTTCCCTTAAATCCAAATAACTCGCGGCGTGCCCCTGGTCCGCCCGGCGGCTAGGCCCGCCGTTCCATCTCCCAGCACAACAAAGCCTCCCCTTTTCGCGAAAATTCAATTCGCACACGGGCTGTGTGTTTTGATTTGAATGTTCGAGACTCCGTTCGTTGCACTTGATAACTTTCGCACGTGTTCCCGCTCTTTGTGTGTTGTCAGTCCATTTCGGGGCTTTCGGGTACGGGATATATGGAAATATGTGTGCCACCTGCGCTTCATCGTGGTGCTGATAATATTTATTCTTCTAGTAAATCTGTCTCGCACCCGCTCGTTCTGCAAAGCGGCCAAGCTAGCAACTGGCCACGCTCCCGTCCCTTCGTAGATAGGGCGACTCGTTCGATCGAATCGGAGATATGGCGTACCCTCAGCGCCCTCCTCCACAGCGCGCCCCTCCTCCCGTTAGACAGTACGGCAACCGGCCACCGCCACCGCCGAACCGTGGGTGGCCCGAATATGGTCAGGGTGGTTACAGTGGCCCTCAAGGAGCCGCTTATGATGAGTACGATTCATATCAATACGGCGGCCCCGAAGGATATCATGCGCGGGACGACTACGGACATTATGAGGCTCAGCATCGACAGAGGCCACCACCGCCCCGTGGCCACCCTCCCCACGCGCACGAGTACAACGGCTATCCAAATCCCCAACGACGCCCTCCCCAGCCTGCGCCAAACAGACCGCCAAATCGTCCTCCACCTTTCCGCAATCCAACAAATGATGGTAGGTTGCCTGCGCCCTGAATTTGCTACCCAAATAAATTGACGCTCAGCATCGCTCTTCAAGGCATCGAGCCCGCCCCTAGATCCGCCAATTCCTTGAAAAACAGGCCGTGGGATAGTCCATTTCCAGCCTTCCCAACGAAGAAACGAGGAAACTCTTTTGACCTAGGCATTGAGCCAGGTATGGGAGCTTTGGACATCAGCGACGGGCCAGGCCCTGTCAAGCCTCCAGAGATGCGTCCACATACATCGAATTCTAACCGTCAACGACCTCCCCAATATCACCACCACCAGGACCCCCTTCCTCCCTTGATCACCAACCGTCAACCAGGGTGGCCCATTGCCGACTCTCCAGCTCAGGATTCTTATTCAGCACCTCCTGAGCATGTCGCGCCCGAGTTGTTGCCCCCTAAACGCAGTGCAACGATGCCAATGAACGCATCGCCCGCGACGGGCCAGCCAAGATACCCAGGACAGCAATCATGGCAAGAACCCCGTTCTAGCTTTGAGCAAGGAGGTCCCGGGGCCATCCCTCCCAGACCTGCAACCACCACCGGAGTAAAACCAGAGGCATCTGCACCCCCGAGCGTACCTCCCGTCCCCGAGGAACATAACGCTGCCGCCGCTAGTAAAAGTGACGAAGATAATGACGACACTGACGATTTCTTTGACCACTATCTGGACTCTGGTGATCAGGAAACTGATATGCCCAACTTTAGTGCCATGGACAACTCTGGGGCTGGGGGATCTCGTGAAGAATCCCTGATACCTCAAGACAATTCCAAGGGACCTGATACCTCTCAGGCGGACCCCAAGCCAGCATATACCGCCTATCAACCGCAAAATGGAATCATACAGCCGTACCGACCGCCACCAGTGAGCCAGAGCCAATATGAAGAAACTGGGTACCAGTACGATCAACCTCAAATGTCTCCTCATTTCGCTCCACAAAACGATGGTTATGGCTATCCGGCGGACGACCCTTACTCGAGACCACCGGAAAATCGTGGAATGACCCCACGCCCAGGTCCAGGCCCAGGTCCAGGTCCGGGCTCGGGCAGGCCTGGTTATGCACCGCGGCCTCCTCCGAATCAATACCAGCAACCGATGCCTAACGATATTGGACGCCGGCCATCACTTGATTATAGACACGGGTACCCTACCCCCCAGGATATGCAGATGGGAGGGCGAGGGCAATACCCTCCTCCCGACGCCATTCCTCACAACCGCGTTCCCTTCCGTCCTGGCCTTGATCAAGCGTCGAAGCCGGCGCCGGTGAGACAGTATGACAGTCAGTCAGGTGTTGCGCCACAGCCAAGACCAGGTTCCACCGCCCCACCAGGCGCCGATCCGGGACATATCACCCTCGACGAGCTCAGACGACTCCAGCAGGCTGCTCGAAGCAATCCCTCAGATCACCAAACACAGCTGCTCCTCGCGAAAAAGCTAGTCGAAGGGTCTGTCTACCTCATCGACGATGGCGGTAGAGCCGACACCAAGACCAGAAACAAGAATCGCGAACGATACATCTTGGATGCCCACAAGATCGTGAAGAAACTCGTGAGCTCGGGCTACCCCGATGCCATGTTTTACTTGGCGGACTGTTACGGCCAGGGCCACTTGGGATTGGAGGTCGACCCGAAGGAGGCTTTCAATCTGTACCAGTCAGCGGCGAAACTGGGCCATGCTGAATCCGCCTACCGGCTTGCCGTGTGCTGCGAGATGGGCCACGAGGGAGGCGGAGGCACGAGAAGAGATCCCATGAAGGCCGTACAGTGGTATCGTCGAGCCGCCGCCTTCGGGGACACCCCTGCAATGTACAAGATGGGAATGATATTGTTGAAGGGCCTTCTCGGGCAGGCGAGGAATCCTAGAGAAGCCCTATCGTGGCTGAAGCGGGCGGCTGAACGTGCCGATGCAGATAACCCCCACGCGCTTCATGAGCTGGCACTCCTTTATGATAATCCCAGCGGAAATGACGCCATCATCCGCGACGAAAATTACGCACTGGAATTGCTGCATCAGGCTGCCGATCTGGGGTACAAGTTCTCCCAGTACCGTCTTGGCGCTGCTTACGAGTACGGTCTCATGGGCTGCCCCGTCGATCCGCGCCAGAGCATCTTCTGGTACACGCGTGCCGCTGCGCAGGGAGAGCACCAGAGCGAGCTGTCGCTCAGTGGATGGTATCTCACCGGAGCGGAGGGCATTCTCCAGCAGAGCGACACAGAAGCGTATCTCTGGGCGCGCAAAGCCGCTGTAGCCGGATTGGCGAAGGCGGAATACGCGATGGGCTATTTCACCGAGGTGGGGATTGGCGTTCCTGCGAACCTGGAGGATGCAAAAAGATGGTATTGGAAGGCATCATGTAAGAAATATTCTTCCTCCGGACTTTTATACATTGGAAATGTTGGAATGCTAACGGTTTCTTTTTTGTTCTTTTGCAGCACAAAATTTCCTCAAAGCCCGTGAGCGTCTTGAGGATCTGAAGCGTGGCGGCGCGAAAATGCAGAAGACAAGGGTATCGCGGTCAGCTGTCAGCAAGCAGCATCAGAATGATGGAGACTGTGTTTTAATGTGAATGACGCACACTCCGTAGTCCCGCAGTACCTTTAAGCCATGGTGCACAGTCTTTTTCGACACAACTGTTATTGGTTTCTCGCACTTCCCCTCAACAATAGACCTCCGGCAGGCCTATTTTGCTTTTTCCTCTTTTTCGGACCGCCTTTCAACATATCCACCTTTGGCAAACGTACATACATAACATCCCGTGTTGGATCTGTCTTCGGGTACTTTTCATTCGAGCGCGTCTTAAGTCCGTACGGAGCCCAATAATTTGTGTTACCCCTTTTTTGTTTTTTTCTTTCTCCCTATTTTTACTCTGAGAACGAAAATCTCGCATGCTGACCTGATCGAGCATATTTGAAGAAACAAACGAGTTGCATGAGGAAATGGATACTAATGAAAGAAAATGCCGGGCCGGATATGGGTTGTAATATAGATATCACTCCGTGCAGACGTTGCCCATTATGAGGTCTCAATTAACGTAATCTATCGCTGAACCGATCACTTCTATACACATACAAAGCGCAATAACTTGCAGCATTTTCACGTTCATCTAGTGAGCAGGAATGATAGAGACAGACAGATCGAATGTCATCTTTGGTGCCCAGCATTATAGCTTTCGCGAGACGACACAATCCGTTAACAATTGTTTCATACGAGCTAAACTCGATCCCTCTGCTTAGGGACCACGGGCCACCTCATAAACATTTGAACGGCTATGTACAGGGTAAAGTATCCTCCAGAAGTCCCAACGCAGCTGATAATCTCGAGCTTGCGAGGGGCATGCCGGAATCAATAGAAGCGAAAAAAAAAAAAGGATAACAGGAGCAATGTTGCAGTTCAGCATGATATCTAGCGCGTAGCTTGTTAGAGGCCTTCCGAACCAGGCTCTCTGCCGTACAATTTTTGTAATCCGCTAAGACATCCAAATTTGACGAACTATCAGCGAATTGAGCCCATCACGCACGGAGTTCTCATTCGAGCTTGGACATGTCTTACCGGTCGCCAGGCCATTGCTACCACCACACCCCGCCCCCCCCCCCACCCCCGGGGCGCAGCGCCTTTCAACCGGAGTTGTGCGGAATGAGACTGAAGCCAGGATCATGACGACCGCTCTTGAGCCTCAGCACTCTCTCCTCCCCGCTCCTGAACTCCCCAACATACCAGTACAGCGGATTGTTTGGATCTGGTTGCTCGACCGGCTGGATGGTGAAACGTGCATTAGACCTGGCAATCACCTCGAAAAAAGATGACGCGGTTGGGGTGACGACCGCCTGTGCGCCGGCCTTGATCTCTGGGAAATGGATAAAACCGTCGGCTACCGGGTGTTCGATAGTGTACCACGAACGGTTAGAATCGACCTTGGTGAAGAGCCAATCTTTGTGCAGGCGTTGGTCTACCCTGTCGAAACCAACGCGTACGGTGGTTGAATTGGCAGCGGGAGAGGATATCGCGGTCTCGCCGAAGTAGTCCTCGACAATGGAGAACAGTCCCTCAAGATTTACGGTGTCGGCGGCGAGACAGGTCGAGAGGAACAGAAAGAAAAGATAGAGGATATGCATTTTGATCAGAGGAATGCAGTTCAATCCTGATGGGGAAAGAATGGGAACTTGTGTGAATGCCTCTTGACTAAAAAAAAGGGGAGGGACGGGCGATGAGAAAGGAGCTTTTTATATCTGTTCATTACGAGGCGGATATGCAAGAGAAACCTCATCTTGAAGCCGGCCAGGGGATCTCGTATCGCAGGGAAGAGAGAGGTTCTCCGCGCCGGCTTCCGGGCAACGGTGGATTTGCCGCTCCGACATCTGCTTATCACTCAGGTTTAGTAAACCTCGTGCAGGCAAAATTCACAGATAATCCATGTAGGCTGTCTTTGCGAATGCATGCACACTTCAGGCGACATCCGAGAGACCCGTACGGCGCCTTCATACCCAAGCGAAAGCCGATGAGAAGAGGGATAGTGAGTACTCAATAGCTTGCATAGGCAGCTAGCTTCTAATGTGTGCGTGGAGCACAGTAGAGTGCTTCCCTCGACGGACGAAAGATTACGAGGAAGCTGTGAGAATAGAGGGCAACATTGGCTGTACGCCTGTAGAGAAGTGATATTTATAGCCATTGAGGAAAAAAAAAATGCAACACTGCCCCAGGTGCAAGACATCGAGCAGCAGGGATCACTCGAGTGAGGTTCGTAAAACCCCTTGGCATCACCCCACCGTCAACCTGGCAGCGAGAACCTTCCAGGGAGGGACGATGAGAATGTCACTCTCCGCCTTCTCCAAGTCAAAGCGGCACCGGCACTCATCTGGAGAAGGCCGGAAGCTGGTGGAACGTCCATGTTCAAACCTTGGGAGATTGGAGAAATGGTAGCCTTCATCGTGCTGATGACTGGGCCGCGGGCAGCAGGAGACAAGGCTGGGCTGGACCGTATCTGATGGCAGGGCTGGTGATTGCATGACCTACTTGTCATACTCCTTCCAGCCATATGAAGCGAATGTCGGATGCCAGACACTCCAAAAGGATTGGATGCGACGATGCAAACAATGCAGATATCTCCTGGTAAGGTAACAATCCTGTAAAAATAAGTGGAAAGTTTAAGGGAAAGTTTTAGGAGACAGGAAAAGCTACCATGGAAGATGTGAACCATCACAGGTCCGGAGTGCCTGAGAAGGAAAGCCAGAGCCGGTGATTTATTCTGAGTATGGAACCGCTCTTGTGCCATGGAATTCAAAGCAAAACCAGTCTTGCGATATGATCGTTGTAGGAATTAGTTCAAATAGCTAAAGAAACAAAAGATTTAGGTGGAAGTTCCGACACAGGAACTTCTAAAGGAATTGGAATACAAAGAGATCAACGAATCAATAGGAATGGGCAAGCGGGCTCCATTTTCCTAAGATCGACCTAGGTATAATAGGTACCTAGATGTACACAGGCCAAGATGCAAAGAAGCTAAGGGACAGAGTGGTTGGACCGGAGATCTCTTTGTCCCATTGCAGACACCGAGTTCGGTCCTCTACGTAGGGATATATGTGCTATATGACTTCTAACATGGTGACGTTCGTAACCGCTCATCCATAACAGATTCTGGGATACGGTCGCGATAGGGGCCTCCAAGGGGCAACGTTTGCCAATACCACCCCCCTGTCCCACGCGATCGGCCTTGCAGCCGTCTCAGGTGCAGGAGATGAGAGTAGTACGCTACTCTGTGGTAATATGCTGCAAGGCAGGACCCAGCGTTCGCACTCTTGAACGACTGATGGTGTGATCATCTGGCGATTGATCCTTATCTAACACGCCGGCGCGTCCTTACGGACAGCAGAGGCCAAAGGAAGTCGACTCTGCTCCACATTGTAATCACCGTTTCAAGGTAGAGTTCCAGACCCGACAGCCGATCGGATTGGTATCAATGTTTCGATGTAGTTTCTACCAGTTGAGCCTGTTCAACGGGAGGTGTTCAAGAGTGATATTTGGTGTCCGGATGTGGTGGGATGTAGGAAGTGCAGGTGTAGCCGGTTGCAATCCCGGCTCAAGAATCATGTTTCAGGAGATCATTCAGGAATTCAATCATTCTTCCGAAGAACAAGAACAGGATTCAAAGTATATCAAGATATCCTGGATGACATTGCCATTATTGTCCCACCAAGCTAGCTACGCAAAGATGGGTGTGCACCACCATCTCTGTCCGACTCGTCGCGGCGAAAAAACGATGTTTGGTTACTCCGTCTGTTCTCCGTCGATCAGCCGCACTAATGCAGCCAAGACTCTTGGCGGACAGAGCAAGCCACTCCCTAGCCACAGCTGATGAGTTTTCTCGCGTGCTGAGTCAGCGATAAGGCGCTGATAAGATCGTGAGGTCAAAAAAATACCTCAAACGGCTTCAACGTCTTGCGCCGTCAGGGCTTCGGCTGTCTGCTTTTGTTTTGTTGTTTTCACTGTTCGATCGCTCTTCATTGTGTCCTTCTTAGACTTTCTGCATTTCCAATTTTTGAACCGTTTGTTTTTTCTACTTGGTTCTGATACTCCTTTTGATACCCTTTTTCCCGTTTGTCTTAAAAAAAAAGTTTGATCCCCCCCTGGATAATGCCCCTCGTTCAGATGGAGGCGACGACGTCTCACCCCACGATGGTCTCCAAAGCTCCGTCGTCGGTTCATCCCACCGAAGCGGAGGTCTGTTCTCTTTTAAAAACTATTCTCGAAGCACAGACGTCTGACCAGTCGCTGGATGCCTCCTACGCCCTCACGAATCTACTCATCCAGACCGTCGGTGCCAGCGGCCTGCATGACTATTGCTTACTCCGCGAGATTAAAAAGGCAGCGACCGACAAGAAGAGCGGGGCGAAGAGGGAGAGTGCAATGTTAATACTGGGTGCTCTGTTCGAGAGGTTTCCATCCGAACATCCGCTGAGCGAGGTTATTTTCTTGATCGAGGACGGGGGCTTGCTGCATCTGGCTTTGGACCTGCTTGCGGATAAAGGTGCTGTGGTGCGGGAAGCCGCGCAGTATGCCGTCGATGCCCTATTTGCAGGTCTGAAGGAAGAGTCCCTGGTAGCTGCTTTGCTCCCCGCGCTGTCGAGGTATCTCGGTAAGCCTACCGGCAAGTGGCAGGGTACGGTGGGCGCATATAAGCTGGTGGAGAAGATGGCGAACAAGGCGAAGATTGGCACGGAAACCAAGGAGAAGGAGCAGTTGAAGGATTTGCTCCGTGAGTCCATGGGGAAAACATTAAAGGACCTCATCCCCATTGTCGAGTCCGGCATGCACGATTTGAAAAATGAAGTTGCGAAACAGGCCGTGAAGACCATGTCGGCGCTCACAACGTTGATCGATAACGATGATGTGACCCCTCGGATCCCACTCCTGCTTACTTCCATGGAGAAGCCGTCCGCTCAAACTCTTCAAAAGGCGATCCACGCTCTCTCGCAGACCACGTTCGTTTCTATTGTGACGTCTCCCGTGCTTGCCCTCCTTACGCCTCTTCTCGAACGATCTCTTAATACACCCTCTACCACTCAGGAGGTGCTCCGACAGACTGTAATAGTCGTGGAGAATCTTACCAAACTCGTGCACGACCCTGTCGAGGCGAGAACATTCTTACCAAAATTAAAACCTGGTGTGCAACGAGTCAAGGATGGTGCTTCTCTGCCTGAAGTACGCGAGATTGCCACACGAGCTATGGACGTTATTCAAAAGGCTATGGGAGAAGATGGCGTTGCGGCAGGATCAGTGCCACAGACGACAGTCGACGACGTTCTGAAAGTATTAGAAGCGCAGGTTAAAGCACATGGCGGCATTGTTCGAGCTCAAGACTCGTCCTTTTGGAATATTACAAAGACATATGTTTCCGAGATGGTGCGCGACGATGTAAATTCCCGTCAGCTAGATCGCATACCTCTTTGTGTAAGTCCGTACCTTCGTTCACTAGTGAAGGAAGGCCAGCAGGATGCGATAGCGTCTGCGCTCAAAGCCCATTTTGTCGAGGAAGACCAACGGAAACACGGAATGTCTGTCCAGGAGGACGATGGCGAAGTTGAGATCGTCAATGCTGATTTCTCGCTTGGTTATGGTGGCCGACTTCTTCTTTCACATGCGAACCTACGCTTATTGAAGGGCCATCGATACGGTTTGTGCGGAAGAAACGGTGTTGGAAAATCTACTCTCATGCGCAGTATCTCGGAGGGTAAATTGGAAGGTTTTCCTTCCAAGGATGTCCTCAGAACTTGCTTCGTCGAACACAACCAAGGCGAAGACGCCAATCAGACCGTGTTGGAATTCCTGGTCAATGACCCTGAGATCGCTGGGGCCGGCCGCGACACGATATCGGAGGCGCTCAACGAAGTCGGTTTCAACCCACAACCCGGCGGACGACAGCATCAAGCGGTGAATTCACTCTCTGGTGGATGGAAGATGAAGCTGGCTCTTGCACGTGCCATGATCATGAAGGCTGATGTTCTCCTGCTCGACGAACCGACTAACCATCTGGATGTTGCCAACGTGAAGTGGCTTGAAGAATACTTAAAGAAACATACAGATATTACCAGCTTGATTGTCAGCCACGACTCTGGATTCTTGGATGAAGTCTGCACAGATATATATCATTACGAACAAAAGAAGCTGGTTCTTTACAAGGGCAATCTTGCCGCGTAAGTTCCCATTCTCCAGATGTAGGGTCAGAACACATCCACTGACCTGTTAATAGGTTTGTAAAACTCCGGCCGGAAGCTAAGAGCTATTACACATTGTCTTCTACCAATGCACACTTTAAGTTCCCGCCTCCCGGGATCCTTGCCGGTGTCAAATCACAAACTCGCGCCATCCTCAGAATGACAAATGTCTCATATACATATCCAGGAAACTCCAAGCCCTCGCTTTCCGATGCATCCTGTTCCCTCTCTTTGTCATCCCGTGTTGCAATCATCGGTGCCAATGGTGCGGGAAAGTCAACGCTTATGAAGTTGCTAACCGGCGAACTCATCCCGCAATCCGGTAGAGTCGAAAAACACCCAAATCTTCGAATTGGCTATATTAAGCAGCACGCTTTGGAGCACGTCGAGATGCACATGGAGAAAACTCCTAATCAATATCTACAGTGGCGCTATGCGAATGGAGATGACCGTGAGGTCTTGATGAAGCAGACACGCGTGCTCACAGATGAAGATCGAGCACAGATGGAGAAGCCGATAGATTTGGGAGATGGAAGGGGCCCACGCCGGGTCGAGTGCTTGATGGGAAGACAAAAATATAAGAAGAGTTTCCAATACGAAGTGTAAGTTCAATGTTATTGCGTCATGTTTTTCACAATGCTAATTACTTCCGTCTGTGTAGGAAATGGGTTGGGCTTCTCCCCAAGCACAATGCTCAAATCTCTCGTGAAACGCTCCTTGATCTTGGATTTGCCAAATTGGTACAGGAATTCGATGACCACGAAGCTTCTCGGGAAGGCCTTGGCTACCGCATCCTTGAACCGAAGGTGATCTCGAAACATTTCGAAGACATCGGACTCGATCCCGAAATTGCCAACCACAATGAAATCTCCGGTCTCTCCGGCGGCCAAAAGGTCAAGGTCGTGCTTGCAGGAGCTATGTGGAATAATCCCCATCTCCTCGTCCTCGACGAACCTACTAACTTTTTGGATCGTGATTTCCTGGGTGGTCTCGCCGTTGCGATCCGGGAATTCAAGGGTGGTGTCGTGATGATTTCCCACAACGAAGAATTCGTTGGCGCTCTCTGCCCTGAGCAGTGGCACGTCGCCAACGGGAAGATTACCCATAAAGGCAGCGCGGCTGTTTCTCTTGATCGGTTCGAAGACAGCTCGCACGCGGCCAGCCCCGCGGCCAGCAGCGCTGTTACTAGCGCCAATGTATCGGCCGTGAATTCTGGCGCTGAAGATGCCGGCGAATTGAAATTCAGAGCGAAGAAGAAGAAGAAGTTGACGAGAGCACAGCTGAAAGAGAGAGAGGTTAGGCGAAGACTCCGACATATTGAGTGGTTGAGTAGCCCTAAGGGCACACCTCATCCACCAGATACGGATGACGAGGGATAGTTTGCTCCCTTTTTATCTTGCCTTTTTTCTTCTTTTTTTCTTCTTTTTTTCAGCTGTTGTTATGTGCGGGAAGGATGATTTTGCGGATCTCCTAAAAAGGAGATTTAAACAGTTTTTCGATATCCTTTGAATACACTAATTGGTATATCTTGTCTCTTTGTGCTTGCTGGTCTCATGCTTGTCTTTGGACTGTGAAAATTGGGTTGATCATTTGGTTCGTGTGTCATCAGTTAGTTATAGCTAGCCTGGGTCCATGATTTTGTGCGGATATAAAAAATTCTACAATGCTTATCATCATGAAAACACAGAGTTACATCTAACAACCATCTTCAAACCCTCTTCATCTCCGGCCTCTTTTCCAACAACCGTCGAAGGGCCCCCACAAACTCTTCTATCTCACAGACCAGCTCCGCATCCGCAGCAATCGTTGCCAGGCACGCGATATCTGAAATATCACTATGCTCTCTCCGACTCCCTTCCCTTTGAGCTTGTGATGTTATCTTTTCACGCAACAGCCATGCCACACTCATAACCTGCACATTTACCCCCTCAATCTCCACTGGACAGCGCGTATTCGCCACAGCTTCTAAATTATATTGCGGCCGACCCGGCCAGGCTTGCACATCGAAAATCTCGATCTCCACCAGCATCGGCTGCCGGCTGCAGGCGAATGGCGGGTATTTCAAAACCGTACTGGGACATGGAAGTAAATTTTTCTGGGAATCTGCGCGGGAGAGCTTTCGAGATGGACTCTGCGCTTATGTCCCTTTCCTTGTCCGGTTGGATGATAACGTCGATGTCGGCGGTAGGGTGTGCGGTGATGCTCTATGACCAACCTATCAGGACGTTGTTAACTTCTCTGTAGCAGCGAGAATTAAGTTAACCTGTTCCCTATAGCAAATAAAATTATCGAGTCTGGCACGGGGAAGGGATAATGTATGTTCTGAGAGGACACTTCCTAAATCACATAAGGCTTGACGAGTCATTATCCTCCTGAGTCTGATGGTATGGCTGAGTACTGGCGCGGTTTGCTTCCAAGAGAGGGCCTTCAGAGACCAACGCCATCAAGGGATTAATGTTTTGCCAGCTCGGCAAACACATAATCGTACATATCTTGATAGAAGCTACCGCGTACGGAGAATCAAATATCACGAATAATAGAATATTTTATTGCTGGCACGATCAAGTCCGCTCAAATTGCGGCCGAAAATCTGATGTAAAGATCCACCAGTTATTAAACCGAGAATTAAAAAGCCCCGAATCCAAATCGCATGCTCCCAGATGATATTTGCCCCTGTTGGGGATAATTTCCGTACCTGCTCATTCCGCTTCAACACTAATATCGACTGTGGCCTTCTTCTGTGCGGTCTTGTTTCCCGGTAGCGAAGCCGTACAGGTGACTGTGTACGTCGTTTTGGGCATCACCGGTGCTCTAACCCCTGGTTTCATGCTAATGCTACCTTCATCTGAGCCGCTTGTCTTGATCAACTCAAAGACATTTGCGTTCAAAGCTGGCGAAATACTCCACTGCAACCCTGCGCTGGTAGACTGGGTTTCATCCCACATAACGCCATTCACTTCATCCTGAGAAGCACAAAGGTCAGTTTATTTTGAAACACTTATTTCTTTTCCTTTCTTTTCTTTTTTTTTTTAATTAAATGAAAGCCAAGAAGAAGGAAAAGAGACAGGGAGGGGAGGGTCTTCCTTACTGCATTGCCTTCTATGAGTGTCCATGGGTTATGCATATAGGAAAAGTTAACAGGGCCAAGAGGCTCCATATTGAACATCCAAAGGTAAATATAACGGCCTTTGCTAATGTCAGACTCCTTAACAACTTTGAGGCCTCTTGGGTCTTTGGAGTTTGGATTCATGTTTGATCCTGCAAAGAGCAGTAGAGAGCTGTTGAGATTCAGGGTCTTTCTCTGGCGCTGCAGCCACTTCGATATTCCAATAGGTCTGTTTGACCAACTTCGCATACTTGTCTGGTTCATCTTTGCGACTAGGCAGCTGGATAAGGGTCAACTTGGTCTGGTCGTTTTCTGCGCGACCAATGAACCAGACAGTGCGGTACTTGTTACCTTCATCATCGGTGAAATATTTCTGTGTCGATATTTGGCTTTCGCCGTTCCCGTTGGTCTGCAAACTCCAAACGTCGTCAGTGGTAAAACCAAGTGTCTGACCGTAGGCCAACGTCGCTGGTGGCTCTGTTCCAGTGAGTTGGAGATAAACCTGTTCGCTGGGGCTTGCATCCGGACCAGCTCCTTGTATACTCAGCCCAACCCGCGATAGCTCTCCTTTATCTGAGGTGATGACATCGAAATAATCGATAGCGGTGTGCTCCATGTACAGCTTAGCTGGTTTAACGTGGTTGTTTATGAATTGCTCTACTGGATTCGGAGGCTCTATCAATGCAATCAGCGTCACGGTCCACAGAATAAAGTTATTCTTGGATATCACACTCACTTTTCTTGAACAAATATATCACGTAAATAATCACGCCCACGACAGCGAGAACAACTGACAGCGGTCCTGCCAATGTGCCAACATATGACAATATCGGGGTAACCATAAACGGAACTATGCTCGTATAAATTCGTGGTTAGATGACCATAGGTCAAACGGCGCGGAAAATGGGAAATTTTAATATCTCTCATGTACGTACGCCAGCTAGCCCCGGCAATCCAGCCAGCAACAATGCCGAGGAGTTGAATTGCTGAAGATAGAATGAGCATCAGATGATATGCAATTTCAAGCGGCTCTTGTGCTTTAGCCAAATCCATTGAGGAGAAAACAAGCCCAGTTACCGCCAGCACGATGCTATCACGGATATGTCAGCCACACTGCTCCAGATACCTGATTTCGTCGACTTACCCTGCTACTGATGCAAGAATCTCCGATATATTCCGACCAAATATCTTTGCGATCTGAGAAAATTGCTTCACCGGAATAATCTCTTCTAGCATTTCTATCCCTAAGACCTGTTTCGCTGTTCGGGTGAAATATTTCGCGAAGGAGGCCGATATCTTTAATGCCGATAGTCAGTTGGGAGAGAATGCGTAATATTTGTGTGCACGTAAACCAGCAATAGGTTCGTACCTTATTCGCAGCATCCGGGATTTCACTCATGAATTTATCAAATTTAAAGAAAACTTTCATGACGTCTTTCAGAGTAGATATATGCTCGAAAAGGCCCGCTATTGTAACAATACCCCGTGCGATCCTGAAGCCCAGTCCACCAGCAAGACCCACAATAGACCTAGAAATTCGATGAATGTCAGGAATACAACGGGTACGTAGAGGATATGAGCGTACACTTACATTACCCACGAGGCTCTCTGAGCATCAGACATTTCACTCCACCCTCCGGTGAAGAATGGCATGGCGATCATTGCCGCTGCGGACAAGGTTTGTATAGTCGTAAAGAGTCCTCGTGCACGACTCCCCAGTGCTTTGTACCAGCCCGTTTCAGTGACTATATTTTCCCATTTGCCCATAAGAACGCTCCAACTTGCAAACCCTCCTGCGAGAGCCTGGGCAGACCTCAAACTCAACTGGAGGTTTCTCCGCAGCTGGTCGTTCTCGAAAAGCTGCTTGGCTAGCTCAGCCTGCTGGGCTATTTCTGGAGTGCTGCTATTCTTATTCTTCTCCCAGAATTCGTACAGGGCAGCCTTGACGAGGGAGTCGTAGTCACTGCTGTTTCTGTCGAGATCCACCAACTGGGGAATAATACTGGACATTTGGAACAGTCGGACTGCATCATTAAAAGCCTCCATAAACGAGCGGCCGCCCTCCGCTGTGTTGACCTGGTCATTTTCAACGGTGCCGAATATTGAATTAAGCTTTTTGATTTGTCTCCCGACGCTTTCGGACAGTGTGCCGTTGATATATTGTGAATACCACTGAGGAATAGCTGAAAACTCAACCCAATATAGGACCATATAAGCCCAGTATAGCTTCTTCCGCTTTGCCCATGCCGCAAGATTCTCAATATCTGCTTGCGCTTTGGCTAGATCCGCCTCATAGTCAGGATTAGTAGGTTTCAGATCTTCACTTGTTTCAGCCAGCCGATTTTTCAGAACGTTCGCTATTTTGTCAATATCACTTGAGTAATTTTTGTTCTGCTGGTCGTCTAGGAAATCGCGAGTAGATGGAAACATTTCCAGATAATGCATTCGATACAGCGCACTGGAATGTCTTTTGTACACTTCATCATCCGTGGGTAGTGAGCCCAGCAATTTTTCTGCTCTCTTTGCATTGCAGACGGCGCCTTCATCCAGTGTACCTAATGCAGGATCAGCTATAAGCTCTCTTAACGTTGGTGGCTTCCTGACAACTTCACTTACTCGTCCTAAGCACTGTGGTCAGGTAAGGTACTTGCAGCTTTTTATAAAATATATAGTTGTCTGGATGATCATCTGCGATTGCTTTTACCTTGTCTGGCAAAATAATGGGTGTGGCACTGATGAAGGTTTTCCGAAGATCCTCATCCAGGTAGTACTTGATAATTTCGTAGAAATCCTCCATAGCTCGAGACGCAGCCTCATCGCGGTACTCTCCAATTTCCGGCACCCATTTCATCGGATCGTTGTTGAGGAGAGTCGTAACCTCGAGGGGTGGATCGGCAGTGTTGATACTTTTTTCCCTATTCTCCAAAAAGCCAAACAGACTAGAAGCTTGCTTTTTATTCTTCCCTGAAGCCAGCAACGGCAAGGCTGAAGAGACGGGCAAGTCCACTTTCCCACTAACAGCATAAACGTGACTGGTGTCGTTGCCTTGGTCCTTCCACTCGTAGGCTCCGTTAAAAGTGCCCCCGAAATCTTCAAATTTCACGACGAATAAATCTGGAAAAGCCGAACGAACGGGCTGTTTAGCACGTTCACCAGGTGGCGGCGGAACACTTGAAGTAGTAGTTTGCATAATGTCCCCTTGCATGATGCACGAGTATCCAATGCCATTTTTGAGTTCGAGCAAAGTTTCAGGATCCGAAGCTAGTTCGCACATAGTCAGTATTACATCATGTAGTTGCACTTAATAGACGCAAAGTTGACGGCAGCGGTATTAAATATATCCTTACCTTTGTCATGAAAGAAATTCTCGATAAATTTCCGTGGCATGATAGGGTCATCCTGAATTACCACCCGATATCCAAATACCAATGATGATTCCCAGGTGGCATTGGCCCATTCCCCGCTACCAGTATCCCACTTTAATGAATTGTCGGCAGAGCTTCTATATGCCCCAGCGTTGTGTGAAATCTTTACTTGAAAGTAAAGCGGTGATGGAATAAACGTTGCTTTGAAAAGGCGACAGTTGATTTCCAAATGGCCCGCGGGCACTCTGGATTCAAAATTAACATAACCGGCCACCGGCACCTTCTGCCTCTCGCCGTCGACGTCAAGGTCCAACGTAGTAGAGAAGGTATACGTTTTGGTGCTTGTGGACAGGGTGACATCTTGAGGACCAATGTGGTGGTTCCCTAGCAGTATGCCACCCGCCGCATCACCCAGACGGCCAAACACAATAGTCAAATCGTCCAGAGAGCGATCGTGGGAGGCGGTCGCATCGGTGAATTTGACTTTGTATGCTCGTGGGACCCCATGTGCCCTGGTCCGAGGATCAAATGCATCTGGAAGACATGGTCAGTGTGATGTTCAGATTATTAACGCCAAAGGGGTCCTTACCATCGACTGTACCCTCTACGAGAAGCGCTGACCTATAGCGCCTGTTCCTTTGCCGCCGATGCAAACGAACTTTGCTCAAACTCGAAACTTGCGATGCGCCGCTTCCCAAAAAGACATTGTTCCAGCTAGTAGAGTGCAATAGAAGATTGTCCATTACTGCTGGCGTAGTAACTTGGAGAAGTTGATCTCAATACCATGAAAGATAAATTAATGCCAGAATCGAGCACAAGTCTTCGTGGGACACCGTGAGACTGAGTTGCTGGGAATCTCGGGGCTTTCTTCCACATATATATCATCTTTGGACAAAGGATGAACACCCTTCCCACAGTTAGTCCGTCAACTTAAAACCGAGGGACCAAGTGCTCTTCCATGATATCACAAACCTGCCCGGTTTCGGTTGGACCCGCTCTCCTCAAGTCTGAATGAAAATATAGTCTTCACGTCAACTAGACCCGGAGCATCGAAGATCCGGGGCCCGGAACATCCCCGGCTCATGATCGGGCGCCATGTAATCCTATCCCGTTGAGCTAGATCGAGAACAAGAGATCGCTGAGCTCGATTGGAGCGCCGCTTTTGGCATCTCTGCAAAATCCCATGCTCGTCGCATATATCATGCACACCCATGTTTCTGAACAATGACAAATCAATATGCCAGAGGCGGGGCTTTAGGACACCTCTCCGCCAGCCCGCTTGAGCAGCGTACAGAGTATCCTCATTTTGATAAGGACAAGCGACGTTGTGACCAAGGAGCGGCTTCCTAGGTCATTCGCTGCAAGCTACATTCAGTAGCTGCAGGTCAACTGATGCAGCGCAGACTGCTAACGAGATCAGGCAGCCACCTTGTCTATGGAGTACACAATTCGTGGTTGATACGCTCGTCGAGGGCGGACAATTCAATCGCGATTCGGACCAGTCCGTTTCGTTAGCTCCGGTAAACCCCACCACGAAGATCAAGCCATCACCAAACTTCAATGATTCCGAGCCAATCGGGTGTTCAAGTGTTAAACCAAGAGCAGATCGAGTATGTCTCGATGGTGTCGGCAAGAGGCCTCCGGAGGATGGATCCGGGCCGAACACAGTCACATAGCTCCCTGGAGCGAGACGGCATTGGCCGCTCTGCTGTTGGGGAAGCTGTGTGGAATCTTTGTCTGCACGGCAAGTCTCATTTGCTGAAATTGAAGATCCACGGATGGGTTTGGAGACGAGATGAATCATCATGTACGGAGCAAACTTTTGATTCTCTCTGGCTAGCCATACGACTTCTTGGTTCGGAGGAAGCTGCCGTGCTGGCAAGTCATGTCTCAAGGATGGTATTTGGGCTAAACATTTTCATCTGATCAGTACCATCTTCGGGACGGGACTGGACGTCGACTTCAGACCTGAAGGGCCATCTTAGCACTGTTTATGCGTAATGATAACTTTAAATAGACGGGTGGTTCCCGTTGTCCTCCTTGACTTCAACCTCGCAGAAGGGAGAAGATAGATTCGACGGACGCTCTATATTCACAATTTCATTTTCCAGGCGGGCCTTCTCTTTTATTCATCGTCATTAGTTAGTTCATCCATCTAGCCATGGCGCGACAATGGCCCCCAGATTACATGGACATCTTTCAAGGATTTGAATTGATCAACGGACGCACCTTAGATTCACCATATGGAACTCTTCCTCCGACGGAAGACCCCGTTATCCTCGAGTTGTTCAGTAAAACGCAGGTTGCGCCATCTGGGCCTTTCCGCAACCATCCAGCCATCTTGATGACAGTCAACTACCTGCAGAAGCAGCATGATTGGAGCTGGAGAGACAAAGAAGCGTACAAGAAAATATTCCCAGGACTGAACCGAAGCCTTTCGCCGGATAGCATTACCATCGAAAGGCCTGACAATGCCAGGTTGAATACAGGCGCGTATGGCCTGCTGGGGAAGTGCTTTGCCAATTATGGCGGTAAATACTCCGATAACGTCAATACTGGTAGATGCGATTCCGAGATCCGGAGCCTGGATCAATACATACGGCAAAATGGCACGTTTTTATTTGCTGAATACCTGCGCCATTCCCGCAGGATGGCACCGAGCGCGTCGAAAGTCGCGCAATATAAATCTTTACTCCTATCCCATGCATATCGTTATTTGAAAGAGGCACAGTATGTTTCGGGAAGTTGGTCTAACGCGGAACTTGAGATGTACATGCATTTTGTTAAGCTTCTAGCCTGTGGCGCTTCGCAGGCTGAGGTGCGGGATGTTTACCGCGAATTGACAACGGTGGAACCGATACTGAGTCCATCTGCATTTCGCGCAATAACAGATACAAGGTGGACGTCGTACGGGGCGTGGTTGGGCTCCGGCATTCTGGACTGGGGAGATATGAACGCAAAGAACCTTGCGGATTATGTTATGATAGCAGGACGATCGAAACTCGAGCTGGCGTACAAATATCTCCAGAGATTCGACTACTACGCAAGCTCCGGTTCATGTTTTGCCGCAGGAACCCAAGTCGCTTTAGGGAATGGAGCTTCGAAGGCTATCGAGGATATCCAAGCAGGAGACCAAGTCGCTTCAAGCTTGTTCGGGAGTTTCGAAGAAAACGAAGTCAAAGCAACAGTTGCCTTCGTATCTAAGATCAGAAGAAAAGGGAGAACCCTATTTGCTTACCGGTATGCTCCCAGCATCAAGTTTAGCGACACACATCCTCTTGTCCCTGAACCCAAGAGCAACGATATTAGGGGGCCGCATCTCCTGTTCGTAGACCCAGAGCGTGCAACAAGTGTCAATCCAACCTGGCAATCCATCCCGACAATCAAGATATCGCCTGACGAGTTGACACCTCATCCGCCTGGTACCATAAACGGGGATGAAGAGTTCCTGTACGATCTTGTGCTGGAGCTTCCAGCGGGGTCAAATGCGGTAGCAAGGACATACACGGTCATCGACCCCAACGGCCAATGTCTCAAAGCCCTGAGTGAGGCTCCGATATTCGAATGGTTCCCGTACGCGACGAAGTTTTTCGAAAGGCTCTTCGCAGTACTTCGACAAGATAAACAAGAGATGTCCTCATTGTTCAGGCTGCTGTGTGATGAGCACATCGATTTTACCGGCATGCTGAACAACGCCATTAGAGAAACTGGCATCCAGATGCAGTCTCGACAGCAATTGACAAACAAGGAATCAGGCTTTGTTGTCGCCTCGAGGTTCTTGACCGCGGATGAAGGCAAAGGATACGCTATGAATCAGAGCATAGCGGATTTTGCTGAGAAACTGATATCATTGTTGGGTCGACAAATAAATAATATGATCTTGACCGGGTGGGCGAACACAGTCGCATCGGAGGAGAACACAAGGGGCAAACCGGCGACCACCGTCCTTCTTCTCCACTCACTTCATATTCTCGACTCCCCTCGCCCAGCTCAGGCGAGAGTTGATAATTTCAAGGGCCTTAAAATATCTGTCATCCAAGATGGGACAGAGGTAGCATTCGAGGCGATCAGTGCAACAGTTCGAGGCTGGCAGACCTTTGAGATCGGCAGGGGGATTGGGATTGGCAATCCTTCCTTTACAAAACACGATGACAGGGAAACCATCAGCGTGAATCTTGAGATCCATGACGTCGGGGCCGGGATCGTATACCATGGCGGCGGACCCGTACACGAGGGTGTAGACACTCGGATAGCCCTTGCGGGTGAATCCGGCGATGAATATGCCGTTTTAGAGGCAAAATTGCAGCGAATGCATCAAGATACACTGGAAAACCAGTTCTCGTGGGGCGATTCGGAGAGAGCAACCGTTGCAGACGTGCTGGGAGAGTGCTTTGCAGAGAAAATGATTGATGCGCTTAGAAAGTCAAATGAATCGGAGTAAACCCTTAGGGGGCTAGCTATGGCACTAATATAACATTGTTTCGGTATCTCTTCACCCACCCCCTGAACCGTAGTTCAAAGCGGAAGAGGAAAAACCAGCGGAAGAACCAGCAAATGGCTTAGCACGCCCCGTGCGGGTTTGCCATAAGAAGCGGTTTTGACAGGTTAGCATCGCGGAAGCTTGGATCGGGTATGAGGTTATCACAGGAAGCGTAGTTATCATTCGAGCGCCCACTTGTGTAGTTAACGAGTTATGTAGCGTGGTTGAAACTAGCTAACGACAAGCATGAGAACCCAAAGAAAACTAAGGACCTGCCTGGCCCACTGACACGTGACGGAGGGCGTATCCGTCTGGGAGACATCGCGAATCTGCGAAGATCCCAGAGTGTTTGCCGTGCATGAGTGGACAGGAAGCTTATTTGCGCTTAATCCGCTGATGGAGCGTGTCGTCCTTGTCTGCGGGTTCTCAGAAAGGGAACCCAGCAGGTGGGACGAGGGGAATCTCGTCTGATCCTGGCCGCCAGATGGATCGAAGATACATATGCAAACTTGGCAGCGGAGAACCCCCGTCCCGCAAGAAACATCGTCGCTTAACCAGACAGTTTTCGTCGAAAGTGCATATGTAGTCGCTGATAAGCAGAAGCACTACGGAGTAGTCCGTACTGAGTACGGGGAATGAGGTGACCGGCCAAGACGAATGGAGACGGTGCGCGATTCGAATGCACGACGCTTCACACAAAAGCAACCCCTTTGCTCTCCCAGACCATCGCTTGAGGGAGGTGCCACTCCACCCCCGTTAGAACCGTTTCTGCGTCCTCGAGAAGGGAGAACCAGACTGCCCATGGCCCAAACGCAAGCTGAGTAGGAGGCATCTCTCCTTGTCAGCACGGCCTCTCCGTGGTGGGCTTCTGGAGACGAACTGCGTTGTTTAGGTCGTTTGCCCCCATTGACGCTACCGTCTTGGCGGTATGCTGACTGTGCGTTGCTGCGAAACATTTATTGACCTGTAACTGTTGTGTGGAGATGGTGGAAATTGGCCACGCCCACTTAGTTTAGAGTGTGTGTGGGCACTTTGAGAGTTAAACGACGGAGGACTCCGTAGTGACGGAGCATTAGGTCATACAGTACGGAGTACAGCCCGGAGATGCAGCGCAACGGCGACACCGAGGGATGCATGCGCAGTTAGTTAGTTAGTCCAAACACACGTACATAATACTCCGTGTCCATAACTATTGAGTGAACGACACTCTCTCCATTTCAATGCACACACTCGGCACCACGCAACACGCTAGCCTCTCTCGGTGTACGCGTGCCTTCCATTGGTTGAACTCACGCGCGGAAGAAGGAGGAAGGTCGGTCGTAGCCGCCCAGTCAGTTTTATAACAGTGAGAAGGGCCGTTCCTGCCTGCCCTCAACTTTGGGGGTGTTTTTTTTTCGCCAAATTCGTTTTTAACTTCCCTTGTACGGAAGTATCTTTTTTGGAAAGTGCCAAGGGGCCAACCAGCGAGAGAAAGCACGTGAAAAAGGAACGAGGTGACGTCATTATCCCATTTCAATTGTTTAGCGCAAACTTTAGTCAGAACGCCTTTCCTATAATGGATTAGGCCTCGTTGCCACGGCCAATAAGCGCGCACAGCCCCTCCACTCGCTGGCCAATGGAATGGCTGGGATATAGCAGAGCCCGGCCCGGCTTAAATTCCTCAGAGCAAACCGCAAGCGGAACTCTCGCAGCAAGCGCCGGGCGAAGGCACACAGAGCGATTCTTCGGGTCAACCCAGGGCAGCCGCAGAGGCTCCATCCCGACCCTCCCGGCACGCTCATGCAGGCGTCTTCCTTCGGCCGTCGAACCTCCTCCGCTCCAAAGTGGCTTGCCTTGCACGCTTTCGCCCCTCTGTGGAGTCGCAAAAATATTGCTGTTCCCATACTCCGTACTTGTTTCGTTGCTCTCTTCCCCTCGAACTCGTCCCGTCTCCGATCGATATCCCGGAACTTTTCCTGGAACAGTGCGCCGGGTGGACCTTGAAAGCCAGAAAACTGGGTAAAGCAAAGGATGGAGATGCCGGTGGGGGGCGAAACGGACTCCCAGTGATGAAAGAGCAAAGAAGGTCGTAAAAAAAAAAAAAAAAAATCTCCGTTTTAAAAAGAGAGTAGAAATACCTTTCAATTATTTTTCTTTTTCTTCTCTTTTTTTCCCTCTTTGATCCCGAATTCTCAAAACCAGGCTGGAAGGGTTTTCCTCTGTTTTCTCTTCTCTGTTTCCTCCTCCCTTTTATCTCGTTGCGTCGCCGTTGTGAAGCCCCATTAACCACCAATCGCGGCGTTGAAACTTCACCCCACCGTGAGAGCTTAGGAGTCTTATCTATCAATCGACTATCTTGTTTTCCTGTATCCCGTCTTGACCGGTTCCAAGACTCCCTGTGGTGCAGCTGCGCAGCCCTATCAATCCGTGGTCCCTACACATATTTTATTCAAAAAACGTCCTTGCCTCACGGAAGATCCGGGGGTCGTGTGACGAGAGACGCAGGGATTCGATTCCCGTCAGCAGATCCCTACCCTCCAGCTCCGGGTTCAGCGAACTCCGGGCTTGGAAGTTTGCATCGGCAGGTCCTTTCAGAATCTCTCCCACAGCACGTGCGGCAATTCGTCAAAAACCAAAAAAAAGAGAAAAAGAAATAAAATAGCATTGTACTACTATCTCCCAAATGCGACAAGAGCCCCAGCGCGACATAAACTGAAGTGCGTTCTACTGCTCACATCTTGCGGCCAAGTATCCTCTGCCCCAATGCGACAGTCATGTTAATTTGTGATTTCTTTTCTTTTCTTTTGTTTAGGAGATCTAGGTCGAGGGACCAACAATTCAACGAACAGGCAGATATTGCTGAAGCAAGCACAAGATTGATATCGCTCCCAATTGACCAGAACAGGATAGACCTGTAGAACGTCGTCGAGTCCTTTTCCGGATCAAAAAAGATGGATGCACTGGATAGCGAAAAGCACATCGCGGGCGATCACACCCAAGATGGCTCAAGTTCCCTCGACGAGGACGCCCAGAAGCTTGCGGCCATGGGCTACAGCCAGGACATGAAACGAAAGTTTTCTGTTCTGTCCCTCCTCGCCGTCGGCTTCTCCCTCACCAACTCGTGGTTCGGTATCTCCGCCTCCCTGATCACCGGTATCAACTCCGGTGGCCCCGTCTTGACGGTCTACGGTATTCCTTGGATCGCTTTCATTTCCGCGTGCGTCGGAATCACTCTTTCTGAGCTGGCGAGCGCGCTTCCGAACGCCGGAGGCCAGTACTTCTGGGCAAACGAATTGGCTCCTCGAAAGTATGCCAACTTTGCTTCGTACCTGACCGGCTGGTTCGCGTGGACCGGCAGCATCTTCACGTCGGCCAGTGTCGCATTGAGTCTGGGATTGGTTGGTGTAGGCATGTATCAGATGGCCCACCCCGAATTGTATGTTGCCTCCATTTCTCTCTCACAGTGATCATCAACCGCTGCTGAGTAACGTCGTGTCTTTTTTTTTTTTTTTTCCCTTCTGGAGATTACCTTACTAATTTCTGGGTTTTACCAAACTGAAGCGTTCCTGAGGCCTGGCACGCTGTCGTTGCGTATCAAGTGATTAACACCTTTGCATTCTTGTTCAACTGCGTCGGCAAGCTGCTCCCCAAGGTCGCAACCGTGACCCTGTACACCTCGCTCATCTCCTTCATCACTATTTTGATCACCGTGCCCGCCAGAGCTGAGACGCATCAGAGCGCCAAATTCGTCTTTGCCACTTTCATCAATTCCACTGGGTGGAAATCGAATGGCATCGCCTATCTGGTCGGCTTGATCAACTGCAACTGGGTCTTCGCCTGTCTCGACTCCGCAACCCACTTAGCCGAGGAAGTCTCTAGGCCTGAGAAGGCCATTCCGATCGCCATCATGGGAACCGTCGCGATCGGTTTTACCACCGCCTGGTGCTTCGTCATCTCTATGTTCTTCAGCCTCAGCGACTTCGAAAAGGTAGTTGCCAGCCCAACCGGTGTCCCGATCTTGGAGCTCTTCCACCAGGCTCTGAAGAGCAGAGCGGGCGCCGTCGCCCTGCAGTCCCTCATCCTGGCCACCGGCATGGGATGCCAGATTGCATCGCACACCTGGCAATCTCGACTGTGCTGGTCGTTCGCTCGGGACCGAGGATTGCCATTCCACTCCTGGCTTTCCAAGATTGACCCCAGACTCGACGTCCCCTTCATTGCTCATTCGTTCAGCTGCTTCATCGTCGGTGCGCTCGGGCTTCTCTATCTAGGATCCACGGCCGCGTTCAACAGCATGGTCACCGCCTGCATTGTCCTGCTGTACGTTTCCTACGCTGTGCCCATCATCTGCTTGCTCATCCGCGGCCGCAACAACATCAAGCACGGCCCGTTCTGGCTTGGCAAAATCGGATTGGCCGCAAATATCATCGTCCTCTCCTGGACGCTGTTCACCATCGTTATCTTCTCGTTCCCCTCTGTTTATCCCGTTGAGATTGGCAGTAAGTCATTACCCTAATCCCTATTTAAACCTCCAATACGATTTCCAGTACGTGGCGCGGTAGCTAAATCCCTATCTTCCTCGCAGACATGAACTACGTTTCCGTCGTGTATGCTGTGGTGATCATCCTCATTGTCATTGACTGGTTCCTCCGGGGAAAGCGAGAGTTCAGAGGTCAATCCATGCGTCATAATGAGGCTGAGCTGAATGCTTATCGGAGAGAAAGCGTGAAAATAGAGAATTAAACTGGCTTGCAGCAAATGTCTCTTTGAACTCTTTTCTTCTGGGCTCTTTTTTTTTTTTTTAAGATAGTATCAGAAATGAATTGTGAAATGCAGATGTACATAGCTTTGTTAGGCAGTCTATTTCACAGAATAGGGATTTCACAAGACTTAGAGCAAATGAAGCTTTGCATCTATCCTGGCTGAACCAGCCTACAGTATGATCTAACTAACGGTCTGTGAACAAGCTAGGCGTTGCTGCCAAGGCCTGATGCTGGTCCGTGCATTCTGTTTTGTTTGACCAACACAGATTCTCATCTGTCGCAGGATTCAGAAAAGCAAACAAGAATAATCACAATACTTTTTGTGATTATGTGTCACAAGACCGGAACAGCTGCTGCTGTGGCTACCTCAATGAGATAGTTGAACTACTTCAATGGCAGCCTGCATGAGCACTCTTTCAATTCTTAAATCTTCGCATTTGGACAGCGCCCCTGATTTTGTATCTGGCTCTGACCGCAAAGGAAAAAAAAAAAGAAAAAAGCTGCTTATCTATTCCAATTTGTATACCCAAATCAAATAAACCCCAGCTTATGCAGAAAAGTACCCATCCATACCTTTATGGTGTGATTTACCCTGTTCACTATTCCCAATGACTCCCGACCAGCAGCCATCCTCCTCCTCCTCCCACCCCCGGCAGGATGCGGAGGCGGACCGTTCACCGCCACCTATCAAGTTCGACCCAGACACCTTCAAACTACCGGGACCGATGGACTCCACACACGAAGCCATGCGACTCCTGCGGCCCACAGAGGTCGTCGAGAGGAAAGACGCTGACTCTGCGCCGCTCCCGCTGCCGCTGATGTTGCTTCCCCGGTGGCTACGGAAGAAGCGCTATTTCGCGCTGTTGATAGCGACGATTTTAGTGGTTGGTACGCTGCTCGCGGTTCTTGGGGGACTGGGGAGGTTGGGGGATTTAGGAAGAGGTGGGGAGGAAGAGAAGGATGGCTCGAATGCGCCGCAGGATGGGGTGAGCTCTTTTTTTTTTTTTTTTTTTTTTTTAAATCCTCCCTTATTGCTTTCCCCCCGACATGAGCTATACGTTTCCAGGGATCGTTGGGCTGAATGAGGGTTTACGTAGCTTTCTCCGCCTTGGTATCCGACCCCAAAAGGTGGATCGGTGGCTAGTTGGGCGAAGAGTTATCAGAAAGCTCGGAGGATGGTGGAGCGCATGAGTTTACCTGAAAAGGTGAATATTACTACGGGGGTTGGGTGGCAGATGGGCCTATGTGTTGGAAATACTGGTATGTGAAATTACATTCAAGGCAGTGCAGCACAAAGCTCCTTGGGTCATCTGGGGCGTTGTTCCGCTTAACAAATTTGAATTAGGTCCCGCTACATCTGTAGGTTTTCCATCTTTATGCCTACAAGATGGACCCTTAGGCTTGCGATTCGCGGACAATATTACTGCATTTCCTGCCGGCATAACAATCGGTGCTACCTGGGATCGGAGTCTGATGCGCAAGAGAGGAAAACTCCTTGGGCTCGAAGCACGGCTCAAGGGAGTTAATGTGCTTCTAGGTCCGTCAATGGGACCTTTGGGCACATTGCCGGCTGGAGGCCGAAATTGGGAAGGTTTTGGATCTGACCCGGTTCTTCAAGCCGTCGCTTCAGCAGAGACCATCCGAGGTATCCAGGAAAACGGTGTAATTGCAACTGCGAAACACTACGTTTTGAACGAACAGGAACACTACAGACAGCCTCTTGAATGGGGCATATCGAATGCCATGTCCTCCAATATCGACGACCGAACCTTGCGCGAAGTATACATCTGGCCGTTTGCAGAAAGTGTGAGAGCCGGGGTTGGAAGCGTCATGTGCGCCTACCAGATGGTCAACAACTCGTATTCATGCGGGAATAGCTTGCTTTTGAACGGTATTCTCAAGGATGAGTTAGGATTTCAAGGCTTTGTGCAATCGGATTGGTGGGCCCAACAGGCCGGCGTGTCGACCGCTCTCGCTGGACTAGACATGACGATGCCCGGCCCTGGTCCGCGGCCTAGCCCGGGGGTCTCTTACTGGGGAAGCAATCTTGCCATAGCTGCGTTGAACACATCCGTGCCAATGGAGCGGCTGAACGACATGGCGACCAGGATAGTCGCGGCGTGGTATCAGCTAGGACAGGACTCCTGGCCGAAGCCTCCCCCAGACGGTGATGGCGGGCCAAACTTCTCGTCCTGGACAAGAGAAAAGATTGGTCGTCTTCATCACGGAAGTAATGACGACGATGCCACGGGTGTGGTGAACAAATTCATCAATGCTCAAGGCGAAGGAGACGACGCGCATTTGCATGTGGCGCGTCGAATCGCCGCTGAAGGCACTATATTATTGAAAAACGAAGGTGGAATATTACCTCTTTCAAGAAACGGGAGGAGCCGAAACGCCGGTCTATATCGAGTTGGGATATACGGAGAAGATGCCGGCCCGGGAAAAGGCCCCAATTTTTGTCGGGATCGCGCTTGTAACCAGGGGACTCTAGCGTCTGGATGGGGCAGCGGTGCCGTTGAATTTCCATACCTTATACCACCGGGAGAGGCCCTGGATAGAGAGTTCAACAATGACACGGTTGAGCTGTCACTCTATTATAAGAATGAGGTTGCCGACCGCGATCTAAAAGACAAGGATCTCTGTATCGTCTTTGCAAATTCAAATGGCGGAGAGGGCTTTGTGGCCGATGGTGATATACGCGGAGATCGAAATAACCTTTTCCTGCAAAAGGACGGCGATAGATTGGTCGAACATGTGGCAAGCAAATGTGGGGACGGATCTGGCGAAACGATCGTTGTTATTCATGCCGTTGGGCCCGTGATCGTTGAGTCTTGGGTTGATTATCCCGGTATTAAAGCCATTGTGCTTGCCAATCTCCCCGGGCAAGAGAGTGGGAACGCTCTCGCTGACTTTTTGTTCGGCGACGTGGACGCATGTGGTCGGCTTCCTTATACCATGGGTAAAAGTCTCGATGATTATGGACCAGGGGCCAGGGTGCTGTATGAAAGCCAGAGGCCCGTTCCACAGAAGGATTTTTCACACGGCCTTTACGCCGATTATCGTTACTTTGACAAGCATAATATCACCCCTCGTTACGAGTTTGGCTATGGCCTTTCATATACAACATTTAGGTTGTCCAACCTCATCGTCAAGCCGTTGCAGCACAGAACTCCGTTACCGGCTCCGCGACCTGAGCCAAGGGTGTCACCACCGTCATACAATGATGAAATCCCGCCGCCCAAAGACGCGCTATTCCCTAAAGGGTTCAGGAGGCTGTCCGACTACATCTATCCTTATATATCCTCAGTGAAGGAGGTGACGCAAGGGCCATATGAATACCCACAGGGATATAATATAACCCAGGAGCCATCGCAAGCGGGTGGAGGTGAGGGCGGTAACCCGTCTCTGTTCGAACCTTTTGTCAACGTATCCGTGGTGCTGGCCAACACCGGTCCGCGCACTGGGAAGGAAGTCGTCCAGGTATACGTCTCTTTTCCGGAGAACGTAACTGATAGCCAGCCGCTAGCCGACGGTGAAAAAAGCAATTCCACAGGAAATCATACGGAACCGTATAATCCCTTGGACACCATTGAATTTCCTGTTCGAGTGCTTCGAAATTTCGAGAAAGTTGAGTTGGCATCTGGGGAATGGACTACCGTAAACATGTCCCTCACGCGGAAGGATTTGAGTTACTGGAGCACAAGACAGCAAAATTGGGTGATGCCAACGGCGGGAGCTTTCAAGATATGGGTTGGTAGGAGTTCTAGGGATCTTCCGCTTGTTGGCAAGTTTTGAGTTTTGGGAGTGCTAGCGATTTAATACTGGGCAAGGTCAACGGCGTATGGAACGGCGCATTGCAGATTGGATAGATATATACACGCATATATTATAACATTATTTTAGATTCAGGCTTGACATTGAATAGAATCCATTGAACAGATCTTTCCGTGATGCAGCTCAGTATGCAGGGGAAATGTGCCAACCGTGTTCCGGCGCTGGCTAAAGCCGTTTCACCTCTCCAACTCCTTTCTCCGCAGTTCGTCACCCAAACGCACCTTGTGCCTCGGCCAAATCAAAGAAAACCCAACGGATAAGCGGTTGTTCCCTTGGGTGTTCTTGGGCTCACTGCGTTCAGCGGACCGATATTGAGCACCCAGGATCCGCAAACGAAGCGATAGATATGTCGATCTTTCGAGGAAATATTCCACCAACGCCTCCTGGAAAACCGTGTGTGACCATACGGTACCCGAAGAGAGCACCTTGATGATGACCAAGGAAGGACAATTTCTCCATATAGGCCTGGTGAGGAGACGACGCGACGCACCGAGGATGCTGGTGCTCTCCTGGGAGGGGTAACTAAGGGCGGCGGGTGTGACCAAGGCTGGAAGACGTGAGGGGAACGCTCTTTGGCTCCGGATATCCCTGTGCACACACACAGCCCCCCTTGTTCGGTATGACGCGCCTCGTATGTCCGACATATGAGCGATGCGCAGCACATATGTTTCTCAAATTGGCGGTTATTGTAATCTTCAGCTTTTCCCCAAGAAGCTGAAGGCTCAGCCATCGGTGCTTCTGACCCCAGCGCCGTTTAAGAAAATATATACCCGGGAAACTCCATATATGTCCCTCACATCTCTTATTCTATCTCCCTCATTCCTTCTCCTTCTTGCTTTTGTCAGGCATCTCGAGTTGACACAGGCTTTGCCAGGTCACCATCACACAAATAACTGTACTACGGAAACGTAGTCCATCCTTGTTCCGTTGACCTTCGCCAATATGGCTCCTGATATCGCATCCATCCTCACCGGGGATAATCCAGACATTAATGGCCCTGAAAGTCCGTACCAAATAGATCAGGAGGCCGTGCTCGGCAGCCAGCAGCGGAAAGTCAAAGTTCTCACCATCGGAGCTGGGGCGAGCGGAATCATGATGGCCTATAAGATCCAGAAGGAATGCAAAAATGTAGAGCATGTCATATATGAAAAGAATGAAGATATTGGTGGCACATGGCTGGAAAACCGGTATCCGAACTGTGCTTGTGATATCCCCAGCCATGCTTATATCTACTGCTTTGCACCGAATGTGAGTTCTCTCCCTTGGGGGGTTGACACCGAAAAGAACACTCTGTTATCCCACGGCTTCCTTTTCGCCGACGGCTTAACTAACTGATGTGGGTAGCCCGAATGGCCGAATTTCTATTCCTACTCTCCAGACATCTGGAATTACCTGGATAGAGTCTGCAACACTTTTGATTTACGGAAGTATATGACTTTCAACACTAAAGTCATCGGTGCTTACTGGGAGGAAGATAAGGGAGAGTGGAGGGTTGCTCTCACGCAAACTATGCCCGATGGCACGCAAAGGGAGTTTGAGGAGAGATGCAATGTTCTTTTGAATGGAACAGGCATACTTAATAATTACAAGTGGCCTGACCTAGAGGGAATGGACAAGTTCAAAGGCAGGGTGAGTTCCAAAACTAGTATCCATGAGAGGTGTAATGCTGTTTTGCTGACCTTTTGGAATTTATAATGATAGATAATACATACTGCAGTTTGGCCCAAAGACTACCAGGCTGAGCAATGGAAGAACGATAGAGTCGCTGTAATTGGCAGCGGAGCTTCTAGCATTCAGACTGTGCCAGGGATGCAACCGCACGTCAAGCACATGGATGTCTTTGTCAGAACGGTAAGTTAGCCGCAGATTTTATCGTTAACGTTTAGCAACCACTGACTCTAAACAGGGTGTTTGGTTTACAAGTATTGCGGGTAATGAAGGTCTAAACAAGGATTACTCGGAAGAAGAGAAAGCGAAGTTCAGAAATAATACAGAGGAACTTGTCAAGGCATCGAAGTTTATCGAAAACCAAATCAACGGTGACTGGGGAGTGTTTTATAAAGACAGTGAGGCGCAGAAGCTCGGTCAAGAGTATCTAAAGCGGCGCATGGGAGAATGGATCAAGGACGAGCGACTTCTAAAAGGTAAGCTCTTGAGCATAATAACTGACAGCATTGAATTTATCACTCACAAATAATTCCCTAGGGTTCACTCCCACATTCGGTGTTGGCTGCCGACGAGTAACTCCGGGTGACCCTTACATGGTTGCTATCCAAAAACCAAATGTGGATGTTCATTTCACTGCTGTGGCTAGGTTCACCGAAAATGGAGTTATGGGTGAAGACGGCATCGAAAGAGAAGCAGATACAGTTGTCTGTGCAACTGGGTTTGACACATCTTACCGCCCAAGGTTCCCTATTATCGGCGAAGGAGGTCTTGATCTACGCGACAAATGGAAGATCTGCCCAGAATCATATCTTGGATTGGGTGTCCCTGGGTAAGCAAACTTGAACCCTTCAGGCACCAGCCCCATGTTTTGCGGCCTTGACTGACCAGTAGCAGATATCCTAATTACATGGTCTTCGTTGGCCCAACATGGCCAGTGGAAAACGTAAGCCATCGCACTTTATCAGCGTATGCATCACTAGCCACCACTAACCCCAAATCCAGGGGTCCGTCATGGGACCACTTGTCGAGGTTGGCAACTACGCCATCAAACTGATCAAAAAGATCCAGAACGAGCATATCCACTCCATCACACCCCGGCAAGATGTAACGGATGCCTTCAATGAGCACGCGCAGGAATGGATCAAGCACACCGTTTGGGTAGACGACTGTCGCAGTTGGTACAAGAACAACGAAACCGGGCGCGTCAATGCGGTGTGGCCAGGTAGTTCACTACATTACATTGAACTGATCAAGGAACCGCGATTCGAAGACTATTCCATCACATACCAGAATAAGAAGAACATGTGGAGCTTCCTGGGTTTGGGCAAGGTACCAGCGAATGTTATCCCAAACTCTGATCATAGTCCTTATCTATCAGTGGAGGCGATTGACCCGGTATGGTTGGATGAAATCCAGGGGAGGAGGCATGGAGGTAAGCAAATTGAAACCAGAAATTGAGAGAGACCCAGGGGATGCGATATGCGGTCTATATGAGGAGAAGGTCGATAGCTTATCTGGCTGTGTTTGACGAGTTAGTGTAGTTGTACGGAGTACACAGATGCCTTTTCGCAAAGAAGCCCGTTGTCAGCAATTACAGGCCAAGTGGTGAAGAGCTGTCTGCCATATACAGATTACATACCAACCGCAACTGCTCCAATATAGGTTGTGCAATCAACTGTTGAGGGTGGGGGGGTAAGCCTTGGCCTGACTGTGCACACTGAACTGGTAGTTTCCAGCATCCTTTTCACAGACCCTGTTATTTTGATATTCCTGATTTCTAATGTAGCTAAGACACCAACAGTGTACCATACCATATTCTCCAATTAATTTACTCACCTTCCCTCTCCAGTGGAAAAGAACGCTGTCCGGCCACAAAGTGCTAATTGAAGATATCATTCAGCAACAAGCTGTTGAATTGTAAGCGGTCAGGACAACTAAAACTTTGAGCTTCAATTGGATGCTACCATTACTGTTTCCTGTCATTTTTGACGGGTTTTCTCATCTGGGTTGTTTGCAGCGAAACAGGTGGGAGCAGAGTTGTGGGGTTGGTATATGTGGAGTAAAACAAGGGCTTAAACAGTCTAGATGCAGCAAAATGATAGCATCTTAGAAAAGAGTGAATGAGTTGGTAGTGTGTAGTGCCCTTGCTGTAGAAGTAAATTAGAATTAAGTAAAGGGTAGCGGGATACAAGATGGGGAATATTATTACAGGAGGGGAGAACGGAGTAATGCAATTATATACGGAGTACATTCAAAGCCAAGGCTTGACTGTGTCCATCACACTGCCAACAGTGATGACTTTTGAACTTCACAAGATGACAGGACGCATAGCTCCACAAATGAACCCAAAGGGGCAGAAATAGCTGTTAATTAACACACTAGAAAGATTTCATGATAAAAATCCTCTTCATAAGGGAATGATTTGTTGCCATTCCGAACGAATGTCAGCAAGGGTTCTGCTTTTCCTTCGACAGACCACATCCAACGCGATGTAGTCTCCTATTCTTTCTTGTTTTTATTGGGAATTGGGTTACCATCCTCGTCCACAAGTCCCTTTGTGCGCATGACCCGCAGCGCATCATGGAGCGGATCTAGCTCAGGGCGCGGGGCGCGATGCGAGCCGAAGTAGCTGTCGGCCCAGGTGAAGTACTGACCGTAGTTAACGGTGAAGTACATGTGGTGGAGGGTGTGGTGGGCGGGGCTGTTGATGTACTTTTCGAGCCAATGACCCGATATCATGTCGCCGTCGTGAATGAAGATGGTCCAGATCTGCACGAGAACGAACAAGGTCATGTATAGGTACTTTTGCACGGGGAAAAGGAAGACGAAGAGGCTAGAGGAGCTTGTTAGAAATATATCCAAGGTTGGCTGGCTTTGATACTACGGAGGCCTCACTGGTACGGCAAAGATTGGACATATCCATCAAGGGGATGGAAGGCAAGAGCCGCCCATGGAGTTGGTACTAGACATGTAAGTCGATCCATCTTCCTAGTTCACGTCATACCAGTTGATCTGGGGTGGGGGGGGAAGAAAACGGCGGTCCATACTAATCCATTTGTGGTGGGGTTTATGAATGTACTTGTAGACACTTGGGTGATGCTCGAGTCGGTGAATCCAGTAGATGAGGAAGTCATTCCAGATCATGAACAACACAGTCGAGATTCCTAGCCACGCACGGCCGTATTCCTCTACCCTGGTATATAGGAAGCTCTTGCCACGGACCTCAGCTAGGAAAAATGGGAGGGTGAAGAGATTAATCCATGGGATGGCTTTCATCGAAGATATTATCTCCTTCCGGACTTGGTTCTCGAGGAAGCGCGGGTGGTATTCGAGACGCCGGTCGAAGATGAAGTAGTACGAAAAGGCACTAAAGACCCAGTAGAGTAGCGTAGCGCCAACCTGCGTAACCACCAGGATTGAGACGCACTGTCGCAGGATGTTGTCGCGCGGCCACGCCGAATTGGACGATGCGGATGGCGTCGCGCCCAGACCTGTCTGCGTGGTGGCATTGGAGACCGCCGCAGGGATGAAGTAGGTGTATGCCTTGTCAAATATCAAAGGATCCAGGATCTCGAGAGCAACGTCCATGTTAAACCGGCGCCAATTGGGTTAGGACATCGACGAAGGATAAGAGTGTTTTTTTAAACCTCTCCTGTGTTGAGGCGCACAAAATCCCATTCCTCGATTCGAACCCCTGAAGGGCTCGGAAGTTCTATGGATCTTGCGTGGAAAAGATCGAACCACAAAGAGAAACAACCTAACCAGATCGGTATAGTCTTTGAGACTAAGCAGCGCTAAATCCTATTAGGTAATACGGCGAGTTCCACTCACGTGACTAACGGATGGCTTTGGCTTTTTGAGCTTGCCGAGATCTTACAATCGAGTGAATGGAGCACCACCGGACGGATCACCATCGCTTCTCGTGGACGGTTGGAGGGTATGACCTCCCCGGCGATCCCCCAGCGTACCCCAAGGCACCCCTGACGTTGACCGGCTTCGGCCTCGGCTAGCTATGACTGGCTGAAGCTAGTTGACGACATTGTTAATCCGACCCGATGTACG